TTTATAAAGATTTTTTTTATAATTACTTATTTTATCCCTAGATTTAAAAGATTTATAAGCTATTAAGGAGCTTTAATATTAAGCTTTTATATATTCTTCTAATAAGCAGACTTTTTATAATTAAGTTTTTATAAGGATATATTTACTGGGTTCTCTTTTCCCGGATAATATTTTAAAATAAAAGAAAAGCTTATAAGCCTTTATACTTATTATATTTATTTTTATAATAGTTCTTTTATAGTAAAATAATATAGTATATTATAGTTTATAAGAACTTTAATAAGATACTTTATCCTCTCTAGATAGTATTTTTATTTTTTAAAGCTTTTTACTATCACAAGTAATTTCTGATTATAAATCTTATAATTTTACTTTATAAGAATTATCTTATAAAAAAAAAGATAATTAGTTTTTATTAACTATCCTTACTTAGCTGCGAGAGGATTATATTAATTATATAAATAAATATGTTTATCTTTATTTATGAGGGTAAATCCTTATAAAAGTAATATATAATTATTATATTTACGAAAGCTTCCTTTAGATTTCTAAAGCTTTTTTTTATATTTATAATTAAAAAATCTAAACTAAACTTTCTTTTTTTCCTCTTTAAGAGTTTTTTAGTTATTTTAATCAGAGCTATAACTAAACCTAAGAATTATTAAATAAATCTCTAATATTAGTTTATAAATCTAATAAACTATTAGATATTATGGATACTTTCTAGTATTAGCTAATTTATAATTATCTAGACTTATAAAGTTTTTATTTAGATCTTATTCTAGTTAATAATAAATCTTAAGAAGTTTATCTCGGTTATTATAAATTTATATTTATTAAGTTTTATATATAATCTTATTTTTTATAAAATTTAAAAAATTTTATAAACTTACTTTTTATAATCCTTTAGGTCTCGCGAGTAAATTATGATATTTTCTAAATAGATTATTATAAAGTTATTAAGATAATCTTGAAATAGGCTGTTAATAAATCCCTGAAATATTATAAGTATATTTAATAAATTAAATAATATTATTAAGTACTTGAACAGCCTAAATTTTATTTAGAAGGCTATTTTTTACTTATAGCCCGCGGCTATATAAATCTTATAATAAATATTATAAAAGTTAAACTATATAAACTATAATATTCTGGCTAGCGTGTTAATATATTTATTAATCCTTAATAATAGATAGGTATTTTTCGCGGATGTTTTATTTATATCCTAAAAGTTTATATATACTTATAAATTTTTATCTTTTTTTATTATAAATAATACTAGTGTCTTAATAGGTGATTTTAAAGTCCGAATCTATTTTTATTTTAAGTTTTTTTAAAAATATTCTTATAATATCTTGTTTTTTACAGGGGATATCTTATAAATTAAACTAATTTATAATTTAAAATCTTTTATAAGATAAATCTTTAAATTAATATTTTTATAGTATAAAAATAAGCTTTTTATAAGATCTTCTGAGAAGACCTCCGCGAAGTCCTTTAATTATTTTAGGGTATCTTGCTTCTTTAATTCTACTGTATTAATTTATTAAATATAGATTATAATTAATTAATTAAGTTTATTTTTTTTAAATTCTTCTATCTACTCCTTTATAAATACTAAAATAATACAGACCTGATTTTCGCGAGAGAGCTTTAAATAATATTTATAGAAGTAAGTAATAAACTCTCTCTAAACTATTTATAATATTCTTAAAGTTATCTCTAATATACTAGGAGATATTATCGCGAGCCCTGTTTAAATCTTATAATAATTTTATAAATCTTTTAATTTTAAATAAAATTATATAATCCCCTATAAAAGGATTTTATAGCTATTTATCCTAGCTACTTTAAATTAAATAAATAATTTTTTTATCTTATCTCTTTCGCGAGATTAAGGGGTACTAGATTGACTTCTATCCTAATATTAATTAGTACTTTTATTAAGTCCTTTTTCTTTTACTTAATTATTATCTTATTTTATTTTATAAGGCTCTAGGGTACTGGCTATTCCTATAGTTTTATTAATAAAAACTTTATAAGAAATAGTTTCTTTAGTCCCTCTTCCTTATTTATTTATAGTAAACTAATACCTCTTATTAGTAAGCCTCAGAGTTATACTAATTTTTTTAACTAGTAGTTAGATATCTTATGGCCTAATTTACTATAATTAAAATATTTAATTTATAATAAATTACTTTATTTTTTTGCGGGATTTATTTTTTTATTAAGTAATTTTTCCCGTAAAGGTTTAAGTAAGTTTTTTTATATCTTATTATTTCTTACGAATCCTAAAAACTTTTATCTTAAATAATTTTAGTCTAAGTTTAAGTCTTATAAGCTTAATTACTAGTTTTTTCCAGGTCTTAATTAATAATCTTTCATGAAGAGATATAAATATAAGATTAGTAAGATTAATTTTTACTTTAATTTTAGGAATTTAGATTACTCGTGAATTTTTTATTTAAAATCCTGGCTAAATATTTTATAAAATAAATAAAATTATAAATAATCTATTTTTTTTATTTTATTCCTAAGCTCGGATCTAGCCTCTTTTTATTTTTAAAAATAAACATAATTACTTTTATTTTTATAAGATTTAAAATATAATATTTTAAACTAAATATTTTATTTATAATTTCCTAGATCGCCTAATTAATCTTTTAAGAATTTATAAAAGCCCTTTTACTCTTGTAAGTAATAATTATCTAAAGAATTGCTTCTTTAAAGATTACTTAATATATAATTTAGATATATAATTATTATCTTTATTTTATTCTTATTATTTTAGTTATTTACTTTTATAATTGATTCTTGTCCGGTAATAAATATTTGGTAAATAATATAATCATATATTAAGTATTATTTTTTTTTACTAGAAAGCTTAATTTTTGGGCTAAAGCCTTTTTTTATAATAAAAATAATTTTTTTTAAGTTTTTTTCCTGGGCGTGTTTTCTGAAAGATAATATTAAAGTTTATTAAAGTTTTTAAAATTTTTTTAATAATATAATTTATTCGCGGATGGCCTTTATATTTAAGATTATAGTTTTTTTATTTGTAAGATTTTTAATTTATTATTAAGTAGTTCTTTTTTAATAATCTTATAAGATTTTATTAGTTTTAGGGTTTCCTGAGTCTGCGAAGACTCTTTTTTATAAATTAATTTAGTAGATAATTAAATATCCTGTCCGCGAGTTTTTCTCTTTTTACCAGCTATTTTGTTAACAGGCCGTCTTAATTAAGTATAAATAATAAAGTTATAAGATTAAATATCTTAGTATCTTAAGAGTAAGGCAGTGTGAAAATAATTAATTAGGGGTCTTAAATATATAGTATATTCTGTTTAAGGTATTATTACTGGGATTTAGGGGAATCCCGTGAGGACACAGTTTTAGTGTGTTTATTAGGCTATAACTAAGCACCCGTTCTGACTAAGCATCCTTAGAAGGATCCCATTTGGATCCTTATATTTAGCATGCCGATAATTATAATATTAAGTATAGCGAGTTTTTAAGCAATCTTGTTGTTTAATAAAGTTAGAGACCTAATTCTCTCTAACTAATTAAATTAAGATAATATCACGTGCAGCAAGAAGAATATTAGCCATTTCTTATATATAAGACAGTCGCGGAGGGGCTCCACGTTAATCTAATAATAAAATCTATTATACAAGCGATTCCTCTTCATTTTAAGTTAATTTATAATTATTAAAGAGTGTTTCGAGACATGCTAATATATTATGTAATCAGTCGCGTAAAGTTAAACACGGTATATTATAAACCCGCGCAGCTTTAATAATTTGGGTGATTTGATTATTTTTTATAGCAGAAATTACTAATAAAATTCTACCCTCCTGCTCAGCTAAATCTTTTGATTTTTAACGCGCTTTTAGAAGTATAGTAATAGTTAAATTAAGTAAGGTCTTCAACCGGGCTAAAACGCGTTGAGGTGGCGGTTCGTTTTGTGGTGGCGGCTTGCTTGTGAAATATGTTATCATTCTGTCTGATTCGTCAGCCCTACTCCGCCAACGGCCTGCGGGTCAAAGAGACTCGACCACATCCCAGAAGCCTGTCAGGCAGCATTCATCGTCCATTATCTCCTTTGTTAATTTGAATGATATCGCCTGTTCCCAATAAGTAGCGACTCTCGCGCGTGTCTCATTCAAGAACATCCCACTACAACTCGCGCCATTGCTCCAAATTATGCAAGGTCAGACGAGTCAAGGAATGTGTACCCATCGACCCCCCTCTGTACGCGACGAGGATAATGTGAATTTAACGGGCTTATAATGTGATGAGAAGAAGCCGAGCTGTGTCTCGTGTAGCTTACGAGAGAAACCATGCGATTACTCACAGCGAAACCAGGACCGAGAAACAGACGACAACCGCCTGGCCAGGACTATCGATGGTGAACGGGCGTCGTTAGAAGGGATCAAAACTGATGATGACACGGATGTTTGGGACACCTTGAAGTCATTGCCTACCATTAACAACGCGGGCTTCGATATTGATACGCCCATTAGCTACAAGGTTAAGCCTACTTGTTGGAAATCGTTAATGTCAGCGAGGAATAATCGGCAAGCTGTGAAGGAAATATGTATTTAGGCTTGGATTATGCAGTAATAGTATTGATTTAAAATTCGAAATTGCTTATGACTTGCTGAATGCAATGAAACATCCTACCCTGGCTGTACTATTTTCAGACTTCCCGTAAACTTTAACCGAAACTTGTTATTCGTTCTTATATCTCAGCAAGTCTTAGTCCTAAATGCAGATCATCTAACATGAACGTGCCCTTTCAAGATAGCCGGGGTGGCCATCACTTGATAAATCAGGTAAAACATGCGTTTAACTTCGGCTTTGAGCACCAACGAATAGTTAATGGAACCCAAGCGTCACTAATGTGCCTATTCGATTAATCGGGCAAGTTAGATCGTGAAAGGAATACCCACGCGTTGCGCATGACTTTGGACACTGGAGCTCGAGTACCACTGGAGCACCTAGATAACACGTCCGCCAACCTGATTCGAGTCCTTCAATCGCAGATCCCGCCACATCCAAGCGCAACCCCAAGAAACAGCCGCCATGCAAACACTGGTAATCAGCATATATCGTTGAGATTCGCCATACGCCTGGCTGATGCCGTCTCGCGCCTCCGACCCACGGGGGTATGAAAGCTGGACTGTAAGATCTGAATAGACCTTCGCGACCTGCACGTCTGACGGAAGATATTTGGCCAACGCCACGGAGAAGGTACCGGTCCAGATAGCAGCAGAGACAGTGGAACCGATGGCCGTCCCCGTGGTGGAGAAAAGGTTGCATAAGGCGAGAATGACAGCGAGGTGCTCATGGTCGGAGGGGGCCATCATGGCGATCTCGCCACAAATGACGATCGTGCCCCCGGCAAAGGCGTTGAAAATCTGGGTCATGCATATGTAACCGATATCGGCGTCTGGTCGACGAAAATGGATCATAAGCCCGACGCCGAGGATCATGAGGGGGGAAGCGAAATAGACAGCAAGCCACTTGAAACGATACGTCCAGCGGATCAGGAACCCGACTGCCAGGGTCCAGATGCCGGATCCCACAGCGTAGATAGCTCCAACGTAGCTTGCCTCGGTGACATTCAAGTCCCATACGACTTGAAGCATGGAACTGAAGTAGCTACCCCAGATAGCCATGTTGAACGTGTTAAATAGGATCATCAAGCCACCAAAAAGCACAGTTCGGTCCATGAGAAGGTTGTAGGGGATGAAGGACTTGGGTGCGAGGAACTTCTCCCACAGAACGAATGCGAGAATTAAAAGACCACCGAAAATGATCATACAAATTACCATCGGAGAGCGCCATTGGTCCCCCTGGTAAGAATAAAGACTAAATGGCAGCAGGAACAGAGCCATGCCTCCTGCCAGCAAGATAATACCCAGGAGATCGACGTCAAAACAATACTGCCTGATCCGCTGCAGTGTCAACGGCCCACCACTCGGTGGCAGGAGACCAGCCTTCCTCGCTTTGTGGTGGTTCCAGAAGAAGAGAACACACAGTGGGGCAACGATTGCCGGGATGGCAATGCAAAAGATACCAAACCCCCAACGCCAACCGGGCCCATTGAGAACGCTCTGTGAAATCGGACCGCCAACCCAGCTGGTGATGATATAAGATGACGAAGAATAAGCCAACATCAAGCCTCGGTTTTTAAGAGAAGATGTATCCGAGACAAAAACCGTAAGGCAGAAGCTCACTGCCTGGAATCTGGTACAGACGACATGCTAGTTAGTTTAAATCAGCGAGAGAAGGCGAGAGAAGACTACTCACCCAACATTATAAAATACCTGGGCCGCAGCGTAGGTTTGGACATTGTTGCACAGAGCCATCATGATGAACCCCATAACCCAGACGAAGACCGCCGCCGTGAGTCCCTGTGGTCGACCCCATGTATCTAGAACTTTTGCCAAAGGAATCTTGCTCACTCCCGCGATGATGTTGGACATGATAACAGTGGCGGCCGTTAGAGAATGCAGTCGGAATGCACTTGTCACATATGGGTTGAGAGCTCGGATAATAACTTCTTGCAACGTCATGACAAAGTAAACAAACCAGATACTGTTGATAGATTAGTGGGTGAATCATGAAGATAAAATTCGTGACTCTAACTGACATTATATAGGCTATCACCATGTGCGTCTTCGTCCACACAGTAACTGCCGCTTCGATTCCTCTAACCCCGGCATCAGTATGTCCACCGAGGACAGGATTTTCAGGCTTGGAATCGGAGTTGAGCCCAAGAACATCACTACTGGAGATAGTGGTAGCAAGTGCTCTTGGTTGAGGGTTTTCTTTGGCGTTCATCTGTGCTTCAGCCGAAACAGGACTATCATCGTAGGTGGCCACCATGGCTCGCGAGTGTTTACATACAATAAGCAATTAAATTTTAAAAAGGGACATCTGTGCTAGCGAGAGCAATGACTGCGTTATTTATGTGGAGGGATACACCCATCGGCTCAGCCTGCTATTACCTCATAGACCGAGGTGAGTAGTAAAATTGACTTCCCTGCAGCGGTTGCAGCTTGGTCTATTCTTGCCTGCTGAAACAATTGGATGGCGCTTCCAGCGGACTATTGAGCGCATTCGGCATCAAATAACTTTGCATCCACGTGAATAACAGGCCCAAAACCCGCCTTTAGTATGTACGCTGCACATCAGTGTTGGGTCTTGAATCTCAACTCCGGAACAGATTCGGCGTAGGTGGCAGATGTAGTGACTATACAATTACCAGTATCGCGGTCAGTTAACTATACAAAGGAATACCAACAATAATTCTTTCAATTGATGACCGAGTTTAGAATAATCATTCTGGCAGCAGCGGCGAGTGTTGATGTTCGAAATGTAGATCGGTGAGGCCTGAAGACCCTCAGGTGCGAACAAACAACCGGTTCTGCATGAACCGTATTTTCTAACTTACGTCACCACCACATGCTCAGTGAAGCGCGATTTGACCAATAATTTGTTCAAACTGCTATTTCTATTAAATCCTACTTTATCGAGGTTACAATTGTCAATGGGATTTCATTTTGTTAGCATGACAATCCACGAGCCCGTAAGGGGTCCCGAACAACCAATTTAATAGTATAATTCTATCACAGCCTCTACAGCTATACTTGTAGTATAAGCTTCTTCACATGTGTTTAATACCAGAGACTACAGGGAGCGCACTTATTCCCATATACAAAATCCCGTGCGCTGCCATGACAGCTAACGCGTCATCGGCATTTACGAATTCCCCTCATCTGCAACTAGTGTGTTCGGGCCGACCTGCAGAATGGGCTCTGGTAGAGGAAGGCGGTTGAACCAAGATCAATGCTGGAAACCGGGCAGACGTTTGAAACCCAATTTCATACAAGAGCAGTTTTAACCCTACCCAAAAGTCGTCCTGCTGAAACCGGTTGAGGTATTCAATGTAATAGTGACCACCTTCAGACAAGGACAGCACAGCACGAATCAATGCAACTAATGCAGTCGCGATAAAAATTCCTTCTTGTTGGCCACAGTGTTATTATGCAGACCCGGACGCTGCCAAGGAAATCAATAACCATCACTCACAATTGGGGCAAAACAGTGGGGACTTCAGCAACTGTATTGAGCCAGTGAGGCCAGTGAGAGAAAATAGTGTGTGCAAAGTAGACCGCCGGCTGAGCAATGCGATATATATCGTGGTTATACAGTGATAGGTAGTGGCATGGCCTGGTTTGATTCATTGCTATGAAGGCCAGGGTATACTAACTTATTTTCAGGTGGAAGCCGGGAAAGAACGAGCCAAAGGAGCCCTGGTCCATCAGAATGGAACGGCAGGTAATGAACTTTATAGCAATAATTCAGAGCCCGCCATACTTTCTAGTGTTCCACCATCGATATTCTAACCTGCTTACGGGGGATTAATCTGGTCTTTGATGCGCAACTGGCCCGTTGGCACTCAGGGATATCTCGACCGTGGAAAAAATTGTAACCCACTAGAAAAGGTCACCCGAGTTATCATATACTCGGTGACAATGTTGCTTGGAACGAATATCAACGAGACTTGGCGGATTGTCCCGGAAGGTAACAATTCCGGCCTCCCGAGCCGGATGGACGGGTACGATTCATGCCGAGATACGAGATACGAGATAACTGAGCGAAGATCTCGGAAGGCCGCGAGCCGAGAAATAAAGTGCTCACCGACTGGCATATTTGCCTTTCAGTCTACGTAATGTAGTATGTATTATTACAGGGGGTGGGCTGTTAGATACGAAGCTTAACTGAATAAGCAAAAGTCAATTCACTTTCGTTTCTTGACTGAACACACGCAGTAACGTTCTACTTTGGCTGTATACACTCTACTCTGCTCTGCCTAACTTCCCACCTAGCAACCAGTATTTTACCTGCTTCTCTCCTGAGACGAGCTAGATAGACGAATATATCAATCAGGATGTACTAAACCAGGTAGGTAGAGGGTTCTTTCTATACCATTGAGAAGCTCGGGTCGCAAAGTGTAATTAACTTGTGAATGACCTTTATCCACATGTCCCGGTCACTTTCAGCCTGTCGTAAAGAGTTGGTACGGCAAAATGGCTGATGAATCTACGGGATGGTCCTCAAACGCCGCCCAAAAAAAAGCCCAATCGAATTCCTCCAATTAAAGTCATATCTCAGTCATGGTGGCGCTGCCGTACTAGTCTGCTAACTCCATTCCATTCTATTTCCCTAAACCGCCGCATCCATGGTCTGGCCAATTCCGCCTATTTAACACCAGTGCATCCCCCTTTACCTGGTGGATTCCTGAACTATTTACTCTCTCCCCTACTACATTCAAAGCAAGCATTATGGTTCGCGTTGTCGTGGCCGGAGGCACTGGAGGCATGTCAAATAAATCCCCCAAAGTGTCTTTATAGGGTGGCTAACATACAGGAATATAGCTGTCTCTCAGGAGATTATCACTGCAATTATTGAGTCTGGAAAGCACACTTTGACCGTGTGGACACGCTCTGCAGTGAGTCTACCATCGGCAATTTGTCGAGTCCTTTCTCCCTTATCATTCCTTCTGGGTTCTGTTGATATAGTCACTTACAAAGAGTCTAGAATTCATCAAAGCATAACCTCCCAGGGGTGACGTATGAGCAGGTGAACTACGATGACAAAGATGATATGGTGAAGAAGTTACAGGGTGTCCACTCTGTGCTATGCTTCATATCGCAACCCACTGTACAGATAGCGCTTGTCGACGCGTGCATAGCTGCTGGTGTCAAACGTTATGCGCCGAATGAATGGGCTGCGTACGTCAACATACACCCTGTTCTCGAACCTCTTTTAACAATCATACAGGAGAAGCAATAGTGGATCATTTGCCTATCACGAGAAGGACCAAGTCCATGAGTACCTGCAAGAGGTAAATCGCAAGGAAAAGGTACATGTGAAAATCCCTGTTCTTGGTGGTGTTTAATAACGCGTCAAAATAGGTTCTTGAGTACTCTCTTTTCCAACCAGGTCTCTTCACCAACTATCTCAGCGCCCCAATTCAGTCCGCTAGCTACTGCCCCATATGGACCAACCAATGGGACATTGCCAATCGCCGTGCCATTGTGCCAGCAGAAAGAGATTGGCAATTGTCCACGACTACGATCCAGGATTTGGGCAAAGTCGTCGCGGAGGCATTGGCATACACTGGGGAATGGCCGGAAATCGGGGGTATTACTGGAACGAAGACCTCGAGTTCCGAGATCATCAAGACAGCAGAGAAGATCAGGGGTAAGATATGCTTTAAGACTTTCGACTTTTTATTCAAGTTCTAACCCCTGAGCTTCCTCTAGGCCCTTTCAAGATTGATGAGGTTTCCACCGAAAACCTTCGAGCCGGAAAGCTTGGCGCTTCCTGGAATCCTCTCCTGCCAGAGTTTGAGACGACAGATCCAAATTATGATAGAGTCAAGTATTCGGAATATGTGGTTGCCCAGATTATTTTGGGGGGCCTTGATGGAGCGTGGTCAACCTCGGACGAGTGGAACAAGCTTCTTCCCCACCTGAAGCTCACAACAGTCGAGGAATTCCTTTTGAGGTACTGGGGCGACAAGAAATAATCAGATGTGTCAAATGCTAGGTTAGCGAGCCCGCGTCTATAAAGCAGGCACAGAATGAGTAAAGCGAATGGTGTCCCAGAACAAGTGACAGACGCAAGCATTGATTGTTGGTAACTGCTTTGTTTCCGAGGTCGAGAAATGACATAACAAACCCATTGTTTTAGTTGAAAGACTTAGGGGTCTTGTTAATTCCGATAGATGCCAGCAGTGAGAACCACGGCCAGATCGCCCACGAGACGCATCTTATAGAAGTTACTGTATCTTTACATACCAGTAGGCCTCTTGCTGCGTAGGTAGGCTGCCCTTTTGCGATGTAAAAACTACCTATATTAGTTATTATTATACTTGTCTTCTGGGAATCCAGGCAATAACGGACTGCTTTACCAGCAGGATCAGGATATACGTGCTACAAATAACCGGTCACAGTAATACGATTGAGTCATCACTTGTGGTGACAACGATGTTGACAGCTCTGGAATGCAGTGGCCACAAATGGTGCGATGAAAACATAAAATAAGGTTGATGTGAAGATACAATGGAACAAACAGATTTCTAATTTGTAACAAGATACTCATGGCTCTCCTTGCGGATAGTGTTTTCCTTTTCCTCCCTTTTTCTTTTTGTTCGGAGCCCAAAACTCTGTTTTCTGCGGCAAGTGATTCGGCGAGTGATTCGGCGTATGGATCGGTGATTATCAATCCCATTTGACATTTGGCCCTTGAAAATGTTGATTTTCTAGCACCTACCATTTGGAGAACGGCAAATAATCAAAAACGTAATTATAAAGCGGTAGCATACTGCTTACTTCATACTTCTTGGCTCCTGGGTTTCATACTGAGTCTCAGACTGGAAGTAAGTCCGTCGGGATTTTCTAGAAAGCCTTGGATCATTTCTAATGTTGCCGCCACCCGGCGACTGTCATCCACGTTCGGCCTCTGTTCGGTGTTTGATGGTTTTCAGTCATGACGTAATGCATATCTATGAGTTATCCGGCACACATAAAGACATAAAAGCGAGAGTTCCCTTTCTATGCTCTGGTATCTTTCATCCATCTACGCAAAACTCATTAGAAGACAACATTGTTCCTGAATTCACCAGCTGCAGCACTCTTTTGCTGAAACCGACCTGCGACAATGTCCCCAAACACCATGAAGCAATGGATCATTGACCAACCCGACCAGAATATGGGAGGAATGCACCTGACAGAAGTTTCTCTTCCTCCCGTTGGCATCCACGACGTCTTGGTGAAGTTTGAAGCCGCGGCCCTGAATTATCGTGACTGTGCTATAGCTAAAGTATTATACACTCAACCCCCTCCGACTTCGAACGATTCGGTCTTATACTAACACTGTTATTTGAAGGGAACCTTCCCTTTTGCTCACAAGTATCCGATTATCCCTGTGTCAGATGGTGCTGGTGTGGTTGTCGAGACTGGGTCTCACGTGAAGGAATTCAAAAAGGGTGACAGTGTTATCACTGTTTTCAATCAGGGGCATCAGCATGGTGACATCACTCCTTACGCAGCATCTACCGGTGTTGGTGGAACAATCGATGGCTGCTTCCGTCAGTTTGGTGTTTTCGACGAAACAGGATTGGTCAAGGCGCCGAGCAACCTAACTGCCCTCGAAAGTAGCACCTTGCCAGGCGCCGCACTTACAAGCTGGAACGGAACGCCTTGTATGGTTTGAAGCCGATCAAGGCTGGACAGTATGTGCTTGTGCAAGGAACAGGCGGCGTCAGTGTCTCTGCATTGCAGGTATGTACTTATAATAATCCCTGTCCCATCCACTGGCTCACAGCTATCACCCCAAAACCTTTGAAGGCTGACATGACCTGCGTCGTTTAGTTGGCCAAAGCTGCCGGTGCCAAGGTTATCGCGACAACGTCCTCGGATGAAAAGAGCAAAAAGCTACAGGAACTAGGTGCTGATCACGTTGTCAACTATCGAACCACCCCGAATTGGGGTGAGGTTGCCCGGCAGCTCACTCCCGACCAAGCCGGAGTTGATTATATCATGGATATTGGAGGCACCGACACGCTTGAACAGAGTTTGAAATGCATTAAGATGGACGGAATCATAACCTTGATTGGGTTCCTTGGCGCGAGTGACCAAGCTCAGCCTGGGCTCTTGGAAGCCTTGAGCCATATTTGCACCGTACGTGGTGTTTATGTTGGAAGTCGCGCAATGTTGAAGGATATGGTTCAAGCGTTTGAGGTGAATAACATCCGTCCCGTTCTGGACTCGAATGTTTTCAAACTTGAACAAGGCAAAGAAGCTTTTGAATACTTGGTGAGCCTCTTTGTGACGTAATCAAAATACTTTCCTAATACTGATATTATGTTACAGGCTGCCCAGAGACACATCGGCAAGGTGGTCGTTCAGATTGATTAAATGGATTCACGCTCGAATAAACTTCATCGTGGAGAACTCGGGAATGAGTTCATTACTCAGCGCGCATCTTTACATCAGTAGGTGGGGTTGAATAACTCGTATATCATCCACCATCAGCCAAAATCTATCTGGATTTTGTTTGTCATAGTATTCGTCCTTGGGGAGGTTTGTGTCTTCTTGATTTTTTGAGGGGTAGTTTAGACAGTGCTATATGATTATTACTTCAATATAATGAGTGACCGACTCTGAAAAATTAGGAGCGATCTGATTAAACTTTTTTTTTCCCTCGCATCGGTAATCATCAACACTCCCGGGACCTTTTCATCTGTAGACTATCAATGCAAGTAGCGGGGTTAGCGCTTTAGTTGGGTAGCAAAAAACCGACAGAAATTTCTGGTTTCTTTTTCTTGTAGATCGCTTGATCTAAGTGTCAATAAGCAGGCATATGTACATGTTGCTTTGCTTAATTTTGAATGTTGCCGGTCTTCGGTCTTTGGTCGAATGCCGAATTGCCTTTCAGCACAACCCCGCTGGTTAGAACTACCATTGTGAGTCCAGGAATAACACCCAAAGTCTTGTATTGGCTTATTTATGAATCCCAATATGTATCAATCTCATCATATTACCCAAATTGATGTCATAAGCCCGATGCCACGTCATACTTGGGGATGCATGGGTAGGTAATGTTGCTGATATACGTCAGCCTTTCAAGCATCTATACATATTAGACGCTTCGTTCTCGGGTCTAGATTGATTATTTGGCGTATAATCTGTCTAATGTCTCATAAGTGTAAGTCATAAGCCAGTTAGATGTCGATACGCATTCGCCAAGTGTGGATACCCTGTTCCTCAACGCGTTGTTCGGCGTTCGGTGTTCTGACAAAGCCCGAAGTCGGGGATATGTCGTACGACTCAGGGGATTTATAGGTGCACGTCGCACTTGAGGTCCCGTTTCAACTTACCTCTTCAAACGACAATTCACCATGCCTCGCGGATCATGCTTCTGTGGAGAAATCCGATATGAATTCTCTGAGGAATCGGCTCAGAAGGTAATCTCCGATTTTTCGTATGTCTTATACGTCTTGGCTTTTAACTGCTAACACACAATGGGAATAGGTAATCTGCCACTGCCTCAGCTGCCGTAAAATTACCGGTTCAACCTATACTACCAATTTTGCCATACCCGAGTCGAACCTCTCGATACTGTCCGGGTCACTCCGTGACTGCACCAGACGACATGAATGTGGGATGAACTTGACTGTTTTCTTCTGTGGAGGCTGCGGGTCGGCCATCTACAAAACGGCCACACAAAAGATATTTCATGGCAAGATTATCCTCCTTGTGGGCACGGTTGATGAGGAGCAAGGGATAGAGAAGGCAGCACCCGCCAGAGAATTCTACGTCAAGTACCGTGGGGATTGGGTACAGCCAGTTGATGGAGCGGTTCAGGACCAAGAGTTTCCCTAAATACAGTCGACAAACTTTCAATAAACTGCTTGGATGAGGGAGTTGACGTTTGTGCGACTGTTTTTGCGCTTGAATCATCAATTCTCTTGACGTAAATCAAGTCCTTTCTTTCAATCTCAAGCAAGCTTAAAATGCTAGCTGCAATTCCACGTGGCAAACGGAGCATACCTAGGCTAGTCTTTCATCAGATCAAAACACTAAAACTCTTTGTATGCCAAGTGTCCAGAGATAAGAAAAATACCGTCTACACAGCTCGGGCGATTGAGTAATGGAGAGGCGATAAATTTGGCTTCAACTGACATAAGTGTCGCCAGATACTTTAATAGCTTTATTATGTTTACCATTTTTCTTTCTTTTTCTTTCTGCATTCCTCGCTCTTTCTTTCTCCTTTTTTCCTTCTTACATGTAGATTGCGGAATGAGGTCTCTGCAGGTTTTATATTCACCAAAGTGGTTTGATTTTAAATTTTAGTCAGTCTAGGTGCTGATATTATGACCACGCTGGTTGGTTTTATAAGCTCCAGAATCGTTATCCTGTAGAGCAGAATACATCTAAGATGTCGTTTTACCTTCCCTACCCTGAGTGGGTTCAAACCGACTTAAACATTTGTCGCGTGTTACTTGACTTTCATATATATATAGGTATACAAGGTGCTATTAAAATACAAGACAGGTTTCCGCGTACTTTCATAGGCACTCCAGCATCATGAATAAAAACAAGGGCATAATGGCTCTGGTTTGCAAAGAAAAAGACGAAGGGCTGTATATGATTGTCTTCAATCGTAAGTTATTTTGTATTGCGATGCTTTTTGAACCGTTCTTTACTTCCAGTAGTCTTAATATCACTTCATTCCGGCCGACAATTCTAGGCTATTGTTATAGATTGCAGGTGCTTCTTTCCGAGGCATTATTTTAAGTCATAATGTATTCCCGAAGTGCTCCCGAGGTTCAGCAATGCGTCCACTATACCGTCATCCTCTTTGAAAAAGTCATACATAACAATGCCCAGGTGCTTACCCTTGTGCTGCTTCAAAAACGACAACAACTGCTTATTGACCCCTGTTTCTGCAACAATACTTCCCAGACCCATTGCTTCGGGGTACAACCCTACGATATCCGCACCTCCAGATGCAAATGTCCAGAAGAGGTCATCCGAGTGTTCGTTCTTCAAGGCCTCGAGAAGATGCACCGTTGTTGCATTATACTTCCTCTGAATGATTTTTGGCCAATCGAAACCTCCAACGTTGTAATGATCCTCGATATACGCCTTTAAGTTCTTATCCGAGTTATAGACCAGCGTAATGTTATTAGAGTTATCTTTCCACTGGCTCCCGGGGAAATAGATCCCGGGAAGGTCTGCGCCCTTGATCTTATCCAAGCTAAAGCGTCGGAATAGGGTGATTTTCCCCCGAGTGTCGCCCAGAGTTCCCAGTTCGTTCTTGGCTTGGACAAAGTACCGACGCGCGTGGTTGGAGGTAAGAACGTTGTGAATAGCTTGTTGGGTGGCAGCGCTATCAGGCACATACTTCGCCGTACCTCCTTCGTCCTTGAACGACAGAAAGAGAGCCTCTGTCGGATGGTCATCTAGCCACTGATAGAATCCGAAAAGAACGTCCTCAACCGTCGCGGTCTCCGACTGGAGCGCGTTGCCGTGGTAGAACACAAGCGTAAGGTTTGTAACGTCGAATGCAAAGCGTAGATCAAACACGCGGATCCCGCCATTAAGCATGTCGATCAATGGAGAGGATTGGCAACGGTAGAATAAATAAGGGGCCATAATACCAGCATCATTAATTCTGTTCAGTCCTTCAAGCGCATGTTTAGTTTCGCGGGTGTAATTCCAGGTTGATGTATCGTGGGTCCCTGGAAGGTTCATGGCCGTGATGGGTGTATCATCATCGTAGTCCTTCATCCACGTTGCCTTGAGTGAATTCGAGTTATGATATTCGCCAAAGATAGGTGCGGCATCTCGGAGCACCTTCTGGATGGCCAGGTCCGAAAACGTCTGTGCTGTCGACGCTCGGCTGAAGAGAACGGATAAGCTGATAAGGACGATAGAACGCATGGTAATGACTTTTTGTCTAATGGATTTATTCGATAAGCCGCATCAGCAAAAAGAAGAGTAGAACTGACCACCATGGATTCTGATAGTTGTTCACGGATTTTGAAAATCTTCAGGCCGGCAGGAACCAAGAATGCTCCTGCCAGAGTGCCAACACCACCTCCCTTTCGCGGTTGTCAACACAAGGAGTCATTTCGGGACCGCAACCAACGTTCCATGACTCAGTTATACCCGCAAACGTCCACGACTCTTTCGCGTCAACGTCACCATGCATTGGACCTCGTAACTTTCGCTCGATCCTACGAAAATGGTATGTCGACCTAATACTTTTTTCTCCAAGGTCTATAAAAAGCATTAGGGAGAGCATTTGTCGCTCGCAATTTTTCAAAATAAACGCGGAAATGTGGAAGCAGCGATAAAGGTCACATTCTAGCCCAGCACATTAGAAGTTGTCACCCCGTCAGCCAGCCCTCATTTTATTAGATCTACTTCTGGAGCAGGGGCGGAGAATTAGGTTTACAGGGGTAAATGAACAATCCTGCCCAGCTTTCAATAATGGCCCCTACTTTAAATTGCTTTTGGACGGCTTTACTCCGGACATTAACGCAATCACGCAGTGGGCCTTAACCACACGTGTACTGTGTTAGTGACCTAGTACCTGCAGGATTGAGTAGTCTTGTACGGATTAAACCGAAATGCAAGGAACGGCTTTATGAACAGGGAAAAGGCCGTCCAGGAACTTCAAACCGGTTGACAAAAGTCGGGGTGTTACTGACAGATGTGATTGACGTTTCCGTCGGAGAGTGATCATCGATGGTTTCACCCTCCTGAGTGATCACTGATCCGCATGATTGTGAGGCAAGCCGCAAATCGCATGGGTATACTCCGATACGCTAGATCTACTTGAGAAATCCACATCCGATACGGCAAGAAAACACCCCTCATACGTTTGTGGTCTGACAATGTCTCGTGCCAGATAAGGCAGAATACCACCCCAACATGTTTCGGAAAATTCTGCACGTTCTTCCGCATATAGTTCCAAGCGCTTGCAAGGCCCTTATTTGTTAGGCTGCGGGTGCTAGCAAAACGCTTTTGAGTCCGCATCATATGCTCCCATGCCATACCTATTCTGTGATACCGGCTTCGTCCGATTTGAACGCCACCAGGGGGTGGATATGCAACCACCAAGGCTGAGTGGATGGGTTGCTCCTCCGCACGCCATTGGAAGCGCGGAAAGCGCATGGCGGGACGTTTATGATTTAGCGCAGATAACGGGCAAAGTGCGGTGGGACCAGCTCCGATGTGTGCTCAGATTAATATCAGAGTGTTGGTCTGCGCGGCTCTAGACTGGACGCTAGGATCCACCAAGTGCATCCTGTCTGGCGCTGGGGCGGGCTAACGAGTTACAGTAAAAGTAGTGTATATGTATGTTTCCTGACCAGGCGAAATGGCGTATCACACTATGCTGAGTAGGCAAGTTATCTCCGTCGACTAACAGGACAATATTTAAGAGTATATATCCTACGCAGGGATTAGAATCCGCCCATGTACCGAGACACCTGCAGGGGCCTCTGTTAATATATTAATTGCCTTTGTTGCGTTTTGCCGCTCGGATAATCCGACAGAGCATATCTACAAAAGCCTTGCGACGTGGAGGGTCCATTTCGTTTCCCCTCGTTTTTGTCATCCATCTGGAGTAGCAGGAACTGTCCCCAATATGGAGAAAACTGACATCGAACCGCGGGTCGTGGAAGCTCGCTCTTCTACTGATTTTGACCCGGAGCTGGAGAAGAAGCTGCTGCGAAAGTTGGATTGGCGAGTGATCCCGGCGCTATGGTTTCTTTTCCTGATCTCTTTCATGGATCGGTCGAACATCGGGTAAGCCATCCTTTTCGCATAAGCTGTCTATGATGCATACTAACAAGGCAAAAGAAATGCAAAGATCGCAGGAATGACGAAGGAATTAAATCTGGTTGGAAATCAGTACAATTTGGCGGTTACCATGTTCACGGTCGCCTACGTCATCTTTGGAATGCCGGCAAACCTGCTGGTCAAGAAGTTCGGTCCTAAGATGCTGGTGTTGTATATGTTTACCTGGGGTGAGTTGAGTTCTTTTTTTGTGTTGTGAAACTTGCTAACGAGGGGTGAACCATAGGGCTATTCGTCATGGGACAGGGTCTGACGAAGAACGCCACCGGATTGATCGCATGCCGTTTCTTCATGGGAATGTGTGAGGCTGGGTTTGTTCCTGGTTTGTGGAAATCTTGTGCTCGACCCTTCGAGGATAATTGCTGATCTGGATGGTTAGGCTGCGCATACTTGATCGGGAGTTACTACAAACGGGACGAGTTCCTTCGGCGATATGCGATTTTCTTCAGTGCCAACATGGCGGCTGGTGCTTTCAACGGAGTATGTCAATCTGGATTGGAACATTTGGCGGCCGCTGACTTTACGCAGCTCTTCTCGAGTCTTTTGACTGGTCTGAACATGAGCGGATACGCTGGTTGGAGATGGTAGGTTCTATCGGTCGCCCTGAAAATAATCGCCCACTGACTCCATAGGTTGTTTCTTCTCGAGGCCATCATCACCATGGGTGTCAGTATTGTCTGCTACTGGATCGTGGTGCCATTCCCCGAAGATGCGACCTTCTTGACTGCCGATGAGAAAGCCCTGCTATTGGCTCGTCTCGAGGCCGACGGTGGTGGTGTTCGCACAGATCCTATCTCCTTCAAGCGTGTCATTAGTATGGCCGGAGATTGGAAAATTTGGATTTGGTAAGTTCTCATGTTAAGTTTCTTCTTTTGATCCACCGCTGACGAGCACGACAGTGTCTTGGCCTACATGGGCGCCGAAGAAAGCGCCAGCTCCCTCGTCGCGTTTCAACCCACAATTCTCAAAGACCTCGGCTGGACCAGCCGCTCGGCCCAGGTCCACAGCATTCCCGTCTACGCCGTCGCCTTTGTTCTGACCCTTTCCTGCGCCTGGCTCAGTGACCATCTCCGCCACCGTTATTTGTTCACCATGTTCGGCGCAGCCCTGATCATCATCGGATGGAGCGTGGAGCTGGCGCAAGTGCAGCCCGCAGCCGTTCGGTACATGGGAATTTTCTTCGTGGCGTCCGGAGCGTTCATCATGATGTCGAATACGGTGGTCTGGCTGTGCATCAACCTTGGCAAAGGCGTGAAACGGAGTGTCGGAATGGGTATTCTGCCAGCATTTGGCAACTGCGGTGCCTTTGTGTCTGGCAACGTTTTCATTACGAGTCAGTCTCCCAGATACCCTGTGGGGTTCGGAGTGGGACTGGCCTTTGCTGTGATGGCGGCTGCGGCCTGCACGGTCTACTATTTCGCCCTGATGGCGGAGAACCGTCGGCGCGACAGCCTGCCAGAGAAGGGCTCGACGGCCGAAACCACCCACGAGTCGCAGGATCTCGGCGATGCGCACCCGGATTTCCGGTATCAGTTGTAGATAGACTATAGTCTTTGGGTCGTATGAGGACTGTGTGTCTCGATACTGGCCCCCCCACGCCAAGTGGGCTTTTTAATACTGATGCTCCGTCGATCAATAGTCACGTTCATTTAATGCCATTTACACAATACACCAGTGAATAGTAGGGTATGACGGTCGGATTAGTCCGTCCTGCCAATCCTTTAAGCTTTGCCATTCGCCTTGACTCAGACAGGGGTGGCTGGTCTTGGCGCCGACCGGCCAATTCTAGCCCTAAGGCGAGCCCCACAGCGGGCCGAACCAACTCGGCCGCGGTCCGGAATTCAAACTAAAATTGGCTTCCGTCAATCAAGTTTCGTGTCGCGTGCTCTCGACACGCACACAACTCACCCGGAGTCCAGTCTGTACCGGAATATGCCACCACGGATTGTGTACTCCGTACGCACCGTGGCTAATGTCCGAACGCAGGTGGATCCCGAACGGAACCCATTATATACCCCTGCTCAGCTAACATCCCAAATTGCTTCTAGTCCGTAAGGGAAGGCAGCTGTCTCCAACTAATTCAATTTATACTCCCCATTGGAAGTCCATTCCAGCCCGAGAGAAAATTATGTACGGCGTATTCCGAAGCCAAGGGTAAGAACTTTATTTAGTGAATACTGCGTAGGACGCACGCATGTAACCGGCCATGGAAAGTCTCAGCGTACTTACCGATCCATCGGATCCTACGGAGTACAACCAGTAGGATTTATGTATCTAATGAGCCCATCCAACGCATGGGACTGTCTATAAGGAGTACATTCTTTTTCGCATGGTCGGCTTCGTGGTGTCCTTTATGATTTTCTCCACGTAAAATCCGATCGTTGCGGTCTCCCAACTAGCATCTACATTCTTTTGAATTTTTTTGTTTCTTTCTATCGTGTTCGCTCTATTCTCCTTTATTGCATAGACCGGGGCAGCTTCCCGGGCATACATAAACGCTATGGTTGAGATGGTGAGCCCTCACGATGTCCCGAATAAGGGACCCGTGTTTGTCCAAGTGACTGGAGTCTTGACGGCTCTTGCTGGGGTGTTGGTGGCCTATCGACTTCTGTGGAAGGCGTATATGAAGACCAGGCTGGCCGCCGATGATGCGATTATCACTGTTTCGATGGTTTGTGTTTCGAAATTCAACACCTGTTCCAAGCTGACCAGATCATTCAGGTGTTTCAAGTCGTCAACACAGTCATGGGTGACTTGGGTATGCACTCACCTATTGCTCCCTTCGATGTAAATAAACTAATCAATAGACAGCATGTCATTATGCCTTTGGTCGCCATCGCGCCGACGTTCTTCGGACAGGAGGTAACAAAATCCTAGCACTGAAGGTAAGTTACTTCGTCTCTACAGTGACCTAAAATATACCACCAAATGACACCTAACCCAACCAAACGCACAGTTCTTCTGGCTGTTTCAAATCTTCTACAAACTCGTCCTCGGCCTCAACAAACTCTCCTTCCTCTCTTTCTACCTCCGCATCTTTCCTACGCGCACATTCCGCCTCGTCTGCTGGGTGACCATCGGCTTCGTCATCTCCACTACATTCAGCTTTGTGATCGCCACAATCTTCCAATGCATCCCTGTCCGTGCCAGCTGGTACAAAGATATCCCAAAGACGTGTGTCCAAAATGCCAGTTTCCGCTGGTCCTGGGCAGGCATCAACACGGGTCTCGACATCTGGGTCTGCCTCCTACCTCTACCGGTGCTCGCGCAGCTACAGCTCGACCGCACGCGGAAGATCGGTGTCATGTTGGTTTTCTGCATGGGACTGTTCGTCTGTATTACGAGTATCATCCGCATGTGGGCGATGGTGGCTAGTACGAAGACGCACGATCCGACGTGGGGATCATTCGACGCGCTGATCTGGAGTGCGATTGAGGCCAGCACCGGCATTATCTGCGCATGTCTGCCGATGCTGAAGCATCCAATTCAGAAGTTGCTGCCGGGCTGGTTTAGTTCCTTGTCGAATGGGTCGAGGAAGAGTCGTAGTCGGTCGAGGGCGAATTATCAGATGAGTCGGTTGGGGTCGCAGTCGGGGGTGCGGACTGGTGCTCGTGGCGAGGAGGATGATGATATCGATGCCGATGCCGAGAGTATGGGTAGTCAGGGCCCGTTGGCGAAGAACCAGATTCTGATGAAGACGGATATTAAGATGCATAGTGAGCCGGCTCGCTCGTGATACGATCCAAATTTTCTTGGGTTAAAATAATACATTTCTTTTGTTCATTTATGAGTTAGCTTTTCTGGCTGTTATCGATATTTACACCTTAGATTTAGAACTTCGATTTCCAGGTCTGCTCAAGGTGTTCCGGGATAACATCGGGGGGATTCCCTGAGCGATCACTATCTCAGTGACCATACAACGAGGTCGTATTCGGGTTCGGATTGAGTACCGAATGGGCAATACAACGGACCACGGAGGAAGGAATCAAGACAGGACATTCCACTTTCCCATTCATTGACCCACCAGGGTTACCTTAGTAGGCTAGTATGCTCAGAGAGCCCCTCGATGGCGATATGGTCACGATGATCAAGGTAGGAATGTTGATCCGATTCGGTGGGATCGAAGGATCGGTAATGTTACATCCAAATGTTGTCAATTCAAATCCCGTTGTAAACTACTCTCTACTCCCCCCCTTTTCGGCACAAATAGGGATCTGATATCAAAATTGAAATGAGAGATTACTCTGCCGTGGCCAAGAATCCAAGCCTTGCAAAGACTGAGTCAAGCTAACTCTAAGCAGCGCCTTTACCGCCGCGGCGAATTACTAGCAGGATTCGATATTAGGGCTGCTCCACTCGGCTTGTCACGCAATGTTTCAATTAGCCCAAAAGATCCCTGTCAATGTAAGGATCTAGTTCAACAGTTAGCGGTAAATGTGGACCCAACAAAGTGGACACACACTTCCCATGAGACATTAGGTGGCCGGCATAAAGATTAAAGACAGAGAAAGAGTTGAAACCAGCATCCTCCTCAGCTCACCCCTTTCACAGTAATAATCGCAAAATGTCTAACCAAACGATAGCCCCAACTGTGGCGGATGCTTTTCTTGAGGCCCTGGCGGAGGTAAGCATCCCTTCTAGTATTCCATCCTGGCTGTTCCATAGATTGATGTCGCAACCGACAGGCTGGCGTCGACTACCTCTTCACTGTACTGGGCTCCGATCATCCCAGTATCATCGAGGCGTACGTCCGCCGCCAAAATGATCCTGCCCGGCAGTATCCCAAGATGGTCCTGTTCCAACACGAGGTGTGTTTTTTCTCCACCCATCCAGACGATCTGCACTGGGTAGAATCAGTCTCATGCTGATCGATCGATTAGTTCGTAGCCATGTCTGCTGCGGATGGCTACGCCCGGATCAGCCATAAGCCAGCATGCGTGCTCGCACACGTGGACGTGGGGACCGCAGCGCTCGGTCAGGGTCTGCACAATGCATCCAGCGGACGAGCCCCTGTCGTAATTTTCGCCGGTGTAGCCCCGTCCACTCTGCTGGGTGAGGCCCCCGGCTCTCGCTCCGAGCATGTCCAGTGGTACCAGGATATTCGGGATCAGTCCGCCCTCGTGGCCCCCTATAGTCGCTTCAGCGCGGAGATTAAGTCTCCGCATAATGTCGGGACTGTCGTGCATCGCGCCGTGCTTATGGCCACGACCGGCTCTCCGGGCCCTGTCTATCTCACTGCGACTCGTGAGATCCTCGCCACTGAGATTCCCTCGCTGGAGTCCCGACCGAAGCCCATCCCATCCTGTCTGCTTGGGTCTCTTTCCCCCGAGGCCGTTGCACTAATCGGCGATGCCCTGTTAGGCGCAAAATCCCCTCTGGTTATTACTGGCTATCTGGGTCGCAACCATCATGCCGTCAAAGAGCTGATCAAGCTTGCCGATACCATTCAAGGACTACGAGTCTTCGACTCCGAGCTCCGCGAGGTATGCTTCCCAGCAACGCATCCCGCATGCGTGACACGAGGGACCGGCGCCGCGCTCGCTGTGAAATCCGCGGACGTTATTCTCGTACTGGATTCCGATGTCCCCTGGATCCCACGGCGAGTGCATCCCTCTCCCACAGCGGAGATTTTTCACATCGACCTGGACCCACGCAAAGAACGTATGAATATATTCGACATCGGTGCTTCAGCTACTTTCCACGCCGATACCCACGCTTCCCTAACCCAACTTAACACATACATCGGCAGCTTGTCCCGCCTATTAGATCTCCAAGCCAGCTGGACCTCTCGAACAAATGAGCTCCATGCCGCTCACGCCGAAGGCAGAAAGCAGATCGAGGCTCGCGCAGCCAAGCTCCTCTCGACCCCCGAAGCGCCCTGCAGTGTTGATTTCCTATGCAGCCGCATCCACGCGCTCGTGCCACAAGACACCATCTTCGTCACCGACTCCGTCACGAACCAGGTCGCCATGACCGAGCAGCTGCAGCTCACGCGTCCGGGATCCCACATCACAAAGGGAGGCAGTGGACTCGGGTGGGCCGGTGGTGCCTCGATTGGCGTGAAACTGGCAACATACCGCTATGAGCTGTCCGATCGCCCGAACGTGCGCGCGAACGAAACCGGCGAAAGTCCTTTCCTATGCAGCATCACTGGTGACGGGAGCTTCGTCTTCTCGGTCCCCACGGCCGTGTACTGGGCTAGTCATCGATACGGGTGTCCGTTCTTGACGGTTATTCTGAACAATGGTGGCTGGAATGCCACGCGCCAATGTCTGGCTGATGTCCACCCTCAAGGGGTGGCTGCTGGGTTGACGAATCAGGATCTAGGAATTTCGCTAGTTGACGATGGGCCGAATTATGGAGAAGTTGCGAAAGCGGCGGCTAATGGGAACTTGTGGACGCGGCGAGTGGCACGCGTTGATCAGTTAGATGAGGCCCTTCAAGAGGGCATTCGGGTTGTGGTGGAGGAGAAGAAATCGGCGGTTTTGGATGTCATTATTCAGTGAGATATTTTTCTCACCTTTATATCCGTTGTTTCTTGAACTGTTTCGACGCGAATATTATAGGCTTGTCTCTATTTATCAATTCTCCCCGGTTCTTTGGAATATATATTTCGAGCCAAACATGGGTTGCTCCCTTCGTGTCACCTATTAATCCTGCTGTTTCGGTGCAAGAAACTAGTACTACAGCTTGCTTAGACTAACAGATCTGTCATTAACGCAACAGACGCCATCGAATTACAGACCAAAACCAAATCCGATCAGCAGAAAATTTCGCCATTCCTTGGACAGCCTGTAGATCTGATGGGTGGGAAGTCAAAACAGTATTAGCACAAATATATAGCTCACGCAACAGGAACAGGATCAAAGAGAGCAAAATTCTATATTTCTGGTTTGGCACCTTGAGATTATTTTAAGCGACATGCAAAACGCTACATAAAATATCAATGCTTTCCGATATTACAATTACAACTGGTTTTTGTTTATTCGATCCCGCCTTGGATTTACCCCTTGCTGACTGTAGGGCTGAGTGTGACATTAGGCCCGGTTACATGTCAGATCTAGAAAAGGCTTATCGTGGACTCGGAGTAATTCTTTAAAAGTGACTTATCTTGCTTTCTTATCATCCCATCCCCCGTTGCCCAATAATAACGCTTCGTTGGCCGTCAGAGATAGGCGATTGATTGCCAAGCCGGTGCCATGCCATGATGTGACCGCTGACGCGTTCACCTAATTCTCTTCTATTTGAGCAAATCTTGTACGGACGTAGGGAATACCTTGGATATTTCAGTTTGACAAATAAAAAGAGCCATTATTCCGAAATGTCCCGAACAAACCAAAATAAGTCAGCTTGCCCGGATGGCATAGTCCCAGTCCCCATCAAGTAGTCCATAATGAGTTGGGTCTCTTTGGCTACACTCGCGTGCAAAAGGCCAAAAGTTTGCGGATTTCTAGTACTTAGGAATTGCTATTAGCCTCATCCGGGGTGGATACAAACTGACGCAAACCAGCCATGAACCTGGAACAGATGAGTTTGTCAAGGTCCCTAAATGGATATCGACATGGCTTCCGGTATAGGCTGTTTAGACATACATAGAAGAATGTGCTGGCAGAGCTCTGGATGGTGGAGTGTTGACGGGCAAAGTCATTGGCACACAAATATTGACTGAGATTGAAAACAAGCCATTGAATTCTTGTGGTGGAAATATCCTATAGGTACAGCGTTCCAAGCTTGATTTCTCCCATAGGTAACAATAGCCCGGATTTTGAACTAACGAACCCTGTACCAGTTTGAACGCCAGCCTTATGAGCATATAGTTATAGCATCTAAATTAGTAACATCAACCTAAGATATCACTGATAGCAGCTGACCGCTAATTGGCTCTAGATCCTTATCGCGCTTGGGTCACGTTTCAGCACTCCAATTCCAGTCTTACCTTGCGTGAAACCTCAGTCGCTCGATGTCATGTCTCAAAATCACAGTGATCTGGTTTGATGACGTTCTCTTGCGCTGGTAAACCCTAGGCCGTAATATGTGCCTATATACGAAAGCTGGAACGTCTGACTACCTCCAATGGAAACAGCTTCGTCGCAGTATACTGGCGGTCGTCCACATAAGTCTCGCCGGAGTAGGCCATGCGATCTCTGCCGAGCACGAAAGGCTGCTTGTGTCATCGCAACCAAACCTCCATGTGAGTTGTGTCGCGTAAAAGGCCGACCGTGTACCTTTGTCAATGGGCCTGGCTCTCGGCGCCGGCCACTCCCACCATCTCAACCGTATAGCGATAATGAGGCCGTCCAACCAGAAAGCGAGGACTGCGGAATACAAAATCCAACGGATACAGGGTCCTTGTTGACGTTCTCATTTCCGGAATTCGGGCTTCCTGAGGGTTCTCATACACAGCAACAGCCGTCCCTTTTTGACACATCCATGGAGGACTTCTTGATTCCATTCGATTGCACCCAGCATATCCAACTCGGTGTTGAACACAGGAATCAACCTGAAGCGCCTCGAGAAACTAGTGAGATTATCACTCACTGCCTCCCCGAGCAATCTATGCCACATGTTCGAGCTACTGATTCACCAGTGTCAACTTCACGTCAACCGAGTCTCGATGAAGCAGCTCATCGCTCAAATACCATAACTCTAGACCAGCAAACCGGCAAGTCATATCGTTTTGTGGGTCCGTTAGGGGAACTAGACTCACATCTTATTGCACGGCGGAGATTCAACCAGGACCTCCAGTCTGTGTCTCCCTACACATCCATTTTGTATCAGCAGACACGTCCTACTGGGGCAGGTGACTCAGTATTCCAACCACCGCCTGTTTTCATCGTTGGAGAAACAAGTCGACTGGAAAGTTCGGAACCAAAGCTGGACTGTGGTTCACTGATTGAGCTTCGGCAAAAGTTCAATATTCTGGTCCGCCCTTCGTTTGCTCGGGAATCAATCCGAGTCTACTTCGAATTTATCCATCCGTCATTTCCTATCATCAGTCAAGAACAAATTCCGTCCACCGATGAGAAGGTTGAGAGCATTCCACTTTCATTTCTCGCCGCAATCTGTGCATCTAGCGTGTCTTTTCTTTTATACGATAACGCTTTGTCGCTAGAAGCCAGCGAGGCCCCGTCGGCAACACAACTGGTCCGTATATCCTGGACTGCTCTTCAGCTGGAATTGCCCGACGTTAGACTATGCACAGTGCAGACATGTTTACTTATTCTGCAATGCCAGTCACGGGAGGATTTCTTTGGCGAGACGCCTTTCAACTGGCAGCTCTGTGCGATGATGGTTTCCAACAGCCAAACGCTTGGTTTGAACCGTGATCCCACGAACTGGAGTGCAATCAAGCGGTGGGAAAGGAGATTGCGGAAGCATCTCTGGTGGGCAATACTTGTTACCGAGACATGGACAGCATTCGGTCAGGGGATGCCAACTCACATAAACATGGAGGACTGTGATGTTCCTCTACCGAACCGAGGCGAATTGATTGAACACGTCACCGGCACCGACTCTGAGCGAAGGGAAAAATTCACCGGCCAGTTTTATCATCTCATAACCCTCACTATGATTGTGCGTGATATCATGAGAACATTCTATACAGTACGTGCCATGAACCAAATGACGATGGACCTGCGACTGGCCCTTAACCTGGTGCGTCCACTGAGAGAACGGCTGATGAAATGGAACCAAGACCTTCCTCAGTTTCTACGGGTCGGGGCCGATGGCAACACAAACAGAGAGATTCCACTCGGAGGATGGGTCATGAGCGGTCTTGTTAGCAGTGGCTCGTTACGATTGGCTTATCTCACTGCACAGGTGTCTCTATTTCGAGTGTTGCTACGTCCTCTAGCCATGGCTGGCATTACGGCGCAGACACACCCGGAGCAACTTTCTCTTTGGGAGAATGACGGGGCAGCTGCAGTCATAGTGGGAGCTACGCAGTCGACGAGGGAGCTGGTCAGATTTGTTGAAACACTGACCAATGCTGATTGGGATAGTTTCTGGTATAGCTGTAAGACAACCTGTTTTGCATCAACCGCATTATCATAGGCTCTGGATCTCTCGGACGCAAAGGAAGAACTGACATGATCATTAGGGTCCAGACACAACTTTGCGGTTTTATCTACATTTTTAATGCACCTTCTGGTGTTGATTCAACCATTGCAGAGTAGTTCAGTGAGCGGTAACATACTCCCTCATGAGTCCCCTGATCATCCAGACATCAGGAGACCATCTACCGGCTCCTCCAGCGCTGGAGCCCCCTCGCCTAATGCAAATTATACTTTCATAAAAGAGTATACCGAGCTCCAAGGACTTACCAGGCGATGGAGATGGGCATTGCGACTTGCCGAGAGGGGTGCTGGCAGTCGCAAGGGGCTAATCAGTGCAAGCCTCAAGCGGATAGAGGCTTTGTTCAGAGAATGGCAGACTACAGAGGAGGGATAAATGTGAAGGACTGTCCTCCGGTGGTACAATTAAATTGGCTTACGATGAAACAAGGATCCTTAGCAGAGATTGTGAAATGCTCAATAAAGCTTTATTTCATTCGCTCTATCCTACTCACTCTTAACGAATGTTATCCCCCGCCCCTTCTTCTTCTTTTTACTAATTTATGTGTATTCTTCTTCCCTGAACACTATTCAGACACTCTCCCCTGCCAGCAAAGGCACTTCCTGAACCCCCGTTTGTTCAACTATGCGACCGTAATGTTCAACCCGGCGATGCTTCTCAAAGTTGAAAACACCCTCCTTATAGTATCGGCAATCCGCCAGATTAATCTGCGCGACAACAAGCTCATCATCAGAGGTCGTAGACTCAGCAATAACCCTGCCACTGGGCGCCACAATCATGGAGCTAGCAATCAGCAAGCCACCATCCTCGTAACCGGCCTTTGCGCAGTGGATGCTGAAACAAGCATTCTGATAGCTACCGGCCTGGCACGACAGTCGGTGATGAAACACCGCCAGCTCCTCCTGCTCCTTTTCCGTCCCTGGGCGCTGCGGCGCGTATCCACATGTGTTGTAGCCTTCCAAGACTAGCTCCACGCCCTGGAGACCGTAGCAGCGCCACGCTTCTGGCCAGCGGCGATCGTTGCAAAGCAGCATACCCAGTATGGGATCGCCCTGACCCTCAGTAGCAGATTGTGGAGTCGCGTCGCCATCCCGCGCCGTCAGCGTGCCATCGACTAGTCCCGGGACCCTGAAAGCCTGGAACCCCAGGTCGCCGGGCGCAAAGAACATTTTTTCCAATTGCTCAGCGTGGTCAGGCTTCCGGACGGGCTCCTTTGTTCCGGGGAGGTGGACTTTGCGGTACTTGGCCAGGACGGCATTGCTCTTTGCCGAATAGTAGATCATCGTGTTGTAGTCGGTGAGTTTGCCGTCCTTGTCAGACCAGCGCTCTCCGTAGCCGAAGGAAATGTCGATTCCGAGGTCTCTGGCACGGTGGAAGAGAGGCCGAGTATTGTCATTTTTCAGGAGCGCTGCTGGGTCTTCGGCTGACTCGGGTTCGAAATACTTGGCTACTTCACCGGGATCCTGAATGATATGCCGGGGGAAGAAAGTCGTCAGGGCAAGCTCGGGAAAGACGACCAGGCGGACTTCGGATTGTTTCGCTCGATCGAGGAGTTTTAACATGCGGTTTATGACTTGCGATCGCGGGGTGGCAAGCTGAATAGCACCAAGCTGCGCTGCAGCGACAGTAAGGGTTCTGGAGGACATCATTGTAGTTGCCGTACTCGGGGCTGGGTAATCGAACTGCAATGTTTGAAAAAAGAAAAGGAAAAGTGCCTATAGCAGAGTTTATTGGATATTAGGCTATGTCTACCTTTTATTCAACTCAACGATGAGGATGAGCGAGCTGGCCACCACCTCGTTAGCACCCCTACCTTAATCGGGCATTGAATTCCCAAATCACAACTCCAAAGAGGGGAAAGACACAGATCGGTCGCTGGAGATCGGGCCGTAAGTAAGCAGTTAGCGTGAGCTATCGGGTTGGCCGTGACTTGGCCGACGGCCAATGTTTCCGATAAGGTCGAGATTGTAGCCTATCAATATCAAAGTGGCCCATCCGTTGAGATACTGGAAGCAGTTCCATGGATGCAGAATCCCGAGGCTCATTTTTTCTTCATTAGAACTTGTTTTACACTGTTAGCTTGCTCTGCTTCGTGCTCGATGTTGTATTCGTTTTCCATTCAAGATTATCTGTCTCCAATCCTGTCGCTCAGCTGGTCCTACTTGTCGTCATGTTGGACATGATCATTAGAAACGGTCGCATTGTGAGCTCTATTGTTCCACCTACGTGAGATCTAATTGCTGAGCATTTATTTCAAGGTTACTGCTGCCGAGGTACTGCCATTCGGCACTGAGATTGGAGTTCGCGATGGAAAAATTGCGACTCTGGGTCTTAATCTAGAAGTAGGGGATGCCACTGAAGTTATAGACGCCGAGGGGGCCTATATTACGCCAGGGTAAGTTAAAGCAACTGTATCTCTGAACTTTCCGAACCTATCTTAACCGCGAAAATCTAGTGGTGTCGACTCGCACGTCCACATCGCGCAGGATAACGCACCCACCGGAGACACTTGGGAGACTGGAACAAGGTCGGCGATCGCAGGTGGAAACACGACCGTGATTGCATTCGCGACACAGAAACGCACCGAGGAGAGCCTTTGGCCCGCGCTGGAGGCGTACCATAAGAAGGCTACTGGGAACGCCTTCTGCGATTACGGATTCCACTTGATCGTCACGAATCCGAACGAGTCGGTACTAAATGAAGAACTGCCAGCGCTTGTAGATCGAGGCATCACAAGCATAAAACTGTACATGACATACCAGCCACTCAGGCTGGGCGATGGGGACCTTTTCAACCTGATGATGAGGGCTCGTCGACTAGGGATCACGACCATGATCCATTGTGAGAACAACGATATTATCGAGCAAATCACGAAGTAAGCGACAGCTCATAACCACACCACGTTCTTGGACAGACCGGTGACTGACAACGACAAGACGCCTTGCAGAACAAGGGAACCTAGACAGCTACTTCCACTCCGTCGCGCGACCCCAAATCGCAGAGAGCGAGGCAACATATCGCGCCATCAGTCTGGCGGAGATCACCGACACCCCGATTCTCATTGTGCACATGTCGGCCCCAGAAGCAGTGCGCCATGTCAACGAAGCCCAACGGAGACTCCTACCTATCCATGCCGAAACATGCCCCCATTATCTGTACCTGATCAGTGAGCACCTCATGTCGGGTCCTGATGACTTCGACGGAGCCCGCAACATCTGCGCCCCGCCTCTTCGCCATGATGCCAAAGACTTAGAGTACTTATGGAGGGGTCTAGCCAATGGGACATTCACTGTCGTCTCGTCTGATCACGCACCCAGTGCCTTCGACCATCCGTGCGGAAAAATGCGCGGACTCAGCACAGCAGATGGCGATGGAAAGCCTCGACGGGATTTTCGAAATGTACCCAATGGCGTGCCGGGCGTAGAGACAAGGCTTCCGCTATTGTTCAACAGGACAGTCGGCCACAAAAGCCATGGCAATGGAGATAGTTCAATCCATATCTCCTTACCTCGATTCGTGCAGCTTACCTCAACCAACCCGGCGAAGCTTTACGGGCTAGGAGACCGCAAGGGAAGTCTGCTCCCCGGATACGATGCCGACATTGTCATCTGGTACCCGGAAGAAGGTTATAATGCACCAGGATTGCCCGTTGTAAATGGGTCGACACCTAAGTGCATTAACGGGCAAGCAACGAACGGTGTCAAGGCTCACTCTGAGAAGCAAAGAACAAAGAGATTTACCATCACCAACGAAAGCCTTCATCATCGAATTGATTTTACACCGTTTGAGGGTATCAAGGTACGCAATTGGCCGCGATGGGTGTTTTTGCGCGGAAAGCTGGCCTGGGACCGCGATGGAGAAGGGGTAGTGGGCCGGAAGGGCGAAGGCCAATTCTTGAAGAGACAGCCTTCGACGACTCTGACAGGCCAAGCAGGACAGACAGCCATGGGTATGAAGTTGAATGAGTCGAAGTACTGGATGTAGAGATTCTAGAGATTTGTAGTTGAAATTACTATTGGAGCCATAAATAATTCTAATTATGTATAGAATTGTACCGTTCGACTTACTTCCCGGGCAAAATCGTCAAAGTTTCACCGGTTTCTTGTGAGAAGGAACATCCGCACAAGGAGCTTTCCCAATGGCAAATAACCTACCTAAAAGAGTGGCATATTCCAATTAGTCACGGTAAATGATGGTTGACTGTTCAGGCTCTCATGATATGGCCACTTGTATCCTAAAAGACTTACCTCTATTCATCTTACTCATTTTACTCATTTCCTCTACGACTGTTCTTACTATCATTACGACAGATCTCCCCATAGAGATTAACTAAGCGTAAATTCATGTTGAAATGTAACAAATCTGTCCATTCCCTGAAATTTAGCTTGTCTTATTTTCCGGTTTACACTGCAGCATGACCAAAGTTACAAGCCCTCAACAATCTCTCCATCAACCCTCGTCATTCCTTTCGGCAAGCCCATACCCGTCTTCTCAGAAGCCGTAAAATGCTTATGATGAGCTCGCCGCATCCGACGATTATAGTGCTCATAGGCAGTCATTCCCGTCTCATAGCCCTCGCGAAGAGGGGTTTGCGGAGTGATGAATTTCGGCAAAGGTGAAATAAGCTCGTCGTTATTCAGACCGAAGAAGAAAGGCAAGGAGTAGCGTTTCTGACCGGTCACGTTGCGCACTCGATGGACGGTGCTCAGGTAAACATCGTTGGTCAGTCGCGCCATCATGTCGCCAAGGTTGACTACGAATGTCTGTGGCTGGAGCTTAGGTTTTATCCAGTGGCCGGAGGCGTTGAGCACCTCGAGAGATTCGACATCGAAAGGGTCTTGGGCGATCATGGTCATGACTTCAACCGGTCATTTTTAGATCTACTGTTGGCCATGAGGAGAGGGGACTGGCTTACATTGTACATCTGTATGAGCACCAAGACCAGTCGACTCGTCATCGTCGACAGGCTGTGGGGGATAATAGAGACCCCTGATGCCGGCAACGGGGTAGGTGAATTTCTTGTTGAAGTAATCGTCGGGAATACCCATGGCCTTCGCCATCGCCACGGTAAGCTTTCGCATGAGAGATAGACACGCAGCACGATATTCGCGCATACTGGGCTTAAATAAGGGCGAATCCGCATCATCCGGCCACAGGTTGTGGCGGAGGAGGATCTCGGGCTGATAACCTGCACCCTCGGGGTCTAGGTCAGGCTCGTAGCCCGTCGTCATGGACTCTCTAAGATCTACAAACACGCATTATCAGTGGATCAATCATGAATTATCATGCCGGGTGGTGTACTAACCGCCCTTCTTCAATCGATCAACATTCGTATAGTAGGGCTCTTCGTAACCCATGTAAGATGGGGACAGCGATTGGTGCACCTTCTTCTTCGTATCCATTGGAAGAGCAAAGAATTCCTTCAAACCAGCAAAAGCAGACTCCACAATGGACCATTCAATACCATGGTTTTGAATGACAAAAAAGCCCACTCGAGTGCAGGCATCCCGCAGCTCGGCAACTAGTCGGTCCATGTCTTTGGGGTTGGGGTCCACGACTGTCAAAGGTGTCAAGTCGATTACAGGGATCTCATTGAAATTGCCGCTCACGCCGTTAGGATCAAGAGTCCGCTCTAAGCCTTGTGAAAGCACGAGTTTGCCTTCGATGACGCCAGCGATACCCTCCATTGGAGGCTCGACGGGGGTTGGGGCAATAGCAGTAGGCATATCGAATAGCAGAAACTGTTTGTTGGTCTTGGAGAATCAGTAGGTGCGCAAGGAGTCAAATATGTTCACTAAAGTAGGGTGTAACTTGGTGTCACCTGATGACCAATATTCTAGTGGTGGACTGTCAGAATGACTGCAAAAGTGTTGATCAAGAGATCTTGACCGACTTTGGGGCTTGTCGGCCAACGTTATCTTCGGGCCGCTAAATTAACTTCTCCCTATCATGTCCCGATAAGGTGGAGAGTCGAACATGGCGGGGTAAAGCAATAAAACGTTTTAATAATGGTAGCTCAGGGACCAATTAAATATCTCCAATCTGGCGGACTTCAATCCGTGAACTCCAAATCGCTCACCATGGATCTTCCATCAGTCCAAGGAAGCTCCACCCAGCAAGTCAACATTCTTCTCATCAACCCAAACTCAACGGAATCTATGACCGAGTCATGCCTCAGAAGCATTGAGTCTACATTGCCACCCCATGTCTCGGTCTACGGATTCACATGTCCCAAGACAGGCCCCAGCGCTATCGAGGGCAACGTCGACGCCACCATCTCTGCCGCCGACAGTTTTCGAGCTTTGGCCTCGTTGCTGAGAAAGTTGACGACACCCAAAATCGACGCCTTCCTTGTGGCGTGCTTCTCGGCCCATCCTCTGATTGGCATGCTGCGCGAGGAATACCCCCAGCCCGCCATTGGGATCATGGAGGCGGCGCTCTACGCGAGCCGAATGTGCGGCGATCAGTTGGGAATCGTAACTACCAGCGAGCGATCCAGCATGCGCCATTCTCGAGCAACGTTTGACCTGGGACTGGGAAACAACTTTGTCGGCTGTGAGACAGGCAACGCGTCGGTTCTCGAACTCGAGTCAGCACCTAAAGGCTTTGTGCATGCGGGCCTCGCGACGGCGGCGCGAAAGCTCGTGGATCGGGGCGCCGACTGCGTTTGTCTGGGCTGTGCGGGTATGACGGGCTTGCATGAAGCATGTCGGCAGGCGGTTCTCATGGACGACGGCCAAGTCATGGTTGTCGACGGCGTTGCAGTCGGCGTGCACTTCCTGCTGGGCCTTGTCCGCGTGGGTCTCCGGACGACGAAATCGGGGGTTTATCGCCCCGCTTTTCCTGCGCGAGAGCGAAGGGGCCAGGATTGGCTTTAGTTGGTTTTTCTATATCCATTACTCCGTACTAGCGGTCGGAATAGAAATAGCTTAAGAGATTGCTGTTGTTTCTTATCTTAAGGCACACGATTATCAATAGTGCGGGAATATATTTTTACAATGCTCGCTGGCCTAACAACATATAAGTCAGTTTTAGCCTAAAACAGAACGTAGTAATGAAAATCGTCAAGTAAACTGTCCTAATTTCTCTCTAATCCTTTTGTTACAGAGCTATTTGGAAACTATGTCCACGTCAAGCATATTGGTCGTGGGCTTTGGTGGGATAGGAGCGATCACGGCCTACAATCTGGAAGCCGGTGGACTGGCAACCGTCACAGCTGTCCTCCGGTCAAACTACACTATAGTCCGTGAACAAGGAATTAAAATTGACTCCGTTGATTACGGCAGTATTATCTCGTGGAGACCAACACACAGTGAGTTGTGGCTCAGAGCCATTCGCCGAACATACGCCTGCTTATATTCACAGTCTCCAGTCAGGTTTCAGCGTTGAATGACAGCGATTGCCCCAGTCGATTCGATTTCATCGTCGTTTGTACCAAGAATACGCCCGATATTCCTCCTACTGTGGCCGACATCATTGCACCGGCTGTTACTCCGGGCCACACGGCTATTGTGCTGATCCAAAATGGCATAAATGTCGAGAAGCCCATAATCGCCCATTTCCCATCTAACGTCGTTATCTCTGGGGTTTCCCGCATGAGTGTACTTGAACCGAGTCGCGGAGTTGTTCATCAACCAGGCCACGACCACCTGATAGTTGGGGCGTTCAGGAATCATGACCTACCCATTGAGGAGGAGCGCGCTGCTGCAATCAAATTCTGCAGTCTTTATCAGGCATCTGGGAAAGCGACTGTCGAATACGAGGAGGATGTGGCATTTATTCGGTGGCGAAAGCTGGTCTATAACGTGTCATTCAATTCGCTCTGCGCAATCACAGGAATGGATTGCTCGAGCATTAAGGTTGCAAGGTCACCCATCACCGAGCTCATATTACCCGTGATGCTCGAAATCAAGAGTATTGCTCGCGCGGCGGGAGTAAAGCTGGCGCCCGATCAGGAGGAGATTTCGCTGGCAGCTGATCCCCTAGACCGGCACTTCAAACCGAGCATGCAACAGGACATTGAAAAGGTAAATTTCTCGGCTTCCACTAGTTCTACTACCATTCTGTGCGGTCTAACCATGGTGGTGATGTACGACTAGGGGAATTTCATGGAGATTGAAACCATTGTTGGGGAGCCAGTCCGTGAGGCACAAAGATTAGGCGTGCCAGCTCCGACCTTGACCACCATCTACGCCTTGCTGAGAGCTCTTCAGGAGAGGATAAAACAGCAAAAGCGAATGGGGGATATACCGCGATCGTGAGAATGTTCGGATGAATCTGCGCCTAAGATACATACTAGCATGTAATTCAATCCGAATCTCTTGTTAGATAGAAATAATTACAATAAACCTAAAGTCGCATCTTTCTGGCGATTGATCCTTCACCATATCGCAACATGAATGGTCCCAAGGGTAGAGGTACGGTTCTCGATTGGGTACCACCTCCCTTATCAGATCCGGCCGGCTTCGGGCCGCCGCCTATCGGTGCTTGCCGCTATCAATGCCGACGGCAGGCGCTCAAGGCTAAACCGACCGTCCCAATGGGTGCCCCTGGTTAATACACCCAACCAATCCTCCTGGGAAAGAAATTAGGACACAAGGAAAAAGGAAAAAGCGATTTCCCACTGTTATCGGCTTACACCAGTCTTTGCAATTATTTCAATCGTCTATCAGTTCACAGATCAAAGACCGGTATCATGAGCGTACCCGCAGCATTATATACCAATGGCATCATTATCACCGTGGACGAGAAACGGCGCGTCATTCGCAATGGTTTTATCGCGGTCAATGAGAACCGGATCACTGCTATAGATCCCATGAGCAAGTTAGACAAAGTTCCCGTGACGCCAGATACGAAGATAGTCGATCTCCAGCGTGGGATCGTCATCCCTGGCCTTGTGAACGGCCACGTCCATGTCATTCAATCGATCATGCGAGGACTATGCGAGGACCTCAACCTGCACGAGTGGGCATCCTGCGCGATTTGGCCAATGGAAGTGAACCTCCAGGAAAACGACGGCTACGTCGCTGCAAAGCTCGCCATGGCCGAGATGATCAAGACTGGTACCACTTGTTTCCTCGAGCCTATGCTTCCCGCGTCGGCAGGCTTCGACGGGGTCTGTCGTGCGGTGAAGGAGACTGGAATTCGTGCATGCTTGGTAAGTCACGAAATTGGAGAACAGATGCAGTGATTCTGACTATGATAAAAAGGGAAAACTAGTCAAAGGACCTCGGTCGGATCCTAGTGCCGGAATTCCCGACGCCCGCGATGCCCAAGCCAGCCTGATGTCCATTGATAGCGTCCTATCCGCTCATCGTGAATACCATGGGTCGTGCAATGATCGGTTGCATGTATGGGTTGCCACTGAAACGCCAAGGGGAGCCGACGAAGCAGGTTTTGCAGCCACTGGCAAGGCGGCCAAAGACCATGATATCCGTCTCACCATGCACTTATCGGAGTCAGCCAAGGACTATGACATGATCCAAAAGAGCTACTCAGCGACACCGGGCAAGTTCACTCGCAATGTACACGCAGCCGGTCCGCACGTAATGTTGGGTCATATGGTCCATCTTGACTCTGCGGTGGACATGGATATCTTGCGCGCAGACGGCACGCACATCGCACATAACCCGACAAGCAATGCCAAACTGGGTGACGGGATTGCTCCGATCCCCGAGCTTCTCGACCATGGTGTAAATGTATGCCTTGGGAGCGACGGTGGCCCCTGCAATAATCAACATGACCTTTTCCGAGACATGCATCTTGCGGGCATTATTCACAAGGCAAGGCTACAAGATGCTCATGTTATGCCGGCAGAGCTAGTTATTGAGATGGCAACAATTAATGGAGCCAAGGCGCTTGGCTTGGAGAAAGAGATAGGAAGCTTGGAGGCAGGCAAGAAAGCTGATTTTGTTGTTTTGAATGCTAATGGTCTAGGTGCAGCGCCGTTCAATGAGGCGCTGCTCGGAGAAGGGGGCATTCATCCAGCGACAATCATAGTGCACTCTTGTACAGGACGCGATGTTGAGATGGTTGTGCTTGATGGCCGTGAAGTTGTACGGGATGGTGCTCTGGTAGCAATTGACGAGGAGCAGTTAAAGGTTAAAACTCGCGAAACAATTGCCAGGCTGCAACAGAGATCGGGGGTTAAGGCGCAGCCTCAAAAAAGAAACTGGAGTTATGTGTGACGAATATATTCACTCTACTTATATCTCTATGTTATCTTTTATCTCCCAATTCCTCCTATCTCCTCTTGTTTTTCCTTTTTTGATGCTCTGGTAACTAGGTGCCACTAAGTCCAGTTACGCCTTTGTATCCCAATTCTAAGTTCAATGAATCACTACTTCCCAAAAAAACACCAAAAGCAAAAATACAAAAAATGACTTCGGAATGGAGAGGTGGGGAATCGAACCCCAGACCTTTCGCATGCTAAGCGAACGTTATACCACTAAACCACATCCCCGAAGACGATAAAACGGTCTCCACATTGCGGAAGACTTCAATTCTTATCAACACGGAACTCGCTATCTTGCGGAGGTGGCTTCAAAACGACGAGCTTGACTTCAAAGACGAGGGACAAATCAACCAACAGCGATCTTTCGGTTGAGTTGTCTTTCCTGGACCGCATGAACATAGTCAATCGAGGTTTTCGTGGCCTTCTTGATCACTGGAACAAATAGCGAGAATCTACAGTCTCACTCCTTGTGAGTCATGATAAACCGAAAGTCCAAGCCGCTATCATAGTTTGCATAGCGTGAATCACGGATCAAATTACGGCCAGGGCATATCATATCAATTCGGGCGGCCAAAGGGGGAATTACAGGGGTTTTGCTTATCTCAGGTCGTGTGTGGCAAAGCTAGAGTTAAATCTCATGTCATCTCATCCGCTCTCCCCTTAGCTTCGGCTTTCTATATATTTCTTTCTGGGTCTCGTTTTTAAACGCAAACTGCAGTCGGGTAACAGATATATTTTTCTTTTATTTTTCCAACAACACAACCAAGCGCCAAATGTCTACCACTACAAGATCCGACTCTGTGCCAAGCACAACCAATGCTTCCAGTGGAAAAATAGTCCTATCCCAGGGTATCACCCGCGAGCTTTCCACCTCAAACGCTGGAAACTTCACCAGTATACCTGTTATTGACCTACGGCCTCTTACCTCTCCAACAGCCACAGCCACAGAAAAAAAACGCATGGTCAGCGAGATCCGAGACGCCTGTATCAAGGTGGGCTTTTTCGTTATAAAGAACCACGGAATCGACTGGAACATTGTTGATGCTGCATTTGATGCCCTTGAGGAATTCTTCGGTCTTCCGCTGGAAAACAAAATGAAGATTCACCAGTCTACTTCGCCGTCCTACATGGGCTATGAAGAGCCCTACTACACAAATATCGATGGACTTTCTAAAGGAGGTATTAATATTTCCCAGCACTCTTGCCAATTTCTTCTTACAAGTTCATCAATTGATATTTCCTTTACTATGTAGATTCGAAGGAATCCGTGTACATCAGCTACGATCCATATCTTGATCCTCTCGGAGTGGGCGACGCGATGCCTAAGATCCTCAAGCGGGACAATCTCTGGCCAGACCCACAGGATGCTCCGAAGTTTCGACCTGCGATCGAGGCATACCGTGCATCGTGCTTGGATCTGATGAGGAAGATGATCCGTGTCCTCGCTCTAGCCATGGGTGAAGAGGAGACCTTCTTCGACAAAAAGACAACATACCCCATTGCGACGATCCGCGCGATTCACTACCCTCCCCAGGAGGGATCAGCCCAGGAAGAAATCGGACTCGGTGCCCACACTGACATCCAAAGTACGTTTATTTGCTGCAGACCTGTGGATAACTCTCTACAGCATCTGCTAACACACCACCTGCACTACAGTGATGACAATGATTGCCCAAAGGCCTTACTATGCCGAGTCTCTCGAAGTCCTGAACGCTGCCGGACAATGGGTCAAGCCCAAGCTGGAGCCTGAAACATTTGTAGTCAATCTGGGCGATATGGTTGGTCGACTCACCAATGATGTGTTCCAGAGCACCGTCCACAGAGTCTGCAATACAGCGCCAGAAGGAAAGGTTTCGCAAAACAGATATTCTATGCCCTTCTTTTTCGGTATGAATAATGACGAGCTTGTCACTACGCTGCCACAGTTTGCGACGGAGGAGAACCCGCTCAACGAACAGTACCTGCATGGTATGACTGGTTATGAGCACTACAATCGACGATTGCAGCGGGCGCACCACAAGCATCCGAGCGCAATCAACAGTGCATCGACGGCTCTGCCACCAGGCATGACGAAAGTGAATGGTATTCTTGTTAGTGACATGTGATGGTAGCATCTCAATGTTTCTGGAGATAGGCCTGTGGTTTAGCTAGGAAATTTTACGCTCTGACAGAATTTTTCGATTTTCCCACATTCTCATCGTAGAGAGATTTTTTCCCGACCGGACTAAATTTGTGAGCCTGGTAAATGGCCTTGAAAGCATGATGCGAGCACACTAGCTATTGCGACATTTCTAGAAACGACAATAACCAAGAATTTCAGCCGTCGATACCTCCGCTATTCTTGGAATATATTCGGAATCAAAAGCGGCCCGTTTCAACGCATGTCGGCGAAGATTTTGCCGAAGGTCCTTATCGAGCCCCATCAGATCTGGCCTAGAACCACAAATCCTCGCCGTAAACCGGCATATCTCCCTGAGGTCCACATAGTTTGGCGGCGAGATAACGGCAATCGCTCTATCGTTTGGCTTAATTTCGCCATCTGGCACCCGTTTGTTGGCCCCACTGGAGAGTCTTATCGCTTCGCTACTGCTCTCCAGGCTTGCTTCTGGGATCCCCAGTCAGTATCATCGCCAATGTTGTTGACTTTGAAACCTCTTTAGGAAAATGGCGATCTATCACTGTGGGGTCATATGAGAATCCCTGGAGGCAATGCTTTCGTGAGCATGGGAACCATGATCAAGCCCTAAAAATATACCCGACCAGGTTTTATTGCTGCCATTCGCAAATCTCGAAGACCATCATTGACAAACGATTCGTCTCGATTAGCTGTCGTCATGACTTTCTTAGGAAAGCTTCGTGAAGTGGTCTGGGGAAAGCCAGCCCCAACCAAGCAGGAGAGGAAGCTAGTCTTCAAACTTGACTGCATCATTATGCCTTTCATCTGCTTGATGTATTGGGTGAACTATCTCGACCGATCGAATCTCACCAACGCCTACGTCTCCGGTCTGAAAGAAGATCTAAAGATGTACGGAACCGAATACAACCAAATAAATTCCGTCTTCTACGTTGGATACACTGTCAGTCAGATCCCGAACAACATAATCTTGCAGAAGGTATCGCCACAGGTGTATCTCACCATATCCATGATCTGCTGGAGCTTCCTCACCCTCGGTCTCGCGTTCGTCAATGGCTGGCACCAGATCATGGGGATTCGGTTCTGCTTGGGCATCTTCGAGTCTGCCACCTTTGTTGGCTCGCATTATATTATGGGCAGTTGGTACAATCAGCAAGAAATCGGCAAGAGAACGGCTGTGTTTGCGGCTTCCGGAGTGGCTGGAAATATGTTCTCCGGTTTCCTGCAGGGTGCGATTTACAAGAACATGAGTAGGTCATTCCGCCCACTTTTAGTATCATCAATTCTGTTGGGCTAACTAGTTGTACAGATGGATTGGATGGGAGAGCGGGCTGGCGCTGGATGTTTATCATCGACTTCTTAATCACCATTCCCGTTGCTTGTCTAGGGTGAGTAGACCTTCACCATAATAATGGGAATGACAAAGGAATGGACGAAAAACTATAGCTAACCTGTAACAACCAGATACTTTGTCTTCCCCGGGCATCCAGAAACGACAAAGTCGAAGTTCCTGACTCCAGAAGAAAAGTCACTGGCTACCGAACGACTTCCCGAGCCACTCATCAGGCGTGGAGCCCTGGGATGGAGCCTGGTTCGTCGAGTGATCTTGAGCTGGGAAATATACGCCCTATCCCTTCTTGCCGTTCTAGCCGGTGACACGGAAATGTGGGCTGACAATGGGATCCTCAACATTTATCTCAAATACCTCGGGACCTACAGTGTTGAGCTCGTGAACTATATCCCCACGGCTGTTTATGCAATCGCTCTGGTATCAATCCTGCTTTGCAGCTGGTATGCCGACTATTTCCAGAAGGCCGGAGGCCGATGGCATGTTGGCGTGTTCCTGTCCGTCACAGCGATTATATCTGGCGCCATCATGCTCAAGCCTCCCAGTATTGGCGCCAAACTGTTTGCTTTGTTTCTCAATGGAATTCAACTTGGCTACCGCGGTGTCCTGTTTGCCTGGGCTAATGATCTCATGCGCAAGGATGATGCCAAGCGAGGAATTGTCATCGGCATGATGAACGCGATGAGTGAGTCTTCTGCCTTCCCCCCCGGTGTCCGCGATGACAATACTAACCGTGTTTTCCAAAAGCTATTGCATTCTACATTTTCTGGACTTTACTTTTCTACAACACCGATCAATCCCCTATGTGGTACGAGGGTAGTATTGCTTTGATTGTCACCGGTGTGTGCATGATCTTCAGTGTTGGGAGCGTGGTCTTCTTTGAGAGACGGGAGGCAAAGAACACAGTTGTCGTACTCGAAGGAGAAAGCACTACCGTGGGTTCGGATCAAGACAATGTCGTGGTTCATAAAGCGGTAGACAAGAGGGACAATAGTGTGTAAGGTGAATGGAGTTTTGTCTATCTCGATAATTGAAGTCTCTTGGCATGGGATATACACGTGATATGGTTATTTTCGACTTAACAATTTAGTAACTGGATTTATTCATGAAAAGGGGAGCTCCATCTAGACGCATCTACAAGTTTCTTTTCCGTCCTATTGCATTTATGAACCATAGAGTTCCAGTACGATGCAAATTCGTTTTCTTTGCAATTGTTTCTTTTCTTTTTCTTTTTCTTTTTCTTTTTCTTTTTCTTTTTCTTTTTCTTTTTCTTTTTCTTTTTCTTTTTCTTTTTCTTTTTCTTTTTCTTTTTCTTTTTCTTTTTTCTTTTTTTTTTTGTTTCTTCTTCATTTTTCTTTTGGAAGTCTTATATGATCTCTTTGGTAAAGGGTCTCTAAATGGCATATTATCTCAGTACAGGAAGGGATTATGTTAAATGGGCAGGCAGTAGCAATGCCGAGTTAGAAATAATGAAAATGGTCTGTACAATACGGCGTTGATGTTCTGATTTTCATCTAAAAAGATTCTTCTACACCCTTATCAAAGTTAGATCCTGGCTCAGCTAGCAGTAACACAAGATCCTTGGGCCTTCCGATGTTCTTCAAGACGGTCTTTGAGGCTGGGATAGAGCTCAGCGGTTGAATCCAAGTTTTGGGCTGGCCTCAACTTCATAGCTTTGCTTTTACTTTATCCTCTAAGAGATCCACTGCATGTTTTGCAGTCCCCCTAAATTTTAGTATTAGCGAAGAATTGCGCTCAATCGGCAGACAACCTACCAAGAGGACTGATACCCAGTTCCACCTGCTCCATAATTGTGGATTACAAGATGCCCATTGATCATCTCCGGCTCAAGCCGTATACCTCCCTTTCTGCTTGCTATGAGACTATCAGCGACACTCATCCTGCGGGATGCCCGGACCAAAATCCTAACTTACGTCGTAGGCCAACTGCATGGTATACTACCTTCAGGTCCTTTGGTTTGCCAAGCTCTGGAGCCAGCGCACAACATCTTTTCTTGATGCCTTCGGCGAGCTGGGGATCGGGCTCAGCATTCCAGTTGTTGTCCATTCGGCATCCACCCAATATAACACCTCCAGTTGGGTAGCGTGGAAAGACATAGGTTGTGTCGTTGTCAACTCGATGAGGCGAACGGAAGTACATTTGCTTCATTGGAGCTTTCGGTGTCTCGACAAGCATCACTTGGCCCTTTAACAAGATTAGATTGGTACTGATTATCATCAGGTCATGAAAACTGACCCTTGTGGGATAGAGGCTTTTGTCTTCTACCCCCTTCAATGAGTATGACCCCAGGCCTGTACAATTGAAATAAGCATCTGCGGGTATGTCACCAAACAGATCCGTGATGTCATCGAACCAAGCCCTGCGCATTTCAATTCCGGCTTTTAAACACTCTGTGTTCAGCCTATCGATTTATGTAAGCACGGATATTCCAGAAAAAGACTTGATCTCTACCACAAAGCTCAGAAATAAACCCACCACGCCAGATACCCCTGTGTATTCACCATAAAGGTAGAAAACAACACACCAAAGACACCACCCTCCGGCAATTCTGCCTTTGGGATATTGCGAATACCACCCACCAACTCATCATACCAAATTCTACCAGTCCCACGGCTAAGAACCCCAGCGTCCTCAGGCTGTCGATCAAACACCGCACGGAGATCCATGCGCGTGATCGCAGCCTCCGGCACGTTATCGGCTAGTTCTCCAAAGCGACGATAAGTCTCTGCGTCCCATTCTTCTTGGATTCCGTTATCCGTTGCGGTGGTCATCCAGTTGGCACCGGCCCACGGAGAACAGTAGTCGGGGCTTCGGTCTCCCGGGAAATGCTTCGCTGCAATCGTTACCTGCGCTGTAGGTATTCGGCGTTTTATCTCCAGAGCGGTGGTGAGGCCGACCACACCGGCTCCAAGGACCACGTAGTGCTGCTGCATAGTGTTGGTAGGGAAAATTCCACCTCAATGCATTACAGATGCTTCTGGCTCGGTTTGTGAGGGTGTTTTAAGAGGCTATGGGGCGTATCCACACCTTGCAAGTTGACGATGAGCCGTCCCCATCTTTTTGCCGCTGGCCGTCGCCGCCGTTGCTTATCTGTGGATCGCCGCTACTAACGGCCATGAATATGATTGGGAAAAAAAAAACCGGACTGACATGTGGGTGCTCAACCAAATTCCTCTCTTTCTAAACCTCGCCTGGTGTTGTACTTTATGAAGTTGATTTTATATCTCGGGACACACTGGAAGTGGCCTGTTGGGTATTGTTGTTTGAGCTAGCTTTAGACCACACATATATCGTAGGTCAAGACGTCTCTGAATATTCTAGCTCATGTAATAAGCGTGTATATGAACATCAAAAAAAAAGAAGGAAAAGAAAGATCCAGTAATTCTCAGAATTTTAGCATAAAGTAAGTCTTTGCGATTATCCGAAAAAATGACCTTGGCCTTTTCAGAATATTGTGGATTCATTCACTCATTATCAGTGACCGAGAAGGAGAATTACGAACCAAATAACGGCATGCGCACAGAAAGACTAGTTGAATTCATTTGCGCAGTCAGTTCAGTTCAACTTTACTAGAAACAAACGTATGTTCCACCAGCAGCTCCAAACTCCATCGACCCCAGTTCTCTCCCACAAAACACAAAAAGACCCTGTCAACACGTTCCCACGTCCAAAATCATACAAGATCGGCAAAGGCACAGCGAAGCCAAGCACCCAACCACGCTAGACATCGGAGAAAAACACCAAATTGCGGGGGACCGGGGATCGGAGGGAGGATGGCGCGAGAATGCTCCCATATGCCCGAACAGCAATTAATCCCCTAGATCCAGTCGCGAGCACTAGCGACTCTGCATCACCCATTCACCAACCGAATAATCACATAACTCCTGGCGCCAACGACACCAAGCCGCCCGAACGGAGAAATTCATTAAACTGGCGATGATGTAACCCCGCAGTTTCGGGATACAATCGGCCGATGCGCGGCTTGGCTGAGGTCGTCTCGGGGGTTATAAATTGCGAATGCAGGGGCCTGCGGACAGGGAAGGGATTTTTTGTTTTTTGTCGCGAAAAGAAGCTGAGAGTTCGACTGTTTGCAGCCAATATGTTGGTCTCTTCCCTTCTCGGTCTGTCTCTGGCCGTTGTCGCGCAGAGCAAGTACATTGTTCCTGGGGCGCGATGGCGCGATACAGATGGCGAATTGGTCAATGCGCATGCGGGCGGCGTTGTTTTCGACGACAAAACGGAGAAGTTCTGGTGGTTTGGAGAGTATAAGATTGAGGGACAAGAGGAGGGTGGTGGAGTGTCGGTTTATAGTTCGGACGATTTGGCGACGTGGAAGGCTCACGGACTTGCTTTGGGTAGGGATTGTCTATTCCCCATACTATCATTTGTCAAGCTGTCAATTGAAGATTATTACTAACAGACATGCAAAGAACCCATCGAAGGACATGATTACATCTCCAAGGAGCACATCATCCAGCGACCCAAGGTGGTCTACAGCGAGGAGGCAGACCAGTACCATGTGCGCCAATCCCACCCAAAAGAATCCAGGACCAGCTAACAGTATCAGATGTGGTGGCACGCCGACAATTCCTCCTACGGCTGGCTTCTGCAAGGCCTCGCGACATCGAACAACGTCTCCGGCCCCTACAGCTTCGTCGACGCGACCGCACCGCTCGGGAACTGGTCGCAGGACTTCGGGATGTTCACCGACTACAAAGACCACAAGACTTATGCGCTGTACTCGAACGGCGATCGCAAGGAAGGACGCGATGTGTATCTTACCCGGTATAATGACAACATCACGGCCCTGGACGAGGTGGTGCATCGGTTTGACAAGTACGATCTGGAGGCGCCGACGATCATTCAGACGGATCGGAGTTATTGGGCGCTCATGAGTCATAAGACGGGGTACCGGCCTAATAGTAAGTCATGGTGATCTTGTCAGATTTGGATTCAATTGACAAGTTCGACAGATGTCGTTGGTTTCAGAGCGGATTTGTTGAGTGGACCCTGGTCGCAGCCCTTTATCGTGACGCCGTTGAACACGCGCTCGTTCAACTCGCAGTCTGGAAACTCCTTGAGGATCAAGGGCTCCAAGAAGACCACTTACTTGTATCTCGGTGATCAGGTATGGACAGTCCTGCAATCACATTCTATTGTTACTGCGCTGACAGAATTAGTGGGACTCGAACTCCCTCTGGGAGAGCAGATACATCTGGCTTCCGGTCGAGATTGACGAGAAGAAGAACAGCCTCGAAGTAGTATGGCACGATGTTTACGATCTCAACGTGTAAGTCACTCTTCGTCGCATCCCAACAGCAAGGCAGTAGCTCTAACTCTTCAGAAAAACGGGCGAATGGAAACCTATCAAAGGAAAGACGTATTCCGCAAAGAAAGCCAAGACCAACGGGGATGCCTTCAAACAGGAAGCTGTACGTCCCCCAACACCTCCCACCAAGCTCAGACTCAACTAACCATCCAGAACTTCGCCACCGATGGTGTAATCCTCACCGGAATCTACGGCAACGACAGCACTGTGACCTTCGAAGGCATTGAAGGAACCGGCAAGCCCCAATGGGTCTCATTCTACTACCAAAGTAAGCACGCACTCTAAACATGAACCTTCCTATCTAACACAACCAACCCAGACACCGACGACATGGGTTTCGGCGACCAACGTAAGTCCTTTCTCCTCCCGTATTCAAAGCCAATCGCAATCTAACCACTTCAAACTACAGCGGGAGGAAGCCCCGACCGCATCGGAGGCTCGTGGCAACTCCGCCGGATCAGCAGCGTCGTAGTGAACGGAAAGACCGAGAACGTGGAGACGCTATACCAGCGCGATACGCACAAGGGAATCATTCTCTCCACTCCGCTGCAGCTGACGCTGCAAAAGGGAAAGAAGAACACGATCACCGTGGGGGGCCTGTATAACGGATTCGACTATAAGGGGGCGGATCTGGATCGGATTGTGGTGTATCCACCTGAGTAGGGTAGATCGGTGAAGGAAATGGACTGAAAGAACGTCATGTCAAGTTGACATGTCACATTTTATGAGCGATAAGGTTCTTGAGGCCATTTCGAATACAAAGTTAAATCTTCCGAGGTCTTGGGTAGGACAAATGTACCTGAAATTTCGACCTGGGCTGGTCTAAAAGGAGGAGCTGAATAAATTCGACAAAGGAATGGAGGATCATTCCAAATCGACCATGCAGCGTTACATCGCCGCCCACATGGACTTTTGCCAATAGCGGAATCCTTTGTGACAGGGATTTGAGTGGGTGTCTTATAGTTCATCCTCGACGCCACTAGCCAGCCAGCCAAGCCGCGAGATCCGATAGTTCGGATTCATTTGAATGAGCAAACAAAAGGCCAAAAGTATGCAATTCATAGGAAGTTCGATCTATCAGCCCGATTAATTGATTAGAATTATTTTGTAATCTAAGTATCTTCCCAAAATTCAGAGTCCATAGCCACCGTCCAACGCCAACCCAATTTCTCTAAGATTGAAAAACAACCCACAAATAAGTCCAGAAACTAAAAGGAAATCAGTGACCAAAATCCACATGAAACCCTGTATCCATCCTCTTTCCCTCCTCCGAGTCCCGATCCGTAACCTCCATCCTAATATCCGTTTTCATAACGATGCCGTTCTCCGGTGCCGAGCCAGGGACAATCGCGTCCTGGCTCCCGCCACGGTCGGTCTCGAGTCGTCGGTGCCGACTCATCCTGTACATAGTGCTCATGCGATTCGAGTATCCCTGTCCCGGCGTGTGCTTTTGGCTGTCGTATTTCTGGGCGTTAGAGGTGCCGAGCACCCGGGGCGCGTAGGTCTTAATGATCACTTGGAGGGCCGGGGCGGAGCCGCAGAATATTGCTTGTGTACAGTGTTAGATGATGGGAGTAGTACATTATGGAAGGGAGACTTACCGACGTAGCATTCAATACTGCACCAGTTGAGCGAGTCGGCGAGGTAGTAGTACTGGTCTTTGTTGTGGGCGAGCTTTTTGACAAAGTCGTAGCGTACGCAGCCCGCTGGGTCTAGTTAGATCGTGTCTTCAAACACGCCAGTAGTATATATTGTGAGATGGCGTACCTGCGATCGAGAGAATTCCTAGACCGAAGATACCGAAGAGCGCACCCTTCCTACGCTACTCGATGTTAGCATGTTGCTTTCATTCAGGCGATCTTGAGACACGCACGTTCGATATCTTGACGCTCCATAGAGTCGGCATCGGGACTATATAAATGAAAATGTCCAGGATGATATTTAGGATCCCATTCGCCTCGTAGAAAATTTGCTGTGCGTCGGGATTCATGCATTTGCCCGGCGCGGTTCCTTCCAGGTCCCAGAATTTCGAAACAGGGACGCACGAGACGATAACGACGATAATACTGGAGACCGAGAGACCGACGTTGATGAAAATCAGAGTATAAACAGACCATCGCATGAGGGGACGCTGATCGAGGCGCAGGTAGAACCATAGTAGGGAGAGTCGAACGAATAGGAGACCGGCGATGTAGACAATGCGAGTAGCCCAAACAGCCTAAGGGGGTTTATTAGGTGATTAGATAGAGTGCGGCGAGAAATTAAATACCTTGAGCATCGGGGTAAAGTCACTTTCTGAAATATCGTCGACTAGAAGGTGTTAGTTGGTGGAAGGCTTCATGGTCGTGCGACATACTGTGTCTGCCAACTCCATAGTAGGCCGCTGAAAGAGTCAGTCTAAGTTCCTTAAAGATGATTGTAGACGCTCACCAATTATGGACGATATGGATAGTCCGAATGTCAGAATCTTTGCTTTCCGTCAGTCAAGGCTAAAACGTGCTTGCCAGAAGTACGGACCGTTCCAATGACCATGAATACTATTCTATGTCAGTCCAGTCCTTCAAATGAATACAGGAAGGCATACCATCATCCGCACCCATCGCACGCAGAATCACCGCACGAGCATACACCCGCAGAGCGATCACTACCGTAATAAACGCCATAAATCCAATCCCCACCCCAAAGACCGTAGCCTGTCTTGACCCGGAGTCAATCCCCCGAGCATAGAGAGCGTGCGAGTCCATAATGAAAAAGCGATCGAATGAGCGAGAGAGCCGACGATCCAGTTCAAGGAAAAGCGCAAGGCGATCCCACCGTACATATAACCCCCATAAACTTCTGTCATATCCCCTGACGCGAGTTGCCTCAGCGAGTCAGAGTGCGGGATAATCCCCGACAGCTAAGATCTACATGTCTGGAGCAGAAGGAATGCCCAGTACGCCATCGACAGGGATCAGATGCTGCCCTAGGTGTCACTAGCTCCCGCCTCGATCGATCATTACCATAAGGATGGGACTATCAGCCCGAGTCCGGACGTTAACATCAATCCCAGCTCGTGTTCATTTGCAGGGAACAAAGAACCACAACAAGCCAAGCCGACTCATTCCTCGTGAAGGCCACGGTGAGGCGGACAAGAAGCTCCATGTGGAGAAATGCAGGGAACGAACCGAAATAGTTGAGACGCACAATGTCGAACTGACGTCTATAGTGCCAACAGGGACATGGATTCGAGCACACTCATTGAATCATGGCGATGGGGATCGACCGCCGCCGGCGTTTAGTCCTCCTCGGAGATCCACCTTTCTTGGGGGCGATATTGGCCAGGCGGATCCATCCGGTCGCCGTTCATGCACGCTGCAATCTCATTGAGCCTCGGATGTCGGAGACATACCCACTTGGTCGGAAGGGCGGTTCAGGGTGTCAGAAGTACGCCCGTGAAACGCTCTCCGAAAGTTTCTTGAATCGTGCCGTTGCATCTTGGCGATGCAGTTCCCTTCCCTCTTCGTCGACAGGCAGCCGACTTGCAGCTATTCTGGGGTGTCCAACAATCAGAGCAGCAGATGGTAGGGGCTTGAGTGTCTGGTGGGGTCAATAATGTGGGAGATAGTCCATCCTGTGCAGTATGAGTTGACGGCTCGTGCTCTTAGTGAGGGGACAAATATAAGGACGAGGATCGAGAAGCTACCACTTCCTATCTGACCCAAGATATCACAAATTCGTGTTTTCTGTCTCAATTCACGTACCATGACCAACTCGCAGAACAACGTCGCCCTCGTCTTCGGCGCGAGTGGGATCTCAGGATGGGCTGCGACGAAGAACCTCCTGACGTATCCAACTCCCACGACCTTCTCCCGTGTCGTTGGCCTGACCAACCGCCCTAAGACAGTCGAAGAAAGCGGTCTTCCTCAGGATCCGCGACTAGAACTGTACTCCGGGATTGACCTGCGGTCCAGCTTCGAGAATGTGGTTGCGCAGATGCAAAAGATCCCCAACCTGGACCAAATCACCCACATCTACTATCTCGGTACACACTCCCTTTGTTCACTCTCTCAACAGCCTCTAAAACCCAGACAGCCTATTCGAACGCCACTGCCTACTCCCAAAATGTCATGGACATCCGAGACATCAACGTCCACATGACCTACAACGCCGTGCACGCCAGCGACCAACTCTGCAAGAGCTTGAAATTCCTCGTCCTGCAGACAGGAACCAACGTATACAACTAACCCTCTTCCCCATTCATGCACACCTCGCAAACTAACAATCCTAGAACTACGGCGTCGCCGTCTTCCGCTACCAAGACAAGATCGAGATCAACCCGCCCCTCAAAGAAGACAACCCACGGATCCCGTCTCCCTGGGGCGACGAGATCTTCTACTACCGCCAGGTCGACCTAATCAAAGAAGCCTCGAAGGGCAAGCAGTGGAAATGGTGCGAGGTCCGACCGGATCAGATCGTCGGTATGTCATCCCATCTCCCTTAGACGCCCACTCAATAGCCGCATCACTGATTGATTTACTCCGTACGCAGGACACGTCCCCAGCCCAACCAGCATGACCTACGTCGAGCCCCTCGCCCTCTATCTCGCATTATACCGCTACGTGAACGGCCCCGGCTCCCGCGTGCAGTTCCCAGGCAGCCACAAATCCTACACCTACACATTCACGGACTCCTCGCAGGACATCATCAGCAAATCAGAAATCTACCTCTCCGTCGTCAAACCCGAGCAAGCACACGGCGAGGGGTTCAACATCGCAGACACCGAAACGCCAGGACCATGGAGCGTCAAATGGCCTCTTCTAGCAGACCACTTCGGTCTGGAGGCAGCAGGGCCCAGCGACGAGGGCTGGGTCGAGATCGATAAGTGGTGGCAGGAGCATGCGGAGGACTATAAGCGGATGTGTGCGGAGTATGGCCTCCAGTATCGGGTGATTGGCGAGGCGGCGTGGATCTTTTGTAAGGTTGGTTTCACGATGTTGCATCGCAATCGGGAGTTGAGTTTGCAGAAGATTCGAGGGCTGGGGTTCACGGAGGAGATTCCAGTGGGACAGAGTTATATTGATACGTTTGAGCATATGGCGAGGGAGAGGATTCTGCCGCCGAGTGAGGCGTTGAGAGGGGGTCAGTAGGTAAATAAGCTGTATAGGGGTCAGGACAACGGGTACCAAGTCGCGGTGCTATTTATAATTTTTTGGTGTTATTAGGTAAAGATTCAGGTAAATAAGTTCTCACATTCTACATTTGTAGGTGCGTCTTATTGAAACACAGCAAGGGTACTCCGTAAATAAAGATCTGACAACGTTGAAATCACACCGTTGCCCCGAGGGAGTGGACCACGTACATTCGGTAACTTAACTGACTCCTTGATGCCTCAGCCTTGTTTTTCTGCCCTGGCAGTTAACTATGTTAGTGACCAGGGCTCCACCGAGAGCTCCTCGTTGATTATGTAGATTGCTCTCAATACTGTGTCTGTTAAAGCTCAGACATACTTGAGAAACAGAAGAGGAAATCGGGTTAATCATCATATACAAAAATATTATATTCAAAAAGACGAGCTGAAAAGCTGATTATCGGTCGTCAAAGAAAAAAATCACGTAATGTCTAAATCCATAGAATAATAGTCCAACCAGAACGAAATATCCGAAATGAACATCATCATCCATGTCAACCGTTTAAACACGGACGGTGGTGGCGTCAACATCAATGGTCTTCCACAGAAGGTAGAGGTAGTCGCCGTCGCGGTCCTTGTTGATGTCCGAGGACATGCCCTGGAAGCCCATGTCACCAAGAGCGTCAGAAGACAGCGAATCCTCAGAGCGGTACAGCTGAACGTCCGTGATCTTGTTGGAGTTGTTCTCCTGAGGCTGGGGGAGCAAGTAGCGGTAATCGCCACCGGCACCGGAAGCAAGATCGTCGTGGCCCTCCTCCTCGCTCTCCTGGATGACAACCTGCACGTTGGAAGCGGCATCTTCGACCTGGGTAGTCCAGACGGGGACAAGCCAGACATAGCTGTGGAGAGAAATCAGGAATTAGCGGGCTTGCATCAACAGAGAGGGGTGGAACCGAGAAAAGCTTACTCTCCACCATAGCCCTTGTTCACATCGGCCTTGCCGTTGTCGACCATTCTGATAGCATCGTTGGGCTCGCTGAACTCGCTGTCGCCAGTCTCGACCTATTGTACTGTTAGAAAACAATTCCTTGGCCAGTACGAAGGATGCCTTACCTTGATATCAGAAAGGAAGCGGTTCTGCTTGAGGGTCACGGTGAATTCAACCTCAGTGTCCTCCTTCGGCTCGGATCCACCAGTGACAGCGTCGGTGTGGATGGTAATTCCGGGGCCATCGAAGATACGCTCGTAGATCTTGTAGCTGTCGCCCTTGCCGACGGTGACTATGCGAGCAAAAAATGTCAGCCAAAGAACAGAAACGGTAGTTCATAAGGTATAGTAAACGGCAATACTAACACGACTGTTCGGTCGACTTCTTCTCACTGATCGTCTCCTGGGTCGAGATCTGCTTGACGCTGGAAAAGGCGGTTTCCAGCTGCGAGGAAGTCTCCATACCCGCGCTGACCTTGGCTTCGGCGACGCCGTACGAGGCACCAAGCTCGATTCCGGAGCTGACGGATTCAGACTCCGTCTTGGTCTGCGAGCTAGTCTCCTCCAGGAAGTTTGATCGCACAATTTCGTAGGACGTGTCGATAGTCCGCTTGAACGAAGACTCGGTGTTGTCGGGGTTATCGACCTCCTGGAGCAGGCTATAGCGGAACCTTCCAGACATCTTCACATCGACCGTCTTGGGCTGGTAAGCACGACGAACGAGACCGTTCTCAACAGGAACAGCGCCCGTCAAGGGCTGGATGGCCACCGCCGTGAAGAGAGCGGTGTTGCGCAGGGTAGTCCACATTGTGAATGAGAAAGAGGGTATAATTATGAATGAGAGACTTGAAATTGTTATGTTAATGAAAGGACGGAAACCGTTGCAGGCCCGGGTTTAAGAAGAATGAAAGTGGTAGTGCAAGTTTTCTTTTTTCTTTCAACACTCCTGCAGGAATTCCCAGCGGTTTATATAGGTTTGAAGATATTCTCCCGCATCGGCTTGGCCGTTAGCTTGTTCTCGATTCCATCCCGCCAAGAGATCCAAGTAATGAAAACCATCACTCGGGGCCAATGATGAGGAGGCTCCAATGTTGGCCCCCTGGCGTGCCTTGTCGGCGCTTAGATTGGGATGGCCTAACGAGCATACGGGGTAGTAGTGTCGAGTCGAAGAACAGGGGCCTTACGTGAGAGAAAATACTCCGCAGGAACATGGTAGTGGCGTATGCCAAGGGGGGCGAGGGTGCTGACAAGGCTGAGAATGAGAAGGATCATCTGTTTCATCAGATGTCACCTAAGCTACTATTGAGTGGATTTCGCTCAATGTTGAGACTTCAGAGTCTGGTAGCGCCGCCTTGGTCGAATTCTATTTGCGTTCTCTGCATTCTGGGGTATGGCTGTACGGACTACGGAGTATCCGAGCAAGTCCGCCTCGGCGGGTCTTTGACTGCCGCTAGAAGCCAGGGTCCACCTGAAATAACGATCAACCGGGTGATCTTTTGACAAGAGAATGTGATTCCATTCTCACACCTATGGGTAATAACTCTTGACAGTGAACTGATCAGTGGGAAAGAGTAACGATAAGCAAATGTCTAAAGCCCGTAATCTGCAAGACGGGAGGCTCACAGGGAGAGAAGGAGGCGCGTAGACGAGCTGAAGCCTGAAGGATGAGAAACTCCAGGGCCCCTGCACATGCCAAGACCTTCCGCGTGGGCGCGTATTTCTTGGCAGGAACAGTCCACCAGGCACTAATCGTGTAACCATGGGCCATCAACATTGACCATCATCTATGGACCCATCATTGAGGCTGGCCGCAAGCCAGTCTCGATACCAATACGATATGGGTGGCCGTGGCGTGCTGTGACCAAGGTAGGCCCGGTTCGTGTGGTCGAGATGAAAGAATGTGTGCTTTCTACCGGTGATTTCTTGTCCAATACTACCGGACACGTGCATTCAAACAGCCCAGAGGGTTCTCTCTGCCTAATCATGTCCAAACTGCGGAGTGGAATCTACTCCGTAGGCTGCATCTGCATCCAGACGGGTCAGGGGCACTGCACTGCCGTACGGAGTCCTAATTTGATGATCCTCGGAAGCGACATGGGGGCCGTTTCAGCCAAACAATCGAACAATTTGACAGATCAACCGGCCATCACCCTCACCCGGCTAAGTGTCAACAAACAGAACCACTTAGAGCAAGCACGATAGTCGGGCCGTAGGCCATGGCCATATGTTAACTGCAAATTATACAATGATTGCGTCGATCCGCCAGTTAGCCTCGATAGTTGATGGGTCGTGGAGGGTCCCGCTATAGGAGTAGCCTCAACAGACCAGCGGGAAAATCAGGGGCTTAAAGGCCTGCTCCGCCCCCAATCTAGAATAGTGCACCATTTTGTATTCTCAGCGAAGATTTTTTGGGCCCCAAAGCGGCAGGGGAAATGGAACCACCGAAGTAATGCCGCATGTGTGCTGTTCAAACGTCATGAGGGATCAGGTTTATTCCGACAAACACTCAAAATCAGACTCGGTGATGGTCTTTGTAGAGCCGCTAGCAAGACTCGATGATCAGAGATGGCTGGTGGTGATTGATCGATGAATGTGCTCGGATGGTTGTCTTGTGCAAGATTGCACGATCCTGCGAGAGTCGGAGACAGCGAATATCACGTGGTCGCCAGACTGCCTTAACCACATCGAGTCGTTTTTACGAGCATTCAGCCTAGTTACGAGGATTTTCAATCTGGTCGAGTCCAGGAACTGGTTCATGAAAGTCTTCGCTGTTGGCAATATTGTCAGAAGTGTTAGTTTAGTTACAGTTCACATAATTGACCAGTAAAGTCAGTCACGAACACTCTATCCGGAACTCCCCAGCGACGAGGTACATAAAACTTGGTTTTGAAAATAAAATAAGAATGAAGACCCCTGCCTACTTAATATCTGACAGCATCCGGCACCACAGTATACAAAGTGCAGGTTACCTCCATGGGTCCCGGATTTAGACTACGAAATGAGTACTCCAGTCGGTTAGTTAAATGGTTATAGTTTTGAATAAGCATCATATTCATGTTAGTGCGTTGTTTCTCGCCGAGCCCGTTGTGGAGCATGTCAAGTCGATGATAGTCGCCCAAAAATGGGGACTCAAAGTGGAAACCCAATGGTATTCTCAGCCTCACGATGGTTAAATGAATTAAACCTCAAAATCCGACAGACGCAAGCCTAACCGTTTACGAAGCACCCAATGACCATCAACTCCGAGATTTGGACCAGATATCTTCTCAACAATACCCATCTAGTGGGTCCAACAGGGGACATTTGGCCCCTGTTGTGCATCGATGGAGCTTGATGCTTGATAAATGTCTAGGCACCCTATGATGCGCTTTGCGGAATGTGGATTGTTAAAGTCCGTCTGTTTAAGGCAACCTGACGTATTATTCGAACAGCAATCAACATTATGTTACTTTGGCGGAAGCATCGGACGGTAAACCTTGGTAGTTCCTCGGAGTCTGCGGGATCTGAGTTTGCGTTCTATCCAATGGCAAAGAATGTGTAGAGTTGGAACTAGATTTCACAAATTAAACAGTGAGATTTTACCGGATATATTAGAAAAACAGGTTAGTGTGACAGATTGTGTCATTGCGCCTCAATCCATAAATTACCCAGGTTGCAACGGACCTTGCTTATTTCGCACCCTTCTCATCACGACATAGCCGAATCGCCGGTGGGCGACATTCCCCGGTCGACAAGGTGGACAGGTCCGAGAATAGTCTTGTTCACTACCCCTTATCACTCTTGCCATACCCTGTCTGGTACCAATGACACCTACTCCCATTTGTGTGCCATGTACATAGCTTAGCGATTAACATTTGCAACAGCACAATTGCAACCACACAGCCCTTCCGTCAGTTTATAGGCTTTCCTTCTAGACTTCAGAGTTGATCGCCCAGATATCAGGTCATTTCTACTTCAGCCTGAACTGAGTGATTGTGATGAGCGAAAAGTGACTGCATTTTTGGGGTGCCTATTGGCCGGTGTGATGACTCGGACAACTATTAATTGAGGCTTGTCGTCATTACGGAGGATAAAACCATAATAATTCCCCAGCAGAATTGTAGGCATAGGTTCAAAGACAAGAATGAGCATAAAAGAAGCGGAAACTGGAGAGGAAGCGATGCGGATACGTTTTATTGCCGATTAATGAGCAAAGACTAACGTGGGACGTGTGACTTTAAGTGTAAGCGACTCTTCTTCCGGGAGGGCTGTTTTATCGAGTAAGGCACAATCGGCGTAACGTTTTGCGAGTTTTCCTTTGCTTGATCAGAGACAGGCAATCGGTGCCTTTCGAGTTCGAACAGGAGCTATATTCGCTGTATAAGATGGGACAAACACTCTTCAAAAGCCTGTCATACCTAGGGAAAGTTCAATGTCAGACAGTCATTTGAAATCGGAGTTTCCAAATAGCTTCCGATCAGCCTTCAGTTATTTGACCCATTAACGAGGAGACCCTTCATCCAAGAATTGCCACTGCTGGGCATAAACCAATGATTTCGTTGAGCTGAGCGCTCACCTTCTTCTTCTTCTTTTTTTCTTTTTTTTCTTTTTTTCCCCCCTTGAAGCAGCACGGATATCACAAGTGGTATCACCTTCCAGTACTGTCTTACCTTTGATTTTCTCTTTTTCACGTTTTCTCTTTTCCTTTCGTTCAGCCCCTTGGTTCATACTATATTTTTTGTTTCGGGCCGCCACCCTTCGAAGCATGAGCCAGAAAAGATCATAAACCACTACTTCAAATTCACAATAAAAAGAATTAGATCGTCTCAGATTGACTTTCAGCGGTCGAATCTAACGATCTGTTGATTCATAATCATTCTAATCCAGCACTGACTAGCTCCATCAACTCCTCGAAAGCCAGTCCATCAACTATCTCACGCCAACAAGTTATCTTCCCCAAGGGTATTCTGCGTATACCTCGCATTGAACTTCAACACCCTTTTCACATCATTGTAATCCCGAACGCTCAGCGACAGAGGCTGCTGGCTAACAAACCACTTCACCTGCTCCGTGCAAGGCGGTGTAGTCAGCGAGCCGGTATAATCGTACACAGGGTTCAAATCGAGATGTCTGCTCAGCGCATGGAAGTCAAGGGGCCCTGTCTGTGTGGAGTTTCCTGGCTCGGCGATCTCTTCGCAATGGTTGAATATGGAGTCGAAGGGGGCGAAGGAGGGTTGGTTCTCGGTCAACTGGAAGAGAAAGCCGACGACTGCGGTTTCGTCTTGGAGAGCGTTAGTATACCGGAAGATATGAGAGTGTGGGGTGATGGTGGGGTGAGAGTGGTATGCGTCACGTACTTCCTGTCTGAAAGACGAAGTGAGCTTCCATGGGGAAGTACTCTCCGTTGACGCGATGCTCACTAGGCGTGTGGAAGTGGAATTGTTTCAGAGGGTATTGGCTGCCATTCATGAGCAGAGACCCCTGGCCGAGAACCTCCAGACCGGAGCCGATGTTTTCGAATGTAGAGGTATTGGCGCTGGGAATGTTGAGACGAAGGGATCCAGGAGCAGCGAAGCCTATTTCCTCGGTGATGATATCGATGGGGGACTGATGACGGCCTGAAGCACAGGCACCATTGTTGGAAGGGTCGAGATCATGCCAGTGAAGGGGGCCAGTGTCTCCATTGTAGGTGAAGTCGTTGATTTTGACCTCCGAGTCGCGAGGGATGATAATTCGAGAACGATCGATAGCGTAGGCAAGAGCTGTGCTTACTAGAGGAAGAAGAGAGAGGAGCTTCATGTTGGCAAAATGTTAGATGAGAAAGAGAAAGCAGATGGCGCTCAGCGACGAACTGTCTCATAGAAAGTCGTACCTGAGATTATATATCCCCTCCAGTGCCACTGAGTACCCGAGCCACTTTACTCCGGTTGTACAATCTATCAGACCACGATCCACAGGTCTGGCGACGGCCAATCTCTGGTCCGCTTCATCTCGCCGCAGCGTCTCTTAACGGAGTTTTCCGACTAGTCTGCCGGCGTGGCTATACTAGAGCTTGTCAAAGTCTGTATCGTGTATTCACTGCCATTTGGGAGGCGTCGTCCCACGCGGGGATACACAAGAGCATTGGCATATCTATCTTGGGCAGGGATATTCGACATGACGGGACGTTGCGACAATATTAGCGAGAGTCTCCGCAAAATCGTTATCAGGATCGAGGAGCAGAGTGCGGCACAGCGATCCAAGCACGGGGAAAGCATGGGAATCGAAGACAAGTTCTGACATGCCAAGGGCCGGTGTCTTGACTGACGTGGATTGCTGCGCTCGCGTGGGAATATGTACAACCGTTATTGCTTAATTAATTTGGCGACGTCGGATGAATCATCCTATGTGGGACACATTTTCGATGTGCCCTAAAAGTGGCATGGATAGAGGATTGTAGATTCCCGTGATAGAAGCAGATATTGTCATTAAATTATATCGGAAGAAAGACATTGTTAACAATCCTCTAAACATCTCTCAAACGTAGCGTCGGATCTCGCCTTCTCGTAGCCGACTTTCTCCCGAGAATCTTCGCCAAGTCTCTCTCCACATCTTTAGGCCTGACATCGTGCTTCTTGGCTGATTTGACAGGCCCGTGGCTCGGGGAATTAAGTTCATAAATAAATTGAGCGTTACGTGAGTCCCCCACTCGAATAAATTGTTCAGTCTGCGATGCGGCTGCGTGGGGAATAGTTGAGTTGTTCAAACCGGGAATTCGATAAGATCTCGATGAAGTCTTTTGCGCAATAACTTCTGCGAATCGCAGACTAAATCTCCCTAAAAACAATCCATGGTGAAGAGAAGTGTCCTACAAAGCGACTAGTCACATAGACCTTCAATCCCGGATTCTGTTCCGCCAAGAACCATGCAATCTCTCCCAATAGCCGGTGAGTTACATCTTGTCTGAGGAGTTAATCTGAATCAGTCCAGGGTCCACAATACCACAGGCTACATTTCCAGCCACTCGTTAAAGACTCCTTAGAAAGTGGAAGCTCTGGTCAATCCACAAATGGTAGCACCCCGAGCCACGCCTGGCGCTCATCTTCATCTCTGGCCTCGCGACGCAAAAATCTCTCGATTTCTTCTACAAGTTGTTTCTTGCAGAGTTCGTAGTCGGTCTCACTAACTCTACCATCCCAGTGTTTGAAACTCCCCGTATCCTTAATGAAATCGTCCATAAGTTGCACACCCTGGGCCCACAAATCTGCATCTGCTTCCTGTTGCTGGACTTCGGCAGCTGACAATTGCAAGGGCCACGGTATCACCGGGGAGCCGTCAGATTTTGCACCGACGATGTCTATCCGTTCTTTTTCCACGTCTCTGAGAAGGCTGTTGAGGCACGGTTCGTAGTCCATTATCGTCAACCCGGGAATGACACTCACTTGATGACGGAGTGTATTCTGGCCCTGTAACGCTTGGAAGGCATCTGGGTTGGCTTGAAACGATCGGACGAAGTATAGATTGTGCAGCGTCTGAGCTTGATGCAATTCCTTGGCTTTTTGTTGTTCATCAAGGCTAAGAGAATCAAAGTTTGCGGGAAGATGAACTTTTCCTAGTTCTTCAGGGGCAGGACCATGGTATTCAAGAAAAGCAGGATGTTTGGCCTGCATAAAAAGCGGGCATGCGCTGATGGATTGCCAATCGATGATGCCTAAAATCTTGGTGGGCTCGTTTGGGTCGACAAAGATATTCTGCAGGTTGAGATCCCCATGCCATAGGACTGATGAATGGGTTGCTGCATGCTGCGGAAGGACATAAGAAGCAACCTTGAGGTACTGGTTCAGCGTGAACAGCTTCTTTGCAGCGCTAGGCTGGTATTGCCGAGGTCCATTGAACAGACCTTCCGGCATTAACGGGTATCTGGTATATGCCTTCGCAGTGGCAATCTCCCTGTTTGCGATCGCTACCATGAACTCCTCGAGTGTGTTCCCTAAATTTGCATGGTTATCAGTAAACACGATCCAGATCTTTGCAAAGCAAAAGAACTCACATGGTCCGCGATCGATATCTAGCTTTCCTCTTCCGAAATCGAAAAATGCACGATGATTGGTAGGTCCAATGCTGAACTTCGAGCTTTGTGTCTCATTTCCGTCGCTTTCGATAAATAACGATGCCGTTGGATCGAGATTCGTGGGGAGATCCTCCTTGTAGTACAAAGATCCAAACTTTCTAAACTTTGTAGCAACAAGGGACTGCTCAAGACTGACAATCTGTAGCACAATCTGGGCTTTCTGTTTTCCCTTCATGTTCTCCCATACATCACTCAACGTCACACCAGCCTGTTTTTCCATAATGATATACTCGGCTCCGACAGGGTTGTCTGACGCTCTAGAGCTCCATGCATAAACGCGGGGAACTGGTAGGCCAAGGTCATTCCGCAACTGGAGAAGTCAGTTTTAACGATGTCACACAAGCAGATAGATTTCATACGAAGTCCATAGTTGCAACCTCACTGGCAGTGGTAAAATGAGGCCTTCCTGCATTGGGATTTGGTAGTTTGGCAACCACCTCTCGGCCATCGTTCATAGTAAGCAAGAACACTTTATTGTACTGACCCTCTGTCATTTTGGTAATTCGAACGCAAGCTTCCGATCCAATAGCAGAGGCAGCCACGTCCACAAGCTTTGGCAAGTTAAACTTGACGTAGCGACACGCCAACTGCTCTTGTTCACGCCACAGCCATCGGCCTGAAGTGAACCGATTGAGCGCCTCCATATCGTGGGCCATGTCTAGAGTATGAAAGTTCCGCGGTGTGCGATATCTTGCGTCGTGCCGTCTCACAGGTTCGTGACTCATATATCCCTGATTTTTCTCTGATTGACGCACTGTGCGGGTGTCAGAAGGGAAGTGAGCTTTCGTTGAACTGCGCCAAAAGGGCAATCCCAAGGGCCGTGTTCCACTAAACGCATTGCTCAAGCTACGCCTGCAAAGAGCTCTCATGATGCCCACGAACCTTGGAACAAGGAGAATGAAGTTCCCGAGCGCCTGCGGATGAATCGTGGACAACCCTCTTGGTCTTGGCGGTCTATGAATAGCCCGCTTGGGGTGAATACATGTCTACATTCACTTTGTCGTAGGGCACCATCTAAATTAAATCAGTTCAGCTTCGCTTTCATAGCTCCGAGTTCTCTCACTAGGATGAGGTCCATGTTGTCAACCGAGAGGACGTTCCTGAGGATATAGGAAGATATTAACAGTCCTGCTTTACTGAGATATCACACATGGGCAACAACGTTAAATAATGTATTTTTTTTTTTTTTTTTTTTTTTTTTTTTTTTTTTTTTTTTTTTTGGAATTGAGACATTGATAAAATCCAGATCATGCATACTTCTAACGGGAAAAGTATGAAGCAGATTGAAGGGTTCATCTCCATCATCCGCATCATGCAAGCTCCCTCAGTCGATCCAGTGCTTTCTTGAACGAGCTCTCTGTGTCTAGAGGCTGACTGAAAATGTCTAAATAAAATTCATTAGCCTTGTAATATTCTATCTTCTCACAACAATTATCAAACATACCATTCAAATCCTTCCCCAGTCTAGCACCTCCAGACCCTCCCAGCCGAGAAAACAGTTTCGTCAAGTCAGCTGAAATCCCCTCATACAGTTTCAAGATCGAACAGAACCTATCCGTCTGTGCATTGAAGATGTAACTTGCCTCTGTCTGTTCACCGTACGACAACTGAACCTGAGACCGAGCTATACCATTGTCAGTAAACGAAAAGTAGACTCATGATAAACGAGCAACCTACTCAACGCATTAAACTTCGGCCACTGGAACTGACTCGCCAGTCCGTCTTTCGGGTGCTTCGCAAACGTCGCCCAAGCATCACGCATATAAGCCGCCGCCCCAGCTTCATACTCTGTATCATCGACCTCGGTAACCGCAGGAGCCGTCCCAAAGAGCGGGAGAAGATCAGAGGTATGATACGCGGATCCGACAGGAACGATATAAGTATTGCTATAGTTCCCACCATAGTACCTGTATCGCCAGACCGGAACGTCATGCTGTTTTCGATATCCCGCAGCCTCGGCCGCGGGGCAGGTGAAGCCGGCGAGAGTGAGAAGGTCGCCGAGGGGCTTGATTAGGGTTATGGGAAGTGCGGAAACCTGTTCGGCGGTGAGATTTGAGTATGCGAGCGCCGTTATGAGGAAGAAGCCGGCCTCGTTGTCCGTGTTTCCTGTCATGAAGGGGATCCGAGCGAAGTTGCCGGCTTTGGCTTCAGCGGCGATGTCTTTGGGGACGATCTCCCCGTCGCCAACGGGGAGAAAGCCACCGACAAGGCCCTGACTGCCTATCGAAGCGATGGCGGTTAAGAGGTCCTCTTGACTCTTGGATCTCATGCAGGACACCGTGTCTTCGCCGGCGTCTGAGCCACCGCATCCTAGACTACTGGAGACGTTGAACCAGGATTCGCGAATATCAGCGGTGCCGGAGGATGCTGAGAGTGATGAGCTGGCAGCACCAGAGTGGGCGATGAGTGCGTTTGCAATGGGGTCTTTGGGATAACTGTATGCCAGGAAGTCTGTAGAGAGACCGCCTGCCGACTGTCCGAAGACTGTGATTCGAGAGGGATCACCTCCGAAGCGTTCGATATTGTCTCTCGTCCATTCCAGCGCAAGACGTTGGTCCAGCAATCCCACGTTCCATGGCTGACCCGGTGCTCCGGAGAACCCAAATATGTTGAGACGGTAGTTGAAAGAAACCACTACCACGTCGTTCTCATCTGCGAGGATAGACCCATCGTAGACGGCACTCGAAGCACTACCGATCGAGAAGCCTGGATAGTCAGCGGGCTGTTTGCATTGTTGCCAGCGATGGCTCACCTCCGCCATAAATCCAAAACAGCACCGCTTTCTTCTTCTCGCCTTCTTGGGGCTTTGTCCAGATATTGATGGTCAAGCAATCTTCATCTAGAACACTGTCTTCTTGTGAAAGGGCTCTGGTGATCTTCTCGCCGACGGGACCACCAAGGTGTGCCTGGCGCATGGGGATGCGGTTCGAGGGACAATCGCTATATTAGTTAGTATCATTGCCACCACAGACGATTTCTACTTACGGGCTCTATTCAAATTAGCCGTGAATTAGCCATGAGTATCGTTATTGTAAGAGCACTCACATAAGACGTCGCATCGAGCACTCCGCTTGCCCGGCCCACAGAAACAGGCGCTGCAAAGCGCAACTCAGCCTTCGGTGGCTTTGCATACGGAATGCCCAAGTACTCGGAGACATCGGACCTCAGAGACGAAGCTTTTCCTTTCACGAGACCGCTAGTCGTATTCACCGTGTCACCCACAGAGGAGGCATTGGCAGCTGAACGCGACCAGAGGATAGAGTATGAGAGGACATAGATAAAGACCTGTTTCCAGTACATTGTGGCGTGTTGGATGCTCTGTATCTTTGCTAGAGCTGCCGTAGAAGTGACTTGTGATGCACCCTATATACTTTGGCATTCGTATTCAACCGCGGTATAAACCCCTGCCATTGTAGGGAAAACGGCTCATCTTGGCCCAGGCTTGTTGGATTTGATACAACCCAGCGCAGGGTGGTGGTGTCTGAGACTCTTGGCGATGTATTCAGCTTCGAGGATTTATCAAATTATAGCACAAGATGCCATCAAAAATGTAACCTTCATTCAAAAAATAGGATAGTGACACTCTGACTGGACGGGATAAATTCCGAGTTGGCCCAATTTGGTGATGCCAATATCTTCAATCCCCTCGGCAACACGCCTTATATTGTCCTATGAGCTAGGTCCTGCAGGTGATATTAATCGCTCATTCTCGACATGATTTCAGGCATTCGATCGGGGCGTTTTCTGCCTTTGCTTGCATTCGGTACATCAACCGAGGCATTCAACCCTGGCAGGTTCGACATCAAACGCAGTCATTCTGGTTCAACAAAAGCGGGGTTCAGCCAAACAAATGCCGATGGACGGTAGTTGCTCGGATGTTTCAGAGGTGTGGAGTTGGGATTGATATTCAGGGTCGATGATCTCAGTCTAAAACGTCGGTAAGACTAAACAACACATTACAACTGCCTACCTTTTCACCTACCGCGATTACCATGGTTATAGCTTACACCTGTCGATCGATCACAATAGAAAAAGCGACTATCCCTCCCCTCGGTCGTCAACCTTTCTTTTCTTAGAACTTGTCCCCATCGACCCAAACATGCTATCCAGTTTCTGCTGGCCCTTCTCATGTTTCTCGGTTTTTACTCTCTCCGAAGCGAGCACGGGGGGGAGTCCCTGGACCCTTTGTTTCGCATCGTCCAGTAACTCGATTTCTCTCTCCCGCTGCTTCTTGACCGTCGGAACAGACCAGGAGTTCGATCCTGCCGATTTGTATGCCAATTTATACTTGGATCCGCTGAGGCTGGTCTCGTAGGTATTGGCGTCGATCTTCTTGACATGCTGCGAGATGTAAGCCATAGTCTACCATCGCACTTACCTGGCCTTCGCAATAATGCAAACTCAAATTTCAATAACGCGAAAGCTCGGTCGATCGTACCTGGTGTCCAACGATAAACCAGTGATACTCTGTTCCAACGGGGGCGCCACTCCCCTGGGGTGCATTCTTCACGCGTCGCTTGGTAGTCCGATAGTCGATTTTCCACAGATCCGGCTCCTCCTTTGTCTCCTTCCACGTCCCCGGCTCGTAGGTCCAAGTGTGCGAGCCTCCGACCGCCATGCCCGAGTAAAACTGTCCTTTGTAGGTCTTCAGCGCGTTGTAGCCTCCTGTGCCTGCGAACTCGTTCGGGTCGCGTGGGTGACGTCCCATGGATTGGTCGCTGATCCCCATTACATCCGCGGGTTCCTCGTCGTCGTCCCAAACTGCGGTGGGCTCGGTTGTCCGGGGACTAGTACTGGGACCGGGTGGAGCCTCTGCGTTGGCTTTCCGGACTGGGGCCGGGGAGTCGTCACCGGGGACATTCCTCTCGGACCAAGGGGGCGAGGGTGGATTCTGATGCTGGAGTTGGCTGGTCGACCCATTCTTCCTGACACGTTTGGGAGACATGGAGGGTTTTGTCGATGGATGGGGTTGGAGGGTTGGAGTGAAGAAAGGAATAAGAGCGCGAAGTCAAAAATGGGTGGGGACTGCCTTACGAATCTGGCTGCGCGTGCCTCGGCCATTGACGTCATCGAGCAGAGCGCGCATCGCAATTCCGGAGCAACTCTGCCGATGGCTTCGATGGAGTTGCCCAACGCAGGAATGCTGGAAAAGGGATCCATACGATCGGCTTCTATTTTTAACGCTGGCCATGCCTTTTTACCTCGATGGCAGTTGCGATGGCGATGTTGATCTTGTGGTGTGCATCGTGCTGCATGCTCGGCATCACATTCGCGTCTGGTGTATTTGCAGGGCACTATTTGTGGAGTGCAGATGGAGATGCAATATCAGATCTCGTGATCAGACTATCTTGAGAGAGAACACAGTCTCGAGTGCCCGCGAAAGAAAAGACAAACCACCGAGTAAAGGTCGAACGAAGTCGGAGGAAAAGGATGACCGCCACGACGTCATGCCAGTCCCGTGATTGGCCCGCGGGCACATTTTCTCTCCGTCGGCAGTTATGGGGAACTTCCACTCTTCCACTCTTTCCTCCCTCCATCCAGCAACCTACGCCGCTAAGTATTCGCTGGTCGCTCAGTGGAGGACCGACTGAAGAACACATCCACTCGGCGCAGGGTGCAGCATGACGGACGAACCATCGTCAGCCCCATCCCCCCTAGGCTGCCGGTCTCCGTCAATCCCATGCAGCGCCTTCGCACTGACGGTCTATCACCACCATAAAGGCTCATCACGCCGCTGGAGGAGCCACCGCGCACACGCCATGGGATGCGCCACCCAAGGTCTCTCCATCAACACCTGACCTCTCTTTCATTCCTCCTGCCTCCCGGCCTGTCGTTCTATTTCGGTCGTGTCGCATACCACACGGGTTTTCCATGCAGGGAACAGAAATAATAATCCCGTTAATTCACGTCATCCCAGTCTTACTATCGATCGCATTATAAGAAAGCCTCACCGTGCACTTCTTCAGTTTCTTCATGACTGCCTATCTCCCGCTCCTGTCAGCCTACCACGTCGTATACAGCCGAATCCTTTCCATCACGGACTTTATCCTCATCCGCCATCCCTGCACGGCAAACTCCGCCAGCACTAAACCGTGTTAGCGCTCCTGCATCATCTTCAGACCTTTTTTGTTTCCGACCCTGGTCTTGCTCCTCCTGCGCTGCCCCTCCGCTCATCTCCCGTCGATCCACCGCCGCCGTGGGATATAATCTCCGTCGTCTGCCTTTTTCTCTCCTCTTTTCTCTTTCTCCCCTCTTCTCCCGTCACCTACTTTCCCCTCCTCGGAAATCTACCTCCTTTCCTCTCTTTATCCTCCAGATCAGAGCCTCCATATGGAGAATAGGGCTCACCCTCTCATCCCGTGACCCCTGGCCGTCCTGTCCCTCGACCTTGACCTCTCCAACCGTCGTTGACGACCCACCCCTCTCAACTCTCAACCAAACCAACCCTCAAAGAAAAGAAGGAAGAATGCACGAAATGCCGTCCAAATTCATCGAACTCCTCGATCCCGAAGATTCGCCTCTCAGAATCTCCGACTCGGACGTCCGTCTCGAGGACGTGCTCGCCTCGCACGACGCGATCGTTAGCCGCCCGCGCTCCTCCACGCAGTCCTCCTCCAAGGCCAGCATCGAAAAAGGCATCGAGAAGGACCGCGAACAGTCCTCGTCGCCGCCGCAGCGCTGGAAGCGATTGAGCAACATCCTCGTTCCGGCGAAGAGGGCATGATCCACATCTCCATACACTCAACGTATATACCTGCGTGCGTGCGCTCATACATACTACCTATATACCTATACCTGTCGGGTCTGAGACCGGAAAAGGATAGATATGATCCGATGCGATGCGTCTACCTCCGCTTCGAGTCGACGAGTCGAGTCGAGTCGAGCGGGTGTTGTCTTACCGCCCCCTTATGCTTCTTATGATGGATACGAACCAAAAACGATGGATGATATGATTGATTTTCTTAGCGTCCTTTCCTGTTAGAATTCCACCTACTTGAGCTCCATGTTTCTCTGCTTTTTCTAACACGCGACCTATCCTGGTTGTTTACCCTGCTTACGGAGTACAACCTACCTCCCTACTCGCCGGCACCTGACCCTTTGATGATACGATACGATACGATACCCATTGCAGTGTTCCCTGCTTATTTCTGGATGTGTTACATTACATTACCTCACCTTGCTTCGCCTCCTGTAAAGTAGTTTCTCACCAAAATCACATCTACAACTCAACTACTCTCCTAGTAATCTCATTCTGAGTCTACTCCCCTAGATAAACAACCCCCTCGGCAATCACCCTCCCAACTGAAGTCAAAGAAAAAAAAAATAAATTTCCTCAACCTCGGTACCCTCCCCTCAAAGAAAGACTATCTCTTTCAACCCGTTCCGTGCAACCGCGATCAATTCCCTAGATAGGGAACCAAACCACCTGGTGACCTTAGGCGACCCGCGCAACAAACAAACCCTCAAAAACCAGCACCCGAAAGCACCTCGTCGGTCTAGATCCCCAATCTCGGTTCTAGAGCCTTGTCATGCAAAGAATAGTCCCACCAAGTTGACACCCGACGCACTAACAAGGAACAAAGGCGCGAGTAATTTCTTTGTCGGGTCTGGGCAGGACCGACGGCCCTGACTGAGCATGAGCGGGGGGCGGATTTTCTCTCCTTTTTTTGGTTTCTTTTGGGGCCACCGGTTGGATTATTATTGGTTGCTGGATTGGTTGAGTTTCTAGTTGGGGGCTAGGCGGTTAAGCAATCCCTGTCATTGTTACCTGTTAATGTTAGGTTATATGAGCGGTGCGACGGGAAGATGGTACGGCGTAGGACGGGCCAGGGATCGAGGCGGTTCTTTGTTTGGAGGGGTGGGTTTGTGACACCACACCTAGGTTTTGAACGGTTTGTTTGGTCGAGAAGAGAATTTGAGAAGGTAGGTTATCGGATCTACGATGGAGTCGATCGGGTGATATTATATCGCTGGTATATTAATTCAGTTCATTGCACTTCAATGTTTGAGAATCCCTGCTTCGATAGGGATCATGGTGCTATGGTATTTATGTACAGAGAAGCGATGGCGTCCTCACGAAGCTCGCACAGAAACATACGGCACGACTCGTACCACGCCAATAAGCCCGTTATCCACAGGCCCTGGGACTTCCAATTCCATCATCGCGAAGTTAGGCGAGTTGCCCGCGCTTCGGAGTTTGTTCAGCATAGTCCGCAAGTAGTTCCACATCGTAGAAGGCACGACAACCCGGACCTCATTGCGTCCGCGGACAAGGTAGTCTCCGATGTCGATTTTAGGGGCGTTGTAGTCGAATTCGGGGACGCGGCGATTGTTGATGAACACGCGCGCGCCGTTGGGGGTCTGAGGAAGAAAGAGGTACGCTCCGTCAGCGGCTTCGCTCGAGTCGGAGGGAGGCCAGGTTAACGAGGTGGAGTAGTGGCCTAGTCCGGACACGTTGGCGATGGCGGGAATCTGCTGCCACGAAACCAAAGATTTCAGATGGTGGGTTGTATTGTGCTTGTCGGCGATGATGGACGCGTCGGAAAGGTTGGATGGGCGTTCCCAGTGCTCCACGGTCAGAGTCCAGTTGGATAGAATGTATGGCTGACTGGGAGTTCGAGATGTGTGAGCGACCGTCTTGCCGTTGGATAGTTTGAGAGGCGTGTCGTCTGAATCGGCTGAGATATGGACATGTAGGTCTCTTGTGCTGTTTCCATATTTATATCCGATCACGGAAGATGGGACCTGAGTCGCGTGAGGAGCTTCGTTCCCACGAGGCATGAAGCCGATGATGACGGTTTGATTGCCTGCCAGCTGAAGGGGGATCACGGTCTTGCCGGCCTTCTGCTGGTAGTGAAGAACAGGTGTTTGCTTTCCACTCCAGGCATCGAAGATATGTGGCCGCTTAGTTGTCGCCACGCTGATATTGCCGATCGATTCGTCGATGTCGGAAAAGACATACACATAGTCAACGCCATCCGAGTTAGTTCGCCAGGTCGGATACCATGTCCCATTGCTTTGTATTTGCACGCGCGGCGTCACTCCCAGGCCGAGAAGCTGTGTCGCAGTCTTTCCAGCCGAAACAAGATGGACATTGTCAACTTTCTGTAGCGACGAGATTTCCCGAGTCAAAGTCTCTACATTTCCATCCTTAGAGATGTAGGCGTTGGGAACTCCACCTGAAAGGATAATCGGAAGTCCTGCGCGCGCAAAGGTTTTGATATCCCGCACAGCTTGGCTAGTGAGATTAGCTGAGCTAGGAACGACCAGAGCGCGAAATTCCGGGCCTTCAGGTGCGAGCGACCCATTTTTGACATGGGCCTGGGGGAGGGCAAAATTATCGGGCGAGAGGTATACGTATGTGAAACCTTATTAGGTTAGCAAGATGAGCGAAGAGCATTTTATAGGCACATTTTACCTTGCTTGGCAAGATCAGTCTCATTGTAGACCGTCCCCCAGTTTGGATCTGTAGCCGAGTCCTTGTTGTAAACAGCCACATCAATCTTCGGCTGTCCTCTCTGCTGGATGTACTGCACTCTTCCCATATAATTAAGCGCTTCCGAGAAGCCATGGTCCCAGTATGGAAGTTTCTCCGAATACAGATCAGCAAAGAGATACCAGAATGGTGTGTTTCCGGGCCATGTTGTCCCAAGATAGTTGCCTGTATAGGCCTGTCCGTGCAGGACAACCTGATTGACGCCTGCCGAGACGGCACGGCTTACCTGCCACAGCAGATCGGTGATTCTGTGCTGATAGGCTTTGGACGGGACACCTCCCATTTCGTTAGAAATGACCCTTTTTCCGGTCAGAGTAGCGGGGCCCGCAAATTGGCGGTATCCATCAACATTGTCGTTGAATTGGAGACTTTCGCATTCGGGGGTGTTCACATCGGGTACAGTTGCCAACGCGTCCAGAGGCAAGTTGTATGACACTTGAGACGAGAACTGTAGGTCCATCTCATTGGCCCAGTCTATCAAGTGTTTAATATATGCGCGGTATCCCTCCTGCAACGCACTTCGGAAATCACTGATATAGCCAGAGCCTTGATCTGGTGTGTCCAGTATACATTGAATCGTACCTGGCGCGCCGCTTTGTATATTGATGTTGTTGTTCTTGTACATGATCAAGGGAAGATACGGCTTGAGACTGTAGCCGTGCTTCTTCATGAAGATGTCCGGAAGTGCGCGAGTCCACGACATGTTTGATTCGATCTCGATACTGTCCTCCCAGCCTTCATTTAATTAGTCATTGTACATACTTCTCATGGACTTTCAACGCACCGTAATTCCCAACTGCAGCAAGCAGCGGCTTGATTTCCTCCTTTAGGATATGCTTTTCCCAGAACCGAGTGACCGTCTCCGCACCTCGAGCACTGAAGTGATCCACAACATATGATCCGTTGTCAAAGATTGAACTGGACGCATTAGTAGTGCTCGGATAATTTTCATGCAGGGTCAAGTGCTGATAAAACGCGAACAGCCTGTGACCTTGGCCTCTTTTTGCAACGGGTAGTCTCAATTGCAACTCGCCTGTGGCGGAGACGTTCTGCGACCACTCCTGTAATGTCGCATTCTTCAGCTTGTATTGGGTATAGTTTGGTTGTGTTTCGAAGATAGGAATTCCGGCTCCGGGATTGCTCAGATTTCGACTGGACAGAACTTGGGCTGACACCAGAGCCACCAGCTCTCCTCTGCCCCAGCCAGGAACCAAGCCATTAAAGACACCATTCGATGGGACGGCAGTCGAGGCAGCGGACTACAGCTCATCAAATCAGCGTTAGTCATGCGAGCACGCAGCAAATCATATACACACCAAGTCCCATTGAAGACCTTCATCGTCAGCGCTAGCTGGCAATCCTTGTCCTGCAGCTGGTCCAATTGCAAAATCCATCACCATACCCGCTTCCTTGTGAGCCTTTAGAGCAGCCTCAAAGATATTCACAAATGCGGGTGTCCCAAATCCATACGTCGACCAGTCTGCCCCAGGCGTAGACTCTCCATAGTTGTAGTAAGGAACGAACTCGACACCACCGGCACCAATGGCTCCTGCACTTTTGATATCCTTCTGAACAACGGTCGCATCCACGCTCGCGTCTGGAAGCCAGTACCGAAATCGAGGACGGATCCGACTCGACGGGCTCTCGAAGCTCCCATAGTCCAGGTCCGCATTGACCTGGTCGTTAACTGCCGTCAGTCCGTACTGCGGTAGCAGCAGTGTAGACAAGAGAGCGAGCTTTCTCATAGTGAATAGTCGCTGATGGATGCAGTTTTGGTCGTCCCCCTCTCCTATTCTACCCTGGGAGCAACCCATTTTAAACCCCAACTCTAACCCGAGCAGTGATCGTCAACCACATCCGCGCACATTCGGTGAATCACATTCCGAGATGGAGATCGTCCGGGAATTCCGAGCTGGCCCAGCTCGGGACATGACGACTTCGCTCCTCTTTTCTTGCTTCACTGTGGACCCGAGACGTTGAGCGTATTTCCGACTTGAACTTTAGAGTGAAGAAATAGTGATCGCTTACCACGAAAGACCACAAGAATTATTTAATTCTAACAGCAGGGAATAAAACGCTGCCCATAATGAGCACGCTCTCTACCCCTCCATCACTCTCAGAATCGAGCACCGCTTGCTCTGCTTCCTAGAGTACTCGGTTGAATGTCGGATGAACCCACCGATCGACAAGCCCATGCCGCATAACGTGTCCGAGGCCCAAAAGCCAAAGTCCATCGCCATCAATCCTCGAGCTCACAGCAAAGACCCCTCCACTTCCCGGCTTCAAAGTGGAGAATCGTCAAGGTTAGATTGTGTTCGTGGGGTAAGGTGTGGAGAAGTCGGGGTCGTGCCTGGCTGGCTAGGGTAGAAATGCGTGCAATTTGAGATCGGCACGAATCACAGAGAAGAATCGGGCTAGGAAATACCGAAGGCAACCAGATTGTGGTTTATATCTAGATGAATCAGGTTAAAGTCCGGTCGCTCCTAGTTGGCTTAGATAGTGCAGAGAAGATAGCGCCCGCCGGAGACACCTACGTGAACACTGTCTGAAGTTTTGTCGTCTGAGTCGATTGTATCGCCATCAGTTAAAACTTTCATCAATGGATCTCTTGGTTCCGGCATCGATGAGGAACGCAGTGAAATGCGATAATTAATGTCAATTGCAGAATTCAGTGAATCATCGAGTCTTTGAACGCACATTGTACCCCCTGTAATGGGGCTTTGTCACCCGCTCTTGTAGGCGGAAGAACAAGAAGAGGCGGAGAAACTAGATTGATGGGCTTGGTTCTCTCCTAGCAGTATGCAGACTACTGTTAACTATGAAACTGAATAGAAACGAATGATTATGATTGCGAAGCTAATGGGTGTTGTAAAGAACATGAGGACATCCGCCCGTAATATACAATATCGCACTGTGGCGTCATCAGGGGACTTCGACGTTTGGGACGAAAGCTGTTCCGTAGCTTCCTCCTACAGGATATTGATTGAATTGCTGCCTACGGGCGAAAAGGTTGTATGTTCCTACACCATACCTACCACCATTCCAATATCATACCATTCATCACTATATTGCTCGATCAGACCTCACGAACCTGTCATTCCGCAATCACATTGACCTCATCCATGTCAAATAAAGTTCCCGCTTAGCTTTAAATACCTGAGTGACACCCCTGACCTCTCCTTCGATATACCAGACTCACAAATCGGATCCCATCATGCCTGAGTTTGACTTTTTCGAGGGACTACCCGTGAATATTCCTCATACGCTAGCATCAACGATTAAAAACATCCAGTTCGCTGTCCGCCAAAACCTCCAACACCCCTACATTATCGCCGAGCATGTCAGCCCGGACATTGTAGAGAAACTTATGGAGGAACGCCGTCCATCGTTTCTCAAGTCAGCAAGACTGTTTTATAATGCCGATCTTAGGAAGTTGATTCTGCGAATCCCCTCCAATATTTACCAGACTGGAAGCAGATCTTTTAACGATGTTTTTGAAAGACAGCTAACGTCTCTTGGCCTCAACAAAGAGATGGACCCTACAGGCTCGGGGCGCGTGAAAGACGGGCCTTACTCCAAAGAGCCCTACGAATCTCATGGTGCTTGAAGTGGGTTATAGTGAGGGTCTCGGCAGGTTGAGAGTTGACTGCCGTTGGTGGCTCAGTCGCTCCGAAGGCCAGGTTAAGATTGCATTACTTCTATCCATCGACTCGGACCGACCTTATATTTTGATTGAAAAGTGGGAAAATACGCCTCCTATACACGGCCACAGTTGTCGAGTTCCAAGACAGCTTGCCCCACAGAGAATAGCAGCTGTCACGGTTGCCCTTGAGAATAGTCAGTACGTTGTTACGGGTGCACCGCTTCACTTGTCTATTGATGATATCGTGATACCGCCTGTTCCCAGCACTATTCCCCCGATTCAAATTGCATAAGACGATTTCCAAGAGATGGCAGGCGATATATGGAGAGCCCAAGGATTTGTTCCGAGACCTACATGACATATTGGAACTCTTGCTTCGGAGGGAAGAAATGACGAGTAAGTCCGTTTCTCGCAGAATTACAAATATTATTTCTTAGACAATAGTTATCTTACCTCAATATATAGGACGTTTTCGGGAATATATCGCTGTCATTCGGAGCCCAAGGTTACGGAAGGAGGGAGGCAGATCGAAGAACTGTTATTGTTGCCTACGGGCGGAAGTCCTCATGTTCTTTACAACACACCTATTAGCTTCGCAATCATAATCATTCGTTTCTATTCAGCTTCATAGTTAATAGTAGTCTGCATACTGCTAGGAGAGCAAAGTAAAGTATCATTAATGTTAAGTTATATTTACAAGGTAAGATATAAAGAAGTCAGGATCCTACCTGGCTAGCTAAAAATATCTATAATTTATAAATAAGTGCAAATGAAAAAGAAGAGTTAGAGAAAACAAAAATGTTAAAAATAATCAGATTATAGCGTATATCTAAATAAATTAAATTAAAAGTCTAGTTACTCCTGCTCCGTAGTTAACTTAGAATGCGTGTAATTTAAAGCTGGTACGAAGATGCTATCTCTCCATCTACTAGCAATCAGATAAATGATTCTGAACTGTCTTTTACTTTGTTAAATTGGGAGAATATGCCCAATCCATCCTACAGAAGCATGACTACCCCCGATTCTCAAACACTCTCGTCCAATTGTCCGCCAGCATCTCCTCTCTCCAAAGCCACCCCAAAGCAAACGCAGTCCCCGGTCCCAGGAGCCACGTTATAGCCGCCAAAGTTCCCACCACCTTAAGCCATGGAATCGGAATTCCATACAGCTGCATATCTCGCAAAGATAATAAAATCCACGCCATCCCTGATCCTAGCGAGAAGACCTCGTCATATCGCAGAAGACGGCCCATTCCGCTAGAAAGCGATGTGATAGGCGAATAGTAGTCCGACAACTTTGGTATGAATATGTCTGTCAGAGATGAATGCTCTGGGACGGAAAAGCGGACGTGGAGGAATGCGATACTAGAAATGGCTGCGAGCGTGAGTACGGTGACGCGGACATGGATAATACTCTGTCTGCTATTCCTTCGGGGTTGATCCGTGCTTGCAATGGGGCGATTCCTGCTATTAGACATGAATGCGCGCTGTAATACAGGAATAAGAACAGGGAATAATTGCCAGAGAGCGTTCATCCGTTGCTTCAGGGCCAGACCCGGGACCACGAAGCTAGCCCAAGTTAAGAGATAATACCCAAGTATGAGAGCTGGCAGGAGGGCTTTCGCGGCTGGTACGCGCACAGGTCCTTGATCGCCCACAAGCATGTTGGATAGCGGCGATTGAAGAAAGTCCATAAGAAAATAAACCGGTGCAGTTATGGCGATACTAAAGATCTGGGCGATCATCCCAAGCACCGTAGTACTAGACACCCTATCAGTAACTCGCATAGACAGATGGGATAGAAGCTTAATCACATACAATATGACATATCCACTTCCATGGTTTCGTCGATAGCTCTCTAGGATCCAGATTCCAAAGAGCGATCCACAGTCGGCCAAAAACGAGATCATATGAAGTCGGGACAATGGATCCGAGCCAGTGAGAGACGGCAGGAAGCAGACAGTGATAGGCCCCAGGGTTTTATCCAGCAATCCTATCTTATATAGTGGTCGCAGATCCAAAGTTTCGCCGGAACTTGCCTTCCAGGTTCCCGCGGAGACTATTTGCTCTAAGAGAGGCATGAGCTTTGCGAGTGTTGTATTCATGGCCATAACTGCACCCAACATGCAGAGGAACAAAGGCATCCCCCAAAAAAGCCGCTTCCAAAATGATTCATTCCGCAGATTCCGGTATTTATCGTCAAATGGAATCTGGCATGTGAGAGATCGCTTTGGGGACGGTAGAAAATCAAGTTTTTCGGAAGCAATGAACCCTTTTGTCGTTTCGTCGACCAAGAACCCGCCGATATGAGCATAAATGTATCGGACTATGAAAATGTGCTTTAGAGTTGCCAATGCCTCTAGACGAGTGAGAAAATATGCATTGCTGCAGAGTGCCCTCACTGGCGGCTGGCGCCTACTCTGCCAGGCGGATAGACAATCGCGAAGGTCTGATAAACTGTATGATGAAGACGACGAATCAAGAAGCGATTTGATATGGTTCGCCAGTGCGGCAGCAGTCTCAACGGCGCAATTCCCGCCCTGGCCAATATTGGGTGTCATTTTGATATACGGTTAGATTCGAAGCAACATTATCCAAACATGATCCAGCAATTCTTACCTTATGAACAGAATCTCCGATACAAACAAACCTGTCATAGGTCCAGTACTCGAAGAAGGCCTCCTCAAGCGGGGCATACGCCTTGACAATGACATTCTTGTAGACAGATGCAAAGGGAACGCCTGGCCCAACGTATTTCTCGAGGTGCAGGCTGACAGTTTGATCCAAATCTTCCGAAGTGAACCGAGGGATCGACGAACCTTGAAAGGTTTGACTCATTTTGGTATATAAGAACCAGAATACACGGCCATGTTTCCCCACGACCAGGAGAAAAGAAGCATTTTTTGCGAAGCTTCGGTGTACATGCCCTGGGGTCAACCCCGGTGTTGCGGATGAAATTCCAAATACACATGAATACTCTGCTTTCATTTCTGATATAAAGTTAGCGCATAGTCTACAGTGCAATGGAGTAGTTTCAGACGTACTTTTCCTTTCACGATCTACCACGCTGGACAATTGGGGACTCATATGGCACCACATCTCCTGTCGAACAGCGCTTCGAATCCCATCTGCTCCGACAACCAAGTCGCCACTGAATTGGGATCCATCAGCGCACTGCACCAAAATACCAGAATCAGTATGTTCGACTTGAATGGCTTTCTTTCCCGGGAAGACACGGGACTGGTCCTCTTGTAGATTTCTGTAAATGATACGCAAGAAGATCTGTCGATCGAGAAAGACAGTCGGATATCCATGTCTATGAGGCTCAATAAGTCGACATCAACTTGTAAGCAGAATCCAGATGCCTACCTCTCGTGCAAAACAGCCATGTCGTCGCTTTCCACGATCAGTCTACCGCTTCCAAAACAGTTGATTGATTTTCTCAGCGGTTCTACTTCCTCCAGCACGTCATCAAATATTCCCAATTGGTCGAGAACCCGACCTCCATTTGGAGTAAATCCAATAGAGCCACCACTCTGGGGAGCAATCTCATTCCGAGATTCAAGGACCACGTAGTCTATATTCAGTCTTTTCAGGCAATGCGCGAGGGTTAGTCCCGCGATTGATCCCCCGACGATCACGACTCTGAAGCCCTTCTTGGGCTGAAGTTCCTCCATGCCGTTGCGCACACAGGTTCGTCTCTCTTTGGTCTGCAATCGATGGGGCCAAAAGTCGGTCTATCTCGCGGGGTCCCAAATGCCAATACGTTTCTGCAAAGCTCGTCTTCAAGCCCGCGATATAAATCAGCAACCGTTGTCAAATCCAAAGTTTGACAAGTTAGGGCATTCCAGAAACTATAAAAAGAACATGGAATGTAGCAATATCCTCAACGGATATCAAGCGCTCGAGGTTCATCCCCTCGTGAAAATCTTGGCACGCTACAGAGAGGGGTAAGCCACCAATGGGTATGTCAGCTTTTAATGCCGAGAGTTATATTGGTCTTGTTTTGGCAGAACATCATATTTTTCTGCATGAGAGCATCCATCTTAAAAAGACAATCGGTGGTGGTGTAGTTTGTGCACCGTAGGCTGAGGCTTGGCAAATCATCAAAGACAGTGGAGTGGCTAGTAGGTACTGCGTAGATCAAGCATCGTCGAAGCCACGAAAGCCGCAATCAACTGAGGTCCTCTGGCGAAGAAGAAGACCTGACAGTTGCAAACACAGCAACCGCCATCCCCGACGAGACTTCCCGCATGTGCTCTACGTTCTGCAGTTGTAATCGATTGGCAACCACTGAAGGCTCCAGGGCTCCTGATTCAATCATCCAATCATTCAACGCGCGGTCGGTGTCATCATCCGTTGTTATTGGAGAGCAGATCATAAGCATTCTGGTCGGCAAACAAATTTGTGCTAGCTACCGCCGGTTCGTTTCTTTCCTTTCGTCGAGGTTGGCTCCAAGGCGGCAATATTGATCCGTCCTCATTGTGACTGATGAAATAAAGTTCTGGCCCAGAGACTATCACGTTATCATCGAGCCAGAAACTCAGGAAGGTTCTTTGATCTCATTGTTGATACTGAGCTGGCGCTAAGATGGGACCTTCCCACTAGGAGGCGTCAAGGACTCAAGGCCCACCACCGGGCCTACGCCGCAATCGTACAGAATATCCTCAGCTAGCCACAGGTCATTCACAGTGAGCGAATTAGCAAGGGAAAAAAGCACACTAGAGCCAAAGAGAGAAGGTCGAGAGCAACTCCGTAGAAGAAAAAGGAAAATTCGCTCAGCCCGACGCTTTCCGAGAGATCGACATCAACAAAACATCTTCCGCTCCACTTGCAAAAAGGCGGTCAGCGGCCTAAGGCAGAAAGCACGTGCCCCAGGCGACGAAAAGCCACCATACCCAATCGGGCAACACCAGCCCCGCATCAGCCACAAGCAAAAACACCCCGACAATCGCGCTTGTATTGTCTAGTCTAGAACGTTGCAAGACAGAGCTCGTTTAGGCTGATTGATTATTATCGTTGTGATCTACGAAGCGCTTTGCCTTGCCACATTATCCGATCTGGTCCAATAACGAGCTGTTAATTAATTGAAGACGCGCAAGATGTCGACCACGCCGATCTCGAAACCACGATCCTCAACGCCCACGGTGTTCGAGCAGCAGCGCGAAGAGCTAGTGCGAGAGATTGCCGGGGTATGTATTACTTTTCTACACTCTCCAGTGTCGTCAGGGACTCTCATGGGGTAGTGTGGCTAATTTCTCTCAGGGCATGGAGGAAGTCCTCCAAAATATCAACCGACTGAACCGAAACCTAGAGAGCATTATCTCGGTGAGTATCCCTACTGAATTGTCCCCTCATCTGCGATGACATCTCACTAACTACGATAAGGTGGGCAATGAATTCGGCTCCGTGGAGGCCCTCTGGTCCCAATTTGAGAACTTCATGGCCAAGCCGGAGCCAGAGGCCGAGAGTGCCGGGAAGCAGAAAGAACATCACCCAGAGGAGGGGCAGAGCGAGGTCCATGAGCAGGACTCATAAGCTATGAAAGAAGACGATTCGACATGATTGCATGCTAAGGGGTGTTCCGGTCTAGGATTTTTGTTGTTCATCATTTACGCACTTTGTTTATTATCGGGAGGCAGATACCAACATATCAAATAGACAATTTATTGATTCAGTTACATGGGATTTTCGCTTGCGCCAATAAACACCCACCCCATGCATGCGGAAGAGTGGCCTTCAGACCGAGTTCGTGACAGACATCAAGAATTGAAACAGGGGCCAGGCTCAAGGAAAGCAAAAATCGGGGCCGGGAGAAAGGAATAGGAGGGAGAGGGATAGAAAGGGAGAATCGTGATTTATGGAAACATTCATCAAGGGACAGAACAGGTATAACAACATGGGATCACATAATCATCAGAAGGCCGCCATTAGCAAGAAAGAAAAAGAAAAAGAAAAAAGGCAAGACAGATAACAGTCTGGGCGAAATGACAGAAAGTCGGGTCTCAGTGGAAAGCCGCCAAAGCAACCAGGCTTCTAATTCGGCGTACATCAAAACACATCAAGGCGCGAGTATAGACGGGGAAAGCAAACACGATACGATACCCAACAGATGGCGATCTACAAGATCTTGCAGGTGCGCTTCTTGACCTTCTTGGGACCGACACTCGGGCCGCCGCGTCCTGCGCTGGGTTTACTGCCGGACGAAGAGCTTTGGCTGTGGTTCCAGCCCTCCTCGACGTTGACAACGGTGTCGACGGCCATTTGGAAAACCCCATCCACTCCGCGCATCTCTTTGCTGCTACATTCCACATATGAGGCGTTCATTCTCCGGGCGACGGTCTGACCCTGTTCTGGCGTGACTGGAGTGAGTCCTTGGGTTTTGAGAAGCTCGATGCACGTCCTTTTATTCCGCAGATCCGACTTCAACCCTACCAGAATTATTGGCGTGGTTGGGCAGAAATGCAAGACCTCGGGATACCACTATAATACCGGTTAGCGAGATTTGATCGAATCAGATTCTTTTGGGTTGACGTACTTTATCCATCACATTCTCCAAAGACGCAGGGCAATCGATCGCAAAGCACACAAACAACAAATCCGTCTCGGGGTAGGAGAGCGGACGCAGACGGTCGTACTCTTCCTGACCAGCAGTATCCCAGAGAGCCAGCTCGACCGTCTTTCCCGAAGCCCGATGAATCGTTTGCGTGATGTAGTTCTCAAAAACGGTGGGGACGTATTTCTAGCAGCGTATTAGATCCACAGTACCTATCACGGGCGGAAACTACCTATCAACTCACCTCTGGGAAATACCCTTGGGAGTAACTGATCAGAAGACATGTCTTTCCACATCCACCATCTCCCACTACCACGAACTTCTTCGAATACGCCGGCGGTTGGGTGATATTTGTCGCCTCCGACGCCCGGCCACTGGAAATGCTGGTATTCGTGCTAACGGTGCCGTTGCTCACGCGGACGCTCTGGCTGCGTCCCCGGTTGTGTCCGCGGGTCATGGAAGGTGGAGGAGTGGCGAGAGAATGGCGTCGCGAGGCTGCATACAGTTGGTCGTCGTACATCTGACCTGACATATTGGCGAGATAGGAAAATTCGAGGAGAACGTGGTGTCCAGGACCGCCGAAAGGGGAAGTGTCGGTCTGACGAGACGAATTGAGATTTATTGAATATTATAGATCCACTGCACTCGTGAGGGGGAAGCCGGAGATTTTTCTTTTCTTTTTTTCCTTGTTTTGTCTACTCCGGTCGATGTGTCGTTCAATTCGGGTGCGGTGTAGAGCGATCGAGAATGCCAGGGGACGGTGATAATTGAAGCGGATGAAGAAAGGGAGGACGAGAGAGGGCGAGAGAGGAGGGAGAGAAAGAATCACGAAGATCGCAAACAGAACAAAGAAGAAACGGTGGAAGAAAGGGATGAAGGCCAGGCTCCCGGTCGAGATCGCTCATCCATGGCTGCTCTAACAACGAGGTCGCAGCTGACGTGAAACCGATGTTTACGGGCCGATGGGCTGCCATGGCAACGCCGCGGGACAGATGACGCACCAGCTCCGCTGTCACTCCCCCTTCCCAGTCCCTGAACCAGTCATCGCCGTTTATTTTTAGGTGATTCGCCCTGGTCTGGCCTGTCACCGCTCCGATCGAGAAATCGGATCCTGTTTCTTAGTGTCGGGGGTGACCCGGATAATCGACAATTCAATCTGGACGTCCCGGCCATCTTGAAACTGCTATTGTGCCTGCGCCTTGGCAGCGTCACTGATTCCTTGCCCTACGGTCCTTGGTTTCCTTGGTTCTCCATAGAACGCGCTAGTCGTATGCCCGACAGCCTTGCAACAATGCCTCATGTGTGGTTCTTTGTTTTCCCGGTTGTGCAATCTTGCGGGTAGGAGATGGTAGATAGTGGACACTTCCAATTGTCCAATTGACTATGGGGGAGTAGAGGCAGCCACAAAGAAATCCCGCAGGCATGAAAAGAAGAAAATTAAAGAGCTCCTCGCGCTTAACTGTGGGATTCCCTGACTTGGAGATAGCAAATAACAACTCCTCGCTTCGAAACAGTGGTAAACAAAAGAAACCTCTGTCTAGTTCAAACATGTGAAGGATCTACGCTAAGGGAGGCAATAGGATCATATTGGGTATAGCAATGCCCAATCACTTCCAAGTAAACCCCTCTCATCCGCCATCAAGAGTGATATCTGCTGCTTAGACTGCAGATTAGCTGCCTCCTGCTAAAAGATGACCTGCATAGTTCGCAGTAGTGCTGCGGCTGAGTGTGACTGCAGGCACGAGTATGCATAGATCGAAGTAGCAGGTGGGAGAATCATAGGGACTTTTGGAGTACCACAGTCCACTGTCCAATGAAGAAGCATCGATCCATCCATGGTTTATAAATCACGCTGCGTAAAGTACATTGACAATCTACACAGGCGAACAATGATGGCAGCATTTTGAGCCAAGTCCGTATCTAGATAATTTATTCTCCTATCCTTCTGTACCAACCTTGTAGCGCAAGTCTGGCGGAGTACTACTAGTACTAGATGTCGACACAAGATCTTATACTTCCATGGATAGTACTGGAGGTGGTTGATTATATACAGTAGTACTAGTGCCGGTACTCCGCAGACAGTCACTCCGTGGGCAGACATGGCCGATGTCCAGTGGGAAGGCCCATTCCAAACAGCAGATGGTTTTAACTGCTCATTACCTCGTAGGTAACTAGCACGCGTCAACAATATTCCAATTATCAAGGCCGACTCATGATAATCCCCATCTTGGCCGTCGTATTCGTACCGGCTCTGACTAAGCCGCTGACCGCCCAAAGCCGCAACCGCTTGGATACCGCGGGACAAATTGTGATGCCGGAGTTTAGTGATCTCGCTGTCCTTTTTCCCCCTGAGGGTGTATCGCAATCCGGCAGACACGCAAGTCTCCCCCTTTTGTGCTTATGAGCATCCGGAGGCATTGTCACCAGTGCAGCGCTTCCTGAATCCCGGCTGGACCTCGATCTATGGGGTAATCCGCAATCGCTTCCTTGAGATCGATCGTTCCGGATACGACCATCCACAATAATATAATGGGTGGCAAGCCTGATGCCGGCCTGCGAGGCCTCAATCACTGTACGTCGAGTTCCCCGAGCTCGGCGCATCCCGATCGGTGTGATGGTTGACGCCTTCTAGATCAGAGACAACTCCCGTCATGGCGGTATTGGCCCCGACAGAAGCTGCTGCCTCTGGTCCGGTTTGAGACGCCGTATCTCGCCTGGGCGCAGGAGAAGGTGCGGACTCCGACTCTCGACTCCTACTTCGCCTTTACGGCCAATTTGGGAACCCACACGTTCTTTATGGTCTTCCTGCCGATCTTGTTCTGGAGTGGATACAATAGCTTGGGCCGTGGGTAGGTGCTGGGAATCATCGCGTACCCGAAGGATCGGATCGGATAGGCTAACATTTTGCGCGCCGGTAGAATGGTCAATCTGTTAGCATCCGGTGTATTCTTCAGTGGATTCATCAAAGACTTGCTATGTCTTCCGCGCCCACTCTCTCCTCCGCTGCAGCGGATCACGATGTCCGGCTCTGCTGCTTTAGAATACGGCTTTCCTTCGACGCACTCGACAAACGCCGTTTCGGTCGCCGTGTACGGACTCGCCCTACTCAATTCGGATGAAAACCCTCTGAGTCCCACCGTCAACTTGATCCTCCAGGCCATAACCTATCTATATGTCTTTTCCATTGTCCTTGGTCGCTTGTACTGCGGCATGCATGGATTCTTCGACGTGATTGTGGGTTCGTCGCTTGGCGCTCTCCTTGCTTTTGTCCAGTACACGTACGGTCCGATTATGGAAGAATATGCGATCGCAGGGCGTAACAAAGAGGTTCTGGCAGTGGTGCTGATCATTCTGGTTCTCGTTCGCATCCACCCCGAGCCTGCGGATGACTGTCCTTGTTTCGACGATAGCGTGGCCTTTGCGGGAGTTTTGCTGGGAGCGCAAGCAGCATACTGGCACCTTGCACTTACCCAAGCCGAGTTCGCCGTCGCTCCGATCCCGTATCGCATCGAGAACTTGGGACTAGTTAAAACCGTTCTGCGCCTGGTCATCGGAGTGCTTCTACTCTTCGCTTGGAGAGCCAGTATGAAACCTTTCCTTCTGCGGATTCTTCCGCCGGTGTTCCGTGGCTTGGAAAAGCTTGGTCTTATCCTTCCCCGGCGATTCTTCACTAAGGCTTCGTAAGTGCACTCCCGGTTGCGATAAATATAAATTCGGTCATTAACAGTGCCGAAACCACAGCGAGTACACCAAAGTTCCTTCGCACCTTAAGGATCACGAAGTCCTCCCCAGCTTCTCCGATATCCCCTCGATCCTGAAGAACATTCGCCACCCCAGAAGACGCGCCATTTCGGTCGGTCCACAGTCCGAAGCCGATGCCTACGAGACGCTGGCATATCGTGAGAAGCGCAGACGGGAGAGTCTGTCCAACGGCAAGATGACGGCCCCCGTGCCGGAAGAGACGGAAAACGATCACGACTCGTCTAGACTCGACGCAACACCGCGACTCTCGCGCAAACAGTCGAAACTACACGAATACGAGAACATGATGGGGACGGGCAGCCCGCGCATTGCGACCGGTGTCGACACCAACTCCCGCCTGTCGCCGGAGACGGAACCTTTCCCTGCCTTTGAACAAGAGCCCGTCGAGCCCGACGAGGACGAGGTTTTCTCGCAGATCAAAAGACCCCGCGTGCGATACGACGTGGAGGTGATTACCAAGCTGGTTGTCTATTCTGGTATGATTCCCTTGGACCTTGGACCTTGCAACATCCCACACCAGATACTGACAACGGAACAATAGGAATCGCATGGATTGCAATGGATTTGGCACCTCTTCTCTTTGAGCATATCGGCCTTGGCCCCAACTAAATACTGGGCAGCCAGACCGAGTGATTCCCTGGCTCTGGAGGTACACTTTGATCTCCGGCTCAGCTAATCAAGCTGTCCGCGCGATCGCTGTAAGATATTTGACATTCTTGTATATATGATTTTAACGGGCGGGATTTTGAAGGCAGATGTATTATGACCTGTATTTGGAAGTCAACGTGCCTGACGAGACTAGAAAGTATGAATTTGATGCAGATCTACAGATTTCGATGCGAACAACTGCGTTCCAATCAGAAGGAATTGAAAGTAACCAAGATGGTCCTTGTGATTGATTCGAGCCGCAAGCGGATGCCTTAGGCGCATGGCAACAACTTGTAGACGAAGCCATCCGCGCCTTGCAACACGTCAACAAACCATCAAAACTTCACAATAACCCTCATCCATAATTATTTTAGCAGTCAAATTACAGCAAAATAAAGATAGGCATCTGCGGATCAAAGTAAGACGCGTTTTACCTTCCAAATAGCCTTGGGGAAGTATGATCGCCAATCTCCTTACTTCGCGGGAAACCCGTACTCAAATATATATATGGATTGCTTGAACTCCATGGCCAAATAAAACTTTCCGAACTCTAAAACCCCATTAAAATTACAATATAGCAATGGCAATCAATATCTGCAGAGGAGAAATTTAGAATTGTATAAAGTATGGGCTAACGCAACCTTAATCGTTGTTGTCATTTGATCTGGGTGGAGCCGTATCGATATGCTTCGGGATGTCTTCCGTGGAACTCGATTGACTAGCTTGTTGATTGCCTGGGGCATTTTCTTATGGAGAATTTACTTGATTTTGGGTAGAAGATAGGAGGGAGTTGTTTTCGGAGTTATATTGAATTAATTCCCTGGAAAATCGAATATATTGTATCTACCGACGCTGATCCGATGCAACGAAACGAAAAAAAAAAAAAAAAAAAAGAAAGAAGAAGAATGACGTAGAGGGACAGCAATTCGCGGATCGGACGGCTTGCCATTGGGTTTGGAGAACGTACCGAGGATCAGAAAAGCATACAATGCGCACTTTGCAGATGCACCCCTACTCCGTGGTATTATAATTCCTTCGCCTGCGTCGCTTTCCCCGTTAGTCCCGCCTTCCACGTGCAATACAGTAGACTTGCAGCGCCGGTAATTATTAAAACCACATCAATGCCACGCTACGATATGAAGAGGTGTATAAACTACCTAGATGGAAGAGGGAGTGGTGTGTTTGCCTAATGCTGAGCCTCGAAGGAATTGAATGGTCCTGGACAACCGGAAGGAAGAAATATTTTGTCATACAGAAGGCCTTGAAGATCTGGGAAGGTTCGAGTATTGGCAGCAGGACATTCACTCTACGGCTTGTTATGGCGAGTGCCTTACTCGATCTAGTTTCGACCAAGAAATAAACTGTGGAAGCCCCTGAAACAATCGTAGTGACTGCTGGGACCAATGGAAGACCGAAGACCAAAGACTATGTAGCGATTGAGCGATTGTGCATGTTTCGAAGACATCAGGACGATTGCAGGAAGACTCCAGGAAGATGCCAGGAGAGGAGAGTCGGCGGGAGTATAAGAGACTCCTCAATGGAGAACGGCCGAAGCCGCCAGCTGCAGAGCGTCAACCACGGGACCGGCCTCAGGCAGACAGCACGTGACCTCCCGAAGTAGATAAGCGCGGCTGCCAGCGGTCGCAGCTAAGCCCAAAGCAGCACCTTCACGTCTCCCAGCCCGCGACAGCTGGGAAACTTCACCTCCGCGCTCAATTGGCCGCAACTTCACGTTGTCTGCTAGTGCTTTCCCAGAAGAACCCCCATTCACCACGGCGACAGTCGCCATTTCCCACCACAACAGATTCACTCATGGACTGTGAAGGTAAGTCCTCTTGTTTTGTTTTCCTCTTCTCCCTCCTCTCCCACTTCTTCTTCCTCTCCCACCACCATCTTCCTGCACCGTCTCCAACCCGTATTTTCCATCCAATCTCTCCACACCCTGTACTTTTTGTGCTTCCAAGCTCTTCTTTGATTTCATCTATTCAAAATCTTCACACCTGCAAGTTTTGGTTCGAATTGAGCCACAAACGCAAACATGACTGACATTGAGATGTCGGATCAGTACTACCCTGTCGATGACGAGGACGTGACCATGCACGACGTGAGCATGCTCCCCACCGAGGAATCTGAACTCAGAGTCATGGATCCTTCCTACGATCCCATGGACATCAGTCCCTTCCCAATGAGAAGACCATCTCCCATTGGCACTCAGCCCAAGGGCACTGTCCCGGGCCACCTTCCCAACCCCTCCTCTCATACCTCTCGACCCGACCAGAACGACGCGACGCCCACCTCCTCCAAATTCAATGCGAAGACCCTTTACCACAATGTCACCCGCTCTCCCTTCATTCGTGTGGTCAAGCGTTTCTCGCCTAGGTCTCCGGTGGATAACGACAACCCGTATCTTACCGCTCTTGATCCCAAAACGTCCGTCTTGCGACCCATGCATTTACAAGAGAGGACTCCTGTCAAGGATCCCCTCGAGAGAATGAAGCGTCTCTTCCGTCCCCGCGAAAAAGCGATGGCGACGCGCGATTCATATGAGCCAATCTCCGAGGACAAAATTGCCGATCGCATCCCTCAAAACCAGACTGCTGGAAACATCTCTCAGAACCAGACTACTGGACAGAGCTCTGAAGACAAGACTGCCTTCCGCTTTGAAGTCAAGGAAAAGCCGGCCAGCTTCGAGTTTCCGTTCAGAGTTTCAGACCCGGAAGCATCCAAGAAAAGGTGCTACAACGATGGCCCAGCCCACCCTTGCAACTATCAGGTTCCTGAGGTGGCTGGTCATGTCAATACTAAGTATCGTCGCGTGAGCAATAACGACTTCCCGATCTCGGCTATCAAGGCGAACGATAAGCAAAAGCGCGCCGCAACCAATGAAGGCCCCGTTGCCTCTCCTACCACTGTTCCAAATGTGCCCTCGTCGCGCGCGGAGCCCACCCATCTCGCAGCTCACACCGGATCCCCCCACTCTTCTGCTCATGATAATCGTACATCCTCCGACCGCGTGACTGACGCGCGCGTCTTTGCTCAAAACAGCAATAAAAATTCCCCCATTACCGCCACTTGCCATATGCCCGGCGCGTGGCCTGAGTCAACTCCTGTTCACAACCACACGCAGTCTAGATATGACGCTGTGGTGGGAGGTGCTTTTACTACTATTTCCGATGACATCGTCATGACTGATTACGATGAGCCCTCCAAAATTCGCAACATGGCGGTTGTTCAGAATGGAGAGAACATCATTCAGTCTATGGAAGTCGATGAACGTGATCAAGGAATCCAAAACATGGACCTTGACCAGAATGACGCGCTTTTGCGCGAGCAACACCCAAACATCTGGCATGACTACTGGCACGCGGCTTACCAGGGAACCACCAAGGCAGTTGGTAATTTGCTCAACTTCGTCAAGGACGCTTTCACTTCCGCTGGCTCTTTTGCGCCCGTTGTCGACCTGACTTTCAGCATCTTTAGACGGCGTCGCCAGGGAACTCCTGAACGTCGCCGTGGATCTCGTGAATCCTCCCCCATCCATCAGCAGTCACCGACCCGTGTAAATCTTCGTTCCCTCTCAGATGAGCAGCGCCACAAAATCCGTTGCCATAAATGGCGCAGCGAAAGAGGAATGGCGGGCCCGGTCGAGCTGCCTTTCCCTGAACTCCAAATCAAGTACCCGCTCTTCCCGTCTAGTGATTCTTCATCTCCAAACAAATCCCTCAAGTCGTCGGGAAGCTTGTCGGCCAAGGGGGCCAAGAACCCCAAATTTACACACAGGCAGAAGGATAAGCACAGCGACTCTCGGAAGGCAAAGGGTAAACGGTCCACCAAACACGGAGTTCACAAGCGATCTAAAAAGGCCACCCCTCACAAGCAGCCTGCTGAAGCCAGTGCTCAGCCAAGTCAGGCATGGGTTCAGCCTATGAGCCCCAATGTACATCGTCGAGTGTTTTTCGCCCATAGCCCCCCAAAAAGGTACCCGGAGTTGGCCGCAAAGGAGCGGCAATACATTGCATGGAGAAACAGCCTCGGCGAAAAACGTCAGAAAGGAATCGAAGCCCAGGTTCAGGAGAAGGAGCGTGCTGCAGCTGCCGTCCGGCAGAAAGCAACGGGCCCGGCAGAAGATCAGCGCTCATTGAACGAGAAAGAGGCCGCCGAGGGAAAGAAGAGTCGCAAAGTGCACTTCGCAGAGCCGCTGGAGACAGAGGTTGCTCCCCACCTTCGTCCTGACACCCCGAAGACCAAGTCAGATGAAGGCCAGAAGGAGAACATCCCCCCCGCGACTGAAGACGCCGAGAAAGCCCCCCAGGTTACTGTCGAGCAAGTCTCAGAAATTACCGTTGAGAATGTCCCAGATGTCACTATCGAGAACGAAGCCCCCCAGGATACCGTTTCAGCTACCGAGACCGACGAGGATCCATGGCTCCGATCTGAAACCCCCTTTGGAAGACCCGTTTCTGCCGTGAGATTATTCTATCCTGATCCACAGCCTCTACCCACCGGCAGAACAGAGTCCATCTATGCGTCCGAATGGCGCGAAATCGAAGAAGAGGAGAGAAAGAAGAGAAGCCCGGCTCGTATTCGTCCCGATGGCCCGGCTGTACGTGCACTCAGTGAGCAATGGGAGAACAAGGTGTCGGAACTGAGGCGCTTGCCCCCCAGTCGGAAGGTGGCAACGACCTTGAACGGTGATAGCCTGCACCAAAAAGATCTGGCGACTTGTTACACGCGCATGGCCTGGCTGAACGATGAGGTCATCAACTCCTACCTCGCCCTTATCGTCGAATACCTCCGCAGGACCCACAACAATGCTGGCCGACATGACAAACCCCGCTTTCACGCCTTCAACACATTCTTCTTTACCAACCTGCGCGAGAAAGGCTATGAGAGCGTGCGTCGTTGGGCCTCTCGGGCCAAAATTGGGGGGGAGAGCCTCCTGGACGTGGACACCGTTTTCGTGCCAGTCCACCACCACGCCCACTGGACACTCATCGTTGTGAAGCCGATGGCCAGGACCATCGAGCATTTTGACTCTATGGGCTCACCCTCCCGGAGCCACGTCGAGACCATCAAGTCATGGCTCCGGGGGGAGTTGGGCCCAAAGTTTCGGGGGGACCAGTGGACGGCGTTGCCGTCCCGGTCCCCCCAACAAGACAACGGGAGCGACTGCGGTGCGTTCCTGCTTTCCACTGCGAAAGCAGTGGCCATTGGGCTCGAGCCACTATCCTACGGCGCAGCGGACATTAGTCTGCTGCGCCGTAGGATAGTGGCCGAGCTCATGGCCGGTCGTCTAGAGGGGGAGTTTGACCCCGCCCATGGTGGAGAGGTGCTGCTCTAATCCCCTAGGGGGTTAGAGCGCCCTCTCCACCATGGGGGCAGGGGTCGGGGGAAAAAGGGGGGAGGATTCTTGAATGTTTTTTTTTTTTCTTTTTTTTTTTTTTAATATTTCCACGTTGTTTTTGTTTTTTGTTTATGTTTTGGTTTTGCGCTACGTGCGCGGGTGCATCCACTGGAGTTTTCTTTTCTTTTTTCTGTTAGAGTACAGGGAACGGCTGGCGTTCTTGTCTGAGTTGCATTTGTCTTGAGTGATACCCCGTCAGCTGAAGCATTGAAGCTCCTGACTGCATTGAAAGCGTTGAGATTAGAGACCATTGGCGAGGTGTCTGTGAACGGAATTCCGTTTTTGTTTGAGTTGGACAGGATCGGTTTGCATGTGGATGTTGATGCATTCCAGACGTGTTTGAATAAAAATGTATTTTAGATCATTGATTGAATGACCATAATTGCGGACCGGTACCGGGTACCGTCTTATCAAGCCATCTTGTTTTCCTATAGCGTTGTACTTGAGGTATTGAAGAGAATGATATTAGGATTTGATGGACGTAGCCAGAGCGCACGGATGGTGAACTCGAAATGACAGGAAGGTTGGATAGCCAATAAATCATCAATCATCAATCAAAATTCTATTAATCTGGTATGGCCTATCTATGGAAACCACAAGCCATGATGGAAGGCTGGATAGTATTTCACTGTGGAGTCAATTCTCCGCACTATAGATATCAAGCACTAGCTAAACTGCGAAGAATCTACTCAGACTCACTGAAATCATCACCGTGAGCCCTGGCAACATTCAACGAGTCCCATCTCTCCGAGAAATCGACCGCCAGAAACCTACGCCATGGAATGAAGACGAACGTCGTCTCTTCTTCGTTTCTATCTTCTAGCCGAGAAAGACGTACGTAGAACCATAACCTTGTTTCTGAATCACAATCGGCTGGGTTAGTTTAGCAGTGGACTTTGTACCACGAAGAATGAGCAATCCATAGATAGGCAGAATCTCAACGACAGATGTGTAAATTGATCCGTTGATCCGTTGTCAGGTGCTGGACGAGGAAAGGTAGCGAGTAAGGCGATTGGAAGAAGAAGACAGACATGAGTGGCTGTGGTTCTTAGACTTGAGGACGAACGAGTTCTCAATTGACCAGTAGAATCCTAGTATTATTTGTAGATGTAGTCGGAGAGCAAGTATGTCATTTCGTCATAGGTTTTTATGTCTGGTCGATGCAAATCGGGACGCGAGCGAGGACGATAGTTGGATATCGGCGTGGAGGGTTCAGTGCGTATGGAGTTCTAGAGCAAAGGAGTGGTTAGCGGAGAAGATAGCATGTTAGGGAGCGGGCATAACAATGACAATAGAGGATAGAGAGGAAGGAAGTATGCTAATGTAGATAACATTCTAACAAGATATTGCTTGAGTCGAAAGAAACTCAGCCGGAGCAGTGCAAAGCAAAGCAAGTTATGGAGTAGGTAGATTGTTTTCCAAGAGCCCGAGACCATGTCCGCCGGGAGTCTGTACGCTGTAGAGTCGACGGGGTCGAGTGTACCCAAACCAAAGCAAACATGATTGTTATCTTGCATGTACTTGCAATTATCCTTGATTCTTTCGATAAGAAATCAAACCAGACTCGGTCGCTTGTCTCCAGAAAGTCGTTCTGCATCTAGATCTGTCCGGTTTGTGGTGGCCCACTTTGTATGGGAAATGGGTTTCCCCCGGAATGACTTTTGGACATCGCATCGTTTTCACGCACGATCATAGGCCAGGTGAGGTCAGTGAGACTATATGAGAGCTAGTCTATAATCGATAAGTCTGTATCGAACCAATTCCAATCAAATAGTTATTGCACATTGGTTCATCGGCTCGAGTTTGTTTGCGGCGTACTCTTCGGGGTCGCGTCAACTGGCATCGGGTCGGGGACTTCGGAGAGGGTCACATAATGCTGGATACTGCGAAAAGCATCTATAGAAGTGTTAGATTGAAGCAGAATGAACACGGGAGTGAATCCAGAGCCAGAATGAGGTTGAACTTTTGTGTTGAGTACTGTCGTAGGAAGTCTCGTAGGTACCTTAGGTAGATGGCTGCTACCTGCGGGGAGACTTGGATGTTTGTTTACTTACCTGAGGACAGCAGTATTACCAATACCCCAGCCCCCGTATCGATGCCGATGAGAGAATCGGACAAGGCGGCGATGGTGATATATTTCAGTCCCCCAATCAACCGCGAAAGTTTTCTCGGGAATAGTGGCGACGCGCCTCAGGCACGGCACGATTGGCTGCTTCGGAGTGGTGTGGCTGCCAAGCCTGTTGGGTTGCGTCGTAATAATACCGTCACAACTGGTATTCAATACCGTCGGTTTTCATCTTTCGGGCATCACCAGTTCGATGGTAATGCTATATAGAGATATTGTAATTTTGGCATCGTGGATTCTCAGTTCTGGAGTGGAATATTCCAAAGGCCTGCTTTTTTATCGCGATCAGAATGACGGATTCTGAATCATCGACGCTGACTGCGGATTGCAATTAGGGCTGCCAGGTGGTCAGGCGCCAAGCCGAGATCCCGTGTTGGCCACGAAAACGACGGTCAAAGGAGGGGGCGAGGCTTTCTGCCTCATTAACCGTCATCCACCGGCAGTAATCCATCACTAACCACATCACAACCATCCAAGCCCATCCATATCCGTGTTCAAACTGCTGTCAAAATGGACCTCATACGCTGTTGAGTTAACCAGGTGACGTCAGTGAAGCTGGAAATCCTCTAATCCTATCGAACAACTCCATCCCTATTCTTATCCCTATTTATTACTACCGCCATCACAATCTCTCGTCATGACCGCCACCCTTGAACGCAGCGTTTCTCGAACTTCGAGCATGTCGATGCCGATATCTAGCCCTAGACTCTCGCTAAGACACGAGACCACCCCGCCCAGCCTCTCCGATCCCGCCCTCTCCCATCTCCACGACCGACTAACCCTGCTCGACTCGCGTGTCCTCGAATTACGTTCGACAATCCTGACCAAAGATGGCTACATCGACCGACGCAACCGCGAGGACGAACACATTCGCCGGGAATTTGAAGCCCATCGCTCCATCTCGAGCCGCATCGACCTGAACGTGGTTGCGTTACGGACCGATGTCGACCAGCTCAAGTCGGGCGTTTTCCAACTGAAATCGAGCATCGGCCAGTCCGGCAACGAGACCGTCTTCCTACGCAGCGATGTCGACCGTCTTTCGAAGAATATCGATCAGATCCAGTCCGATCTGAAGCAGCTGCAGACCGACGTCTGTGGATGCAGCGTGGAGATCAGCAAATTGCACGCGACTATCAGCCAACTCCGAACCGATCTGATTACTCTGCAGCACGAAACTTCTCGCCACCTGAACTCGGTTTTCGACCGGTTTTCTTTGATCGAGTCCCGGATGAAGCATTCGGAACGCGTCCGATTCAACTCTCTGGCCCACACAACACATGCTCCTATCACGCCGGTACCGGTCGTTGAGGCCGACGGATCGTTGCAGTGGCCCGAATATTTTCCCAGGACCGTGTGGCGGTTCTGGTGTTTGAAGAAGCGAAGTCGGGGTGAGTGGGGACAGATAAGGCAAATACTTGGGGGTTTTTCTAACCATGATTCTTTCTAGTCAACCGCTTGATCCAACTGGCCGATTTTTACGAGCTTGGGGGATACCAGTACTGGGGTCGAATGCATCAAACCGAATCGACCTTCGGAAGTGACAGCGAGTCCAGCGACTCGAGTGACTATCCTTCCAACTTGACCCGTGCGGAAGCCGTCCGCTTGTACCCGGAGGCTGCTCACCAGGCTTTGGCCGCAACACTAGGACTAGTGTATTACAAGATCCGCAACGAGGTCGGCGAAGGTCCGAATGCTCATTTACCCGCCCGTCCTCCCAAGCGCCAGCAGGAAGAGGTGGCCTCGGCCAACTCCGGCTCCAAGCACAAGCAAGTGAAGGTGGCGCGTCGTCCCAATGATATATCGCCCACGACTCTCCACAAGCTGGTTACTGGACCCTCGCTGGAATCGAAATCCATCGTGTCCGAAGAATCGGACAGACTCGGATGGAACGCTCATTCTGAGACCTCTGACGAGGCTATGAGCAAACTTCGAGGCATTGTTTCGGAGGAAGTGGGTACATTGCTTCGGGCTTTGGAACGAGGTCGTATCAAACTCAAGCCTGGTCGGAACGAACGAACGAATCTGTCGCCTACTGAATCCAAGGGCGGGCCTCGCAATAGCAAGCTCGGCTTGGATGGGGCGCAAGACGATGACGAGCGTACCTTGCCGAATACCATTCCCACAGAGATTGTTTCTCCTTCCTCTGGGAAGACTGAAAGAACGGAAGAGCATGAACTTCCCGATACTGCATCCAATTCCACTAGCCCATGAGAGGGCTAGCCACCAGTTGGTTTAACCAAGAATACAATGTACGGTTGATGGATCTTGTATCCTACCGCTGCACTGAAAGCACTGCTCCATCTCTCGGAGCCCGAGCGGGAGTTTCATAACTCCTTGGAGCGTGAGTATTTGCTCTTGAGTACATCGCCGGATTGCCTCTGCAGCAACTCATCATCTGATATAAGTTGCCTTCGGTGGAACACCGGCATGTGCTCTAATAGATGGACTGTCTACCATCTAATGATGAATACTCGCTGAATAGCGAGGAGCCTGTGGAATGCCTCCCAGATCATAAGATTATGACAAATTAGCGGCATCTTGGGACTTAGGTTTGGCATGATAGGCGTCTTCGGATATGTGTTATATGATACCCTTTTTGCTAGTTTTTGCTTATTTTTATTGTTGTTTTGTTTTTTTTTTTCTTTTTCTTCTTGCTTTTTTGGCGAGTATTGCAAGCGTTCTAGATGCCTGGATTTAATTGTTCTGAGTTTGGCATTTTAAGAGCAATCGAGCAGTGATATTAACGTGATCCTACAGTCTCGATGTCGATCGAATCGAGATGCCCTTCGCCATCGGAATGAAGCTGCAGCATTCGGACTGTCCACCGAGGTCCGCCTGCGACGCCATTCCTTGTAAAGAGTCCATTTTCCTAGCTCTACGCTGATAGAAAATAACCCTTGAACGCCCATGTTGATGCCGTTAATATCATGCGGAAATATTTGGTAAGTTCCTTCTATTACGTTCTAGGGACTAATGGAAGGGCTAGAAATGCCCCTGGTAGACCTTCCCGCAACGCTCAGCCCATGATGGGATCCCAGTTTGGATTTCTACCCGTGAGCGAGCCCCATCCCCGAAGGTATCCAAGGGAGGCACACAACCATAGACATGGAAGATGGCTCTGACATATTCACTGTAGATAGTTATAGTTAGTAGCCTACCACATATTATTGTGTAATCTTATTAATTCACATGCAAATTATGATCTCAGAAGCTGGTATCCTGGTAATCCGCGTCAAGTGCAGACACTCCTGATTAACTATAAAATTACCTCTAAGAGAACATAGTCACTTAGCAAGAAGCGTAGATTCACCTTGAGCAAAGATAGTATTCATTGTATTTCTTTGTTGCTTTATTCCCTCAAAGCTGCTGATTTTAAACTTCTTCTGCCCTGCTGGGCTTTTCTCCTCTTCCTATCTCTCTCCCCACTACTCATTATCCACGGGATTTTATAGATTCCACATCTTCAATATATTGACCTTCTCCATATACTATAATCTTTCCTGTCCCTTATTTAATTCTTCCGAAGCATATGGATAAGACCTCATCCTGGATTTGAATTCTTCAAGACGGACTTTGAGAATTCCCCTTGTACGCAATCTGGATTTTGTTATTTTCTACTGTCGCCAAAACCATCGAACATTTTGATTCTATGGGCTACTGTGCTGGAAAACGACGAAGCTATCGTCCACTGAATCCAAGGGCATGTCTCGTTATAGCAAGCTCAGCTTAGACGGGGCACAAGACGACAAAGAGGTATACTTCAGCCAACATCATATGGGTTCTACTGCATGAATGAGCGAATGAACGCCGTCGAGTTAGAAATCAAGACCAGCAGATCGAGACGAGTGAGTTGCAGAAACCCCGTCGAGTCGAAGCGTCACAACAGACTGGAAGAAGACACCAGAGAGATTACGAGCCAAAACACCGAAAACTACACATCTATTTCTTGAGTCATTGACCCTAAGTCAAGCCAAGGGCTATATTGAGGTTGAAGATTTTCGCCCCGTGCACAAAAGTTTGCTTAGGTATCAGGACATCTCAGAGATGCTAGGTATACCAAGCGACGAAATGTCCTTGGTCAGTTGCACAGGACAAAATGCCCTCGTGGCCTGAAAAAAGTGTGCAGATCCATGGGCTCGTGGTATTCAAGAACAGACTATACCCAAAGGCGACCCTGTGGGCTACCTTTTCTACAGACATATTGCCAGATCAGACCCCAAAAGGCCGATTATGATGATAGATCCGACGAACACCCGTGGACTTTGGATAGCTTTGTCAACTTCCTCAAGATGATATGAGACGCGCGAAAGAACCCCTGGGTGAAAGAGGTTGGATGCATTCCAACGTTAGTTCTGGTATAAGTCTCAAAAGAAGAGGATGCAAGAAGAACAAACGATGGTGTTGCGACTCAGCCTTTCTCAGCAAAAAGCTCACAGAAGGCACAGCAGGCGGCTGCACTTGCAGCGAACCCTTAACCAAGGACCATTGGGGTCACCGTAGGTGCTACCACACATGTGCGATGATATCTATACTAATGAGTCTCAGTACTATGACATACCGTCAATAAAGCTAGACTAGTATGATTTCAAAAAAACCAACTACCACCAACCAGAAACTTCGACTAGCTGGAGTTTCAAGTCCACAACAATAAACTGTGACTAAGCGACCAAATCGAAAGATCCCGTATAATCGAGTCACATCTGGACGCAGACGAAGCTAGAGGCAAGCAAGTCAGGAGGAAGGAAATAATGACACACTATACCCAGGAACTTCGAGCTTGAGGCATAAACATATGGGCACTGAAACAAAGACACTCGGTAACAAAACTGAGAGGGCAGATCCCACGTACACCGAGCTTCCAAGATCAGTTCATGAAAAGGCCACCAGAATCAATAGATTTCTCGAAACACAGAATGGCCGCTTTCGAGCCAGGACGACGACTGGGAAACATCATTTACGGAAGTTTGTATACCATTGATCCGGTTTCGAGCACGATGGAAAAATGCGACTCGGCATGCTCCGATATTTGAGTTTCGAGATCTGGGCAGCTTCACAAGGCTGACACACCCCAGCCTCATTCTTATATTTTGCTTACAAGTCGATCATGGATGTCCTCTCAAGCGACGGATTTGGTTCACCAATATCAACCTAGGTATTTACCAGTTCGACACATACGGAGTATACTGAACTCCTACCAGAATGGACATAAAATCAGTACATGAACACACATTCTGCTCTCCCAGGAACAGAGAAAACAAAGCAGCCAGTTCGACTTACGACCATTCTTTCACATGCAGATATCGGACCTAAGGGTCTAACCGATGATAGCTATAGACTACCTTACGGCCGCTGTGTGCATCCCAGTCATGCCTGGGACTTTTTAAGTAACGGTCTCTTTATGAGAGTACTACTCCCACAAAAGAAAGAACAACAGTGTATTAAACTTATTAGGCACTCGTGCTTAGTTACTATTCGAATGGTTGGCTCGAATAGCGCTATTTAGCTCGTGATCCATCGTGTGCAGAGTCACAGCAGGAACAGCAAACCGTCCAGTTTCTTACAAACCTCTCTGAAAGACAACCTAGAATCCGTGTCCTCGTGTGTACACGTACAATTCTTACATCCGCTGATCTGGTTGGAGCCCTGCGCGATGCAGGACTGGATGTGAACGAAATCAATCACAAATGGTCTTCCCAGGACAGGACAGAGAGCAGACAGTTAAAGATGCCTGATGATCCTCTACACGTTATTGTATCCTCCAGTATTGACTACGCTGGTGAAGACCTGATAAATACCGATCATGTGGTCTACTCAGAGCCTGGTCATCCCTGGGAAAACGTGGCCAGCGAGGTCTTTTTCATTCCGATAGCCAAACAATCATACCTCCTATGTGGTCAGGGGTTAGCCATATATTTGCCCTGGTTTGTCAAATGCAGCCTCAAAGGACCGAGGTATAAAACTGCACGACAATCCTCTCTATCAAAAGTACCTGAATGGCAGACTTGACAACTACCCAGACCTGATTCCGTCCCCCTGACCTCTCCTTCGATATACCAGACTCACAAATCAGATCTTATCATGACTACCCGTGAATATTCCTCATCCGGTAGCATCAACTTGAGGTTACGGAAGGAGGGATCGAAGAACTGTTATTGCTGCCTACGGGCGGAAGTCTTCATGTTCTTCACAACACACCTATTAGCATCACGATATTAAGTGTTCGTTTCCATACAACTCAATAGTTCACAGTACCCCATCCCATTGACATCCTGCGCGTTGTTCCTGATCATCACTTTGTTGTCTAGTTAGGAATCGACCTCATTTTTCATCATCAAATTCATACCTGAGGTTGACCACTTGGACCACCTACCAGTTTCGACCCTGCCAGTGTGTAGATTCTGCCTGCGAGGCGTTCAGTACTCTGGACGTTGATGGCTCCATTGCACAAACAAATTCGAATTTGCTCTTTTCAAACTAGCAAATACAGATCGAGTTCTACCTACACATGAGTGCCGAAAATTGCTCATGGTCTTAAGTTGAGACTTGGTAAGATGACTATTAGGATTAGTCAATACAATTTCACTGAATCAAATCGATCCGATATCTATACCCATGCAAAGAGAAGTCTATATGTAATACGAAACCCTGAGACCAGCTCGGGAAGATGTGCCACGAAGAGAATAGAGTCCCCGATTATTCAGTTTCCCCTGCCGGAACGGGCTCAAAGAGATCTTGTTTCAACACTTCCAGAACTTTCTTCTCGTCGATGTTCGTAAGATCCTTCGACCCCGGCAACGGCTGTGTGTCACCCTCGGCGGTCACTTCGCCAATCTCAGGCTCCGGGTCTGGATGTGTTCGGGTGTATTCTTCCTCCAGAAGGAATCGAGATTCCGTGCTGTCGGCATTTAATGTCTCCGGAGACTCATGGAGCACATAAATGGTAGGAAACTCCAAGACCGTACGCCCTCGGAGGGCGGAGGTGAGATCCGTCTTTGGGGACAACGGAATCAAGACAATTTGTTTCGTGGCGGTTCTCGGACGATGCAGATAGAAGAAGGAATTGCGGTGCGAGGTAATATCGGCAGGATTTGTAGACGATTGTTGGTTTGGAGCGTCGGCTGATTGTGACTCGTTCTCGACTGGCGGCGTAGTCGCGTCGTGCGGTGTTTGCGTCTCTTCCGACGGTCCCGTGCCTTCAAGCGGTTCGACCACAGCCTCTGAATCCTTGCCTTTATCCTCTTCCAAAGACTGTTTCTGCTGCTCTTCCGTTTTCTTCTGCTCCTTCTCCTGCTTCGGCAGAGGATAAACCCGATCAAACGCCTCCGCAACGGTACTCGACTCGAGACAATGTCTGCTCCTCTTCTGCCCGTCCGGCATAATCCACTCGACCATCCAATTCAGGTTTTTCGCCCTTCAAAGCCCTCAGTCAGTAACCACGTCTAGGATCCCACAAGCAACAGAAAAGAAAAACATACTTAGGATGCCACCTCGATCCATTCTGCTTACTCCGAGTCATCCCCTTCGGCGCACGAATGACCTTCACACCCGCATTCTCCGCGGCGCGCATAAACCCAGCCTCTCCCCTAACCATCCCACCATCATTATTCGGCCTCTTTCTCTTCCGCGCGCCATCGCCCTCACTCTCGACTTCATGCTCGAGCCCCACGGCCGCAACATCCGTATAGCTATGACGCTGCGGATCGACCTGAACGCCTCTATTATCGGCATCGCGCTCGGCGCGCTCAATCTGTCGCTCGATTCCCGTGATGAAGTTGAAGTCGCGATCGAAGGCGGCCTCGGTGGCTAGCTCGTTGCGACGGAGGTAGGCAGCGGGATCGCGGACGCCGGAGCATTGCGACCAGAGTTTATGGCGGCGCGAACAGGGCAGGGAGCATGTGCGGGTTGAGCATCGAGGGCAGCGATATCTGGGCGCGTTAATGTGACTGTGGTCTTGGTTAGGATTTTGTCGCGACGGCGATGCAGTGATGCAATGCAGTGGGTGACTGGGGCGTACCAGATGGAGCAGAGGTCGGATAAGAGGGGGTCCTCTGTGCCGGACATGATGAAATCGAGTAATAAATAGAACTGGGAGCTAAAGGAAACATGTACAGGGAAAGAAGAAAAATGGAAGAGCGCGAGTTGGAGAGGCGGAGGAAGAAAAGTTGGAGAAAAGTTTGGGAGATCCGCCCCACCGCGTTTGTCCCGATCGAGTTGACGCTCTCCACCGAGGAACTACGCAGTATATAATCTTATAAGGTATGGCAACAACAACAAGAAGACAAGGAAAGAAGGCAAGTGTTTGCTGTAGTCAGTCCCGAGGAATACGCTGATAGACGTCATAGAGTCTACTCTCGCCAGCTAAAGAGTGAATACCCTGGATCTAGGAACTAGACTTTGCCGGAAGAAACGCTCATCCTCTCTAGACTGCTCCGAACTGTTCTGCTCGATGCATAATCTCCTTGAAGGACCATGAAAAGACGCCAGTTAACGAAAGACAAGATATAGAAGTTATCAGAGGTCCGTACACAATCACCAATGGTCTCCCAGCAGTCCATGTGAGCTACGAATTCACGTCTCTGGGAAGTCTCGCGAACCAGACCACTCTGGTATTTCAGAACCTTCTTATCACTGAAGCCCAGGAAGCACAGGGAAATCAATGTATCCTAGTACACTGTGTCCCGAGGCAAACGACTTGCGACTTAGCTGAGAGGAACGCTTCTTTGGAAGTCCCATTTCACATAGAATGGGATGATGAGACAGTCCTTATCAAATTACTTCCCAATCATTTCCATGAAATACCAACGGTGGGCTTCTTTCAAAAGGTCACCGGAACATGCATGCTCACGGGCATACGGTCTGATGACGGACCGTATGCCCGCTCACCGAATTTGTTAAGTCGGTCCTTCGCTTTGTTTCTACCGAGGAACAGATGATGTTAACCAAGCGTAGAAAGAGGCATGCCCGAGAAAACGCCATTACCCGAATCAGAGTCTTCACATGTGATGCTTGTCAAGCAAGGGTTGTTCCCCTCTTGGAATGCTGCATGTCAAGTGCGGTGCAAATTTGAGGACATCCTGGACTGAAGGAGTGTGGAGGCTGCACCAAAGTAGCCGGTTATTTCCTTGTTCATGGCGTGGATCGGCATAGTTCGAAGGCTGAGGAATATCGATGCGGGAAAGAAGACGTTCTCTATTTGTCTGCATGTGTAGATAGATAAAAGAGCCAATTTCGACCCAACTAGGTACCTTGGATTCAATCCCTCACACAAGATGAAAATCCTCTGTCTTCATAGCTATGGTACAGGCCCTCGAACTGGGCCGGGCTCTTGTAGGGCCCTGTGGCCTGATTGATGACGGCCACTACATCCCAGTGCCATGTCGTGGGCATCAACGCGGGTGGTTGAATTCATTCGACCCCAAGAGGAAATAGGATGACGACCCTCTTGCCCTTGCGAAGCAGCGAGCATAAGCAAGGACCGCAAAACCATGCATTATTGCAACAACAGCCTCTCATGATGTTAACCAGCCACTGACGTACGTTGGAATGTACGATCCCTGCCCTGGAAGATCATCCTGAGGAATAAATACGCATGAGAAACATATGAGCTTTGTACAAAATCTATTGCCACAGTCTCATATAACTAACGTTAATATCAACATCTCGACGAGCATTACCCGCGAGAGTATCTCAATCAACACTTCAAAACACCGTGAACCCGCCATTGATAATGCTCTCGCGCAAGATAATCCCGGGCTTTCAGAAGTCAGGGACATCGTCGGTTGGGAGACACTGCATAGGAAGAGCTTCACCTCTCCAACTCCGACTTGCTCATGCAAAATATGCTACACAAGTTCGATACACGAGTCACCAATCTTGTCAACAGGGCGGATTCAACGCTCTTTCGTGGCAACATACTGGACGCGGGAAGTACGAGCGCGAACTCGACGGATGTGAAATCGCCCTCAAAATGCTCACTACCCGGGGCTATGCCGGCAAAAGACACGGCGATATATCCATCGAAGTGCAGTTTGAGACCTACCTTAGCAAAGGCGCTCTCATCGCGCACGCCAAGAAGGCTTGGACGCGACTGCGCAGCCAATACCCCAATGTGGCGGCATCTACGGAGGGCAATAAACTGGTGTACTGGACTCCCGACAAGGAAGGTCTGGAGATAGAAACTTGGTTGCGAGAGACTTTTCATGTCATTGACGACAACCAGTTTGGCATCAGGGAAGTGTTGAATTCCTGCTGGGGCACAGAGAAACCGTGCATGTTTCTGCTGCCTGCTTTGAGCACATTCTTGATCTATTCCCCCCACCATTACGGAGACGGAATGGGCCTGGAGGTTTTGGCGGATGGACTTCTAACGGGCGTGGCATGGGATGTCGCACATCCAGAGAGCAAAGTGCACTGGGGCGACGAGGTGCGTAACCTGGCTCCAGGGCTAAGCAGTGCCAGGCCATTAGGGGTAGCGCCTGTAGAGTCGCAGGCCAAGTCCAGCTCAGCGATGGCGGCAGCATGGAACACTCCAAATGCCCTATCACCACGAAGCACACGCAAGATCGGCCAGCTGGGACGAACAAATTGGTACGATATCAACTTCAGCCGCGCAGAGAGCGACCGGATATTTACTGCTGCCAGAGCCAACAACTTCTCTGTCACTCACGTTGTGCACGCAGCGCTGATCAACGCCACCGCCGCACAGTATCAGACCAGCAGCAGAGACAAGGAGTATCTATCCCTCATAGCAGCCATGCAGGGGAATAGAGACCTCGGAAAGCCGGAGTACGCCATGCGGTTTGATATGTGGATTATGAAAACTCGGCCCGGGTCATTTCTATCCACTGCAAAATCGCTCAGAGAGGAATACCGGACTTTCGCAAATGATAAATTCCTCGCTCGATTGGCATGGACTAACATCGCCAAATATCTCAATAATACATCTGCTCTGCCGCCACCGCTGATACACGTTGTGACTAGCGTGGGCCGTCTTGATCAAACTGTGAAGCCCAATTACGGCCCCATGAGGGTGAAGGACGTCAACTTTTCCGTCCAGGATCAAAGTGCAGGGACCTTTAACGTTATACGGACTTTTCTGGGACGGCTGGGGGTGCGGGTTTTCTATAACGAGGGGTTTCACCAGTTGATCAATATTATGGATTATGCGAATGGGGTAAGGCAGGAACTTGATGATTATTGCAAAATGCACTGCTCGCCTGATTCTGTAGCAAGAGAGTAACTTTTCTCAGTGTGTTGTATCGGGATAGTTGAGATATTTACACCAATGCGATACCGGTGCAGAGCCATGTCTAGCCATAAGAGTGATTTATAGATTCGTTAAGCGACAGGATTTACTCTGGTCGACGATAACTCTCGACTATTTCCTGCCAACTTCGACATGTCGTCAAAATACTAACCTCGCTTGTTGCGGAGAATCATCTCAGGTGTGCAGAACTTGGCTGAGCAGCAGAAAGCCCTTACTTCGGGGGAATGCCTCGCGCTTCAACTGCAAATCGTCTGTTTAGGGAAGTAAATGCATACTTCTAAATGAGCCACGTCGTCTGTGTTTGTGAATTGCGGTGACAAACTCAGACTTCTTCCTGAAGACCGAGCATTCAGACCTCATGTCCCAGACTCCCAGTTACTGTCCTTGCGGCTGACAGGGTCCCGGTAGATTTAGTTGGCCCAGCAATATATAAATAAAATTATATTATAATATTATATATAAGCTCACCAGGTCGCAGAATCTTAAAAATTACTAATTTTTCAAAAAAATTAAAAACCTTTTTAATTATAACTATACCATCTGGCCAACTTTAGGTATTAAAAGATTATAATCTGGCGAGCTAAATTATTACTAAATAATAGTAATAAATTATAAAAAATAGTAATTTATTATGAAAATTACTACCTGGCGACCTGTACACTCTGCGAGAAGATGTAAGGTGGTAGTTTTATAACTTGAATAGTATAGTCCGGATTATTATTATTATATGACTCTTGAGAAATAGTATAGAGTTCTAAAAATAATAACTTCTCCCTCTAAATATTATTATATTCCACGTCCTGCATCTTATTAACTCCTTCAGAGGCCAGCCGGCCCCCATACTTTTATTAGAGTAATAATTATTTAAAAATTAGCAGATATATTTTATTTAAAAGATTATTATTATTACAAATAAAGGATAAGATACTCCTTAATTCTCCCTTTCCATACGCTTTTCAACAGACTACCCGGCCCCAATAAAAGTAACATAAAATTACTGCCGCCGACTGCAAGACTGGATTGGCTATTCTGCCATCTCTCTATAGTGAAGGTTGATTCGAAAGCATCTCATCCGTTCCTCAAGGCGTCCTTAGGGCGACAGGCTATATCATGATAACATATGATCCGCCCGACGAGAGGCCAATGATGATGTAGCCGTATGACCGTGATCTGCAATTGCGGAGTCAACCCAATGCCACAGTCCTAGCGAACATAGTAAATAATTTGCAAGGCCATAAAGCAGAAATCCCAGGAAGAAGCCAAAAGTCTACAGAGACGGGGCATTAGTATATAACCTGCTCGGAAGAAACACCATTATTGAACTGAAAAAACAGGATATGTAACCCACAATCCCATATTCATGATAAGCGAACAGCCCCATCGCCAAAAGGAAGAGGTAAAGACTGTGGCCTTGGAGCATAACAGGCATCTGCCAGTGGTAGCTGGCGACAAATGCTATCTTGATCGGTTTCATATCAGTTTTATCGTCGGTGCGATGATTATTGATTGATAGGAGATTTCGAATCAGTTCTAGACCGTGTTCGTAGCAGTCCAGTCTTTGCAGGGCGACGATCTGCTGCGAAGCGGTTGCTATGGCGAAAATAGATAGTGCCAGACTGCTGTACATGACTGCGCGAACACTTTTCAGAAGCTGATTGTTAGGCTCGGCGAAGGTAGGCCACGTTAGAGAGCTGGTCACAATTGTGCTGATGAGTGTGCTCTATACCTCGGATGAGGTGATATCGATTAGCAGCAATTCTTTCATTCATATTATTCACTTGTCTTTTTTTTTATTCCATGCTAGTATCCTCTGAGCTCTGTCGAAGTCTATAAACATTGATTAGATTAATTTAAGTTTGGAGAACGTCAACATAAAAAAAAAAGAACAATTTGAAATGAATGTATGAGCGAACATAGTTGAAGAGTATTTTAAGAATAGTTCTTATATTCACACAGCGTTCAGTAACAGCGGACTCGGGATTTGAAGTATTCATTTGTGAATTGCTTTTTCAGATATCAGACACCGAGAATGCTTTGCATACTGAGACCTTGTACGGCGTGTGCAAGTTATTGCATGGCAACTTTCTCATGTGAGAAGTAGAGTAAACTACATCGAGTAAGATGACAATTGCACCAGAATGCACAGCCTCGAATCGTACGTGACCAATCAGAAAAGTGAACCTGCTCTAAATCTGAGTCCCTTTCGCATATTCGTCCATATACTGAGCCATAGACGCATCTGTGCCGGAAGTTAGCCAACGTCTAAGAAGGACCCAGAACAAGCAACACGTACAGACGGTGACCGCATTATCGAGAGCAGACTTCATGTAAGAAGGCATGGACGCCAAATCCGCTCCATTCTGCAGCCAACCCTTAATCTCTCTGGCGTCTGCCTGCATGGAAGTCCAGTAGGACTGGAGGACCTTCACATTGTCCCGGAAGACTATCAGCTGCGAATCCCCCATATCTTCCAGGTTGCGCCGGGCCAGCTGGATCTTGTCGATCTCGTCAGCCTTTTCAGCTCGCTCGCGTTTCTTTTCGTCAATCTGATTCGCCACGACTATCTGGGTCAGCATCACCCGCGTCATTCGTCCGACGTAGAAGACTTACCACCCATGGCGATTGCAATACCGGCTACTGATGCCGCGGTTGCTCCAGCGAAAATGAGGCCGCCGATCTAATAGAATCTGTGAGCGAGGACCGAGGCAAACGCTGGGGAGGGGATCGGCGTACCAGGATGAATGGGGCAACGGGCCCTGACAAAGCCAGGCCGATGCCAGCGACGGTCAATCCCACTCCCAGACCGACCCCTAGGGAGATTAGAGAAGTCTGCAGGTCTGCCAACTTTTTGGTCAATTCCACGAGCTGGTTGTCGATTTCTGCGATCTCATCATTGAGCTGCTGCTCTTTGTCCTTTCCCCATTGCGAGAACTGCGATGTGAATGAAACGAAGTTGTTGATGAGGCTTTCGAAATTCTTGTTGATTTCGTTTCCTTGCGTCTCGAAGTCGTCGGCTTTCTGCGGAGGACATGAGCGTCTCGGCTGACTGTAATACTAGGGATTGCCTACCGTGATGAATCTATCGATTTGCTCCGTCCGTTGTTCCACAGTTAAGCTCTCATCAGCACAAAGTGGCACGATCAGTTGATCAAAGCCTAAGTGTCGAGGTCAGCCTAGAAAGAAGATGAAAAGAAAATACGGGGCCATTTTCCATGAACTTACTTGATCCATACTGACTGATATCAGCGGCAAGGTTGCGACTCTGCTGCAGGACATCCTGATACGACTGGTGGATACGTCAGCGGGAGCTCATCCATCATTGATATTGACAGACGGAAGGAAACATACTGTTTTATGATTGTTGAGCTGCGTCAGGAAATTGGTCTGTTCAAGCTGATCGATACTCGCAATCTGCACCTGCAACGCCGTGAAGGAGCCGTCGATTGCAACCACTGCCGCGCTGGCTTTGCTGGCGTCCTCTTTCAACTTGCCCACCACCTCATCCGTTGACATGGTCACTGCCGCTCCAAGGGACAGCTTTTTCTTGTCCTCATCGGTCTTGATGGGGTTATGTTCCTCAGCACCATCCTGGAGGACCTTACGCTCCTCATCAGTCAGAGAAGCTGCAACGTCCAGGTATTTCTGAGGGCTGGTGCTCCCGCCGACTAGTTTGTCGACCTTGCCCGCGACCTCGTCATAGGAGGGAGGTGCGTCCTCAGTCGAGTAGGCAGGAGGAACAGTCATTATTTCGAGGCAGAAGAATGAAGTGTACAGTGCTGGATAAGATCAAGATGGAAAATGAGAGGTGATTGAGGTAGGATTCTTCCCGGGCTTCCTTCGCTTAAATATAGGTGTTTTCCTATCCATAGCCTCCAACAAAGTGCACGTCTATACGATGAGGGGGTAGCATAGACCCCTCTCTCAGCTGTCATGCAACCCCCGCATGTTGAGTTGTTGTTCAGCTGCAGTGGCGGACGCAAAGAACAAGGAGCCAGCTGAATCTGCCAGGGCCCCATGCACCCGCATATACAGTAGCTGGGATCGGAAGTCTCACTACTCAGACTCGAGCAAGAAGTCCGGTTTTGCCACCACAACCCACAAGCACAGATGACGTGGTTCATATAATTGTTTGAATCTAGGGAGTTCTAGACACTACTCCTGTCCGCCGATCACCGTGACCTCATGCGATATGCACAGCTCGTTTTTCATGTTGCATCATGCATTGCAGTAGTCGAACGCTACTCCCGCCGTTGGTTTCATGGACGATCAGCGGTTGCAAAAGTACGTGAGGCCTACAGAAGATAGATTACAGGGCACAGAATTAGTGGTAAAATCTGCGCATACCGTGCTTTATCCTGCAAGAAAAGTGTGGATTCGTTGGCTAACACCCCGCGCAACAATGTACGAGCTCAATAAACTAAATTTGCACACCTAGAAAAATGATCCTGAATTGCTCATTTACGCATCATCAGCGCTCAACCACTCGTCCCATGGAATCTGGTTAGTTTGTTCCGCATATGAGCGTAAGTACTTGGCCACTTTCACATCTGAGCCGGTCATTAGCGTGTAGAAAGTAACTGGGTTGGTGTTGCCGACTCACAGATCTTCACCCCTCCATTCAGGGCTATTTCCATGTATTTGGGCATATCCTGTTTTCGTTAGTGCCAATAAAAACACACAAGACAGTACTTACAGCAACAGCGGCGCCATCCTTGAGCCATGCCTCGATTTGTCGAGCGTCAATTAGAGTGCTGCCCCAGTAGCCAGCGAGCACTCCGATGTGCTCACGGAATTCATTGAAATATTCCGTGTTGGTGTCATCCGCGCCGTCTTGAGTAGCTAGATCCTTGAGGACCTTGCTCATCGGCACCCGTTCTCTATTTGACACTGTGTCGAGTTAGAAGGCCATTTAGATTGCGCTGAAGAATACTTACTCGCAGCGGCGATGGCATAGGCTGTGTTTGTCGCCTCTGTGCTATGAATGCCAAGCAGTCCAGCAATCTGATCACATCAGCTGTGTTCATGACTAGACAGGCGAACGTACCGTGACATATGGTCCGAAAGGCGAATCGAAAGCAGCTGTGAGTGCTGGAATCTCAAGCTTCGGCGACACATCCGCAAGCTTCTTTGCCGACTTCGGCACAGGGAAGGTTTTCTCCGTGGCCTCTTTCTTGAGCGAATCGCTGTTAACCATGTTGATAAAGTCCATTGTTTTATCAAACACAGAGTTCAGGGTGTTCTGCATGTCCTGGGCAGTGGTCTGGGATGCTTCCGCATCCTGATAGTTTTATTAGATACCTCCCACCCAATATAAAACAGAGTCATACCTTGATATATTCCTGAATTTGTGACAACCGCTGATCCGTAGTTAACGAAGTGTCCGCACAAAAGGCAATGACCTTGTTGTCAAAATCTGCGTCATTATCAGCTCGACTCCCCGTGTTCATCAAACAGGACGTCTGTTTACCTTCCGCGTACTGAGCGATTGTGTTGGAAAGGGGAATCCCATCCTTCATAGTCTGGCAGTAGAGCTAGAAAGTCCAACAGCATAGTTAGGAATTCCATGATACACATGCTCAGATAAGAGTCACCCACCCGCATAATCGGCTCATATTGGTCTGTCAGATTCGTGCCGTTCATGGTGTCGGCCCATGCCAAATTGAGTACAAGGGCGACCATCAACTCAATGATTCCATTCACAGCCGCAGAGGCACCATTGGCGGCGTCACCAAGCTCTCCATCCAGATCATCCGAGGCAAGTGCCTGCACTGCAGCGGTGGTGAATGCCTCCTCATCTGCCGGTGAGAGATGGTACTTGGCGGCGGATTCAACCAAGACCTTGCGTTCAGGCTCAGACAGCAAAGCGATGCTTTGAAGACAGGCCCGGAAGGTCGGTGGGCTTGAAGCCTGCCGACTTAGCTTTTGGTGGACTGTGGCTGACGACATTGAAGTAGCCATCTTTTGTGGAGTGGGTTGCACAATATGACGGTTGGATTAGAAACAGAAATGATGATATGAAAGCAGGAAAACTTGTAACTGGGAATGAGAACAAAACGAGGGCAGGAGGGTGGACCTAGAGACTTCATTCAGGAGGAAAGCTACTCAGCTCTCCTTCTTACCCCTCATCATAGCTCTCCACCAGCTCTCGACGATACGGGACTCTGGTTCTAGATTCACTGCTGGTGGCAAACGGCTATACCGATGGATGTAACCTCCGATGCGACCTGTAGATTAAATATGATCTGCCGACGTCCACTATTGGTTTCTGCATCCAGCCCTCCTGGGCACTTGGGCAAATGCGCGATTTATCTGTCATGCAGTATAGCCTATATCCCGGCATCATCTCGACTGAGAGATGATCGAAGTGGTATGAAGTCGGGCAAAGCAGTGGCGTGAGAAGAGGGGAAAAAATTCAGCTGAGATGCAGGTTCGATATTAATATGCATGCAGCATGCATCGTACTTTTGTTCCGGTCGAATTGTAGCCCGGTCGAGTCGTGCATCAGATTAGGGCACGGATGGATCCGCGTTGCAGGGGTAGTGGAAAATTTCAAAATAAGAAAACAGCTTTGACAGTGGTGACAGTATCACACATCATGGAAACGCCGAGAGATATGGATTACTAGTGATTCATCCAGATTCGTAGGGTATAAAGTGAGGGCAAGATCACGATACAAGACATCCCAAATCAAACAACCTTCCAAGCTCATCTACTACTTTGACGAGCTAAGCTCTATTATTTCTCACCGAAACCATGGTTTATCTTCCTGCCTACTCCGCGGACAGCTCTCCCCCTTCCTACGATGAGGTCTCTCAGAAACTAGAGGGCCTCCTCGGCAGTAATCCCACTGTCGACAAGGCCCTCGAGGCGGCTCGCTCCCTCTCGGACGACGAGATCAATGTGCTCGCCAATGGCTACGAAGAGCACAATCCATTGCAGACGGATCAGCAGAAGGCAGATTTCACTGTCGGTGCCGGCCAGCATCTGTCTTCGGAGGCAGGCCAGGAGGCCATGGCCCAGGCGGGTGTGGCAGCGTCTCAGTCGGCCGTGGATGTCAACGACCGTCTCCTCGACATCCAGCAGAAGCTGGCCGTCATTGACCAAACCTACCACGAGGGCTTCGCGGACACCTTGGTCACTATTCGCTCGGTAGGTGGATTGATCCGCGCTGCTTCCGAAATGGATGCTGACGCAAATAGAACTACAACGATGTCCTTCAGGACAGCCGGTTGCTCGCTGCAGACATTGCCCAGAATGGCCAGAGTGAGTGCTCTCTGGTGAAATGTTTGTGATGGCCGCTAATTCCCCGATAGGTTTCGATACCATCCTTGTCGCGCTTTGTGCAGACAGCAGCGTTTCTCTGGAGGACCGCAAGACTCGCGTTGCATCCTTTATCTCGGTAATACCCGTTAATCTACTGGCGTCATTGTAGCCGTCACTGAAAATCAATTAAAGGATACCAAAAAGTTCGAGGATACATCCAATGGGATCCAAGAGCGGTTCGCCACCGTCAGGACCGATTTCTCATCCTTCACGGAGAAATTCTCTTCATGGGCGAAGGACAAAGAAGAGGAACTGACCGAGCAGATCAAAGAGCTCGCGAAGGAAATCCTCGATCTGACTGAAACATTGGGCTCCATTCAAGCGGCTCAGAAGGCCATGGAAGTCATCGCCGGGGCGGCACTCCCAATCGCAGCAGCTGCTGGGGAGATCTTCGAACCTGTGAAGCCAATCATCCTTGTATGTGCTTTAGTGAATCTAAAACAAGCCAGATGCTAATGAGTCGACAGCTTGGAGGCCTCATCACTGCAGTCGTCGCCCTCGGCGCTACATTGGGCTTGATCATCGCAGCCGAACGTGAGTTGTGGATCATGGATTGAGATGTGGCGAGGAGCTAACTTTCCATAGGGGTGCAAAACAAAATAAACCGGAAGACTAGCGAGAAAGAAGATCTCGAAAAGGAGCTGGAAAATATTCAGAATGCACGCCAGGGGCTGCAGACCATGCAGCTAGGCGGCCTGGAGTCATTCCAGGCCTGTATGGATGTGCTTCCTCAATACTGGAAGTCGACAGTCGAGGACGCACAGTCAATTCATGACTGGTTGGAGAAGGGCGCTGAAACCGGGGTATGCACATGGTTCCATTTTCCGGAGATGCATAGAGTGGTACTGACAATCACAGATTCGCCCGGTGTATATGAGTCTGAACGTGGAAAAGGGGGTTAAATCCTGTAGGTTGAATCTCGATATCTGCATAGAGCGTGGCTAACAATTCATAGATAATTCTACAGCCGGATATCTTTCCAAATATGCACATGGAAATTAAATGTTCTTGTTCATTTCCTACGCTTGGACTTCTGCGCTCCACCTTTTGCGGGAATTGGCCAAAATATCTGATGAGTTTTCTTTTCGTATGATGTGGAGGCAGAGGAATGTTCACATTATCCATTCAAATCACCAATATCAGATATGATCTACTCAATTAACACTTTTCAACATATTTCTATCCGTCCTATATATTCCATACTTTAGTAGATTAAAGTACATACGACAATAGGGTGAGGAGAAGAGGTCTTCCTGTCCGCTAAGCCGTACTTAAGTCTTATAAGTCCGCACAGTTAATTGCCAAAGAGTCCTTAACCCGAATATTTTCCCTACGCAACATGAGGTTGTAACCTCGACTATAGTTCGGAAGTGACCTTTCTCAAACCTACTACAATATTCACTCAGCAAACAGTACTCATGTTACATTTATTTAATGGAGAACCACCAGATGTGTTCTACTTACGGATTTGTCATAGCGCTAAGGATTACTGTTTACCCTAGAATAATTACGGGTGTAGGAAATTCCATGCCTAATAATATTCCACATTAAAAATGATGTCCTTTGCAATCGCATTACAATCTGGGGAAAACCCATTTCCTAGTTCAACTGTGGAAAAGCCCAAACCAAGGGATTAGTCAAGTTTGAGCCAACTGCAACCTGCTGTCAAGTCTTGTTAACATTATAGTGTGATCTCCTCCTGCCGACGCTTGACAACCAATTTCGCCGTCGGGTCCGAGATCAAAGACGTGCCATAATTTATAGGATCGGCACTCGATCCCTCAGCCAGGCGGAAATCGTACTTCAGCAAGATATGGAAAAGTGAGATCTTCTCCACAGCATCCGCAAAGTATCGTCCCGGGCACGCATATCCCCCGTGTCCAAATCCGACCTCGTCGGCGCTGGTGTTGACTATTTGGTGGAGGTTCTCGTGGCCGGGCTCTTGTCGAAGATTGTAGAAGCGGTATCCGTCGAATGTGTGCGCATGCGGGTATGTAGAATTGCTTTGCATGTGTTCTGAGGAGACAAAGAATGTCGTGCCTTTAGGGACCTCGAGTCCATCAGATAAGCGGACGTTGGTAAGCGCTTTACGTCTCATTGTGCCTAGTAGTCTCTGTCAGCTCAGGTAAGGGAAAGGCGAGAGAGCCTACTGATTACCTCGGCTGATTGGTTTCAGGCGCTGCGTTTCCTTGAACATGCTGTCCATGAGTATGAGTTTGCGAAGGGATCGTCGGCCCCACTGCTCGTCTTTCATCGCCGCGATGATCTCCTTGCGTAGATCCTGCACCAGGTTTGGGTGTTTTGTCAGGTTCAGCATGGTCTGTGTCAGTAGATCCGTCATCGTATGTTCCGATACCATCGACAGCGTCAGCTGGACCAACGCCGGATCGTAGTCGTGACCGCCTGCCGCCTCTTCCATCCATTGGATCGAGTCGAAATACTCAGAAGACTTCCCTTGCAACTTTTGAGCAGCCTGGGATTCTCGGCGCTGTTGTATGACTACGTTGACGCGCTGTTGAACTTCTCTCATGTCCCTACGTAGGGTGCGGCAAGGGGCCAGGAACCAGTGGACTAGATATCGGAAGATCTTAGGCCAGTTGTACATCGTATCGCCCGCTTGAAACGAATTCACAGCATTGCGCTTGACGAGCTCCGTCCAAGACTGATCGTGGGATAGGTCCTTTCCTACCAATATGCGGCTGCTCATGCCGGAGTGTAGTGTTAAAATGGTGTCTTTTAGCAAGACTTCATGCCACTCTGCATCAAAATTAGTGGAGATGCAATTTGGTGGGAGTTAGGCTTCCCACCTGTGTTGTGAGTCCAAATCTGTTGGAGATGGTTATGAGCCTCTGAGGAGAGGATGCCTGCGGATTTCTCTATAGTCCGCTTTTGTTAACTCAGATGAGGGCCCTCATCGCCAGTACTACACAGCTAGCTTACCTATGGCCGAAGTGAGTTCTTTAAGCACAAAGGAGTTGAATGTCTTATTTACTGGCATATACTTCGTAGTAAACGCCGCGAAACCAGGGAGGAGGCCATGCATTTTCTGTTGGAACCTCCCACTACGTTGGCAGTAGGTTCCGGGAGTTGTATGGCTCATTCCGCGATGCAGGTCATGTGACCATGGCTATATAAGCTATAGTCCACCTCATGTAGGTAAAAAGATTATCTAATTCTATTATTATTTTTTTTGGAGTTTGTTTTTAATAGATTATAAGCCCTCTGCTTTTTTAAAGCTGTTTAACTATCTTTATTCTTTTTAATCTCTTATTATTTTAGTAATCCTTAGTTATATATTATCTTATTTCTTTTTAGGCGTCTTAAGATAAGTTCTCTATCTAACTAGATTACTACCTTTGTGGTAGTCCCTCTTAAAAATTAAATCTATTATAGATTATAGAATATATTTAAACTTAATCTTTTAAATCCTTTTATAATTAAAGGATTAGAGCAAAAGCTCAAGGGTTATAAGAATTATAATATATAATATAATAGAGTATAAATTATTTTAAAATTACTTTATTACTTTTAACTGTTTAATAGCTTAATTCCTCGTCCTTTAATTAATAATACAGAGGATTTTAAAATCTGGTTTAAGTACTTAAAATAAATAGTTTATTAGATTAAATAATAATTATTAAATAATATACTTAATCAGGTTAAAATATCATCTGGCGCCTCTAAGTATACTAATAAATTATAAAATAAATTATATTATTTTTGTATTAGCTCTAGTAATAGAAGGTCTAAATTACTTTTTTTTAATATTATTTATTATAATAGAAATAAGTTTAATTCGCTTGTTACTTATATTAAGGGTTTCTAGTAAATAGTTAAAGTTTATTTAATTATTTATTATCTGATTACTCCCTGGATGGCGACCCTTATATTATTTAATAATATTTAAAATAAATTACTTGTTTTTTATAACCTAACCTATTATTTATTAAAGGATAATATAGTTATTATAATAGAATAGTCTTATTTTAAGAAGATCGCGGATGAGATAATCTTTTTAATAAACTAAATATTTAATTTTTTATTTATAGTATCTGTGGTAAAAGATAAAAAAAAAAATCCCCCTATAAATACTTCTCTTATTAAGAATATATTTTCCTTGTTTAGTTATCCTCCCAGAAAGCCAGAGAATAATATATATAATTATATTTTTACTAAAAAATAGCGAAATCTTCTTGAAGATAAAAAGATAATTAATAAAATATATATTTACTGTAAGATCTGTGGCTATAAAATAATAAATTATTTTTATTTTATATCTTATATTTATCCTAATAAATAGTTACCTGTGGAGGATATATGGGTATCTGAATAAAAAGGTAGAACCTATTTAAAAAAGGCCCTAAAATCTAATAATCCGTAAATAATTACTTTTTAACAGACTAAGGGCATATTTAACTTCTCCAGGCAGGTAGTCTTATCTATCTTAATTAATAAGAAGGATTAGATTATTAATAATAATTCCGCGAATTATATAACTTCTGATTTATTTAGCTTTATAACTTACACAGAGTATAGTTTAGATAATTTTTTCTATAAATTTTAAATATCTGAGGAGCAGAATACAGTAGCTAAAGAATATAGCTTAGTAGTTATCTAACTTAATTAGTATAATAGGACCCATATTATATATAAGATCTCTATGTTTTATATCCCTGGCCTTGATTTTGGTCTTTTTGTAATAAAATATATAAAAAAATTAATAAAAATATAATAGAATTAGTAAAATCAGATACTTTATTATTAAGATACAAATAAAGTCCTTAGGTTCTTTTATATAAAAAAGGGACTCCCCTTTTTTTTTATAATTAATCTTTTGTATTACCAGATCTTTAGTTATTTAGGTGTAATAATAAACATAATAATACTTTATTACTATCTAGGTTATACTAGAGATTTAAAGCTTAAATTAACTATTATATTAGATCTAAAAACTATTATTAAAAGATTAAAAAAAATATATAAAGCTTATAAAAAGATAAAAGCTAAGAAGATTATTTTTTATATTTTCTAACCTAATAATTCAGAAAGCCTATCTGAACTTTAGTATGCGGATATCTAGATAATTAAGCTAATTAGATATAATAGTTTTAAATATTATCTAGTTATAATTAATATTTTAATAAACTATATAAAGGTCTGTATGCTGTGTACAAAAGTAGTTATATCTATAGAGATAATTTTTTTTAATAAAGCTTATTAGATTCAGATTTATTATCATATTTAATAATAGTAGATTAATAGTAATAAAGAGTTTTATAAGTTTTAAAAATAAATTAAAAATAAAAATATTAAAATTAATATTATGCCTCCCCGGACTCCTAAATTAAATAAATAAAGTAAATAAATAAGTAGCTATATTAATTAAACTGCCCGTGTGATAATAATTAATTCTGGCCTTCTTACTTAACTCTGACCTTTTATAGTAAAGATAGCTTGCTGTATTATTAATTATCTTATTTTTTATAAAGATTTAAAGAGTCTTATTCAGAAATAGCACGAATTTTATAAAATTTTTAATTAAAACCTTTTTTTTAATTATTTAAAGATTTTCGGCTGTAAAATATATGTTTATATTTTTGCTAAAAATTATGTCTAATTAGAAAAAATAATATCTAAAGCCAGGGTTAGCTATTTGGTTAAATATAAAAATAATTATAATTATATTTATATAGTTTGGTGTCCTATAAATAATAAGATTTATAGATTAGAGAATATTATCTTTAATAAAAGTAATTTATATAGCTCGGACTATAATAATAATACTCTAGTAGTATTTTAAATAGATCCTAATAAACTACTTAAACCTAAAAGAGATATAATAATTAAATATTTAGAAATTTCTATTTAAATAAACCCTAAGGTAATTCCGGATATATTATTTATTTAAAGCAGAGTAATCACAGTCTTTTAAACCTTTACGCCTGGTTCTTTCTAGTAAATAATTAGTTCGGCCCCTGAGATTAATTTTATCTTTATAAATTTAATTATAAAAACCCTAGAATATAATAATAATAATTATATTATAATAATCTATAATATAATTATTCTCCTAGTTTTATTTTAAGGCATAGTTCCTAGTTTTTTCTCCTTATAATCTAGTTTTTTAGCTAAAAAAAGGTTTATAAGATCCTCTGTTTCCTTTATATAATTATTTATAAGATTAATAAAGGGGCAGAAGAAAAAAAACCTTAATATAATAGATTTTTTAAAAATTAGATTCTTAGGGAGTACTTTACCAGCTTTTTTATTTACAGATTTAAATCTTCTTAATTTTAAGATTAAGGCTTATAAAGTCTTTATTTTATTAATCTTTAAAAAAATATTAGACTTTTTAATTGTTTTTAAATAGTTAATTGTGATAAAAATTAAATATAATAAATTATATTATAAGGGTATCTTTGAATTTATTTTTAAAATTAAGTAAAAGAGATCTAAGATTTTTTATAAGAAATAGGTTTATAATATTAAAAAAAACAAAGAAGGTGTTATTCTCTACTTTAAAACCAGATAGGTGACTTATAATAATATATAGAAAATCAGAGTTAATTTTAACTTAACTTATACACCTGTTATCTTTAATATTATAGTTAAAATAACCCTAACTACTATATTAATTTATAGCTTTAAATAGGAGCAGTTTAATATTATTACTGCCTTTCTATATTTTAAAATAGACTAGGAGAATATTTATATAATTTAACTAGTAAGATTTAAGATTAAAAGTAAGTATTTTTATTATTTATATAAAATAATTTATAATTTATATTAAGCAGGCCATCTCTGGAATAATATAATAGATAAAAAGTTAAAATTTATAGAATTTTATTCTTTTATAAAAAACCCTTGCTTCTATTTTTGCCTTATAAATAATTTAATTAAGATTATTATTTTTTATATTAATAACTTTATTATAGTAGTAAAGATAATATCTAAAATTAATGTATTTTATGATAATTTTTTCTTATTATTTAAAAATAAGTATTTAGGGGAACTTACTAGGTTTCTTAGTAGCTTTATTAAGTAAGACTAGGAGAAAAAGACTATTATTATTTTTTAGAATATTTTTATAAATATTATTCTTAATTATATAAATATAATTAGATCTAGCAGAAATCCTATTCCTATATTTTTTTTATATAGGAAAACTATAGTTTCCTTTATATCCTCTAATAAGGTCTCTAGATTAGATTATCTTTTAAAAATAGGTTTATTAAATTAGTTATTAACTAGGACCTGTCCTGATATTATTTATTATTTTATATATCTTTAAAAACAGGCAGTAAATCTATCCATGTGTCAAGGTGCGGGCTGGCAGGTTGGTAGAGTTGGCGCAGCAGGGGCAGGTAGGGCAGGCGGTCTGGCTGGATTAGGCGGGCTAGGTTCACAAGGTCTTCGATAGCTATTATAATCAGACTATATACAGGATAATAAATAAGATATAGCTCAGAGAGCTATAACAGGATCTTTAGTATTTAAGTTTTTAAGTAGTTAGGGAATCAGGATTAGGGATAGGTTCTTTTGGTTTAGCAGTTCTGTCTAGTTCTAGCGGGCTTAATAGTGCCCTCAGGTCTATACTGTGATAGTATACCCTTTTTTTATAACTGAGCTCTGTTAAGGCTAAAGAGGACTAGGCTTATTAGAATACTAGTGGTAGTAGTTCTAAATAATTTATTTAGCATGCTCCAGGTAACTGGCAGGCTTAATAATAAGATCTATATATTTAATTTATTTTATAATATATATCAGGCGAGGGCGGCTATAGCCGCGATAGTCTTAAAATAAGTTAAAAATATCTTTAACCTCCTATTTCTCAAGTCTATTAACTTTAATATAAGATAAAAAAAGATTTTGCTAGCCGGATAAGATATTTAAGCTAGTAAAGATAAACAGGCTTATATTAAATATAAAGTAAATTTTTATATTAGATAAAAGTTCTAGGCAATAGGCGTGTGGGCTAATAATTTTTTTAATATAATATAGGCCTAAAATATTCTAGTTTAGTTTTTTGCTAGATTATAGGGTCTTAATATATTAAGTATCTAACTAAACTAATTAATCTTTTTTAAATAGGCAGGCAGGGTAGTGCTAGCAGTCTATTTACTTAGTATAATAGACTTAAGTAAATAATATTTTAGCTCGGGTAAATTTAATAATTACTTATATTCTTGTAGTAAACTATTCTGTGTCTTGTATAGTAAAGCAGTTATAAATATAATAATCTTTTATTAAGATAGGTTCGAACCCTATATATAGGTAGAAACTGTAGTTGGTGAAAAACAGACTAATCTTGATTAAATTAAAATATATAGTATTTAAAGAAAATTTAACTAAAGAAAGCTAGATACTCTAGTTATTTTATAGATAGCTTATATAGGCTTAGAGGTATTACTCTAGTATAATATTTATATACTTAGTCTGGTTATTAGTCTCGGGATAATATATAATTAATAATTTATTAGTAATATTTAGGCGCTGGATTAAGTATTTCTAGAATTTAGTAATAAATTAAAGTCCTTAGTCTAATATAATAGTTTAGGGCAGGCTATACAGCTTTTATATATATTATATATATATTGTGGCTATGGCAGGTGTATTTATAGTTAAGTTATAGGGGATTAGATACTTTATTTTAATTAAATAATCTATAATAACTAAAATAGTATTATAACTCTGGTTTTCTGGTAGATATATGATAAAATCTATAAAGATATTTTATTAGATATATTTAGATATAAATAAAGGTTTTAAGATATTTTATTTAGCCTCTTAGGATAAGATAATTCAGCGGCAGGTATAGCAGTTTTGGATCTATTAAACTATATAATAGTATATATTAGGCTAAAAGTATTCGCGGGTAAAAAATTTATATATATAGTTTTTCCCAGGATGTCCAGACGCGGGTTTATTATATATTAGGTGGGTTAATTTAGCTTAGAGCTTATTATTTTTAGAGATCTATAGATAGTTTTTATAAAACAGGAAATTATTTTATCCTTTATAAATAATTAAAATAATTTTTAAATAATAATCTTTTTTTATAATAAGGGCTTTCTGGACTTCACGGATTAGATTATTTTTTTTATATATTTTTTATAGGTTTATCTGGGCTTCAGGTGGTAATTATAGATCTTATTTATTTTTAAAAATAATACTTTAATAGGTTCGGGTTATAGGGGCAAGTAGGGTCGGGGATTTAAGGATTTTAGCTTGGTCGGGTTTACTAATATTAAGGTTTTTATATTTTAATATTACTTAGCTCTAGTATTATAAGTACTTATTTTTTTTTTTAGGGAGATCCTCTAACTTCCTAGTTAGATTATCTAGCTTAGTTCTATATTTTCTGGAGTAGTAAATAATCTTAAACTTAAATTAAAATAAAAATTTAAATTAGCAGGCTTACTGTTAGTTCAGGAGCTTAATTAATATAAAATATTTTAGATTATAATAATTAAAAATAACTTAGATCAAAGATAAGGCTCCTTTAAGCTTAGGGTGTTATTTCTTAAAGTAGCAGATAATAGTAAGTAGTTCCTTATTATAAATCTTATAATTATACTTTGTAGATAAATATTTTTTTAAGAAAAAAGTAATAAGATATAAAATTTTATTATTATTATATTAAGATAAAACTCCAGCAAAAATATAATTAAAAGTATTAGTTTCTAAAATTATAATATATATTTAATTAAAGGACTATAGAACTAGAGCATCTGTAAAAACTTATTTAAAATATTTAAAGGCCTCCTGGCGGGATAAGGTCTATTCCTAAAATATTTTTTTATAAGTTAGGTTAATAAGTAAAGCAGTTAATTCTAAAAAATCTTTAATAAAATAATAATAAAAATTATTAAATCCCAGGAAAACCTGGACATTAATAATATAAGTTAAGATAGGCTAATTAATAACTATCTTAATTTTAGAAAAATCTATCTAGATCCTTTTATAACTAATAATTAGGCCTAGGAACTTAGTTTCGGGAATAATAAACTTGTATTTTAAGAGTTTTATAAATAGGTAGGCTTCTTATAATTTTTATAGGATCTAGTAGATATAGCAGATATACTTAGAATAAGTTTAGCTATAAATTAGGATATTATCTAGATAAATAGTATAAAAAATATCTAAATAATTATGTAATATATTATTAATATAATACTAAAAGGTCCTAGGGGCTCTAGTCAGGTTAAATAATATTATTAAAGATTTAAACAGGCCCAGGCGGGTATAAAATATAGTTATTTATTTTTGACCTTTCTGGATACGCAGATTATTAAAAACACTTATAATATTAATTTTTATAAAGTAGTATATTTTTTTTAAGTTATTTAGGGTTTTTTTTACCAGGGGCAGTAAATAATAATCTTTAATAATAATTATATTTAAGGCTTAATAATTAATATAAAAATATAAGCCTTTATTAGGCTTATTAATAAACAGGATAGAGGATGCTATAAGGGATAAATTTAGATAAATAAAGTTTTTTTATAGATTCTTAAAAAATTATTTTTAAAGGACTTTTAGCTCTTTCTAAAATATATTATATAAGAGGCCGAACAGTAGTTTTTTGCTAGATTCTAGTATAATTATATAATTATAATCCCTGTATAAGGGTAGCTTATCTGTCTTCTTTAACAAAAATATATCTCTAAAGTCTTAGAATTTTATAGAGATATTAGGGCTCTGATTAGGCGTTTTTTATACTGGGGGTTTTTTAAAGGATTTTTCGCGGATTATTTAATTAATTTATTTTATAATAATAATAAAGATTCTTCTTCCCTATCTTATATATGCAGTGTAAGCTTCTATAAATATTATATAAATATCGCGGGTTTAGAGGGCCTTCAGGGTCTTTAAGTTAATTAAGCAGGCTCGGGCAGGAATATTATATAAAGCCCGGATCTTCTGGGAACAGAACAGGATATTATAATATTTTTAATAATATTAATTATTAAATTAAAAAATATACTTAATAAAATTTATCTTAGGATTATAAGTCTTAAGCTAGGGGAGTCTAATTATAATAAGGAAATATATAAGCTGGGTAATTAGAAACAGAGTATTTTTTTTAATATAGTTATAGGTTTTTAGGGTTATACAGGTGTAATAAGTAATAATACTAGTCTTATTTTTGCGGTTATTAAATTTTATAATTAATTTAGGCTTTTTTAAAGGGTATAAGGTTAGATTCTGGGCTTTAGTTTAATTTTTATTTATAATACAGAATATAGAGCAGCTAGTATTAAATATAATATAAGTAGTGATTTTACTTTTACCGGGGTTTAGTATAATAAGAGTAATTAATAAATTAGTCCTTTAAAGTTTCTCTTTAATAAAAAGTCTTTTAGTAGCAGCTTTAGAGATTTAGTAAATATATACAGGGGGGTCTGCCTGGTTATAATTTAGGCTAAACTAACTCTTTTTAATTGCTTACTCAGGTCTAAAGAATATAGGTGTTCTGTTTAGGAAATTATTTAGGACTAGGGAGCCTGGAGCAGCAGTAATACAGGCAGGCCTTGTGGGATAAGGTAAGATTAGAATATAGGGGGGGACTATTTTTGAGGGGGTAAATAGGATTTTAAGGGGGAAACAGGATATATAATATAATTAGTCTGGTATAGATGATTATCTGGTTTAGGGTAATCTTTAATTATATACTAACTTAATTTATAATAGAAATATTTATTATAATTTTTATAAGTGTTATTTTTAGAACAGGGGAACAGGTAGTAAGTTAAAAAAAGATTTATAATATTAGAATTTAGGGTAATAATAGCAGGCTAAAGGGGTTTATTAACTAGACTCTAGGGATAATAGCTTTAGGTGTTCTTAAATATAATCTATAGGTAAGTATTAGTTCTGGTTAAAATCAGGGCGGGCTTCTAGGGTTAGCTATAAGAGTACTAAATATAATAATTCTCTAATTTTTATAAAAAAATAACAAGATTAATATAATTCTTAGCAGGTAGGTTCTAGTATATTAATATAATTTTTATTTCCTGGTTGACAGCTTTTTTAAAAAGAGTAAAAAAGCTATTTTTAGTTATTTCTTTCTTTATAACTAGTTATTAGAATTTAGTAAAAAAAACAGAAAACTTTTGATTTTTTTATCTTAGATTATATAAAGTATTCCGGGTATTATAAACGCGGTTTAAGTTCTTATAAATATAATTAAATATTTTTAAAATCTTAGTATAGTTTTTTAGCTAGTAAACTCTGTTTTTAATATACAGGAGGACTTAGGTATAAAAAAATTTTTTTAGATAATTAAAAATATAAGCTATATAGGTCTAGGGGGTTAGGAAGCAGTCATAGTTTATAGTTATTTTTTTTTAATCTAAGAGGTAAAATAGTAAAGGTTTAATTTAATACTTTTAAACTTATTAGGGTTAGGCAGTTATTCGGAAAGGCAGGCAGAGGTAGAAGATCCGGGATTAATTAATATAGATATTCTTACTAAAATAGCTAAGGGTTTTTTAGTAGCAGGTTCAGGGGTCTAGTCTGGGATATTAATTATAGGCATAGTAGTCTAGATTATATAATTTTATTCTTAGATTATCACGCTCTTATTAGCTAGGGCCTAAATAAGTTTAAGATTTAAACTTTTTTTATAATCTGTTTAAAGGATAATAATTTATACAGTAATATTTATATTTTATTGGAGACGGGAGACTTTCTGGCGGAGATATTTTTAGTTAATATTAATATTTACTATAAATATATAAATCTGGTTATAATAGGCATATTATTTCTTAGTATATTTAATAATATACTAGGTAAATAGTTCAGGATCCTTAGGAAGAGATAAGGGCTTCAGAATTTTAGATATATTAGATAAATATTAGCTTTATAAGTAAGAGTTATATAATATTAAGATACGGGCTAGCAGATTAATAAAGTTAGTATAACAGGGGCAGGTAAGGCAGGCGGTCTGGCTAGATTAGGTGGGCTAGGTTTATAAGGTCTTTGATGGCTATTACAGTCAGGCTATATATAAAATAATAAATAAAATATAGCTTAGGGAGCTATAATAGGATCTCTGGTATTCAGGCTTTTAAGTAGTTAAGAGATCAGGATCGGGGACAGGTTCTTCCGGTTTGGCGGTTCTGTCTGGTTCTGGCGGGCTTGGCGGCGCCCTCAGGTCTGCACCGCGACACCATGGTTAACTATAAGGCATATAAATCTATATATTAATATGTTAATAAAAATTAGTATAATCTGGTATTAGGCCTTAATTACACCCGGGGTATAAAGGTTTATATTAATACTGCCTATTAGAATTATCTAGATAGTAAATCCTTTAAGGGATATATTATCTTTTATATAAGATCTCTTATTTTTTAGTCCGCGAAAAAGCAGATTATAATAATTTTATTTTTTATTATTACTGAGTTAATTGCGTTTAACTAAGTAATAAAAAAAATTTTATAAATTAAGAAATTAGTTATTATTTTACTAATTTAGAAGGATTTTTTTAGTTCTAATAATTTATTTTCGCCTATTATTATTTTTACAGATTTAAATAATACAGCAACAATTGTCAAGAAGTCTGGCTATATTATTATTATTAAATAGCTTAATAATTAGTACTTTTTTATAAAGGATTAATTTAAAAAAAAGGCTATTATTTTTTCTAAAATTAATATTAATTAGAATCTTACTAATGGCCTGACTAAACCCCTAAATCTAATAAAATTTATAATATTTTAATTTTTTTTTTATCTTAGATCTTATGTATAGTATTTTATATTATATAGGCTATGTTATCTATAAATTTAATAAATTTTATGAAATTTAGTAAATTTTAATTAAATCTTTTATTATAATAGCTTAATATAGTAAATTTATTTAATCTTTATTTATTATAGGTGGCCGTATAAAATTAATTAAATTAAACTTTTTTTTTTATCCTTATTTTTTTTATACTATTTTAATCTCTTTATTTTTGGCCTAATTAATTATACATATTTTTATTTAAGCTATATTTATAGCGTTTTGGCCTAACTGGCCATATATATAATTATAAACTAAATTTTTATAAAAATATTTTACTATTTTTTGGCCTCTTAGATATTTGCTTACCTTAAAAAAGGATATTTTATTTTATTTTTCTAGTATTCTATCTCTTATATAGAATGATTTAGTCTTCTTATCTTTAGATAGTGGTTCTTTACTCTTGTAAATATAAAAGAGAAAGATCTATTATAGGCCTGGTAAAAGAGAATATTTTAATTTTTTATTAGACCCTAGTGCACCTAGACCCCCCGGTGTGTTTTTAAATCCGGATTATAATATTTTATTAACCTGTTTACTTTTATCTCCGCCTGGCAGATACCTCTACTATTATTTTTAGTTTATTTTATTTTTTTTAATAAACTAGGAATCCTCTTTCTTGCGCAGGGGGCTAATAAGTATAAAATCTATAAATATAGTTTCCTGTGTAGGATCCACGAATATAAGTAAGCTAATATTTAACTATTTAAATTAAATATAGAAAAGAAAGATTAGAATCTTTAATAATATTTTAATAAAATTATGGGTGTGCTTAATTTATCTATAACTATTTATTTATTAGTTTATTTCCTTTTTTTTAATATTTTAGTCTAGGTCTTCCTGTATTTAATATATTAAGAAAAAGATTTCTTCTGTTTTTTTTTCTAAGAAAAGAAAGCAAGAAAAACTTGCCAGAATTAAAAAAGTAATTTTACACCTTAATATTATAACTGTATAATATAGTTTTTTATTTAAATATTTTATTTTATTATTTTATAAGGATGACGCGAGCCCTAACTAACTAAAAAAACAGAATCTATAGGTGACTTTAGTTTATATTTTTATAATAATAAAGTTATTATTTATTTAATTTAATAAAGTTTTATGTGATATCTATGGTTTCGGAGTGTGGTTTTTTAGGTGAAGTATTTAATTTATTTAGGATTGTTTTTTTACTTCTATTTTATTATTTTTTTTCTTTTTTAATTAAATTATGTATCCCTGTGTTTTATTTCTCTAATTTAGGTGATTTCTGGCTTTATTTTGCCCTAAGGGGGTGTGTTAGAACCTTCTACTATGTTAGTAGTAGGTTCCGGGAGTTGCATGGCTTATTCCGCGATGCAGGTCATGTGACCATGGCTATATAAGCCATGGTCCACCTTATGTAGGTCTAGAGATTATCTAATTCTATCATCATTCTCTTTGGAGTTCGTTCCCAATATTTTTTAGTCCCAAGTCACGTTCCCAAGTCACGTTAACTTAGCTACTGCTCGATGGTCCAAAGTCAGACGAAACATACCTCTTCCGTGTAGCCGAAAACATCAAACCTTCGATCTTTTGCAACCTCTTCTGTGTAATCGTGGGATAAGATCAGATCGATTCCCATGTCTGTCAATGCATAAAAACCTCTGGGCGACTGTATCGGAAGACCATTTCCTTATTAAATTATGCCGAGCAAGTGAAGTTCCTAGTACTCCAAGGGGAAGGCGAAACTCACTTTTGAGAATCCAGCCCTGAGAATCTCCGGTCCGTTTGCCACAAAACGCTTCCGAGCCCTGTACGAGGATAATTCCCATGGCTTCTTACCGTTAAGCAATCGCAGACCGGCCGTATATCGTGACCTACAAACAATTGCAAGCAAGAGGCTACTAAGCAGGAACACAAGTACCCCTGGATAATCAGCCCGTAGAGGGGCAATGATTTCTAATGCGGCGCTCAGCATAGTTGAACCAACAGACCCACAGACTGAGAAGAGATTGACAGCGTGCGGACGGTGGGTGCTGGAAGAAAGATATTCTCATGGGTGTGCTTAATGGAACTCCTTACATATGACCGCTTCATTGTTGGAATGTCCAAACAAACCCCTTGCTTGTACTCGGCTCCTACCGGAGTTGACTCGCTCACATTGATGAACGCATTGTGAGACTAGGGACTGGAGAAAGAGTGATTAGATTCTCTAGCACCATAGTGTTGTAATATAGAGGACAGGGTTTTTTGGCGTTCAGGAGTTCAGCCTCCGATGTTGTAAGGTATCCGGTCAGTTCTAAAAGGACAGGTCAAGCCTTGCGCAACCAGGAAAATCAGTGACCTCGCAGCTGGCGGGCGTACCAGAAAGTCCACCGTAAGACGTACACACTCTTTTACTGTCAGTGTCCATGTTCCTCATTGACTTTTGAAACGTGATAGGGGAAGTTGATTGAACCACACCTCTCTTGCTACTAACACATCCCACGTGATCCAAAATCTCCGGTCCCGGCACTTTCAAATTTCACACTTAAAAATATTACCTAGATATCATCAGGTACCTATATGAATATGTTTTCATTCACTAATGGTACCTCATGCTAGCTCAGGTGATGCTTGTAGAAAATAATAGATTACGGTACGGTAATATAAAGAATATGGGTACTAAAGATCATGAAATCCAAGGCCCGCTCGTTCAGATCCTTTCTGGATCTAAGGCTATAGATAGAGAGCATCTACGTAGCCCGTGGTCTGTATGTGGGTCACTGATAGGCTAAGTGAATGGTCAAAGCCCGAATTGATCAATCTCCCCACTGCTACTTTATGTAGGTGCCTGAGTCAACAAGTTTCCGAGGCGCTCCGGTGATGGTCAATGAGGCTGCCTTAGACTTTTGTCTCAGCTATCCCGGACGAAGACCAGAGTCCAACTTACACCATCTTAATTAAGCATAGATCGTCTCAACGTGATATTAATGTAGCTAGAAAGTACATGCGCTTACGTACATAACTATTAATTGAACTCAATAACCGGCTACTTCCTCAAGATTCTGATTTACTAGCTGCACATGTTTAAACCATTACTCCATACCTGCGGAGTTGTTGTCCCCGTCGCATTGTCTGGTATTATTTTCCCTTGTATTAAGTGAATAGATAATATGACGAGCAATATTGCTTACCAAAAGCTGTAGTTGGATACGCCTAGGATTTTGTAGCAGACGTCAATTGGATCCTCTGATGGGGTTGGGCGTCGGGGGCTCATGCTTTCCCCGCATGTTAGGGGCCGGGTTAGGTTGTTGGTGAGTCAATTTTCCTGGTGCTCTTTGTGCGCATGGGACTTTATCTGAGCCGGACCGAGACATGATCCTATCCTAGTCTGCATGGTGGCGGGATTTAGCACAAGGGGACAGGTTTACTAGGCGCCCTAACCAAGCGCTATCACTAGACCTGTGGGGCAGCACATAAAACGTTACATTCACAACGTCAGAGATGAATGGGTTAACACAGTAAGTACATTGTCCATTCCCCCTGCTCGACCAACTTGATGGATGCCTTAGACGTATACTGCTTGGGTTTTTAATTTATACTAGGCAACGTAGAATTTATAATAGTTAGCCATTTCTATTCTATTTGAATCATCAACAATTATCACTGCAGTTGTGGCTTGCTCTTCATAGATCTCCTTATTACAGATACCTACACATTTGTCAACATTACAACCGCACTAGAACAATTTGATTTGACATCTTGGAGTTTCTAGGGTTATGAACGCAATAAATCCGTTTGTCCATGTGGACAAGTTAGCTGGAATAGTCTCTCTTGCTTTGCTTATGCAAATATTAGCACAGCACTTGTTCACCCAGCCCGCTGAACTTGGCTCCGAAGTGGTGGCATGGGTAATACTCCCTGTTTTACTTAGTGGCTCTAGACACCAGCATTTGGGTCACTCCATCAAGCGGAATCCTAGAATACTCGAATTTGGGTCTCTGTCTTCGATACATTTATGGATAATTGCTGTCGGCTTATGTGTATCTTCTTTATTCAAAGCGGAAATTGGGGTTTTGAACAGCTTTGTACGTCACAGAACTCCCATTATGGAACATATCGCTGATATATATCAAGCCCATACTACTTCCATTACTGTTGATATCAGCAAAATTCTTTAATTTTAGCGCACACCGCTCGATAGGGTTGAACCGTTGCTCTTTTTTAACAGAAACTCTCTATGGCTCTTCCGTCGTCTCCTTGTTGGGAGCATTTACTCTGGGATCTACGAATCTTGCCCAGTGGTGTTTCTCGATAATTCCCACGATGTGTGTCCTGGGTATCTTTATCATTCTCTCATCCCAGCATGGAAGATCATTGCCTCAGGATGTTAATGCCAAACATTCACTATTCCATCTCGCTGCTAGAATTCTACTCATGTTAGTGATGGCTGTCGTGGTCGAGATGGTTATATTCGGGGCTTCCTGGGGGTATTCCCTTACCATACTTGCTTTAGGCTCGTGCAAGGGGCTTTCCTATTATTTCACAATTCATACTGTAAGTCCCAGAGACTCACGATATTCGATGCACACTAACGGATATTAAGATTTGCCATTCTTCCTGGAATACAGCTCTCTTGATAGAGACATTTGGTCTTCTGTCTGCCAATAACCCGTTCAGAGCATCCTCAGGCCTCAAAGCGTTCTTAAACGTTCTTACCTCACAACTTGTGCTTGCCCAAATTATCGAAGTGCTCCCAAGTAATCTTAAGGGTAGAAGGATACTGTGGGCATTTGGCCTCGCAACGATGGTTCCATATTTTGCAAACTTATGGACTATATATGTCGCAGACAACACAATAGTCCAGAACCATCCCATCACAAACCTGATGGAGAATGCCAGGGTCCAGTTCCACGAGGCTCTTGATAAGCAGTCCCGCACATATTCAACTGCATGCGAGGAGTATCGGCATCGCTACAAGATTGAGCCCCCACAGGGATTTGAAGACTGGTATAAATTTGCATCTGCCCACCAATCGCCAATAATTGATGATTTCGACGCAATATACAACAGCATACGGCCCTTGTTGAGTTTGAGCGGCAGAGAGGTCAATGAGAACCTTAATAATGCGCGCGACCTGCCTGGAAACGAGCTTTGGTCTTGTACGTTCTTTGGCAGCCTGCTCACGACAAAATGCTCGCATGATAGTCGCGTGTTTGATCGGCATATCCAGCATTCATTTGACAGCTTACTCGAAACTATACCCGCAACTCTCCCTGACGTTACGTTTCTGGTCAATCATCTGGATGAACCAAGGATGATACTACCGCCACCGATCAACTCCCACAACGATTTGAACATAAAGGACCAAGCTAGGCAAGTAACATGGCATACTGTAACGGATTCTTGCGCCTACCAAATTGGTAAGACCAAGACCAGAAAACCGAATGCAGTCGAACACCCTGAACTGCCGTTTGTCATTGATTCTGCACTGGACCAAGATTTATGCCTACATCCTGAATACAGCACAATGCACGGGATGTTCCTCAGTCCAACGTCCTTCCGTCCAATAGAAGGCCTGGTCCCAGTCCTTTCCCCCGGTTCTCCATCGACCATGGGCGATATCCTATACCCGAGTCCTGCATACATGGAACCGGAATTCGAGTACAACGCTAGCAAGGACATTGATTGGGAAAAGAAGCAGAACAAGCTTTACTGGGCTGGTTCTACAACTGGTGGCTTCGCCTTGAATGATGACTGGCGGCAGTTCCATCGACAAAGATTTGTCGGCCTAGTGCAAAACCGAGAGCGACGACGTTTTCCCTACTTATATCAAAACAAAGACGGGTCGATTAATCTTTCGAAGTCAACATTCCTCAACAGCAGGCTGTTTGACGTTGCATTTACTCGAATATGTCAATGTGAAACCAAGTACTGCCGCGATCAAAGGCGCTACTTCCACACACACTCCTGGGCAGACAAAGACAGAGGCCTTCAATCACGGTTGGTGTTCGACTTGGACGGGAACGGCATCAGTGGACGATTTTACAGTTTGTTGGCCTCGAAATCAGCTCCTCTGAAGCAGACTCTATTTCGAGAGTGGCACGATGACCGCCTCAAGCCATGGGTGCACTATATACCGGTCAGCCAAAGCATGGACGAGCTTCCTGAGATGGTACGGTACTTTGCATCTCGAGCCGGTCAAAAGAAAGCTAGAGAGATTGCTGACAATGGCCGTGATTGGTTTTCCAAGTCGTTCCGACCAGTGGACTTGACTATATATCTGTATCGGTTGTTATTAGAGATTGCCAGATTGCAGGATGTTGATCGGCCTGCCCTACAATTGGTGGAAGAAACACTGTGAAGGGGCGTGTCAAATTAATGTCAGTTTGCAGCTATGATATATCTGGCATGGCGCCGCAAGAAGTATCATGCTTTTGTTCGAACGCGTGTCAAAGGACACCAAGTGCTGTACATAACATGGAGAAGGGGGACAATATAGTTGCGGCCGAGTTGTCATTGAAGAAGGCCGTGTGGTGAGGTTGGTACTGAGCCATTTTTCCCCATAAGTGTCCATGGTATTTGGTGTCTTGTGTCTGGTCCCTTTAAGCCGACATAATCAAAGTCCTGGCCAATTCCCCATTCCGGAAGTCGATGTTAAGGATGGATGGACTCTACAAATCACGCCTTCTCGTTAGGGGCCATTTCATAGAGGTTTCAGAATTTAGATATGGCTGGTCCATAATCACTCTCCTTTTCTTCTCCATCTTTCTCTCGGAGCTCTCGCTCTCGCTCTCTTGCTGCCCATTATATAATCATTGACGTAGCCCTATTCCCGGGTAATCGTCGCTGCTCTCTCTCGCTTGCCTACTTACTTATTTCCTGCATCTCCCTAGTTTTGCTCTTTGACTACTTTCATTAGACTTGGACTGCGACTTGATTACGTCTAACCTTCTTGCTAACATCTATTCTGATATTCATTTAACCAATCGATCACCTCTACCCACCCGCCTGTTGACTGCACACAAGCCTCACATCGGCAGGTTAGTAGTTGGGTGGGTGACCACCAGCGAATCCCGGGTGTTGTACGTTTTCTTTTTCTTTTTCTTCATGTTTCGTTTGTACATTTTGCGGTCGAAATTTAACTGAATTGCAGCTCGCTAAGGTTGCACACCGAAGATGGCCATGGAGGGATAGGCAAATGGCGAAATATAACCTCTGGCATAAACCAAGTCCTCCAGCGCTTTCATTGTATAGTGAATATTGCTGGATGATCACAGATCAATGGCTCGTTAAAACTTGGAGGGTTACGACCTAAAGACTGTAATCTGCGAATCTATCACGCGACTATTGACAATAAACGATTTTCTTTTTGTCAGTCCTGCATACTACGTACTAGAGATCTTCGGCTCGTCCCGACGATCGACAGTGATTAGATTTAATAATGGACTTTAACCCAATCCAGACAGCACCTGCGCGGGCCCATATTAACGCAATGACCAAAAAATCAGTAGGTTCACAGTGTTCGAGCTGATCGGCAACTATCTAGGGTTTGCAAGTTGGTCGATTACAGCCGCAGTGGGTCACACTCAACTAGCCTCGGTTCAGATCAAGGTGTGAGAAGCTATGGTATCCGTAAATGGAGTCAGGACGATAGGTCATATCTGGAGTCCGGAATTCTTTTCCTTCATTGGAGAATGTGCAGACAAAGGCCACTGCCTCTATTGGTGGAAATTCCCTCGAATGGCTCATGTGGGTTCGCAATGCGATGTGCCTTTATGATACTTTGATTTCGGTGCCAAAGACCAGTGGACCCCAATGAACGGGGCAAGCCGAAGGCTGAACTGAATCGACATGTCGAGCTTGAACTCCCCCACATTTCATCACGAGACCCCTCATGGCCAGTTTCTCGAGCACCAGATTAAGCATTTTCTACTACCTATCTAGGACCTCTTTATGCCTACTCTTGGCCTTGGTTAGACTGAAATAATGCACAAAAGTACAAGAATGTGGAATGTTTTAACGCATTTCTCAACACATTCCACGAACTGAATGAGCGAGGCGATCGCCGGCGATAAGGCCTGACACCCACAATCTCGTAGATTCCCCGCTCTAAATGAAACTATTCAATGTGATGTCTTAGTGCTATGTGATATAGCACGCAGAGGTTGCCACCTGGTCCAGCCCCTTCAGCTGCTCAGCCCTTCCATGCTAAGAAGCTGTCGATCTCGAGGATACGACATATCCTTCCCAGGTAGGAAATGAAGTATTCCAAATACTGGACTAAGCAACATTGCTTTTGTGCTCCTCAAAAGATATAAATATGTCCTCATCTTCCTCAATCTCACTGAACATCCAACACAGCAATCCGCCTCCATCAGTTCAGATCTCAAGTCTCTTTCAAACAATCCAACTTCCAAACCCACTCAAACCTATTCATCCACCATGAAGTTCACTGCCACCATCGTCGCCGCCGCCCTGGCCTTCACCGGCTCCGTGAGCGCTGCCACCTGCACTCCTGGCTTGGATTACTGCACCGATGTGTTGCAGGATGTTGGTAAGAAACTTCTCGCGTCCCTCTGAATCGAAAAGTATACTCACACTTTCCACATTATAGATGGTGCCAACAAAGATGCTATCAGACAGGAACTGCGAAACAAGGGCGAGGTTTTCCTCTCCAATGCTCCTGGCGTCTGGAGCGGCCTTCTCTTCCACTGCAACAACGACCACTCGATTAGCCTGGCGGACAAGTGCGCTGGTGGCTGTATTAATGCGGGCGCCGGCAAGAGCGACATCTGCAACCACGACGCCTCGGATTGGCTGTAAGGGTCGACTCAGAGAAGTAGCCTTTCAGAAGGGATTGGTGGTTTTTGGGGCTGATTGGCTGTTTTGATTTCCCCATTCGTTGGGTCGTTTGTATGGAGAGCTTGATAATTGATCAGCAATTTATGGCGGGTTGCGCCGTATTCTGATGAGAAGGTTTTATCAGAGCTGATGGCTCGTAACTAGATCGTATGGGGTAGTTTAATATGTAAAGAGTAGTATGAAGTATGTACCCGTCTCTTTCGCTCGCTTTACTGATCGCTCAGATGGTTTACTGCATTCCAGCAAAACTATTATCGTATTGGGATATCCTCTGCGCCGTTTTGGTGTTAATAGATGAAGTTGGGACAAATAAACAAAGATTTCACAATCGGAGCTCTTATCAAGAACGTACAAAGCTGACTTTAGATGCGTGAATGATAGAACGGGTGGGATACGGTACGCAAAATCTCCCTATGGACGAGTAACAAATCATACATTAATTTTAGAATTGATTAACTTGGGCATTGGCCTTGGTAAGCGAACTCCCAGCAGGAACAGTCACATAAGCAGCAAGATCAGAAATATCCAAACGATGACGACTCTCCAAAACTCCAACAAAATCATTAATCATCACCCAGAATTCCGTTCTAGGTATTGGAAAACCCCGATGTTTTGAAGGGCCACAAATAGAGCTAAGCGTCCGACCAATTACCACAACATCACAATCCGCCAGATACTCAGCAGCTATTGTAGCACATTTGGCCAACGGTCGCCGATCTTCTCCGTACAGTTCTCCAGACTCACACCATACCAAGGGCTCGCCTCGCCCGCGCACTCGGTGTGGTCTCCATATTATGCTGCGCAAGATCCACAATCGGAGGAAGTCGCGGTATGGTTTCATTACGGCTTCCGAGAAAAGCGGTCTCCGCTCAGTACCCTGAGTCTCGATGATGCCGATGTGTGACGTTGGGGGTTGGTAGAGAAGCATTCGTTGCCAGCTTGCTTCTTTCCGCCTATATGCGTTTTCTTCTTCCGGGGTGGGCAGGGGAGTTTTGCGATATCGACGGATCAAATCGGGGGGATTGTGTTTTCGCCAGACTCGAAGCCAGATGTCTTCGAGGAAGGGGTTCTGCGTGCGTTTCTGGCCGGGTATGATCGGCCGTCGGAGGGTCTGAAGAATAAGGCTATCTGAAGGCGCTTTGAGTCTTGTATGAGACGGTTCCAGGCGCGACAGACCCTTTGGCAGGATGAAAGTACAGTACGCAAGTCTGTTTGCAGAAGGATCATTTCGAGAAGTTCGTTAATGCAGATAAGCCTATGTCCAGACATTTTGGTGAGTTTCTTTTATGGGTTTTATGAAGAGCTTTGATCGAAGATGAAAGGAAAAGACACTGGATATCCTCGGTCATGTTCCTAAACAGTTTAAACAGTTTACATATACTCCTAGAATTCGGAGATGACGTTTTGATTGTTTAATATTTTACATTTTCTCAGGTGACCGTAGTGTGTTCTGGGCCTGAGCGGATAGACTGTAAGAAGGTTCAAGTCGGATCAAAATACACGCATGCCTCCATCTCTAGATTCCTGTCCACTAACCGCTGACCTCGGAATCTTCTGTTTCTAGCTTGAACCTTGTTATCTCGTAGTAAATTCTTTTTGGTCTCGTTTAGGCTTGCTCTCGTTACGTCAAGGTATGCGGGACTCTGGGGTTTCGCCATATATTGACTAATCTTGCTATTTTAGAGTATTGGAAACAATAAGCATAGTATTTAATTCCTATAACTCTCCATCTCCTAAGCCAGGAGTGCTAGGCCCTCCAACAATTTGGCCACCGATATGACTCTTCCGGGTATTCTAGAGGAATACTCGTTTATTTCGAGATATTAGACCGACCTAATCCTCGCAGACCCGAGTACTCGTTTATGTATTTAGGGATACATCTTATTTAGCACGTTTATTTGTGCCTTACACCTGCCACCTAGCCATAGCTATGTAGTTCCTCAAGCTTACAGAGCCCTGTGGAGGACTGGGTGTCTAACCAAATCCCTACACCTCCAAATTCACAGATCAAAGGCTTTGAGACAATCACTGTTTTCTTTGATGCTCTTTCATGTCTATCCACCCACAAACAAACCAAATTACTTCGATTGTGGCTGTCATTGATACCAGCACGCTAGTCTCTTTGTTTGAAAGAGAACTGATATCGGTAGCTAATCATTGCATGGCCATGCAAGCAAGCTTGGTTTGTAGATTTTATATATAGAAGCATAAGACAAAGCCGTCGTTTCCGTTGTTTTATGGAAGAGTCTACTGCTATGGACTATTTCAACTAGGATATATTAGGTCTTTCCATCCTCTTCTTCATCTGTTACCTTACACAGCACCTTCATTCTTCCTTTCCTGCTTGTTGTCACGCTCCTATGGTTCTGTCTCTGCGCTTCCTCCGAATAGCTTCATACGACCGACTACTTTATCGCAAGTTACTGTCATCACTGCCCTTCCAGAACGCTACCTCTCAACGGCACAAGACAAAACTCCTTTTTCTTTCCAGAATTATTTGACTTTTTGAATCGAGCATTCTGCCGGGTTATCAGGGTTTGGGCAGGCAGAGATGGAAAACATTCAGTCAGTTACCCAGAGACATAGGCTGATCACAAAGAATCTCGGGCTGACCATAAACCAAAACAGACAGATGAGAGATGAAATGAAGCGAGTGCAGGAAGGAATCCAGTAAGTCAAACATAGAAAAAGGATCGTTCCAAATTTTGGTCCCTTGATTGTTAACAGATGTTAATAGGCAGTTGCGGGATCAGAATAGGCAGTTGGGTGATCTGAAAAGGCAGTTGGATGATCGGAATAGGCAGTTGGATGATTGGAATAGGCAGTTGGATGATTGGAATAGGCAGTTGGGTGATCGGAATAGACAGTTGGGTGATCGGAATAGACAGTTGGGTGATCGGAATAGACAGTTGGGTGATCGGAATAGGCAGTTGGCTAACATGAATACGATGCTGGACCATAGGAATCAGCAGTTGGATCTGATTGCGCAGTTGGAAGAGAAATGTTCCCAATTACAGGAGAGTGTTCGAAAAACGACCTTCCTAGAACTGATTCGCCACTGCCATGAGGCTCTATCGCAATCCCTTAAAGTCGCATGCCCAGCGCTATGCGCCAAAGGGAACATCCAGGGCCCTAAAGGGAGGTTCTGTCCAGAGCGATTTGAACACTGGACTGGGTGTACGGACGCTCAAAGCCAGATCTACCGTTCTGTGTGCGAATTTCTGGCGCCGAGTGAAAGTTCAGACAAGCGGTTATTTAAGTCAATTCACAACATACGTGAGCATGAAGAGGAGGCTGCAATGTCCCCTATCAGCAGCGAGAAGGGTCTGGAAAATTACATGAAGTCTACAGTCGTGCTGCATGTAACACGGATCATGGAAGAGCTCTACAAGATCCCAGCAGCCCGAGAAAGGTTTGGCCTCAAGGGCACTGGGATTCAATTTACGGACCATCTGAACCCATTAGGTACTGAATATGTTGCCCAGAATCGACAGGAGAGTGGGTCAGTTTCACAACAAATGGCTGGTCGCAGACCCGATACCTTTTGTGTTCATTATACGGATGAGAAGCCCGGGCTGCTTACAACGGTGGATTATAAGCCACCTTACAAATTGTCGATGGAGACGCTCCGTATAGGTTTACGACCAGTAGCCTTTATTGATGAAATAATCAATAGCAGTCCTACCTCAACAGAGGGGAAGGCGACTCGCTTAGCGGGGTCGGCCATAGTCCAGGAGTACCATGCAATGATAGAGCTAGGGCTCGAATACGGCTATGTCTCCACTGGGCTAGGGCTGGTTCTGCTCCGAATCCCCTATGACAATCCAGAAACCCTCTACTACCACCTCTGTGAGCCTAATGCTGATGCGGACCTGGATAACCTCGATTGGCCCCAGGAGCCTGTGACGATGATTGCGCGGATACTGTGTCTGTGTTTAATGAGTTTTAACTCACCAATCCGGAGCCAGGAGTGGAGGGCCAAAACAAAGGAGACTTTGGCCAAGTGGAATACAAGCTTCGACTACGAACATGAGGTCCAGAATAAAGACTCGGCATCAGAGCATCGTCGCGGCTCGGATGTTATTGCCCCGCCCACCAGGAAGAATAGGCGCGGCGCTCCTAGGAGATCACCGCCCCACACAAAGTCACGGACAAGAAAATTAAAAGACTCTGGATTCCGATGTGCTGAGCCAGATGATTTCAATTTCCGAGAAGATGAATCGGGTCCTGATGCCGATCCAAGTACAGGGCAGAAACGTCGCCGGGGCCCAAGCACATCTATTGAATTCTCTTCGTCGGGACAACAGGCCAAACGCCGGAGAACCTCCCAAAACAACCAAAGTGGCAGGCAAGCCCAGCGAACTGTACAGTTCTGCACCCAGAAATGCCTCCTGGGTCTAAAGAAACGGCGCAAACTGGATGAAAAATGCCCGAATGTAACACTTCACCGGCAGCATGGAAGCAGCAAATGGCACCCGACCAGCAGCACGGGGCTAGTTAAGCTTCTCAAGCATCAACTAAATGAGTGCATTGACCGTGCCATACCCCTGGGAGAGTGTGGAGCATCTGGGGCGCCGTTCCAGCTGACCTGTGAGAGGTTCGGGTACACGGTGGTTGGCAAAGGAACCTCCTGTTGGCTGTGGCCCGAGGTGTCGGAGGAAGCCGAAGTTTACCAGGTTCTTTCGCCTGCTCAAGGATCGGTGGTGCCGGTGTTTCTCGGTAAAATCGATTTGGATAAGACCTACTTCTTGCATGGCGCCGGAAAGATTCGACACATGATACTAATGGCGTGGGGAGGCAAAACGATAGACAGAGTGGATGTCCATCCGCGGATCAGGAGAAAAAGCACAAAAAGAGCTGTTGCAGAAATCGATGCGCTAGGGGTGAAGCACGAAGACATTCGCGACGCCAATGTTCTGTGGAACACAGAATTAGACCGGGCAATGGTCATCGATTTTCATATTTGTCAGTTGAAGGCTCAAGTGGTCAAAAAGAAGAAAAAGACTAGGAAGGTAGCAGGCACCCGTCCGTGTAATTACCATAGCACGGACATAATGTGACGAAGATAGTGAGCACTCAATCGGATGAAATATACGCTAGATTCAACCAAGGACTGGTCTCTTTATCCCGACTGTAAATATCCCTCGTACAATTATGCTTTTACAACCCGGACAACAGCGCTTTTTGGTCCACGTTACTTCAGTGATGTTGGATCCATTTACCCACTAAACCAGTTAACAAGCCAATCCACATGATGATACAGACTATCCTACACAAAATTAACACTCTGACGCAGATCCTTCTGTACCATAATATTCGGCGACTGATGATCCATCCCCGGCACGCCCTTCTTCCCCTCGCAATGGGTATCCACCCAAGAATCATTAGGATCCGAAGTCTCCGTCAGCAAGATATCCTCTCGCTGCGTATCTTTCGACCGGTTGGATGTGAGTTTCCAGCGACGGCCGGAGCCCGTCCCCGATCCGTAGGGGTCGGTCGTGTACTGATTCTTCCTGCGGTGTTTGAAAAGGGGACCGAATGTGGGCACGCAGGCTGCTAGGATGCCGACGGAGATCTCGATATAGGACCAGATGCCGGGGTAGGCGGCGTTGTCTGTGGATGTCAGTGTGCGGGCGAGCGGTGATTGGGGAGGGTTCCTACAGCTGGGGTCGGTGGATTCCATGGTGGAGATTGCGATGCAGCACACGATGCCGAAGATGCAGACGCTAGCATTGTTAGATCGGTACTGGATAGATAGAGGGATGAAAGCTTACATTCCGCCCAGAAGGAAGATAGTCAACACCTGGATCTTGCGGCCTCTTCGCATCTGTAGCCCGAGGACCGGCTTGACGGGAAGCGCGAGGATGGCAACGTCGGTGACTACATTGACAATGCTGTACTATAAATCAGATCGAGAATTAGGGATGTAAGGGCTGAGGACCTCACGCAAGAGCAGTATACGGCGGAGAGACGTTGATGCATTGCCCTTGCTCTCCAGTCCACATCGACGAGAGAGGAATACATTGGAAGGCTGCGGTAAACACCACGGCCAGATTGTACGCGATAACCACCGCGCCCATGATGTATGAGACCACCAAAAGCCATTTGACCGGGAAGATGCGATGGTAGAGAAACAGGATGGATATTTTGGTGAGCATGACGGTGATCGAGTACGTGATGATCGCAGCGACATAATGCTTCGAGGCGAAGTCAGATTCCATGTGCCGGGACCATGATCAGTGAATAGTCATACCTGTATAAAGAGTTTCTGGTTCTTGACAAAGATGATGTGTAGACCTTCTCCGTTGTGGACACTCATAAAATTCAACACAGCATACGTGAGCTGGCCCATCTACCCACGGTTCATCAGCAGGGTGCTTCCATCTGGCCGGATCTACCCACCAAAGCAACCAAAATAAGGTAATCATCCCAGTTCAATCGAGCTCGCGAGCGGTATCGTGACAGGAACCGCGCCGCCACTGCTGAGACGGCCAGCAAGATGCCGACAACGTCCGCGGCGATCTGGTTAGGCCGAAGATCATCGTCCGCGTGTGCTTGGTAGTAGGCAATGTCTTCGGGCGTTAAACCAGACATGGTCGTCGTCACTGCAGGTCGATACCACGCTGTAGGATGGCGAAAAGAAGACGAGAACAGACATGGCGTTTATAGCAGACAACTCTCCTCCCCGGGGAATGTGTGAAGGGGGGTGGGGAGACTCTCCTCTGTCTGAATGAGTGCTACTGCATGTCAGACGGACGATCACCCAGGATTAAGTGCAATACAACCTCTGGGCTGCAACACTGATCGACAGATGGCATGACTGGCGTTATTCTGTCTGCGAGGCTGTCGAGGTAACTGATCCGAAATTAACGCCAGGGATCTCAGCCACTTGACTCCAGCGCGCAGCCAACCTAGTTAGTTATTAAGATGTTTCTCTATTCTCACTCCAACCTCCATTTCTCGACTTATCTGAATTCCCCTTTCGCCCCCAAACCCCCTACAGCCGTTTTATCGCCATGGCCACCCCCGTGGGAGTACACCTGGTAGGGAGTATCCCCCTGCGCGACACCGATGAGGTTTTCCGGAAGATCACCGCCGCGCTGCCCAACCGCCTCTACTCGATTCCTGACGGCGAACCCGGCTTTCGCCAGAATTACATCGCCACAGAGCTTCCCTGCTTTCCCAAGGAGACCTGGCGCCTTTTCCTGCCGGGCAGCACCGAATTACCCGCCGACCACCCCGGCTTCACCCAGGAGTCCGTGACAGCATCTCACTACGACGGCGCCGCGTTGGAATCCTACCAGCAATTCGTGCAGCTGCGCGATCAAGGCGTGATTCCTCAGGGCGTCCGATTCCAAGTCTCTTTGCCCTCGCCCCTCGCGTGCATCCAGGGCCACCTCAGGCCCGAATTCCACACGCAGCTTGAACCGTTTTACGAGCGCCGGATCCTCGACGCCCTCGACGCCATCATCGCAGGTATCCCGGCCACTAATCTCGCCATTCAATGGGATCTCCCGTTCGAAGTGATCGACCTCGAATATGAGCGTGGTCGCTTCCCCGACGATTTCACCTTCAAGCCGCAGTTTGCGCCCGTCAGACAGGGCATCTTGGATCGGATTCAGCGTCTCTGCGCGCGGATCCCGGAAGACGCCCACGTCGGCTTCCATCTCTGCTACGGGGACCTAGGAGGGAAGCATTTTATCGATCCCGAGGATCTAGCGGTGGTTGTGGAGTTCGCGAACGACATCGCAGCGACGATCCGACCGCACGCGGTGAATTGGGTGCATGTGCCGGTGCCGAAGGACCGCGTCGACGAATCATACTTTGCGCCGTTGAGCAGGCTGACGCTGGACGAAGATACGCGGTTGGTCTTGGGGCTGGTGCATTTCGACGACGAGGAAGGGACTCGGCGGCGGATTCAGGCGGCACAGAAGGCCACTGGGAGGGCTTTCAGCGTGGCGACGGAGTGTGGAATGGGGAGAGTGCCGACGGAACAGCTGGATAGTATCTTGAGGATTTCAAAGGAGGTGACGGGCCCGATTGTTTAAATGGGCTCTTGGCTGAGCGATCGATTTATTTTCGCTTTCGTTCATTGAAATGCATTGTCCTGGTCTAAGATCGCCAGCATCATCAGGTTCATGTAGCGGATATAATTCTCCCTGGCGATCGGCAGCGACCCACTCCAGCAGGACCCCAACGCCCATGAAGGGATAAACGAGCGGTCCAATGGGCTCTTGAGATACAAAAGTACTCCGCAGAACGCCAGTCCAAATAGCTCGACGCCACTCCCACACACTAACGCCTGGGCTACGGGGCTATGGATTCCCTCCGCTTCCCTTAGCACTTTAAAGTCGGCGTTTAGCATCCATACGTATGACAGGCGCACTTCAGCCCTAGATATTACTACGACGGTATCAGCATCCACAGATTTATGGAATGAAAGTCTGTTTGTAGCGCAGAGCTGCGATTTATAATAATAGTACGGAGCTTGGAATCGTGCAGGGAAATGTGGCCCCCACGAGTCACCAGCATCTGCCAAGAGAGGGGAAGTGCTCACGCTAGTTTAACAAGGCTTTCTTCGGCTCTCTTTTGCTTTGTTCTTATGCAATTTTTCGGATGACGCCGGCGGTGTTCTAACAGCGTCTCGCTTCTGCTTGTTGCCATCGGGGTTCAGAGCGAGTGGATGTGAGCACATTGTCCATGACGCTGCAGATGAAGTTGGGATAAACCTGGCTGATTCTTGGACTTCGAGTCATCAGTTCCTCGAACAGAGTGTTAAACGCCAGGACAGCCGCTGGGCCGAGAAACCTCTCCTGTCAGACTGCAGCGCAAGGTGAGTTAGCTGATCCGCTGTGATGAAGTGATTAGAATCTAAAGAATGCCCACAGCCCCGCTCAATAAATCCCCAATATTTAGACCCGCTGCAGAGCCGATGATAATCTTTCCCCTCGCCCATTGTCACAATGTTCTCTTCTCTCAAAAAGAGTCCTGCATACTCGGCTCTGCCAGACTCGGATTCCCCCCGCGAATCCGAACTACCCGGGGAGGACGTCCGACCAAGAAAAGCGCGATTCGCAAGAGTCACCCCGGTTTGTGCTGGGGGCGTCGTTGCCTGTGTGTCCGTCATCGCCTTCATCGCCGTCTTCTTCCTCTCCCTCTCTTCTCCCACATCTCAAAATACATGTGTTTATCCCCGGATCCGACCCGAATGGCGGACTCTCAGTCGTGCCCAAAAGAGGGCGTATATCACCGCCGCTCACGGGTTGACGACTCACCTGTCTCCACGGAACCCTAATATTACCGTGCATGATGAATTCTCTTATCTTCACAGTCGCATTGGCAACTACTGTATGTGCCTACTTCTTTTGTCAGCTTTAATTGAAAAAAATGCAAAAACATTAACCAAAATCACCGATGACAGCCCACAATGGCCCCCAATTCTTGCCCTGGCACCGATACTTCCTCCACGCCTACGAAAACGCCCTGAAGCAATACAGCAACTACACCGGTCCTCTTCCGTTGGTTCCTCCTTTCTCTCTTTAGTAATTCAACCCACTCTAATAGCCTATCAGATACTGGGACTGGAGCCTCGACTACCGCAACCTCACCGGCTCCCCCGTCTGGAACATCGACGACGGTTTCGGTCCTAGCGGTTCGTCCTCCCCCAGCGTAGGAACCGGCGGCTGCGTCGACCAAGGCCCCTTCGCGAACTGGGCCCCCGCCTACTACGACGGCGTCTACCACCCCCATTGCCTCTCGCGCGGGTTCCTCGACGCCGCCACCGTCGCCCGCGTCGGGAACCTCACCGTGCGCCCAGATGCCTTAAAGCGCGTGATCCGCAAGAAGCAAGAATACTTCGACTTCCTGATGGCCGTCGAGACGATGTCGCATCTGACGATTCCCTACGTGGTGCAGGGCGATTTCGTGAAAGTGACGGCGCCGAACGATCCCGTTTTCTTCCTGCACCATGGCCAGGTGGATCGCGTGTGGTTGACCTGGCAGCTGTTGGGCGAGCGGCTCTGGGAGTATGGTGGGATGAGGAATATTAATTCCACGTATGAGGATGCGGCTGTCGATGATGTTATGCAGTTTGGGGATTTTCTGGGCCCAGAAGGGGTTGTGACGGTGATGGATGTGATGGATACGGAGAGGGGCTTTCTGTGTTATACATATGATTCGACTGTGGTTCCTACTTAGGTGGGTGGTAGAATTTAACGACCTCTCTCTGGAGTCGGTAGTACTATGTTCATGGATTTTAAGGTGTTCTAGAGAGTAGAGCTCTAGCAATAGATATCTTAGAAGGCCGATCCGCTACAAACCTGTAGCTTAAGAATGCACCTATTGCTTTATTGTAGGTTATTACTTAGTTTTGTTTATTAATCATTCAGTTTAAATAGGGTTTGCTAATATAATATTATATTGCCTTCTTTCATTTGTCGGAGCCAGTGTGTTACTTCCTCATTGTCGGATGGCTGGCTTCGAACGGTGGCAGGTATAACAGACGGCTTCGGGGGGAATATCTCGAATACAACAGACATAGAAGTGCCGTGAGCGTTTATCAGGAATGCAATTGCTCAAGACTGGCTACAGTGGTGATTTTGTAGGCCCCTAAAGCTGGCTGTAGTCAAGAGAAACACGCGGTGACCTCGACGGTCTTTTCTTCATTGGGAATTCACTACTTCACTCACCAGAAACTCCCGCACTCCCTTCTACTTTCATTCTCTCCTTCCCAAACCCCCAGTATTGCCGTTTTCCCGCCAGCTCCTTCGTTTCTATAATGAACAAACTGGTTTTTCTTTATATTTTCGCCCCCTGCTCCATCAATCGCCTCGCCTCATCTCCCCGTCCTTTTTCATAACCGTTACTTACCCTTAACATCACCTCTCTCGCAGTGTGGTTTTATATTCAGATTTCCCTTTTTTATTTCATCAAAACCCATCAATCCTCATCAAACCTCGCCTACATTGTCATTTGCTTTTCCCTCCCCGATTACCTGCGTGAAGCCAACGTCTCACCTATCGACAACATGCGGACTCCGCAAGTGCTCTCCTTTCTCGCCAATTCGATCGGTAGCGTCCAACTACTTGCAAGAAGTCCTCCGAAAAAGTCTCTATAGCAAACTTACCTTCGGAAACACCGTGTCTGTCTTCTGTCAATCTGTCATCGAATCTCAGCAGCCCCGACTAGTCTTCAGTCTGCAAGGATTCTTGTTGTGTTCGATCTCCCCAACTCGCCTCGCCTCATCTCCGCCGTCCTTTTTCCCTCTCATAGCCCTTACTAGCCCGACACCAGCCCTCTTCGAGGGTGTGGTTACACAAACCTCTTTCTCTCTTTCTCTTTTTATCAGATTATCTCTTGCATCAAGCGTGATTCTTCCCTCTCGTTTGAAGCTTTTTTCAACCAGTTACTTCCAAAAATTCGAAAGCTTTGACCTGCCAATCTTTACGATCTTTCTCGGCACGATGCCTGGATCGCGGGTTTCTTTTCTTAGCAGATCAGCTCTTGCATCAAGCGCGATTCTTCTACTATCTCGTTTGCGGCTTTTTTCAACCAGTTACTTCCAAAAAGCTCGAAAGCTTTGACCTGCCAATCTTTACGATCTTTCTCGACACAATGCTTGGATTACGAAGTAAGTTTTCACCATTCAATTCAAGTCGGCAGAATATCATACTAAGGATACTGAATTACAGTCATCAAATCGAAATAATGAGAAATGATCGACGATCTTCCCCGAAGCCGGAAGAAACTGCATGAAGCTACGAATACAGAAATCGAGAACGAAGTTTAGTCAAAAGGAACGCCCCTGATCCAGATAACTTGACAGTCAATATGTATCTACGGTTTTTCTTCGGCAGCTTGGAGGGATGGGATTCTGGATCAAAAATACAAGTAAGTCACTAACTCATGACAAGACTCCTTTGGAAGCATGAATACTGGGGATTTTTAGGAATATAGGATAACGGTCATTTCCTCGGGTGAATCCGCCACGAGAGCATGGCAAGTCGAAGTATATGGTTGCCTTAGGCACATGCCAGCCACTTGGCTCCTCACCTCGACTCTCACTTCTACACTCTCCCCTCTCTTCACCCCTCCACCTCGGACATTGAGCAAGATCAACCCCTTCCTGGAAGCACTACCAACTCAGACCAGAAGTCATTAATTTCCTCAGTCATCCCTACTCATGCTTCAACCGGGAGGGAATCAGTCCTGCAGGATGTTGTCAAGTTGTGGAGACTGAGATCGGAGAACTGAGCTGTGCCGTTCGAGATCAAGAACATGACGCATCTTTTGCAAGGATTCCCGAGCATCTGTCAATCGTCATTTCCATGCTGCTCGAAGCTCCTTTCGATCCGATACATAATCGGCAAGGCTCAGTAAGTAGGGTCGGATAGAGAAATCGCGATGCTTGGATTGCACCAGATGAGCTCATTCTGATTACTGATCTTCTCCGCAGCGATTTCTAAGCGCCGCTTGCTCAACGCCCGCCTGGGATGACGACATACGCCTCGATATAAAGGCATCCCCTCGATTTATCGAGCAATTATCATCACCATAATTCAACCATAACCTACAAATCAATACTATCAGCATGTCCGCCAAACCTATCGCTGTTGTCGCCGGTGTCGGTCCCGGCACTGTATGTCCTTCAACCCACCCAGATCAACCAGATAGCCCAAACTAAAGCTTTCAGGGTGCATCTATCGCGCGCAAATTCGGAAAATCATACTCGATCGCAGTCTTGGCTCGGAATCCAGCCAACTTCGAACCCCTAGTCAATGAAATCAAATCCAACGGCAGCGATGCCATCGGCATCAGTACCGACCTGACGAGCTCCGCCAGCGTCCAATCCGCATTCGATCAAATCACCCAGAAATATCCAGATGCGCCTCTCGCAGCGGCCGTGTTCAATCCCGGGGGCGGATTCGTGCGAAAGCCGTTCTTGGAGCTGACCGAGGAGGAATTTGTGCAGGGATACGAGAGTCAAGGGTATGTTGCAGATCGAGACTATCTGCCATCAGAACATGTCAAATCGGAAGCAGAGCTAACACAATACCTACAGAAAGGGAGCGTTCAATTTCGCCAAAAGCTCACTCCCTCTGCTTCTCAAGGCAAAGCACCTTCCGCACCCACCCACCTTGATCTTCACGGGCGCAACAGCCAGCGTTAAAGGCTCTGCAACCTTTTCGGCCTTTGCGACGGGCAAATTCGCTCTGCGCGCGTTGGCCCAGTCGCTGGCACGCGAGTTCGGTCCTCAGGGAGTGCATGTTGCGCACGTCATCGTCGACGGCGTGATTGATATTCCCCGCACGAAGGAATGGAAGTTCGAACACGAAGACGCCAAACTTGATCCCGATGCTGTGAGTGTTTTGTCTTGATCGAAACTATGAATATAAGAAAGAAGAAAACTGATATATCCAGATCGCGGACTCCTACTGGCACTTGCACACGCAGCCCCGAACGACCTTCGGATTCGAGCTGGATCTGCGCCCATATGTGGAGAAATGGTAGAGGCCAAGGTCGGTCGATCATACGTTTTGGAGCCATATTCCGGCGGGATGAGGGGTAGATTTAATCTAATGCAGCGTAGTCTCTGATTCTATCACACAATCTCACTGGAATAGATTAATTCGGAGCTCAGTGTCTCATTGCCAAACCCAACGCGGGCAGATCGGCACGCCTATTGTATTTGAGGGTCCATTCAGAGAATCTTGGATTCGATGACGATTACCTCCATCCTTGAAGCCACGGATTGTTCAGCTTGTTCGTTTAACTGATATGTCCCGTATATGAAGGATCCTCTAGCGTACATACAGTGTCGATTATTGGGCTCTTTAAACAAAGTCCGCCAGCGGAAGTGCAATATGTGCTCTGCTTGACTGATATCGCAGAAGTTCTCTCTCCCTGAGCACTCCTGCTCGCATCTGACCTAAAGGAATTTCTTCTCAATGATTCGAAGCTTTTGTTGATGGTTTGATGTCGGCGTTCCTCGATGTTTGCTCAGTATACTCCATTTGGAAGCGCTAATAATCTCAGTTCTCTGATTTGAAAACTCGCACTCCATCCCTTTTAGTGCAGTCGACTTCGGGTGTTGATAGTCGCGGATCCACGCTGGGCTGTGGAGACCTGGTTCCCTGGGCGCTCAGTGGGCTGACGCTGCGCATGACAAAAATTCAAGAAGTAGATTTGCGGCTTCGCAAGCCTGTTGAAGACGAGGAACAAAGCGTGAAGACTTAAGAAGCGGAATAGGAGCCCCAAAAGTTTAACTCTCACTAGAGTCACCGTCCTCAGTGCTGTTGTCTTATTCTAACCAGGGTAATGCAGATAATGCAAGGTGCTCCAGGTGCTTCCCTAAATGGCACCTGGATAATCTAGCGGAGTTGTTGAATCCACATGATGTCGGCTTCCAATCTATGCATTGTGGAGACTCCTCTTCACCAAAGTGGATTTGAATTCATTTTCATACAGGGGTGGAATAAGTAAATAGGGGAGCGCAGAAGGAGCGGAGGCGCCATGGAGGCGCAGTAGGCCCGCGGCAGGCGTGTTGCAGCTGCTTTTTAGTTGTGTTTTGTTTTGCTTTTTGATTGTCTACTGCGTTTGTGGATTTTTTAAGGGGTACTGAAGCAAGATTGTGCTTCGCTGGAGAAGCGCCCGCATAGCCTGTTGCTTCAATTGATAGGCTTTATCGGGTTGAAAGAATTTTGATTGATTCATTGATTGATTGATTGAAAGTAGGCTTGGATTCTACTTCCAGCATCAGTGATCAGTGGAAGTTGTACAGCCGTGACAACTGTCCCGTGCTGCCTCTGGAGATGCGTAGTGAACCTTTCCCTCAAGATGGACGTGAATTCAGAGCAGATAATGCAGTGCCATCGCTTTTGATGTTGACTCGGCTCATGATCAAACCATTTATGGCGTTTGGTGAAGGGAGGCGACATGTATGTCTCTGCGGTGCGTACGTATGGTTAAAGATCTTCTAATACATGGTGCTGGGCTATCCGGTATCCACGCCAGTTTAACTACGAAGCGGAGAGTGGCTAAAGCTTTGAACATTGACATTTGGACAGGGGCCCGAGACATTGATTTTGCTTGTCCATCTGGAAACTGTACTTGGTCATTATTTCAGTCCTTGGGGTTCTAGGCTAAGTGCAAAGACATACCCACCTTGACTGAACTGACTGGCTGCGATAATATACCGTTCAACATTTATTCATCTGATACACTGCAGTCCGTGCCATGTACCATCAACCTATATGGACCTTTTTCACCCTTAAATATGTCCTTAAAACCACACATGTCTCCTGAAAGAGGTGGTGTGATCAATATGCCGCTCGAGGCAAATGTTGCCCTAGGAAAGGCCCGTCTAATTGCAGGCGTAAAGCAACCTGTATATGAATTGAGCCACAAGAAGCTCGGTGTGAATCTAGCTGATTACGACTCAAACACCATTACGGAGGAAGCAAGGTTCCAATCCAGCCTGAATAACTTGACAAACTGTGCACTTGGTCTTCGCACTCGGGAGTACAACATATCACTGGCCGATGGAGCTGCATTAGTGCACGTTATTTAGAAAGGCTTTAGTGTCATCGAGGATGAGGTGCAAATCTCTCGCGACCTCTTGGGCTCGTGTTGAAATCCCGATCTTGAGAATGGCACAAAATATAGCAACACCCGAAACCAACTCCACATTTTGTGACCTCGATTTTATAAGCAACTAGCCAGAAGAATCTCACCCAAACTATAATCATGAGACCTTTTAAGAAAGCCCTAAATGTGATGAAAAGGTTGGAGGGATTCTTGGTTCAGACCTGAGTTCGTGCGGTCCACATTAAAAATTGGAGATATGGTGGAAATGGGAACTGTAAAATATATATTGTTCTGTCTGGTGTGACAGTGTTATCTGCATGCTGAAACTCCGTTTGCGCAAGAAAGAAAGCAATGGATAATCATGATATTAGTGTTGTATTGATGCTTTCTATGATCAGAAAGCAAGATATACCGAGTATGAGTTGATAAAAGTAAAAACAGTAACCAGGTTGTGTTCACTAGACCCCTCGCGCTGGTGCGGTGATACCTTACATTGGCTATTTACTTTTAAAGCCTTTACATATCCCATAACTCTATTGAAATGAGTACATACGACCACAGGGTGAGGAGAACAGGGCTTCCCGTCCGCTCAGCCGTACTTAAGCCTCACGCCGGCCGGTTAGTAGTTGGGTGGGTGACCACCAGCGAATCCCGGCTGTTGTATGTTTTTTGTTTTTGTTTTTTGTTCATATTTCTATATTGAAGAGAGGAAATCCAGTTTGCTCAGTAGTTTTTATTTTTAAAGTTGACCGAGTATTAATAGATACATAGATGTTTATTATCCTTAATTGAATCCCTGAGATTATACAGAAATTGATAGATATCTTTACCCGGAGCTCACCAGGACGGTGGGATCCAATACTTCTGCCAATGCGCCTCCGTGTCCGCCTCTCGAAACTTGTCAATCCCCCCCGCGACCCCATCCCCATCCACTTCCCAATCGCCCCTCTCAACCCGATCAGCCCAGTTGTTCAGCACCTTCTCTATCTGTACTCGATGGTTGTTCGTAATACCATTTGTGGTCCCAGCCTGATACAAGTCCCCATGATCATCACGAGGCTCTGGGTATTCCTCCATATAGTCGCAGTCGCTTAACCCGAACGGTTGTCCATTCGAGAGTCGAGCCCATCCTAAAGCCCCAATCGCATAGGGTAGTAGAAGTCGACATCCGTTACTCCAGAATAGTGGGCATGGCACCACAACGTGAGGGATGTAGAATCCGGCAGCGATATTGTTGATGCCTAGATGCTTACCATGCGCTACTGGCTGAGGATACTCTGCGTCGTCAATCTGAAGGATTCGGAGAGGGCAGTTGCCAGGGTACTGGCCGAGGTGGTTATGCGGCGATGCAACAAAATCCGTAAAGGGTTGGTCCTGGAATTCGGCGACAGTGGGGAATCGGATCCCCGGCGCGATGTAGCGAAATCGGACGCTGCAGTCGGAAATGGATCGTAGGAACTCGTGGGCGAATGATGAGGGGGGCAGAACACACTGGTCCTCGAATGTTGCTGGATCATGCCATGGCAAGTTCATGACAGTAGTATGATCATCTCTGTCCGGGATTCGAGATTCGATTACTCTCACGAGCCGCTTGAAAGCAGTGGTAGCCCGTTCTAGGTCCGTCTTTGTGTACTGATGGATTATCCAGGGTTCCATCAACCCATGGAGGAAGTCCATCTTTAGTAGTTTTGCCCGATCTTTGGAGACTGCCTGCGCCTTTTCTTCGTCAGCCATTTGAAGATATGAATCTAGAATAACCTCCAGAGGCATCCAGCTCCATTCGTGCCTGGTGATAAACCTGGTGTCGTTAATATCCTCAATAAAGGTTGCTTTTAGAGTCGTCTGGTCAAAGCTAATCAACAAGTCAGCCCGCCTTGGCTCTAAGTCAGCCATGGGATAGTTTGAGGGAATAAAGCCATACAAAATACCCTCATCATCTGAGACTCGGTAGTGACTAGACTCATAGAGTTTGACAAGCCTTCCCTCCTCATCCTCTTCCTCATGCCAAGTAACATCTCCATCCCGCAAGTTATTCGGAGACTTCAACCCACCAAGGAAGGCAAAGAGCCTAAAATAAGGAGGAAGCACGTCCTCATCCCAAGCACGCTTCAGGAATTCTATCAAGCACGGGTGGAGACTGTTGGCAACTTCCTCAGAAGGCTCCCTGGCCTCCCACCAGGTTAGGGGCTTGGAGGGCATCTCGCCGCCATGGCCTTTGACAGCCCTGGTTAGAAGCTCATTGTGTAGGGCTGCACAGCGCTCATAATCCATGGTTCCAGGGCCGAGGTCTCGGACTGGACTGGATTCAGTTATGCGAGGCCATCCATTGGTGAGGGCGCGAGCTGGGGTTGACGAGGACAAGTTATGCTCGGAAGAAGCCATCGAAATGGAGCGGATGGGCAGCTGAACTGCTTGATATGAATGGTAAGTAAGGAGAGAGGTAGGATGTGGCGGCTGGTACAAGGAGTGGTAATGAAGTTCAGGGATCTCCGGCAACTCGCTACGTGGGATTTCCCCTAGAGATCACGTGGCTTACTAGGAATTTTGGCCATGACTCACGGACAGGGATTGGAAATTGTTCGAGCTCGTTTGTATGGCTTACGTCCTTAGGCTGGATGTAGCTAGTAAGTCTGTTGACCCACATGGAGAGATTGCATCTCTAGACCTTCTGCAGCGAAAGAGTAGAAAGGAATCAAGCATTTCAATTCAATTGTCCAGCGATATCAGAGCCCTGCCAGAAAGAACTGCATGTTCTACTTGTGACCAGTCCTGCGTCTCCTTTTGGGTGAGCAGCCACATGTCTGCTTGTGTATCTAGCTTTCACTCTGCTTCTCGTCTATCCAATCTCGTGTATGGCAATATATATGTAACTACACCCCCTCTTACATTTAAGACTTGCAGGCACCAGAGTAACAGCTCCCAGCACCACAATAGTCGTCAGAGCTCCCACAATACCCATTCACCGAGCAGCAGTCTCCAAACTGGGTTCCAGTACAAGACTTGCTCCCCGCAAAGCTGGGGCCACACTCTCCATTAATGCTCGGGCCTCCCATGTCTGGGTCACACTCGCCGGAGTAGCATAGTCCCGGCCCACAAAATTCCTTGCCGTTGCCGCAGTATCCGTAGACGGAGCAGCAACTGGTGCGTATAAAGAAATAAAGCGTCAGCAGCGAACTTTCCGCCAGGTGAGCTGGATGGGGAAAGGAAAACGGAATGGGAATGAGAAAAAAGAGAATATGAAAAGCGAGAGAAGGTTTGCTTACCGGCCGAAGCTTGGATTACTGCACGTTGTATAGCCCCAGTCTGGGCCACAGGTCCCATTGGTCGTGGCCCCGTTATTAGGTTCGCATGCGCCGGATACACAGTTTCCAGGCCTGCAGTATTCAACCCCGGTTCCGCAGTATCCACTCGTGGAGCAGCAGCTGAGGGTTGGAATTGTTAATGATGAAATCTACGCGATATACCCCTCGTTGTTGGGGACCAGTCATTACTTACTCTCCAAATGAGGACCCTTCACAGATAGTGTTAGCGTAAGATGGCCCGCATGTGCCATTCTCGGACACAGTAGTTGCGGATACAGGAGCCACGCAGACATCATAGTCGAGCCAGAGGTTGGTACAGTTATCCCAGATCTATTAAGAAGATGTCAGTCAATAACAGCAGCTGAGACGCTCGCTCCTCGGTTACTGGCCTGTGTATTTAGATCCTGGAAATCGGGAACGGTAATGCCACTATCTCGTTTGGTCAATACTGTAATCAACACGAGGGTGCGAGCAAACCCACAATCGAAGGGCGATGGAGTTGCACTATACAGCGTTAGATACCGATAACATAGATAATGCCATGAGAGGCAGGCCCTCATACCGTATCCCCAGATGCTACCTTGTAGTACCGGCCACAACTCTCGGTGGTGCCAGGCTGTGTCGGCTCCGCGGGGTGAGCTAAGAGGTCCTGTTAATCAAGTTCCCTGTTCACCTCAAGGATATCGCTACCTGTTGTAAAATATTCGCCTGGTCCAGTCGGTACGGCTATTACACCAGAAGGCTTAAAGCGACCACCTGGAGGCCTGTTCATGATCCACCAATATCAGTATCTTGTCTTGCGATGAAATTCCACAATACCACTGACCCTTTGCATATTCTCTGAACATGATTTACGCGGTCACAGGTACCTTGAAGATACGGATTCCATGCCAGAAACTGAGTCAGAGACACGGGTGAGTCATCGGTCGAGTACTTGGCTGCGAGCGCCTCGCTGTAGGTGCCGTCAGGACGAGGACTAAACTTTCACCGAGTAGTGAATTAACCGGATTAAAGGCCTTACCATGTATTACTCCCATAGACAATATCCAGCTCACAGGGTTTTGGGAGACATATTACGCCCTCGAAATAACAGCTATATGAGCCGGTGATATACTCAAGTGTTCCTGTGCTGACATTGTAAGTATCAGACATTCGGAGGCATGGAAGTCGTTTATCGTCATCTGCTTCCACAAACTGGCCATCGCAGGTATCGGTTGTGGCTGGAGTACTGGGAACAGTAGTGGCCGGCACGGTAGAAGTCGGGATGGTAGGCCGAATGAAAAGAGTCGAGCTGTAGGTTGAAACGGGCAGTGATACAGAGCAGAATTCTTGGATTGATTCGTACTGCTCCAGGAGGTAATCTGTAAACTCGTCTTTGGGGAGTCTAGACGACATGAGTCGCTGCCTCCAGATTTGAATGAAACACTCGCTACATAGCTGCGGAAGCATTAGCCGGAAGTTACCTATGTTGGCCATGACGCTGAGGGCTCACCAAGTCCTTGTCATAGAGGCGCGTGATGTCCTTCATCTCCGGTGTGATGAACGATGTTGAAAACCACGGGTCGTTACATTCGGGCGGCATCTCATCCTCGTTTTCATTATGACATGCCATATCAGAGTAGCTGTCCGGATATTAGCCAATAGTTTGTCATCGATGCGATGAAGGGGTTCTCGTACCGGATATAGTCACTGCCTTGCCACGTTAGAGACTCAACGTAGCACCAGTTCGATGAACTACATGGTGGCTTGGTTAGCAAGTAGATAATCTAGGCCATTCACATATGCATACGTATCCTGCTGACAGACCAGTTCATGGCCTTGCAGATAGTCGGTGGGAATTGATTTTGGCAAAAGGTAGCCCCCTGTAGATAGCAACGTTTCGCCATCACACTGTCTCTCTACCGCTGCCAGCCATGCAGACAATGAATTTGCACAGCCCGTAGTACAGAGTGCAGTGACATTTGACTCGGTCCACCCTGTAGTCAATGTCAGCGCAGAAAACAGAGGTCCAGCATGTGCACGGAAATCGATGTATTTACGGAATTGTTCTGGGTTCCTGGAAGCTTGGAAAGCTGTTAGACTGTCGCAATTTATTGTCCGGTTTCTGAGTCGATATTTTAGCATGCGCTCTTCTCGTGGTAAGAAGTCTGGAAAGCTCACAAGGCCCCAAGACACTTATTGGATAGAGTATAGGCTTTCTGCACAACACTGGGTTCTAGGCCTTGGTAGTAATTGAAAGCGCTTTGAACAGGACTGCTGAGAGAAAGCCAGATGCCCAACAGACCCGTCAAGGACAAGGCTGGCCCTGCGCGTTGCATAACTGCTTGAGGTCGGGGACAATCAGGGCCTCCAGCCGGGTTGGATTACAGGTGAGGGATCTCTCGGGATTCATTAAGAATCAATTTCGTATTCCAAACACAGTGGGGTGAATTAAATCAAGGTAAGCGCTTCGGTAGTATCCAAGGCTAGTTTCGTATCTCTGGCTTGATAGTGAACGGAAATCAATCTAATAGCCTTGGATAAGTCAGTCATCCTCCAGAATGTAGTTTTCAAGCCCGTTAGTATAATACTAGTATAGTTGCGCACCCAGCGTAAAACGTTGGTTAGTAAGTGGTTACACTCTCTTACTCGAACTCGGCAACGGTGGCGCATGGGCCAGGGAAAAGGGGTTTAAACTCGGCGGGAGATACCCGGCGTCCCCGTGAGTCCATCGCCCGAGCCGGCGACTATATCGTTATAGGTCAAGCGAGATTCGATAATATGTGGGGGGCTGTTATGGAGCTAAGACAACTCGAGCTTGATCACCGACCGCCAAGGCCGCCGAGATTCCTATGTGTCCTACAGGATCCTGCATCAGAGAAAGAAATATCAGCAGAGGGCTTCATCTGAGCCATAGGGCGACCTTTGGGCCGGTGGGGCGGTACAGCTGTAAGCTGTCTGGTCTTTGTTAGGGCCACGTGCGATTCTACTCGAATCTTTAATCTAATGTAATATAAAGTCAGGAAATACTTCCCAAGCTGTGTAAACTGGAGGCATAAGCTTGTAGACCTATAGCAGAGGAGCATCAAGGGGCCAATCATAGCAACGTACGTGGAGAATGTTAGAAACTACAGACAGAAGAACATCCAAATCTTTACACCTTCAAGCCACCGTGTATCCTCTCTCAGTTAAGCGAATTGAGGCGCTAATGTAGCTAAGAGAATTCGATCGGAACTACTGTTGGGCTACTCCAATATGCGTACTCCCCATCCCTTTGCGAAGTTCGCTAATGGCAAACCAATAAGATCAAAGACAAGTTTTTTTGGACGTCGCAGTTGAAGTGTTGAACCAACGGGTATTAAGACATTCGGTAGATTCATGTGAAGGAGGTTTTCCGGATGAGCAGAAATAAGGGGATTCTAAGCCCTAAAGCCGAGCAACACCGGATCTGCAGTGCCATGCCACACATACCCACGGATCTGCCCGGAGAGTCGGGGGAAGACCTTCAAGGGTCTGGCCAGGGCCGATCGGCACATCCCGCCGGTCGAGTCGCATGCCAAGTGCCCGCCCTGAGCCAGGCATGCGCTACAGCTTCAAGTGCTTCCGGGGGGTGCGACCAGGGTCAACATGGAACTAACAACGTCCGTTGTCGAGGAGGCGCTAGGATGCGCGATTTCATGAGAAGGCTACTTTGCATTTCGGAGCCCCCTACTGTATTTGGAATCGCTTGCTTGCGGTGCTCATCTCCAGTAGAGTATTGCGCTTTTGGGGTCCGGCCCAGAGCATCCCTCGGATGAGAGGTTCTGAGACTCCATGAAAGGCCGACGAATAAATAGCTAAGGGCAGGCATTTGACAAGAGCACGTGGAAGCGACCGTTGTTCTTCTGGTTTTACGGCAAGAGCGACGATGCATGTTCATCCTGCAACCGTCTTCGCTGGGCTTCTGGCGGCAGCAACTGCTGTTTCCGGGTCAAGCGCTCACAACAACAGCGCTGTCTACAAGGCTTTGTATGCTGCTCACTCGAGTTCAACTCCGGTCTTCCAAAATGTGTCTGGTCAATCGGTTAACCCCTTGGTCCGCGCGCTTCAAGACTTAATCAAAGATGTTCGTTCCCTTGTGAAGAGGGATGAGCTCCCTGTAGGCACTTGTGCGCCAGGTACTCCTTGTGTCAATGGTGCTTGCTGCAGTAAGGTGAGATGAGTTACCTTCACTAACGTCTCGATCTAACCGACTGCTAGAAAGGAATCTGTGGGTTCTCGCCCGACGAGTGTGGCAAAGACACTTGCATTTCGGACTGTGATGCAAAGGCCGAATGCGGACAGTACGCCCTACCAGAGTCTGCAACGTGCCCTCTGAATGCTTGCTGCTCCAAGTATGGTTTCTGTGGAACGACTGAGGTGGGCGCTCTTCCAATCCTATCTATGCCATTCTTTTGTAAACAGAAAGCCGCTAATGCGCATGATTCTCACCAGGAATTTTGTCGGACTGGCTGCCAGAAGGGATACGGTGGCTGCGGCTCCGTGGAAGAGCCATCCTGCGGCGGTCAAAGTATGTCGCGAACGATCGGATACTATGAGGGCTGGTATGCCAAGGGCCAGTCTTATCACTCTACAAGGTCACGCTGATGGGAGAAACTTAACAGGTCATCCACGCGGAAATGCGACAAGCGCCAACCGTCGGACATCGATATTATGTCCTTGACACACCTCAATTTTGGTAAGCCTTCCGCCACCTCAATTCTGCCTTTATTATGGCTAACACACAGCAAGCATTTGCATTCTTCCATCCGACAACTTTCCAGATACTTCCAATGAGCGCAAATGACGAAACCCTTTACCCTCAGCTTACAGGTCTCAAATCCAAGAAGCCGTACGTGAAGTACAAAGAGACTCCCATTTATTGCTAAAGCTCATTGAGTTTGAATACAGGTCACTGAAGACATGGATTGCTGTGGGCGGCTGGAGCTTCAACGTAAGATCAGAGAACCTTGTTTCCAGCATCCTCGTCGATTGACATTTTCTTTTTAAAGGACGCCACCAACTCCCCAAACACCCAGACAGCCTTTAGCGACATGGCGCGTAGTGCGGCGAATCGCCAAACCTTTATTAACTCGCTTGTCAATTTCATGCAGACCTGGGGCTTCGACGGCGTTGACCTTGACTGGGAGGTAAGTGTTATAGTTGCTCCAGGTAACAGCTCTTGCTGACCGGAAAACTAGTATCCTGGAGCCGATGATCGTGGTGGTATCCCTGACGACACGGCTAACTTTGTCGAGCTGCTTCGAGACATGCAGAATGCTTTTAAGGGAAGGTACGGCATTAGTGTCACTCTACCAGCATCCTACTGGTATCTACGATGGTTTGACCTGCAGGGCATGCAGGAGCACCTTGACTTCTTCAACATCATGACATATGATATCCACGGGGTGTGGGACGCCTCTAACAAAAACACCGGCCCTTATGTCCGCCCCCATACCAATATCACTGAAATCAAGTTAGGTCTTGATCTCTTATGGAGAAACGATGTGGATCCGTCTCGGGTGAACTTTGGGCTTGGGTGGTACGGCCGTTCATTTACGCTCAAGGATCCAAGCTGCAACCAGCCCAATTGCATCTTTAGCTACGGCGGTAAACCTGGGGAGTGTACTAATTCATCAGGGACACTTTCTAATTCCGAGATCCGGCGTATTATTACCAAGAACCACCTTACTTCAACTCTTGACGCTGAAGCCGCTGTCAAGTGGTTTTCCTGGGATAGCGATCAGTGGGTCTCATACGACGACGGGGAGACGATCCAGATGAAGATAGCAGAAGCTAACAGACTATGTCTTGGTGGCGTGCTGATCTGGGCAGTGGACCTTGATGACTTGGACCATAGCAGTTCAAACGATATGATGGGTATAGGACCATCAAATGGTGTTTCTCCTGCCGATGCAAAGACATTCAGGGAACAAAAGGGATCAATAGAGCGGGCTGCTACAATTGCTAACTCTTGCTACTGGACATTCTGCGGAAACCAATGTGCTGAGCGCTATACCTCGCACGCGTATGCTAAAGGGCAGGTTCCGAACATCGAGGGCGACGAGTCATGCAGAGATGGCACTGTTCGCACGTTATGTTGTGCGCCTGGGATAACCACTGGGACTTGCTCATGGTATGGCTGGAATGGAGTGGGCATGGCCTGCTCGACCGGATATTGTCCCAGCGGCACAGAGTTGATTGCGATGAACAGTGAGTTCGGGGTCTTCTTCCTGTTCCTTCATACACTCCTTGATGTTCTAACCAGGAGCACAGCCAATTCATACGAAGAGGACACGGATTTGCGCATCAACAATAACCTCACCTGCACCGGTACGTGGCCCATTCTAGGACCCTACGGCGTAGCATTAAACAAAACCCCAGGTGGAGCGCAGTCGTACTGCTGCTCTGGATTCGTGCCCTCCCAGCTCGCCAACACCGACGGTCTATCGTTGCTAGGCGACTATCGCCCAGTAGATGAAGACCAGAAGGAGTTCAGTATGAGAAGCGAACCCAGTAAATTAGGGGCGATTTGCCAGACTTTCCTGCTAGCCAGCGTAATAGCTTTTCTCTCGGTAAGTATTACGGTTTTCCCGCTGTGCACCCCCCCCCCCCCCCCCCCCCTCATTTCTATCCAGTATCCACCATGAATACCTAGATTGGTGCTTGTTAATATGTTGATATATGTTCTCTAGACGTGTTTGGCATATTTGGAGAAAGTTTAATAGCAGGCCTGGCTGTGATCGCCTGTCTCATTAAGGTATTTAATACCTTCTTTCACGGCGGCGAGTCTTGTAACTCCTAAAGTGACGTGGAGGGCAGCAAGTTTTATGGCTTCCAAGATGATATTATGAATTGACTCGGCCAGGGGCCTGCCGGAATCGGCAGGCAAAAGCCCACGCAACCCAATCACACACCGAGCAAACCGAAGGGAAAATTTGGCCGCTATCAGCAGGTCGTGTATAAGAAAGGTACTGAGGATTGCCAAGTCACTTACACTTGTGAATATGGGCTCGGCTTCGACGAGGTAAGGGCTCCCAATGTAAGTTGAAGATGAAAATTGGGAACAGCTCCAGTATACTAACCTTGATTTCTGTGCAGATCTGCGATAATATGCGCTGGGCGATTGAAGTTGGGTTTGACGGCAAGAAGGTTTATCATAAGGCCCAGAGCAGGTTCGGGAGTACATATGCCGAAACATGGTACCAGCAGCGCGACCCGGCGTACCGCGACCTCACAGCCCGACCGCCAGGGTGGCCAACAGGTCGCGGCGCTCATCCTCGCTGCAATCTGTATGTATCCTTGGCCGAGCTCCCTTTTCGCAGGCACAAGCTTACGTTGACGCTACCGATCAGGGAAGAGTTTCCTTTCGGGTCACTCCAAGAGGCGGGCAACAACAATTACCAGATTCTTCGTTTCGTGAGCCGGGAAGTGAACAGTGCGCACAGTCAAGACTGGAATGGCTGGTTATATGCAGTATGGTGGCCTTGCCAAAGGCTCCGGCAACAGCCCTTAGAGACGAGGTACCTGATGTCCGGATAAGACACATTCCGGTAAAATATTAAACGCGCCACTCCAAATACAAACACAAACATGACTAGTGGCATATTGAGCAATATTAGAATCTATTCTGCACAAGTCATCTTTCATCCTGATACCTATCAGTCTTTATCCTCCAGAGGTTTTACAGCTTATCGCGATTTTCTCCTTATTTAGCTGGGTACGGGGGATCAATAATGTTGTGTGGTTGCCAAGATATTAACTCCCCTCAGTACTCATCGATTCAATATCTCGCTCTACATGTCCCATACTTTGATAGCTTCAAGTACATACGACCACAGGGTGAGGAGAACAGGGCTTCCCGTCCGCTCAGCCGTACTTAAGCCTCACGCCGGCCGGTTAGTAGTTGGGTGGGTGACCACCAGCGAATCCCGGCTGTTGTATGTTTTTATCTTTTTGTTTTTCGTATTCTGCTTTTTCCTGCCTATTAACGGTGGAAGTGAATAAAAAGACCTTCTCGATCGACAAAAGGGTAGGTAGGCTGAATGCTATTATTAAATTGTAGCCGCTTGCAAGGCTGACCGACCGGAACTCTTGAGTGTCTCTCGCCCGATAGCCACAACAAGACAGTGCATATGCAGGCTGTGGTTTGTTTTCAATTCCGAGTAAGAAATGAGACTTTCATGACATTCAACAGGCCAACAATGCCCTACATAAGTTCAGCCAAGAAGGTCAGCGCGCTAATGGTGCAGCGGATGGTGAACATTACCCAGTCAAGTACGTCCTTGTCGTCACTAGCGAGAAAAGCAGCACCCAGGCAGTCTGTATCCACCCAACACACTTGGTCGTATATGCGCCACAATGGAATGGGATCTCTTGCTCTTTTGTCCACTGAAAAGCACAGCCCACGGGCGCGTATGCAAGTATCCCAACTACCCTGCAAAGCTGGGCGCTTATCTTTCTAGATGGCTCTCGGTGCCTCATATAAGAAAGGCGGGAGCTCTGCATTGTCCACGACATATGTTGAATTTCTCGATTTGAATCATTCAAGAGCTTTTATCTACAGTGTAGATCACTTTCCCCATTGAAATGGAACCTTTGGGTCTGTTTGTCGCTAGCCTTAACTTTACCCGGGCTGACGCCGTTCGCGCTGGCTTCTATCAATTAGTGGCGGACCAACTTTCTGAATCTTGGTCGTGGGACAAATGGTCTCAGAAGGCTTTACAGTGGCTTTCACGCCCGGGTGAGAGACGTCATGACATGATGAGTGTGATTCGGCAACTAATAGCGAGTCACAGACAACTTGGCTGCTATCACGGCGTGGTGGATTACCTTCACCGTAGTGATGATTGTTTTTCTTGGCCTGGGATTTGGTCCAGCCGGGATTGTATCAGGTAAAACAATAACATTCAATTGATTGTGGCATGTATCAATCGTTTGATAACATCTGCAACAGGCTCATTGGCGGCGGCTTTCCAGTCGTGGATGTACGGTGGTTTTACCCCGGCAGGAGGCATCTTTGCCACGCTGACAAGTATGGCGATGCTTGGTCTACTAGTTCCAAGTGTCGTACTTTTGGCCTCTCTGGTTGCATCGGGAGTTGCAATAGCTGTGTGGCTAAACCATGGGTAGCGATTCAAGATTTATACTCGGTATTCTTTTGTGAGATGGAAGCAAATGCACCTTGAAGGCTGGCTGCTTTGTGTATCGAGTCTATTTCCCATGGTTCGCCGGGGACGTTTGACTACTACCTGCGACATGCTCTTCTATGTTCTTCTTCTCTTTATTCCTGAATGATCATAGAGGGAATGGAAGGAAATAGCAATTGATTGGTTGAGAAGAAGTATTATTGGCTGTCCCAGAATTGGATCCGGCAAAGCCCAGAATTGTCGATCGGGTGTGAATGGAACGTACGCGGATTCTATCTCCTACCTACATTCAGATTTGACCCTGTTACGTTATGCATACAATTATATAAAATAAATTATTTCAATCTTTTTTTGGTCGCTTGGCTCCCTCCCACTTCTTTCGTCTACCGAGCTAGTTACCGCATGCAACTAGGCAACAATGTCGATCACATCCTACATCTGCCTGGTGGCAAGCCACACGACTGAAAAGTCTCCCAGAAAGTTACTTCCGACATTATAAGCCATTATTTCCATCCACTGCAGAGAACTTCTTTTCAGACCAGCCATTCAAGTCATTTATCATGACATCGCCATCAGACCAAATGCTTCAAACGCTATGTCCCGGTGACTCCACGGGCGAGTGGCAAGAAACATTAAGTCTCGAACAAGTTGACCAGATAGGACATTGGTTCTTAAAGAGCTCTTGTATCAAGGAATGGATTCATGGATCTGGGCTCCGGGTATTCTGGGGACACGGTCCCTGTATGTTTCCTTCATGAAAAAGGCTACACTCCTTAACTGACATCTATGATAAGCTGGCACCGGAAAGACATACATTAGCTCCCAGATAGTCACTCATATTCGCTCGGTCCCGAGAGACCCTGGAAAATACCAAGGCGCCGCAATTTATTTCTTTGACCCTAACCAACCTCAGTGGAACATTGCCGACTTTGGACTTTCACTCTGTTCTATTGCCAGGCAGCTTGCTGCCCAGGTACCGGAGTCAGCAACCGCTATTGCCGACCGTGCGCAGAATGCCTCCGGTTTTTATCCTCTGTGGGACGATTATTCTGGGAAATTACTGGATGATATTCTCTCGGCTTTTCATAATACCTTCATTGTGCTGGATGGCATCAATGCGTCCGAGACCGCGGTACGAGGGATATTCGATTACCTGAAAGGACAAAGTCCTCACCGAAGAAACATTCATGTCTTAGTAACAAGCCGAAATCCGCCTCCTTCCATCACCGACACCTCCGAAATCTCGACATTGAGAATTCAAGCATCGAGTGAAGACCAGCAACGCCAAGTCCTACACGAAGCAGGATTTAATCAGGCGACAATTCTGCAATCCAGTGAAGGAAATGATGCTCTCAAGGTGCTCACAGACATTGTGAGCTTGACTGATGGCCGGTATGCTCTCGTAATCGCCAGTAGAAAATATGCTAATAAAAGACCCCAAGCTTTCCGCCACTCCCTCTTCGAAAAAACATGGACTCCTCTGAATTGCTGACGACCCTGTCTAACGCACTCATAGTAATATCAAACCGGCCTGAATCTAACAAAATCGCCGCCCTCTGCGAATTCACAATAGGCCATATAGAACGGGTATATGGCCCTCTTGCCAGCCGTGTGCTCCCTATAGTTGGCAAATTACACGAACTCAGGTATCCTGCGACAGCTGCGGTAATCACTGAAGTTCTACAACTCTTACAAATTGACCATCCGGACGGCAGATACCACACGATCTCAGACGTCATCGAGGCATGCCGAGGGCTTATGATTATCTCGCACAAACACTCGGAGATGCGAATCAAATCGCCCTTATTACAAAGCTACATATAAGGACAGCCACAAGGCGCGATAAACCGTGCCCTAGTCCAGGCTTCTTTCCAGTACCTATGTCAGGAAGAATTCCTTTCTGGTCCCTGCCAATCCGCTGCAGCTCTGCAGCAACTATTTCAAACATACCCATTTCTCCCATGTGCCGCTAGGGTGGTTTCAGTCTACACATCCAAAGTGCCAGACCGTGAAAGCATCTTCGACCAATTTCTTCCACTAGCATCACATCCCAAACTCATCGAATCTTACTTCCAAGCAGCAAATGCCTGGCCATTCCGAGACGAAGTCAGCTATGCTGAACTCGAGGCGTCGGAAGCGCGATGGAATTATTTTCCACGAGACTACGCGCCCATCCATCTTGCTGTGCATCTCATCGGTGGAAGACACTTTATCGAGAAGCTCTTACGACGAGGTGACGATATAGGGGCTCGTACGAAGAGCGGACTGACGGCGTTGCACATCGCAGCAGAAGTTGAGAACGAGTCAGAGATCGTAAGGTTTCTTCTCGAAAACGGGGCCAGTGTGTCCGCCGTTGACGAGAGCGGGGATACGCCGCTTTCAATAGCCGTTGTGCTTGGCAGCCTTGAGACTGTGAAGTTGCTTGTTCAGTATGGGGCATGTGTTGATGTCCTTGATGAAGATATTCTATTTGAATGTGTTGATTCTCGGCCAGAAGTTGCGAATTATCTAGCTGAACTAGGAGTAGAATTACCGGATGTATATAATGAGGACTGATCAAATTAAGTCTCGTGACGGATAATGAAATCGACGATCTTAGAACCAAAATCTTGACTCCTTGTCATTCATGTCTGGTTTTACAAACATCCATTAGACTCGAGCTAGTCAGACCCATCAGTTGGCTTAGAGTAACCTCGGATTCAACGTCAACCACCAGGAAATTATCGTGAATCGTCCCAAAGTCTCTGCTTGAAATGCTCTCTGGGCTAGGGCCTGAGAAGGCAGACTCGGTGTCCTCCGCTATCTCCCCATCTGATCGGTCATGTATTGGACAGGGTGACTGTTGGGATGCCATTGATAAGTTCGTGTTGTTCTGCAAGTCCGTACAGCCTTGCGAGTCTAGACAAGAAACCGACTCCTCTGGATAGACCGGGAGTATCCGGGCAATAATAGCCTCCAGAAATGAAGCAGCCGAACCAGCAGTGGGGTATATATCCTGCAACCCTTCTAGGAAATATAAATCCTGGCGCAAATGCTGAATGTAAACACCCTGCGAATGAATATCTTGAACACCAAGTAGCTGTGTTATTCCCGCAGAATACAAGGCGGTCACTGCCGTCGCTGGGAGAAACTTCGTTAAGTCCAAGGACTGCAGGTTTTGAGCGATGCTTGTGGTTTTTCGAGCGGCAAAGAATAGCTGTGGTACTGGTTGCTCTCGAACGTCGGGATTCGTAGACTCGGAATGTATATGAGGTCGGTACAATGCACCCATCAGACTCAAATAAATCATTTGAAGAGACGAGCGTTGGACATGTAGAATACCCTCGGCTTTCGTTAAGCTGGCTATATCCATGAATGCATATCGTGCCTCTGGTGCCAGGCTCGAGACCCAGCGATTCAGACCTTGTGCGCATTTTGATACTTGATTTTCTTCTTGAATAAATCGCCTCGGAACCACTCTTGCTGAAGTATCAAATTCAACCGAGTATTGCGACTCCAGCACATGTTTCACGGAGTGGCAAAGTGTCACTTTCGCAATAAAGATCACCGCAAGCGATCTTTGATGTTCAGCATTCCCAAGGAGGCCTGAATACCCAATCGAGTTAACTGTCGGCTCAGACAATTCCAGCTGAAAATGATCAATCATCAATGGCTGTGTGTCAAACTCAATACTGCTGATATGCATAGGATGCCGCATATCCAGCGCCATGACGGAGTCACGCGTATAGATGCACCACCAAAGGCGTGTTCTTATTCGCATACTATCTCCGTCTGCGGATTCGGTCTTGCGATGTAATCCGATCGTTTGCGCTACTGATAACACGAGGCCCAACCAATGCCATCCATCTTTCAGTCCATTTGGGCTTTCCTCCCAGTAACTCATTAGTAGCAGTGCCTGAACAAGATTTATTCGATCTTGCTCGTAGTCAAACTCGTAGAGGAGCCTAGCTCGACGATAGAAAGTTGCTCGAGCATGCTTTCTCGACTCGAATCCAACGTCTTGCAGGTCCTCTATGTCGACAAATGCGGCGGCTGCAAAAAGCACTGCTTGCAGAAGAAGTAGGCTAATTGGATGGTCTACATCGTTCGTAATGATGGGTCGTACGAGCTCGTCGAGGTCCAGTAATGGCATATCTGAGTGGACGTGATGAGCGTAGCTGGTCAGGAGTTTGTTCCTCAAGCATGTCGCGGGTACCGAGAGAGCGCCTTTCTTTGCCAAGAACCGAATATCATCCTGATCTAGATGCTCCGGTAAAGCTCTAGTATACTGTGGAAGAATGAATCCACTTTCGTCACCGCGCGTAAGGAGGGGCGATGTTTCTTCCTCTTGGGCGCTTTCGATACTCATTGGCTTGGTCGGAGCACGCACTGGGACCGGGTTAGCAACACAACCCATGCTGAGATTGTGTGGGCATCTCACAAATAGGGGCGCGGGGCCGTCCCGACGAACAAGTCTTCTCGCATTTCTTGATTTCATCCGCTGTTCTTAAAGATATCATGACATTTAATTAAACAGCCGATGCGAATGTCTTTGGAACCAGCACTAACCTCTTCCTTCTCCTTTCAAGCGTCATGCAATCGACTTTATCTAATCGACAATTTGTGCACGGCGAACCATACTCCATGACATCGCAACGGACCTTGCGACCACGACAATGACAACAAGCCCTTGTAGCGCGTCTTTTCCTTACCGGTGCCGTTGGGGTGTTCATGGTTGCTTTTACTCAAAGAATCAACTGACAGGATAACATTCAAATCCACAATATCACCAACCCAACCGAACACACCCTAATATCTATATAATTCATACTTCATGCCCCGGTTCGGACGCCCTTGCTTCTTAGGGTACGTAGCATTTTCCTTCTGATCACGACTAGGCTCCCAGCTGTTGTATGCATTCTAGACCCATCCAATGAGGTCATTTGCCTCATACATGCGACATAAGCAAGCACCTTGCTATGGTAGAGTTCACGAAAGCCGAGCTAGAGGGCAGCGCTTATGCCGGAGACTCATTCCAAAAGCGGCAATGAGCAAGTGGAAGCTCCTTCCGCTGCACGTTCTGATTCCCACGCGACCTTAAATCTCCAAAATTGTCACCCATTCGACCATTCTATGCAGTTGGTAGGCAGTTCAAAGATACCATAACTGCGAGGCCCATATCTGGCAACCGGAGACCAAAACTCCAGAGCATGAACAACCAAATTAACAAAAAAGATACATCAAACTGCATGGGTTTGATTCACTCGGGATTCTCGGCGCCAGCATGTCGGCCCGAGCCGAGATAAGAAATACCGAACGGGAGGGCACAAATCGGGTAGGAGATTCCGGTTGGCTTGAAACACGCCGAGCAGGTTTCGTTGGTTCAGGATAACCCCCGGATGACTTTTGTACAAATTGATGAAGTCAACATCTCGGTCAGGTTCCGGTAAAGTTCATTGAGTGCCTGCATATTGTTGGGTCCCTCGGGGGCTGATGTAGCTACGAGAATGAAAAAGTGGTAACAGGCCCAGATCTTGGCTTTCGAAAGGTCTAGTAGAAAGTAGCCCTTAGATGAATTTCAGTGCGCCTAGATTTGAGGAAATAGTTGTCCCATGGGGAAATATCAAAAACACTATGTACAGCCAAACTGTAGGAGACAACAGTCTCCGATTTCATATAATATCTGGAATAACCCATCAACTACCTTCAATACAAATACCTAACCGGTGGTTTCTAATTCCGAAATCAATTTAGCGTAAAATGGCATCTTCTCCATCATGCATTATTAGCACATGAAAAACTGGCACTGCTAGGGTCGTCATGGATGGCTTTTCCGGAAGCATATAAACCGAGAGCGCACTATCATTTATTAGAATCCGAGTCTGGGCGGAGAAGGCAGGAGGACAAACCATGATCGAACCGATCAGGATACAGAATATATTGAGGCATGTCAGAGCGATCTTTTTCCACGATGCAAACCACAGGCCCTTGTTCATGAAGAGCCAGAACGCCCCGGGAACACCGAAACTGAACCAACTAGCGAAAAGCGCGGTCTGTCGCAGTTAGATAGATGTTTCAAGAGACAATATGAATAAAAGGTTCCATCCTTCCGTGTGGGATATATTCTTACCATCAAACTGAGAAGATTGCTGAAAACCGGAATAGCAGATGCAATAATCCAGGCGATAATCCAAAGGCCGACCCCGATACCAATCCAAGATCCGATTGCAACGAAGTCTCGCTTCTGCATTCTGTCGGTACCCGCAAATACCCGAGTGTAGATAGATTTGCAGGCAATGTGTCCGTTTATGACACCTGCAATGATGATCTGAACCCTTTGTTAACTATTGACATTGGTGAGAGAATGTTTAATCTTACAGTTGGTAGTGCGATTCCATATGCAATCTTCGACAGCAGTGGAGAGAGTGATCCGAGCGCTGGAGATGCAACACTATCCCCGGCATAGGTGTATATAACAACGGCTGCGACAAGGTAAATGGAAATATCGATGCACTGCAGCAGAGTGAGAGCCTTGGGAAAGTCCTTAGGGTCCTTCAGTTCAGCGATAACACTGAAGAACGCGTTGTGACTTGCTGAGGAATGTTAGATGGGTCTTTGGTAATCATGCGTTGAGCATACCGTATGATAAAACGATGTTCAAGGCGGAGGTAAATCCATTGACGAGATTTGTCTCGACTGTGGCCTTCGCAACTGCTCCAGGGTGTTGGATGGCAACTGCGATCATTGTGATGATAACAGCGCTCAGTATGCTGATGAATGCTTCTGACGTTAGTATCGAGAAGACCCGCTTGTCGAGAGTTTCTTACAGGCCAACGATAGCCACGACATATTCTTCATCGTCCGTGGCAATGAAAGAACAAGTGACACCACAAATCCTGCAATTCCAAAAGCAATAGAGCATATGGCATGGTTGGTGAGGGTGTTGAGAGCGACCGTGAACGTCAATATGTGGCTCCCCATCAGGAAGATCAGAAACAGAATCTGCCCGGTGAAGAACAACTCTCGACCGAACGGCCCCATCAATACCTCTCCAGCATCAGCCATGCTAGTTATATGCGGATATCTCCATTTGAACTGGCCGATAACGTAGCCAGTGTAGGAAGCCAACAGTCCTAAGCTGAGCAGGATGACTATGGCGGGAGCAAGGCCTAACCCTGCGACGGCTCGAGGTAATGAAAGGACTCCCAGGGATATTGTTTCGGCTACTAGAAGGAGACCACACTGCCTATCATAAGATGTCAGTTTACAACGCAAGGAATAAAGGACGTTGAGTATTGTTTCCATACCACCACTTTAACACTTTGTATCTAACCTCTGCAAACTCTTCATCACCAAATGCGTCTTGTCTTGGTTGCGTTGAATCCACCTTCTGGTCTTGATCTGTTGTCGTCGCTGGGTCGTCTTCTCTAGCGTCTCTATTGCTCTCGATGTCGATTGGGGGCGGGAGGTCTATTATCTGTGATGGCATGTTGAAAAGGAGGTAGAATGCTGGCGATGGCTCTAGTCACTCGAGAAGATGATTTAGATAGTACTAGGTGCCGTATAAAGAACAGGGATATGGAAGCTTTTGGCACAGCTTAACTGTTTAGATATATGCAAGATATATGTTGAGAGTCAAACATGACAGAGAAATGGAAGGCAGCGGACGCTTGGGGGTCCCAAATACGACGGACGGGATGGACAGGAAGATCCGCCGTGAGGGGGATGTGGATTCCCTCGCAACGCAGACGAAGTGGCTTGGAGCATGGTTGGTAGCCTAAGGACAGGAGCACTGCCATGTGGAGTCGTCTTATCCGTCAAATGCCGTTTATCAAAAGATAGGATGGCTGTTGTGTAATGCATAGATTATAGCGTGCATTGTAATGGCTGTCTACGATAGTGTTCACAGCCCATACCAACACTACGTAGTTGGGTATGTCTGTTTAAAATGCTTCGAATAGACGTTGGTGTGGTGCATAGTGTTCATGGAAACCCATTCGCAATCCATGGGATCGTGATAGATGATGCCCCCGCTCTACCCCAGGTCCCACAACCCCAGATTCCTTGAATGTGTATCTGTTTTAAATTTCATGAGTAATAGATGTTGGTCAGAGGCCAACCCCAGGCAAGTAACTCCGGCTCACTATATTCGTAGTTTTCGGCCACTATCCGATGGCATGCCAGCATCAGTTGTCCGATGCTTGAGAGCCCTAGGTAGCCAAGTATTTATTTTTACTAGCCTACCGACGCTATCTAGCCTATTGCACTCCATGATACCGTCAGTGCCCATCTTATTTCCTAAATATTTGTGTTTGAATGTTATTATTATCGACGAATTTAGGGCTTGACCTCAGTTACCCGATGATAATCAAATCTACTATGATACCAGATAAAACTTATCTTTTCTCGGAGTTCCATTCTATATCAGGAACGTGGCGACTGTTAGGTTGTCGCGAATTTGTAGATGTTGTTGTTACTCTTCTTTCCAGAGTAGGAACTCCCGCGGAGTCACTTTCCCGTTTAGACAATGATATTCCATGCTCATGGAAATGTGTTCATGGCAAGCATCATAGGAAAGGAATTATATCAGCTGAACAGGTTGAAGCTGATTGCCCTGCAAAAGATATTGTGTTCATTGGTAGTTCTACTTATCTGACTACGGGTTTATGCTGTGACTTTTGAGCATTCGCACAATCGGTATATGGAAGCTTTATTGGGCCTCAGATGAGAGCAACAATGTCAAGCTGCTGTTCTTGGTTTATTTCTTTCTATTTCCCTTCATCTTCTTTTTCTCCTTCTTTCATTTATTAGGATTTATGGCATTATCGTCACCGATCGTACACACTTGTCTCATCAATCAAAACTCGAAAAGGCTACCTCAGGACAAGAAATCCATAACAGACAATTATTATGAATATTAAGACTATATACAATTTCCAATTACTCCTGTTCGATACTACCCTTTCCCATCGAAATAACTGCCTTCCCAATTCCTCCCTGTCCATCATACACAACCTGACAAGCCTTCTTTACAGCTTCAAGATCATCAAACTTGACCACCGTCCCTACGACTGGCCTCAACTTGCCCTCCTCCACCCACTCCGTCAACGAATCTAGATCCTTGCCATTCGGTTCCAAAAGCAAATACTCGTACTGAACACTAGAGCATCGCGCCTTCCGCCTCCGGTACGAATCCATCAAGTTCAACGGAATTCGAACGTAAATTGGCACGGTAGGATTATGCGGTAAACGCAATAGATCCCACTGTTGCATCTGGTCTCCAGACGGGATCATGGCGATGGAAATAATACAGCCGTTGGGTCGCATTAGGGGCAGGAAGTCCATGGCCTGGCCCACTGTATCGAAGGCGAAGTCGACCGATTTTGCGGGGATTCTGGTGAGGGGATTGGACGTTTTATAGTCGATAACTTGGGTGGAAAGTAAGTATCAGAAAAGGAGTCTTGAATAGGTGCGAGACATACTTTCATCCACGACGTTCTCTCCCAAATACTCTGCCACTTTAGGTATCTTGGCGGTGGACACTGTTGTGATGACCTTTCCGGCTTTGAAAACGTTTTTGGCGAGTTGGCACGCATAAGACCCCGTTCCGCTCACTTTTTGACTATTAGGTAAGGTGTAATCGGGACGGGTAGGGAGAACATACATCCAGCCGGAATAAAGACTGTTTTTCCTTCCAGATCGCCGTCGTATCTCCGGAGAGCTTGGAGGGCAGTAAGAGCGGCCAGGGGAATTGAAGCTGCATCCTCGAATGATAACGAAGAGGGCTTGAGCGCTAGACACTCTTCTGGACAGCGAGCGTATTCGCTCCATGATCCTACCATATGATTGTGTTAATATTAGCTTCTCAATGAAGCAACCTTGGAGATCCAAAACAAACCTCGACAGGATCCCGGTAGACGAGTATACACCTCATCACCAACCTTACATCTTGTGACGTTAGAACCAACTTCGGTAACTGTTCCAGCACAGTCGAAGCCAATTGGCGATGGGAATCTAGGAGATGTCAGCGATCGATCGACACTCGGAAGCAGAGATGTACACACGTATCCGAAACCACCATCTTCATCGCACCTCCAGCATATTTGACATCGATCGGATTAACACTTCCGGCGTGAACCGCGATAATGACATCCTTAGGGCCCTTCAGTTCTGGCTTGGGGAGGTCAAGCATTTGGTACCCCGAAGGGGGTGAATAAGTCGTTGTACCGACAGACCGCATATTGAATATAGTTGCTAAGCAGATCTCTTGCTTATCGACGACTCTCGGCCGGTATATATATCACGGAGAAGGTTTTAGGGCTGAAGACATCATCAGACGTTGTTGTATGATTATTCAACGCCGCCGCCGGGACGGGGCAATCAGTCGCTCCGATTCGCCGGCCGCTCGGGGCATCCACTAATCCCGATCGGGACGGGGTCTTTCCGGTGGCAACGAGTGCCGGAAAGGGTAAGGCTTGCGAGACAAGCTCGTGTTCGGTGTTGTTTTCTGCTGGAATCGAACTCCATTGCGCAGATCGTTATCATTCGCAGTTTATTGATTCTAGAACATTCACTCGGACAATGCGGATGTCATGCAACTATTCCTTCTAGTGCCTAATTAGTAGGTAGTGTCCCGCCCGTGATGAAAATATACATCTGCTACTGCTCAATAGTAAGCGCAACTACGATGAGTTCTCATTTAAATCATGCTAAAGGTGAGACAAGTCGTATTGATAAAGATGGCGCTTAGATGAATTTCTTCATGTTTCACAATGCCAGCATACACCTATCAGATAGCGCCAACACACGCCTCATGTCGGCGCCTAGGTGATCATAGTCTGTCGCAGCCTCGTCGGGCGCCTATCTACCCCTATGTTCAGATATAAGGAGAAAACGATGCAATAAATCAAAAATATCGCCCTTTGCTCTTTTCCAGATGTAAACTGAATCTATTGATTGTTACTGTCCTGATATGCGCAGTATGACGAAGCGAAAAGCCTCTTCCGAGCCCCCATCGTCAGAGTCCACCAGAAAACGACCCAGGAGAGATATAAAACTGTCGGATGAAGACCCCACAATACTATTGAATGAACTTGATTCCGACTCCGCGTCCGAGTCCGAGAACATCCCGGAAATATGCCCCGAAGACATCACAGTCGCCATATTCTGCGCGCTTTCATACGAGGCCGTCGCCGTGAAGTACAGTCTCGATGAAGAATATGCCTGTCGTCCGAGCTCCATAGGGCCGCAGAAATATGTCTACTCTTATGGTCGGATTAAACATCACAATGTTGTGATAACGCGACCGCATTATATGGGTACTGTACAGGCTGCTCATTGCGCAAGTGCTGTTCGGCAGCAGTTTCCAAATATGCAGTTCGCTATAACAGTGGGGACTGGATCTGCAATTTCCGCTGCATCGTCGAGCGATATTCGGCTTGGAGATGTGGCAGTTGGTATTCCGCGAGACAATCATCCCGGAGTCATTCAATATGATTTCGGAAAGTATGAGCAAGATGGATTCACCTTGAAAGGCTGCCTTAGCAAACCACCTGGGATTCTGATCAGCGCGGATGGCTCATTAGAAGAGGATGAGGAAATGGGGAAAAGTCGACTCAAAAAGTTCCTCAAGCGTATAACTCGAAAGTCACGTTGGGGACAGCCTATGACATATGATGCTTCTTTGAATGACAGGTTGGATCGCATGGATGAAAAAGTCAGAGATAACCAAAGTGAGTCAACTATCGACAGTGAGCAACTATGTTCTTGGCGAAGCCCTGTGGTACACCGCGGTCTTATTCTCTCCGGAAACGGGGTAGTGAATAACCTTCGGGATTCCCAGATCTTCCGTCGAGGCTACAAAAATTCTATATGCTTTGAAACTGAAAGCGCTGGGATCATGGACGAGATCCCGTGCCTAGTCGTACGAGGCATATGCGACTACGCAGACACACATAAGCAAGAGGGATGGCATCGTTACGCATCTGCAGTAGCTGCGGCTTACTGCAAAGCCGTGCTCTACAAGGTCCCTGAGCAGATAACGGAGGATACGAAGGCAGTAAGAATATTAGCAGAGACAGTGCAACAGCTTTCAAACCAACTAAAGTAAGATGACCAACCGAACCAATCACTGGATTTGAAAAGCTAATATGAACAGATATATCTACGAGAGAGTTCATGATCTGGAACAGTCTTCTAACAAAAGTCATCCTAAATATAAACAGAGTGATAATAGCATCCGCGAGATAACGCAAGTCAAGAAAGAACTTTTGGAAGAGGAGGATAGATCACGGGAGGAAAACAAGACAACTCGCCAGTACAACTTCCATGCTCCGGTCGTTTTTTGTGAAAATGCTACGTCACAGGAACAGATGAATACATAAGGAAGATTTTATATCTAAAAACAAAAAACGTAGTGTATGCACAATATGTATAATGCAAATCTAGAAAATCCCTATATACAAGCCCCATAACAGATAACATAGGCCCCAATACAAAGGCCTAATCTGTATGACGTACGGCACAGAAAGTCCAGATGCAAGCTCATAAACATAACCAACAGACATAAAACCCAAACAAGACATAAACAAAATCTTACATGCTCGCTTGAAACAAACATAAAAACGACTGAAACTTATTTCCAGTAGCGCGCCGACCCAAACAATAAACACCTGAGAAAAAGCCCAAACAGTCCAGCTTATTCGAGGTCTATAAATCCTGCGTTTTATCTATGCCGATGCGTTTTTGTGCAGGAGGATTTGTATCGATGTATTTAGGTGGCGTTGTTGGAGCAGGTCCAGCTAGATTTGGAGGAGCTGTCGTGGATGGCCTTTCCGGAGACGTAGAGGCCGAGACCGCACTATGGTTTGTTAGATTTCTGTTGGATTGGAAAAAAGGTAATGGGGAAACATACGATTGCGCACGCAATACCCAGAATGAACACGTTAAGGCAGGTGAGGAAGATTTTGTTGGGAGAGGAGAACCATTGGCCGCGGTTCATGTAAAGCCAGAAGATAGCGGGGAGGCCGTCTGGGAGCGGGGTTAGTATCGACATTGGACTCATGCGAATGGGTATAGCACTTACAACTGAACCAACTTCCGAAAAGGGAACTCTGAAGCATATAGTTAGCAATCGGATCAAGATAAGTGGGCCGATGGTGACATACGATAAGACTCAGCAGCTGGTTGAAGACGGGAATCGACTCGGCAATAACCCAGGCAACGACCCACACGCCGAGCGCAATACCAACCCAGCTTCCAACAGCGAGGAAGCTGTTCTGGTGCATGTGGACAGTTCCACGGAAGATACGGACGTAGATGTATTTGCAAGCGACGTGACCGAAGACAACACCAGCAATGATGACCTGTAGTGTATTAGTCATGAGTTTACCGAGAGGAGCTGATCAACGTACAGTAGGAATGGCCAGACCGTAGGCAACCTTCTTCATTAAGGGACCGGCGGAGGATAGAGCGGGAGAGGCAACGTCGGGACCGGCGTAGCAGTAAATGACCATGGCGGTGACGATGTACATGCAGGTATCCAGGACCTGAAGCATGGCGAGCGACTTGGGGAAATCGCGAGGGTTGCTCATCTCAGAGATGAAACCAAAGAACGCGACGTGGGCAACTGTCAGGGTCAGCAAAGGATCCATGCGTCTTTCTGGAAGGTCGTACTGTAGGCAAAAACAATGTTGGTCACGGCCAAGAAACCGTCGTTGAAAGATACTTTGGTGGTGATATCGTTCTGGACGTCGTCTGGGGCCTGTACGCCGATGGCAATCATGGTGACAACAGTCGCAACAACGATAGAGACGCAGGCTGCAATGCTATTAGTAGTGATTGAGATTTGAGGTATAGGCGAGTCCTACAAGCAAATGACATCCAGTACACCTTGCTCATCGTGCGCGGAAGCGCACCAATAAAGCTGACCACCAAACCGACGACTCCGAAAACAATGGTGCAGGTTCCGTGATTTGTGATGGTGTTAAACAGCACGGTGAAAGTAAGGATGTGACTCGACATCAGGAAGATCAAGAAAAGAAGTTGACCAATGCCGAAGATTTCCCGTCCGATGGGACCGAGCAGCATTTCACCGGCGTCTCCCATGCTGTGCACTTGGGGATACCGCAGCTTGAACTGCCCAATGACGTAACCCGTATACCATGAAATGCCAGACATGCCGAGGAGAATAATCAGTGCTCTGCAGAGCGTCAATCAGAATGCAACTCTATTACGTAAGTACTGTGGGCACTCACGGGACGATTCCCAGGGTTGCGACTGCGGAGGGCAGAGACAGAATGCCCAGGGAGATATTCTCAGCAATCATGACTAGAACGGGTGGGTTAGAGCATGTCGGGGTCAATAACAGGCGTTGAATCTCTTACGCATTCCACAGTGCCTATAAAAATGTCAAATCGCGGTCCCGCATGGAAAACAGCCGAGAAAGAATCAAACTTACCACCACTTCATCACGCGGTACTGGACCTCTCCGCACTCCTCGTTGCCAAAGGGGTCATTGTCCGGGGGAGACTCATTAGGAGTGACCTTCTTTTCCAAGTCGGTAGGGTCGTCAAAGGCGTACGGCTCACGGTGAATGGCCGCAGCGTCGAGTTCTTGGGGAGGGCTCATGGTGGGGGAACAGTGAAGACAAAAAATTTGAATTAGCTAGAAAAATAGAGGGAAGGCAGGAACATCAATTCGTGAGAGAGAGATAGCAGAGATATAAGAGTATGGCCAGGTGGAAATGACAGACCGCGCGCAACAGTAGGAGGAGCGAAGGCTAAATAGGTATTTTTTCCCTTCTTCGTAGGGTTTTTTAGGTTTTGCTTCTGGCGGCCGTCGTGGCAAAGACCGCTGACTCAGCCCCGCCCCGGCCGCCCACAGTTTATCAACCCTATCAATTACACATTCTATCTGCTAACGTCGCCTTCCCCGTCCGTGGATTCGCGCTGCATTAGACCTGACCTTGTTTGCGTTTACCTTTTCGACATCGTGAACTCCGTGTCTTGCTGGTTCTGGGCTTTCCCATCGCAACAGCACCGTTGCATTGCAGCGCGAAGTTGCAAACCCCTCATCCCGGTGCGCATATTCCTTGCCCCCAGATGACGTTCAGAGGAACATCTCCAGGTGGGATGGCCAGTGAGGTGTTTTCATAACGTACATAGAATTTTATCGGTGGATTCCAAACCGTGGAGGGAGGACACCCCCGCATGGCTCATGTGGGTATAATTTTCTGGGGAAGGAAACACTCCCCTTCGGATATTGGCGGGCCCGACAAGGCCACGCTACGGATTTCTCTGGTTCGGTGAGCAAGGGGCTATTTTTGATTTACTTGTTCCAGTGCCGGAGTAGTACATTTTTGTTTCTCGGCTTGCCCGATGGCTTGGGTTTCGGTGACATTGGCTCGGAGGCGATAACACTGTCGAGTTTTCATCCCTCGCATCGCGCGGAATTTGGCAATGATACTGAGCCGAACTCCGGGGTTCTCGGCAAAAGACTCTAAGACCGAGGGAGATACGAAGGCAGACACCATTCAGCATTGTCCACGATCCGTAATCCGTAATCCAGAATCCAGAGAATGCCCATTCGCATCGGGGATTGCATGTACCGCAGGTCGGAAACAGAAGGCGGTGCTCCCGTAGCCGGTTCCAGGCCCACCGGCAGCCGGCGACCGGCCCGGGTCCGGTCGCTGCTCAACCCTCGCCGGTGGAGCTTCGTCTGGCCGTGAATAATAGATATCTGGCGGCTTGGACGCTGTTGTTCGTCGGTAAGCTGCCTCCGAAGCGATCCGGAACCTTCGTATAGGCGATTGGCGAATGTCACTCCTTCCAAGACCTATTCTTCCTGCCCTTCCGTTGGCCTGCACGCGGTGGAATCGGCTCTCGCAAAACCCCCTCGGGAGCTACCCTTGCGCAGGGTAATTGGGCCGTGTTGATCTTGTATCATACTGGCCAATCGTTTCCCATTTCAGGCCGACCAAGATAACCCTATTGCCCAAAGGAAGTGGAGATCTAGTCGTCGGTCTCAGTCCGCGTGGAGCCGGGGCCGGTGAGTGTGGAGGCCTCAGGTACCTCTGCTTGTGCACGTGACCCTCTCAGGCAGAGGATATGTCACCAATCTTCGCAGTGGTTTGGGGATGATCTCAGATACACGCAACTGCTGTCTTGTTGGACGTCGAAATAATGAGATTGTCGCGGGCGCCATCAGAAGCTTGACGCGGCCTCGTGAGGCTATGCCCGATCCGGCAATGTCTACGCGGGACCTAGAGGCGCCTCAGGCTGCCGACTTGGCAATCTCAACTCTCAGAGTAAAACTGTCCAATGTCCATGCATTTCGCTTGCATAACATATCTACTCCGTATGCATACTGCAGGCTCACCTTATCTCGTGGGTTCCTTCAGACTTGGCCTTGGGTTCTTGTCGCTCCACCTGCCTCCGATTCCTCTAAATCCCATTTAGCAATAGCGAAGGCTTGGCGATCTCACAGGAGCTGCCGTTTACGGATTAGTTGGCTACAGTCTATTGTCAAAATTCAGCTGGTCAACATGCAGAGTCTATACAGTTGTCGCGTATATAGTTCACAAAGTCTCCCCAAGAATATATCAAAAAACATGGAGTCTTCAAAGTTCACCACAAAATCTCGCGATCACCAGTTAAACACTCAACCGCATTCTACATATAAACCCCATAGTCCCCAATCCCCTGCCACTTACAGACCCTCGGCATATCAGCATGGCCTAGTCAACGGCGCGCCAAGCGCGCAGGCCCAACTCCAGCCTTTTCTCATGGCCAGACTGCCGAAACACTCAACCAACCAAATATGGCCGGTCAAATGGCAGTCTTGGCTCGAAAGTTTGGATCACAGTCGACAGAAGTTAGAACGCTCTTGGCACCGGCAGAAAAATTCTAGAAATCTGTCTAAGCGGTAGCCGGTCCCACCATGAATCGGCCAAACACTGCCCTGGCCGAAAAAAACTTGTTTAGCGAGCTTTGACAGGTCCAAAATTGGGACTTTATCTGATGAAACCCTGGGGCTTCGAAGAGAGGGTCTTTGCCTTCTAGATTAAACTCAGGTTTTCTTCATGCCTGGTTAGATTAACTCCCAAGTTGGGTATGATATGCTATGTTTTGGTTATGTCAGCATTTGCACTCCCTCACTTCACAATGCGATGAGATGAAACAATGAGGATTTTAGAAATTAATAAGGCTGTAAAATGACATCCAATGCTCTTTCTATCAAGGCTGCGTTCGCTCATATTGTATGAATAAACATTTCGAGATGAAAGTAACCTGATATTATATTTATTTGGTGTAAATCTGCAGGGCTTGATACTGTGATCTGATTGGCGCAATACTTGGTCGTGGCTATTTAACAATTGTTTCTCATCTTCTAATTTTGCAATTCCCACATCATAATGTTTATGGATTGACTAGAATACAATTGGGTGAGTGCCTCTACTATGATTTTTGGGTTGCGGCCAAAGCAGTTTTCGTCTTACTTCGCGCGCTGCGATTATATATATCTGGAGCCTCGTTTAACTGGCAGTAGACTGTCATTCTTTTTGCAGTTACTACTAGTATTATGAAAAAGCATAAGAAAAGCAGATAACTGGACTAACGCCTGTCAAAAAATACATTGCCTATTGCCTGAGCGAATGCCATACTTCAGTGTTATGTCAGTAATGACTTGATAATAGTGGACTTTTTTTGGGCTATGTTACACAGGCCTCCGGTGTTTATAAAGAGCGAGAAAAATAACAGACAAATTGCACGTTTATTCTCCATTAGCCGATCAAACTAGACCGAGTCCAGTTCCATAGCCTAAGCTACCCTTGGACCTTGGCCACCACAAATTTCACCGCCTGATCTCCATATTCCTTGATGTAACCATTGTGGACATTCTGATTCAGTCCACGGTCACAAAAGGGGTCGTTCGAATCGCAGTATGATTGAATTTTATCGCTATAACCAGGGCATTCTATGTCCGTAAAACGATGGAACAACTGTCCTTCTGTCAGTAGATGCTAATCAATACCCGCCCCGCGATACTCACTCCTGGCTTCGTGCTAGTGCCCACGTCAAAGGACACACCAGGCTCATGACCCGGGTCACCCATTAGAACTACCGCTTTCACTTTGTAACCGGTTAGCAGAGAGTTTCGCCATAAGGTCGGAATACCAACCGTGATCGCCAAGGTTTGCGGTAGGGAGTGGATCGGATTTGCCGAAAAGCGGATTGTTGGTGCCACAGAGAACATCCCCTATGGCGTGAGCTCCCTGTTTGAAGCACATTTAGCAGGAAGATTTTGAACACGCTTCTATTGTAGGACGTACCTGGGAATAGCCCAAAAGAATAATGTCCGTCTGGGGACAACTCTCCACGTAGTTTTCAATTGCCTCTCTGGCCTTTTTCACCCCTTCCGTCTCGGAATGAACATAGGGGACAAACCATGCGGGATAATCGACGTCTTCAATATCGGATTCAATATCAGATTCGTTCAATTTGGCTTGCACTTCATTTGCCAGGTCCCTCACAAAACCTCCATCTGGAGGTGCTGAGCTTTCCCGCACTGTGATAATATGGGGACCTGGTGCACATTTTTCTTGAGGTGCGGGTGCGGCAAGGGCTCCAGCGAGAAAGAGGCCTGTGATGAAGCGATGCTTCATGATTGTTGCAACCTTGAGAAAATAACAGTCTTGAGAGTGGAACGAGAGATGTGTTAAATTATCAGATGAACACAATGAATAGTCTGTCCTCCACGGTGTGTTGCTTTATATACCCGTTTATCAACAAGACGATCCAATGTCTCGCCGCGGTCCCCCGCCAGACCCTGGAATGCAAACCCCGACAAGACCCATTTCCAGCTTCCCAACAACAAATGACTCGAGTAGCAAGGGATCTTTGCTGGGAGAGAAAGAAACCCGACGGATCCACCCTGAGGAATGCGAATGTTCCACATTCCTTGCATGCAAAGAATGTTTGTTCTTTAGGTTCCTGGCTCGGGCCATCCCGCCTGAATTGAGCCTACAGTAGTTGCGCAGTCGAACCTGGGAATTTAGAGTAAACAGTTACGGTATGGTTGAGCGTGCTCGTGAAGTATCAGCTAAGATAGATATCACAATTATGTTTCTAATATAGGATGACATAATGTGAGTGTACAATCGAAAAACAATGATCAAAGAGAGTGTCAAATGAAAATGAAGATAGTCATAGTCTGGAGTCTTGGGTTTGGTGGCTCAGGTGGCAATAATATGCTAGTGAATATTGAATCATTAGAACGATTACCTAGGCTTGGCCTGTGCAACTGGTTCAATGTGGCTAACATCCTCTTCTTCATCCAAGCCTGTCTTTCCGATGACTGCGTTAGGGCCATCGAAGACTTCGAGCAAAATGTCAGTAAAGCGTGCAATATGAGGATCAATATTGAGAAAACAAAGGGAATCATACTGTGTGCAATCTCTTCGAGTGTCGGCCCCTTAGTCTCGGGGTACAAGAAGAAGATAATAGTAGTCTCAACAACCAGCCAAGCCTGCCATGTATTAGTACAATTCCCTATGAGAATACCAGTCATTATACTTACAACATAGACTAGGTAGAACTTCCAGCCAAGATCATCTATACCAATCGGGTTCACGAAGGAATTAAACGCCGTGCTGCCCCGAGTAAAAAATTGCAGAATAGCGAGACCTTTGGCGCGGTGGACGAAGGGGAAAACCTCGGTAACGTAGGTGTAGGTCAACGGCTGCATGATACTATACATTGCGTTGTAGAGGAATATCATGGCGACAACAGCTGTGCCCGAAGCGTGCGACGCGTGCTGGGCATATCCGGCACTGACACCAGTCCAGACTGAGAAGCAGATAAACATGCCGACAAAAGAAGTCAAGTACTGGGTGCGACGGGCTAAGAAGGAGGTCATGAAGGCACTTCCAGTGGCGCAAAGCCAGAACCAGCACTGTTTTAGGGTAAAACATTAGTTGTGGTAAAATACATAAGTGAACAGATTTTCCCCGGCGTAACCTTACCGATAAAGAAAGGTTGATGATGTTCTGAGTTTTCTTGTCAGTGACACCAACTGTTGTCAATACCTTAGCGAGATAGTAGCTAGGAGAGAGCTGAGCATCAGTGCATGTATATGCGGGCGTTCACCTTCCGAGAAGAACAGCCAAGGATAGTAGACTTACGACACAAGGCCGTTTCCAGACCACTGGGTAAAGACACCAACACATGTAGCGATAAGAGTTCGTTTCCTGTTCCCCGGGGTCAGGAGCAGCTCGATCCAGCGCGACTTCGAGTTTTCAATTTCCATCTTGAGCTGTGTAGATATTTCGCGGAACTCGGCATTGACAAATTCAGAATTTCGGTCTCCTTCCGCATGGTATTTGACAAGAACCTCAAAGGCCTCCTCACCGCGGTCCTTGGACAAGAGCCATCGAGGGGACTCAGGAATGAACCAGATGAAGATAAGCTGGAGGACCGAAGGAGAAGCTTGTAGAATCGACGGGATACGCCAGCCCCAGTCGTTGGGCATTGTATGCGTACCCAAGGTTACCCCAGCTGCCATAATGGCACCGATGAACCACGAGGTGTTGAAAAGACCGGTAATGACGGCACGCTCGCGAGGATAGGTAAGCTCAGCCAGAAGTTGCGAGGCCCCTGAGACAGCGAAAGGGATGCCGGTGCCGAGAATGAGTCGCGAGGCAAGAAACATGCCAACTAAGGAATAATTAGTATGAACGGTCCGAATACTCGGACGCAGACCAACTATTTTGGGATGCAGACTGCAGGATGACACCTATGACGAGGATGATAGAGCCAAACGTGATACTATGCTTGCGGCCAAACCTGTCGTTGACGTACGGCACGATCGGCAAAGTGATGAGACCCCCGAGATTATACGATGCGTTGAGCACCCCCAGCAGAGCGCCGTCTGGAGATCCAAAATCTAATATGTTGGTCGTAAGCTAAGTGTATAAGGTTCACATAGTTGAGCCTGCTACTTACACGTCTGCCACGAGGGAACTGCCTGCAATCCGTTGAGCACGGAGCCGTCGTAGCCAGTCGTCATCTCGACGCCGAGCGCTGCTGGAACAAGGCAGAAGTAGAGGAACCGGAGATTGGGCTTCTTGTACCATGGCACAGTATCGGCCTCAAGGAGCCGAATGACCTCGGACTGGCCAGCGAGTTGCTTTGCGTCGGCTCCACGACTCATGATTATTGTTTGATATTTACTACATGATGTACCAACATCGACGAGGTGCATGGCACTTAAGTATAGATTGGTTTCATTGAGTGGGCTTGGAATCCAGGGTAAAAGTTCCCCAGACGTTCGTATAGATAACTTGCCTGGGGTAACTAAAAGAAAGAACAAAAGAACTTGAAAAACTAAAAGAAACCCCCGCAAACCTCCGGCCAATGAATTTAGCCTGTTTAGCCTGAATGCGCCGCCAGAAAAACCTCCGCCCGGAGGAAACAACCAATCTTTCTTCCTGATCTTCTTTTCTCCGCGATGCTCACGACTCCACCTGTCCCCCCATATGCCACCCCACAGCCCTGTCTCCGTGTCTTGTCTCCAGCGAGCCTGTGATCATTGCCGGCGTAAAAAGGCCCGAGTAAGTGAAGCCATCCGGCGATTTCTGACCTTTCTGATCACGTCGGAATGATTCTAGTGCGACTCAATAGACAGCACCTGTACAAGATGCCGTACAGCGGGCCATAATTGCACGTTCGATATCCCTCCTGGCAAGCGAGGACCCAAGGGAAAGCCTAGACGCCGTGATATTGTCAATGTCCAAGATGACACCAGCCAACGGCATTATCCGATCGAGCGCGCATCCCATTCTTCTTCCATCGCATCTCTCCGGGATCCGACAGTGCTCGATCGATGTGTGCTTCTCGCCGATGCCATCGCCCATGCTTCCTCGTTCGCGACATCGCTCGAACCCGTGATCCGAGAATGCACAGATCTCTTCTTCAGCTACATCGCTCCTTTCAACATGTCGGTGCACGAACTTACTTTTCGCCGCTTGGTGAATCAGGCTTTTGAGACCTTACCGTCCGGGGCCTCGCTCTCCGCCTCTGCCTTCGCTCTTATTACCGCAGTATGCGCCAAAGTTTGTTTCTTTCTACCTTCAGACCTGTTTGCGCTTGGTAACTGTCTTGGTGAGACATTCCTCAAGGCTTCGCGCAGTTGTCTTGCCAGCTACAGTGACGCCGATCTCGAGAACCCCTGTGCCGACTCCATTACCATTCGATACCTACACTCCAATTGTTTGCATATCAGCGCAAGACCGAAGGTTGCATGGTATGTATTTGGCGAGGCTGTTCGGCTTATCATGCACATGCGCCTGCACGATGAATACTCATACCTCTCACTACCCTCTGTCGAGGCAGCCATGCGTCGCAATGCCTTCTGGCAGGTATATATAGGAGACAAGTCAATGGGTATACTCCGGTCCATGCCAATCACAATATGTGATTACGCCTTCGATGGGGGCATAACGGCGGCCTATCCATCGACCGACCAAAACGAGTACGTTACCGTAAGAAACTATGCAGCTCCTTGAACTGACAACGGTTATATATAGACTAGTTCTCGGCTACAATCTTGGAACACAGCTCTGGCGGTCTGCGGCAGATCTATTGTTACAAATAAGAATGGCTGGAAAAGGCCAACCTTCTGGGCCTGAGCTGTCGCAACCATCCTTAACGCCGCTCGACCATAGAACTCTGAGCGAGCTCTATGTTCGCTTCGCCACCTGCATAGACAGTCTTCCAGCTCATCTTATGCCAGATAGTATATCGATCTCTTGCGACGGGAGTACCACGCATAACGCGTTTGCGGTTCAGATAGCAGATCTGCATGTAACCTATCACTGCTTGAAGATGCATTTTACCTTGGCGCTTGAGAAGATCGGATATTTTTCCTACACAGGAGAGTCCGTCGATATGTTGGTACTCAGGAAGACAGAGGTCGCTGAATCTATGGTACAGCTTCTGCAAGCTCTACCGTTCTGGTGCTTGCAGGTCAGTGGGGAGCCTTGTGTGCGTGAGCGTCTACCCCATAACTCCCTACAACCTGCCAAACACTGACATCACCCTTTCAAATATAGACGGAAAAGATTCGACTGGTCGGGGCGAGCTTGCTTGAAATAATACAAGGGCCTTCGGCTTCAAATCTTGTAACACGGGCTCGTCGTGACTTTAGTGTGTTGCTCGATCTTTTGTCCCGACTTGATTCGAAAGCTTCAGATACTTTGCGTCAGAAAGCCTGATAGTGTGGGTAATTTTGACCTGAGGCCTCGAACCGCATAGGAATGGCTAGGCTGCTGGAATGCTTTTGAGATAGTAGACGCGTTTTCTGGGGGTTGTTTAGGATTTCAAAACCCACATGGGCAATTACATTCCTTGGACCGTAGCCAGAGATTCATTCCATGGGACCGACAGTCCGCATTTGAAAGCCATGCGATAATAGCACTGTAGTACTGGCATAGCAATTTCCAGTGAATTACCGACACTGACATGTCTAAACCCCCGAACCATGCTTCGGAACGCCAATCGAAACCTCCGCGGAGGTGTCGGGACCAATATAGCAGTAGGATCGGTCGGGCCACCGGCATTAGGGAGACTTTTGGGACTCAGGAAGCGCAAACCAATGCGAGGAGAGGCTCCTGCGGAGTCTTCCATCATTTGGAGAACTTCCAGTCTGAAGAGGTTTAGAGGTACTTTCTGGACACGATTTGGGGACGACCTAGGGGTCTGATTTAATGTAATTCTAAAATGGTTGCTACCAACTTGGTATACCTGTTATGGATATGGAATTTATATTTAAGCCAAGATCCTAAAAATGGGATACCCATCCCCCTCCTCCACAGGCACGATGTTGAACGAAACATAAGAGTCAATATTCTCCGGCTCGAGCGCCACGATGGCCAGGCCTGCATTCTTCTGTCGCGTACTCACGAGGAAGCTTCCCGCAGGCAGGCTCAACTTGCGCTCGCTGCTCTTCGTAGTCGCCGTCACCCGAATCACTCCCTCGTAGTAGGAAGTGTCGATCTCAGCGGATGTAACAGTCAGCGCTTCTACGGTGCCCTCGAACGGCTTATCCAGCGTCTCGACTTCCAGACCAGCAACACGAAGGCGCTCGGCGAGATCGGCCCAGGCCACGGGAATCAGATAGGCCTCGGGACGGGAGCGAGTGAGGTTTGCGAAGGAAGGGGTTGTGGATGCAAAACGGACAGACGGCCGGACGATGTTCCCAGTCTCTCTCTCGACCATTGTGAACGAGCGAACCTCAACCTCACTGTAGTCAGTAACGATGATATCGTCTTCCGACTCGATGAACTCCTCAATCCCGCCCTCAATGGTATCGAAGACCTGCTCGGCGTTATCGGCAGCAGTCTGCACAATACTGCCCACCATGGTCAAACCAGCAGCCGTGCGACGCTGGAACTCCTGATCAGCAATCCCAATACCACGCGTCTCAAGAAGAAAAACCACGGCCTGCGTCAGACCCATCGCGTTGCGACCAATCTTCGCATCCGTACCAGCCTCGGCGAAGTTCGCGACAACGGACGAATTCGACACAGAAGAGCCAGTCACGTAAGGCTCAGCGCGGAGGCCAGCAGTTTCCATATCATCTGCGATATTCTTTGCAAACAGCTCCTCAGAGAGCGTGCGGATTCCCTCGTTGATATTAAGGTTCTTGGCCGCAGAGAACAGACCGTCCGAGCCGTGAACATATTTCCCGTCACCAAACTGCGAAAAGGCAGAGTACTCGTGCATATCGACGATGACGTGCGGGTTGAAGCGGTTCATGAGCTTTTTGATATCGCGCGTCTGCTGGCGAGCGAGCTTGATGTGGTCGCGGTTCGGGTCGAAGTTGCTTGCGAGCGTGCGCTGGAAGTAGAACACGCCGTCGGGGTTATACCGGGGTAGAATGAAAATGTCGAGCTTGTCGAGGATTGAGGAAGCCCATTCTGGATCGGCGTCGAATTTGCCCAGCAGAGCTTGGGTAGCTTCGTCGCCGGCGGGCTCGTTTCCGTGCACTGCGCCTTGGATCCATACACGCACCTTGGAGGACTTGCCGCGGGGGAGGTTATTGCGACTGGTGGAGAGGTGAACGTATGGGAACGAGCGGTGCTCTTCTGAGGTGAAGTTGGCGATACCATAGGTGATGTAATTATTTCGTTCAGCTAGTTCCTCAAGGAATGCCTCTATAATCCGTTAGTCAGTCTCAGCACAGTGCATTCCAGAAAGCTGACTCACCCATATCATCTTGAGAAGACGGTCCCTGGGTACCATTGGTAAATCCAGGAAGCCGGACATCAGATGTCAAGAAAGCCGGAGAGAGGAGCTCAACATCCTCGACGTCCTCGAAAGCACTGGCAACGATTTCCGAGTCCTTCCTGAGGGGAACATGGTTGTATCCATACGTAAAAGCACTCGCCATAGAGGCAAGACCGAGAACGACACCGGCGGAAGTAATTGTTCTCATCTTGACGCGCAATTGCTTTAATGGAGGACAGTCATGCAGGGGCACAAGAAACAAAATTGTCACGCTGTACAGCAGATCATCGCTCCCTTTTGTACTCCTGTGGCCATCGCCTACGGTTACATCGGGTTACCCAGCATTACTCGTCAATTCCTTTAAATGCTCCCCTCATTTCTTGGCTCCCCCGCTGTTTTTCTACTTGAAGTAAGTCCCTGAATGCGCCAAGCGAGCCGCCGCCACTCACAGTCCGACAACGCGCTTATCTCCCCCAAGCCAAGCTTCCGTCTCCAAGTGACGTCGGCTGTTATCTGTGGAAGAGCAATTTGGAGTAGCAGGGAGTTGATCATTCTTAACTCCCCATTCCCTGGTAACTCAGTCCCAAAAAAAGGATGAACTGAAAAGCCTCACAGATAGAGACTGATAGATATCAGGAGGTTAGAACTGGTCCTCAAGGAAATTGGAAACAACTATTCAGGCATTGAATGGAGCAACGTATATTATCAAAGGTCGGTAAGAGGGTTCAGTGCTGAGAACTCAAAGAATTCAACAACACCAGATACACAGCCAATGATTACACCGGTAGTTGTTAAGGCTAATGCATCTAGACTGTCCGGTCGGTGGTCAGGGGGCAACCACAGGACCTTGGTTCCATCATATGTTATCCAGGAAAGATCTTCGCTGAGACCATACCCACGTGGTCTTGGAACAGAATTCAAGTCACTGCACCATGTGGAGACAGGTTTCAACTCCCTTATATCAAACATACCCAGCCCAGTATGGAGAGAGTCTGGGTCGCTGCTATCGAATCGAAGGAACCCATCGGTTGCAATAGGGACGTTGAAGATGCACTGGCCAGTCGCTGGGTTCCATATAGAGATTTTCCCCATTGATGTTGCACCGAGCTGACTCCCATCATGAGACCAGGCAACAGTGGAAATTAGATTGGTATTGTCTTCGCAAACAATGAGCTGACGACCTGTAATTGGATTCCAGACCCGAACGGTGCAATCAGTTGATGTTGATGCAATTTGACTGCCGTCAGGAGACCAAGCGATGTCGTAAACACTGTCGGTATGGCCTTCGCAAATTGAGAGCTGATGGCCGTTATTTGGATCCCACACCCGAACGGTGCGATCAAATGATGCTGACGCAATCTTACTCTCGTCAGGAGACCAGGCTATGTCGTAGACAGTGTCCGCATGGCCTTTGCAAACCGTCAACCGCCCCGTGGTCGGATCCCATACCCTAATTGTGTTGTCGGATATTATTGAGGCCAGTTTGCTTGTATTGTAGTTACCCGAAAATCTGCTAATCTTGCCCGCAGGGCCTTGTAACGTTGTGCACTGGCCATTAGTGGGATCCCACAACCGAGCGGTTTCATCCAGTGACTCTGATAAGACTCGAGTTCTGTCAGGGGACGAGGCAATTGAAGAAATGAGATCATTATGACCGCGTCTAAATGATTGAGGTTGAACTCCAATGTCCCATATCTTGATAGTGGTATCATCTGACCCTGATGCGAGGTGACTCCCATCCGGAGACCAGGCTATCGATATCACATCGCCACTATGACCCTCAATGGTATATAGACACTTCAATGTATAGGGGTCCCATATAAGAATCGTCCTATCATGCGACGCTGATGCGAATTTCGATCCATCTGGGGACCAGGCTACCTGTTCCACCGCATCATTATGACCTCGGAGTAAGACACAATCTTGTGATTTTATGTCCCATATCTTGATAGTCATATTGTAAGACCCTGATGCGAGACGACTTCCGTCTGGAGACCACGCTATATAGTTCAGATTGCTACCACTGGTTCCCAGGATGCAGAGACACTCCATAGAATGTGTATCCCAGATCGTAATAGTATTGTCATCTGACAATGATGCAAGTTGAGATTTATCTGGAGACCAGGACATCGAGGAGACTTCTCTCGTGTGGCCCTGACGCATTGATTCCAAGCTGCTAGTAGCCAGGTCTGATATCCAGATGCACTTCTTTGATGCAAATGCGAGTCGACTTCGACCGGGAGACAGGGCCATGGAGCAAATATTGTGCGAATGGCTCTGAAATAATGGCATGAATTGTTTATTGCGTAGATTCCACACCATGATTGTACCGTCCGAAACCAGGGCGAGTCGAATGTCATCAAGCCACCAAATAGAAGACCCAGAAGTTTCTTTGTCTTCGAGGATGAGACTGCATTCGCCAGTAGTCGGATCCCATATTCTGAGACCATCCATTGATAATGAAGCAAGCTGACTTCCCTCTGGAGACCAAGCTATTGAGAAGATCTCGAAACTATGACCCTCTAATGTTTGAAGACATGGGCTCCAACTTCTTTCTACCAAAGGTTCTTTCAAAATCCAGCCTTGTTTTCTCTCTCTATCATGGTAGCATTGCCTCATGATGCTTTCCGTAGGACTGAAGATGAGAGATGAATAGTAAACCTGAAGGGGACTGTTTTCAATCGCCACCTTGGTGTATTGGACGAATCGGATGGCATCCCTGATTCGGAGTGAAAGGGAACTTGGCTTGCTATTCGCCAACGTTTCCAGTTTTTGGATGGACGCGATAGCACCAGGAATGCTCTGCAGAATGCTCATGGCCTCCAGCCAATGAAGATAACTCTCGCATAGAAACAAACATACCAATCGTTCTGCTTTAGTCAATGTCTCGATGTCATCTATGTTACTGCATGAAAAGTGATCAACCCAATAGACACATGCATAACGCACTGTACGCAGGGGATCCGGGTGTGGCGGCTCGACCTCGTCTATTGAATAACCAGGCGATTTCAAATTATAGATGTCCCGTCGCAAAACTCCCCGGAAGGTCTGTAGTGATCTTGAAAAGATCTTGTCGTGTACTATCTCTTTCCCACTGGGAAGTATTCCGCTGGATGCCTTTTCTGTGAGGTATTCCTTTGCTGACAGGTGAATCAAGAAAACAGTGTTGTCCTGAACAGACAAAAAGGAGCCACAAAGCCGAATCAAATCTGTGAGTGCGTCGATAGCATCACCAGGCAGGTCAACATAGACCATAAGCTCGTCAAGTGTGATGGGCCGGTACACGGTCGCGATAACGCCAAGAATAGACTTGCAGATCTCAGCATTCTCAGAGTTAATAATTTGGCTCATCATGCGGTCGTAGACTTTGTCAAGACCGGAAGGGAAGTCCTCGAGCTTCGCCCGAACATTCCACCAATTCAAGGGGGCAAGATACTCGCAAACCAACGCCACCCATAGAAATGTCCCATTCGCATTCGACAGCAGATGGTCTTTAACAGCTTTCCAAATATCGGGGTTCTTCTTGCTCTGGACACTTCTGTTCGCCAGTTTTTCAACCTTGTATTCAATAAATGAGTGAATAGCTTTTGACAAGACATCCTCGTTCAAGTCCAAATGCAATTTCATCTGCGTGGCTGTGTCCAACTCTCGCTCAATATCTAACCAGTCCCGACTGGAGACAATCCATTTGACGTTTTGATGAGCGGACGAATGCTCGACAAGCAATTCAAGAAGGTGCTGACGGTCTTCAACGCATTCATCAAGTCCATCGATCAACAAGTAGGTTGGCTGCAACGTCTTGTCATTAAGAATGCTGTTGAAGGTATTCTTTAGGGCGAACCAAGCATTATGGCCGTCAAAGCAACCTTCAGAAAGATAACTCAATAGGGAAGGCTGTTGCTTCACAATCATAGAGATAAGGCCTCGTAAGACTGCGGAGGCATTATTCAGGGATTTCTCGGTCGCTTGACAGAAGAAAAAAGCGATATTGGTGTCGGGGGTAGTCACTTGAGAGAGCTCATCGATTATTCCACAGACCAGCATCGTTTTCCCTTTTCCGGGTTGACCTTTAATCCAAAGAATTTGCCCAGATCTTCCATTCATCCACTTCTTGAAGTCTTGATTTTCAATCACCCAAATGTAGGAGTCCTTTAGGAGACCACCTTTAAGCTTCTCAATCCGTTGTTTATCCAACTGTGGGTTCGTAGCCTTCAATGTATTCAGACAACGGCGATATTCGGCCTCAGACATATGTTGCTCAATTTTCTGAGTGAAACTTGTAACATTTTCCAGAGTAATGCGTGATTTCTCGGCTTCCATTTCGAGGTCATTCAGTCTTTTGACATTTAGCCAGGAGGCAGCCTCCTGAAATCGTCCTCTGAGTGTTTTCTCGGCTTCCTTGATTGCATTCAGTTGATCGCTCCAGCCGTCATAGTCAGCTACACTTCGGAAGTAGTTCTTCACAGGGTCACGATTGAATTTCATCACACTTTGCACCTGGTAATCAATTACGAGTTTATACAAACCTTTCACGTGCTCCCTCATCTGTGCTTTTATCCTGTGATCTGTGAACGCAGGCAGAAGAAGGTGTTCCATCTCAATATAGTATCGAATTTGGGACGTGACGTACAGAAGTCCTGTTCTGTTTTCGTCGTCAACCCTGGATGGGCTGATCAACAAAGGAAGAAGGAGAGATGTGCATGCCATAGCAACCGGTGCATAGGGGACATGTTTGAGTGCCTCTTTGGAGTAGTTTTGAACCCAGTTAAGGCCATTGCCCAACTTCCCGGCCGCCTCTTGCAACGCCATCTCTTTTCCAAAAAGTGTCACTTTGAGACTTCCGGCTTGTAAATTTTGAAAGCTAGTCTCAGCAATCTGCTCTAGCTTTTGTCGACGAGCTGTCACATCGTGTTGGGGAATTGTATTTTCGAGATCGTTCGCATCTTGCCCTGGCACTATCGCAGTTGGGTTGACTATTGTGGCATTAGTCCTATTGCCCAGAAAAAGCAAACCCCAATTGATGATCACTTGCCGTTAATGGCTAATTCGGACAAGAGGCTCTCGTAACCTAATAAAAGCTCGGGCTTTTCCCCCTTCAAAAGGTCGTATGCTTCATCCCATAAACCAAGAGGCTCAGGCAAAGCGCCTGCGGTATCATTCCCTGTGTTTGGCTCAAAACCCCTCTCCAGGTGCGTTGTCACCGGAGTGTGACTTGAAGAGAGGGGGATTTCTTCTTTGAAAATAGACCATAAGCTCGCAATTCTCGAAGCCTTATCGAGGAACTTACCTTTTGCCCTTTTCCAGCGTTGGCGAACCCTTTGCCTCCATGAAAGTTGCCCCTCACTTTTATTTTCCATGAAGACCTCTGTTATCCATGTAGCCTTTCCTGCTGCATAAGTTCAAATCTAACCAGTATATGTGGTAGTGGAGGGAAATTTTTGAAACTGAGTGACAGTGCGGGTTATTCTTGGGAGAGGGAAAGAGAGAAAGAAAAGTCCTCTTGCGTTCTACCCCGCCCGACCATGCATGAAGCTGCGTTTGGCGCCAAAGGCAGACGCCTTCACAGCCGATCGCCCAGTCGCCGAAAACCAGCTCATGCCAAGTAAAACTAGAATAGTATCAGAGGCTGTGATTGTTTTCTGGGGGATCTTTTGAAATTCGGGGTTTTTCTTTTTTTCTTTTTTCTTTCCGGATTTTAAAAGAAAAGGCACGTCATTTGGATTAATAATGAACATTTAAAAGAACCCTAACTGCTTGAAGTAAAAGCAGAATCTATCTGAAGGCCAATCACAATATATGGCAATATCTCAATAACCTAATCATTTGTAGTAGGTCATGGCATAATTTTCGCCCATTCTCTTTTAATAAACGTCATATGAATTAAGGAATCGCATGTTCTATGTGGACTGTTTCTTTAGTATTGTGGCCGATAACCTGACAACGTATTACTACGTCTTTTCGTCATATGCAACCAGTAAATAGACTTTTTTAATGGACCTATTAGGCTTGCAACAGCAGTAAGGTAATTTCTGCTCTCCAGGTATCCGTCGGGAAACAGGCCATTGACGCTGTTTGTCAACACCCTTTGTAACAAAGCTGAGGGTTCCGCGATATACATCTTGCACGACAGGAACACTGCTCGTGCCATTTGTCCACCTTCACCTAGAAAATACTCACAGCACGCTAATCTGCATATCGCCCCTGCCATCTATATGCAGCCGTGGCCGTCTCGACCACATCTTCCGAATCGTGTCCTGGCTCGTGCCCGCAGACGCGGCCACGGCAAAGATACCGGATACCAGCAATGCCTCCTGTCTTCCGTTTAACCCGAGGCCGTTAGCTCGGCCAGGAAAGCTCAAACGGTGCTTTATAGACGGAATCAATGTCCTTGACGACATAAGATTCGTGTTTGGATCTGCCCTTAACGCAAAGCTCTCGCTTTGAATTTCCTCCTCGGTCAATTCTGTCGGAAATTGTGCTTCAGCTTTCATGTCGGCGATAGCACTTGTTCCGGCAGACGAGCTCAACAGGCAGCTGCCTGCGTCTGTAGCCGAGGCCGACTGTACTTCTGGAGTGATGAACCCGCCTGATGGAGTTTCAGCGTCTAGGGCAAAACCACTATCAATGATTTGAATATCGCTGACCCATGGAACATCTTGATATGTGACCCTGTGGACTCGGATATGCCATCCCGGGAAGGCCTGAGCCGGCGGAATCAACACCGTGGTGATGGTGAGATCAAGGTACTTCCACGGCCGCCAGTCACTGGCCAGGGCTTGAATTTTTTGATCGTCCTTGGTGTCGTGTGCGATCTTAACATCCATTAACCTTTCTCCAAGCGGCTCCGCTCTCATATTCCAACTCTCTCCATCGTCATGGCTTGCGCATAATGTACTATCGGGCGCAAGCTGTTCGAGCAAAGGCCCTGCGGGCACGCTGAATCCGAAAGCTGACGAGTATGCGAATTTTCCATACTTGGCCTCTCGTGCTTTATGTGCTCTGCGTGACATTTGCCCCGATGAGAGGAGGAAATGGTGCTCTGGTGTGTTGCAGAGGATGTGCCGTGGCGGCCAGGAAATTTTGATCGGAGCCAACGGCTGAAGAGTAGATGGGACGGATGAATGAGCGAGAGGGTGAGGGAGCTCAGGAGCTGCCCAGAAGCCATGATCTTCTGGTAGCATGAGAACAATAAAGCTTTTCAAACACCAGTAGACCGATTGAGGGGAATTGTATGCCTCGCTCATGTACATGTTCGGGTATGTGAATCCGATATTCATTGTGCCGTCTACATTGAAAATTTCTGGCCGTTTCGCCCACCACCGCAAATGGCGGAAAAGCATTCCCTTGACTATGCCGATATTATCGAAGGGCGCAGGAAGCTGGACGTCCGCGCATGCCATGGCAGACCAAAAGGCGGCAAACGCGAAGCGATAGGTCATGCTGCGACCGAAAGGAATAGCAGCGCCTAACGACCTTAGTTCTCAGACGGTAGCCGGTGGATAAAACAATAGCGAAATACCGTTAAGATCAAAGTATCTCCAGAAAACTTTGCCAAATTCCTTCGCATGCCGGCGGTACTCATCGACTCTTGTCTTGTCTTCATCGCCAACAAACCGCACATACAGCAACTGCGCAAAATGAATCGCGAAACTGCCCGAGTAGTAGTCTGCTTGCTTCCTCTCGTCACCCCACAGCCCGTCGCTTGACCAGCCCTCACCAATCTGAAATGACTCGAGAGTTTCGAAATCCGCGTCCATCTGCTCCTGTACCTCATCGCGCTCAATGCCGAGAGCTTTCACGAGCGCAAGATTGACGAATATGCGGAACCAGAGCCAATTATTTTGTGGCATTCTGTGTTGATTAATTTGTCCGAGCCAGGTTGCGAGGTTTGTCTTTGCTTGCGCACTTAAGGGCCCGAGAAATGTGTCCCCATTACAAAGGAGTGCAAATGCTATCGATTCCATTTCTACCATTCTCTGATCAAAGTCGGTCAAATCACCCCAGTACTCCGGCGAGTCAGGGTCTGTCCCGGTTTCTAACCCTTCAATCCATGTGTTGAGATGCGCATTATTCCCGATAGATTCGTTCAACATCAGAGGAACTACCCATAATGGACGAGCGAACCCTTCCAGCTGTGCTGCGACATCGTCGAATCCTGCTGCTGTTGCAATCGGGAGCTTTATCCTCGCCTTCCCCTTGCTTTTGTATGGTTCAAGCGCAGAAACAATCGATGTCGCAGCACGAACCAGATCTGAGCGCGACCGGAACGGATTGTCGGAGAAGCCAGGCAGTGGTGGCATATTTGCCAAAGGGGATCTGAACAGACTTGTCAACGCGTTGAATTTCACGAGAACCGCGACAGTATCTTGAAATCAAAAAAGATCCCCATGCCAGTCTGTTCCAGCTATGCATCTGATAGTTCTCCGCTTTGCTTCTGTCGGGGCGGGTGAATCAATCCCGAGAAGCCTTCCAAGACGCTAGGGGCCTGTATGCAGGGATGACATCCTGCCCGGATGAATGACAACGGAGAACGGAGGATTGGCGTCGGCATCGTCGGAAGCATCAAATCAGGCTATAATGGTCACAGTAGCGTTAGATCAATCGACAAGGCAACCGCATTGGATCTATCTATTGCCCGGGTCTGTATTTCTAAGCTGTATGGGGAGTTTGAACGCCTCTTACCTTTCCACCCAGCCGGCAAATGCAGGTTCAAAAAGTCCCTAAGATCCAGTGATACAAACAGCCACGCCGTATCCATTATGACTGCGGCTTCGCGGACCCCGAGTATATCGTCCTCCCCCGAGCTCTTGACGACAGGGCACAGAGTACCAGAAAGTGATACTTCTTTGTCAGATATTGAAGAAGTGTCCACTCCGAGCCGCCAGAAACGCTCTCTCTTTTGTTGCATACCCGATCTATACTCCGAGAACATCGTCGCAAAGATCGTTCGCACTGCCTCGAAGGCCATAGAAGACCCACACCTTTTCAACAAGGCGACAGGAGGCATCCTCGGATTTCCAGAAACCGTTCCTCAAGATGGACCTAATGCAGGGCGGTACGAATTTCGTGAGCCCGATTTCTGGACATGCGGCTTCTTTCCTGGGTCTATGTTCGCGATATTGGAAAGGTTTATCAAATATCCACATTTGATTTCACTCCAAACAAATGGGTCCAGTCTCTCCACAGATAAGATCCGCAGCAAACTCCGTTCCTTATGCAAAACATGGGCGGCTCCGCTTCACGATATGGCGTTCCGAACAGATACGCATGATATTGGTTTCATTGTGATGCCGGCTTTGAAGCGAGACTGGGAGCTGACAGGCAACGAGCAAAGTCTCCAATCGATAGTCCAGGCAGCTCGGAGTCTGGCTACCCGATATGTGCCCTCTGCTGGTGCCATTCGCAGCTGGGACTGTTTAATCAAGAAGGAAATCACCGTCACCGATATGAACGACAATGTGCTGGTCATTATTGATAGCCTCTGCAACCTCGACTTACTCTTTTACGCCGCTGCGCATACGGGTGACAATGCGCTGGCCGAGATGGCGGCAGCGCATGCCCGGACCTTGTTAGAGACCCACCTTCGGCCTGAGACGCTCACAGGAAGGGGCTATAAAGGCCAGCTTTATTCTACATGTCATGTGGCGAATATCGATCCCTCTTCCGGGGCACTGAAGTGGCGCTGGACCGCACAGGGCTATGACAATGAGTCAACCTGGGCTCGTGGACAATCTTGGGCTATTCTTGGTTATGCTCAAACGTATCTATGGACGAAAGACCCGATCTTCCTCGATGCTGCCTGCGGTGTGGCCGAGTACTTCCTGTACCGACTTGAAACAGCGCCATCATGCGTCGAGATCGAATGCAATGAGTTTGCCACTGGCGAGGGACCGCGCAAAGGCGGCCGTTATGTCCCTCTCTGGGATTTTGATGCTCCAGTAGACGTCGTGGAACCGCTGCGAGACTCCTCGGCGGGTGTCATCGCTGCGAATGGATTGCTTATTCTCTCTCAAGCACTCACGAGTGTGGGTCGAGATGCCCTTGCTCGCCGTTTTCTGGATGCAGCCATTGATATCGTCCGCGATACGATCGATCTTTCGTTAGCTACTGAGCAAGCACGCCTCCTGTATGGTGACACCGATGTTCATGTTGAAGATTGTGTCCCGGGATCAACCTTCGAAGCAATTCTGAAACATGGAACCGCCAATAACAATGAAAATGCACGACGGCGGTATCGGAATCACGGTCTGGCATATGGGGACTATTACCTGATTGAATTCGGTAACCGGCTGCTTGAGATGGGTTTCGTATAGATTTGGTTAGAGTTCGCACTCGTGATTAACACAGAATCAAGAGGTGTCATAGTGACAAAACCTTTGCAGCTTTTGTAGATTAGAATGAATCAGGGCTCAGTAGAATCACTTGCCTGCTGTGGCGACGATAGCAAGAATCCCACTATATCGTAGGATGTGTGTAGGAAACATGAAGTTTCTCGGGACCTTCAAATAGAAAGAGAGGACATCACGTGCAGAGAATTCATTATTAACGAGTGTTACTATCGTATTAGAGTCGGCTATTATATAAGAACTGCAATTATTTACCATCTCCTTGCCTCGAATTCAGATCCAAAGATCCCATCGTTGAAACTGATAACCCGATCCAAATCGGTGAACTGCTGACCCAGCAGCATCTGCGATATCGCCATCGGGTCATCACCGTCTCCCTGTTCGATCGCACTTGCCATGTGCAGAGTGAACGGATTAGGACCCAGAGAGGCCAGTGATTGATTTTGCATGGGAGAGATTTGCGTTGGAACATTTCCTTCTCCACCGTTTGTTTGCACAAGATGCGAAGATGCCTGTCCTTCGGCTGGCTGGGTGATAGTGCTCGTATCAGAAAAGTGATGCACCGATGTCCTTTCGTAACTACCGGCTCCCAATGGGGTGTTGCTCGATGACTGGGTCTCGGCTGTCGAGTGCATTATTTCCGTCGTGTACCCGGAGGGATTGATGTAGAATAAATCATCCTGAGAGCATCGCCGATGCAATTGACTTAATGTGGCAGAATATTTGGCAGCTAGGCTAGGATGATGTGGCTCTGAGCTGTCGTGGACCCCTTTCCAGCGAGCGGACATAACATCAAGGGCGTTTATCAATGTCCAGAAATCGGAGGCAACACTGGTCCCCGCGGAGCTATGCTGCCAGGACAAAAGCAAGGCTCTGGCCGCGATAAAAACGCAGAATGCGAACTGGCTGCTCAGTGGAGACTCTGGAGAGGAGTTTTTCAGATACTGGTTGGTTATGGAGGCCACTTCAATAGCTGCCGTTTGGCATGTATCGACACTGCAGAGACTTGGCAGCCGATTCTTGAAGGGCCACGACGGAAGGGGGAAGGCGATCGGCTGGTGCAAGAGAATCATCGATGCATTATGAGTGACATGGGCCAACGTTAGGTTGGGATCCATTTTCGAAGAAGTCTGCTGCGTGACGTTGATTGCCCATTTTTGCGGCAGAAGCATCTTCCAGTGGACGAGCCTGAGGTCGAGCTCTTTAAATCGAGTGAGCCATGCACCGAACGCTCTCTGGTCGTGCATGTTGACCTTTTGCTGTAGGAAGTAGCTTGTTACTCGACTCAATGACTCTGTAGCCTCGATGCAATAAGCATAGGCTCCGACCGTGGTCATGTCGGCTGCCGCAGTCGCTCCTGGAGATGCAGCAGCTTCTGACGAAGCCTCCCCTTCGGTCTCTGCGGCCACTCGGGCTGGCACAGGGTGAGAAGGAAGGAATGCTATCGGATTCCCGATGCGACCGGCAGATTTGTCCCAGATTCCGAAGTAGGGCGTGACAACGGGGTCTTCCTTCCGCCAGGTTATTCCGTCACAAGGTAAACGACGATGCACATCGTCGGATGTGAGACTGGTATTCCACCCCATACTGACTGAGCAGAAGCGATCGAGGGCGAAGATGCTCCAGAAGAGTCTTCGCCTTTCCTCTGCTTCGGTCCAGTTCTTCGGTCGCTGCAACAAGTTATATGGCTGGGTAAACGATGACTGGATGGCTTCGTCGTGCTCGACTGTCAGCTGGAGGTATTCGACCATGCGAGATAGACATCCGATAAGTGACCACGCATGGGAAGAGAACCCGTTTCCAATCTGCCAGTTTCGTCAGCCTAGACAAAACGGATCATGCTTTTCTCGAAGTCATACATCATTGTATGCAATAATCACCAAAGCCTGAAGAGCCTCAGCTGAAGACTGCTTCATGGCTTGCGAGACTATCCAATCTCTTACATCCTCCCGCGATGCTGCACCATCATGTCTTTCGTGCCGGGAGGCGACAAGAACAATGGAGTGTATGACAAGATGAAGCTTGTCCCTTTCGGCATCATCTTCAAGTCTCCTTCGGAATCGAGCCTCATGGATGATTGGCATCCAGGGATGCACATGGCAAAAATATGTCTCTAGGGCTGAGATGAGGAGGGTATCGTCGGGCAGTGGTGGCATGTTGCTCGACGTGAATGACGGATGTAGCCCGACATCATTAGTCCGACGTCTTTTTGCTGAGTCTCCAGTATCGCCCCGATTGGCCGGTCGGCGATGAGCAGGTCGCCTGCTTAGATTCTGAAGGTTGGTTGCTAATGACGACAGGATGGCGTGAACGTTGGGATCGGTTTCATGATGCGGTTCCTCGGCTTCCAGACTCTCCAGCTTGGCCTGGTGTCTTTCGATCGAACATTCTAGCCCGTCTAGATCAGGGTTCAGCCAGTGATATCAGTGGGGGTTTCAAAAAGAAATGAAAGGTCATAATCATCGGGAAAAGACGATCGGAAAAGCATGATCGAGACGGGCCCACTCACCGAGTCTCCGATGTAGGTTATCCAATGCTCCAGCCTTCATGCCGGGTTTGGCCCGTTTGGCCTCGTAGAGACACTCATAGGCCGACTTGCGACAATGCTGACAGGTTGGCAGCTCTCTGGAGCACCGAAGTTTGCGTTTTCGGCAGGCGTTGCATGCATGGCCCACTTCCGGGGCTCGAGACGGATGGTCCGCGTTGTCGGGCAAACCGGACGAATCTTGGTCATTGTATTCCTCCATCTCCGGGGCCGATGATTCATGTGAGAGCCATCAAATTGTGGGGGAGATAAGTGAAGAGGCAGAAAGGTTGGACTTGTGATTTTTCTTCCTGCGGCTGGCTGGAGATCCTCCGAACGCCCGAGCTCCCCGCATTTCGGCGCAGGATTTGTGGGGTATCAACAACAACGTTAAGATTTCAATCGATAGTTCATGGTCATGTGCACAGTAAATACTAGTCAATTTATTGCTTCTTGGACCACCGGGCTGGCATCATGGTAGAAGGCTTTGACCTCAGTATAATCTGTCTTCAGGCGGATGTCCACTCAGATGGGTAGCACTCGATGGCTGGGTAGTTTTCTATCAATATCATATGATAGCATTAGAATTGAAAATAAAAACTATAAATAATACGGGCATCGAATGATCTGCTGCTTTTCCTGTGTGAAAATTGAATTTCGTTTGGAAGGAACAACAAATGCCACATGACTGTCCACAAATTTATTTCCGTTCTCGGCCATTCCCCATCAACGCCGTCGTTTCTCTCCACACAAGAGGCCACGCACTTACCATACCCATAAGTCGTTCGTATTCCCTTGCTAGAAAACCGTTGAACTTCAAATCCAATGATTCGACCAGACAGAAAGTGGCCCAACCTCCCCTTTTCACTCGGAGGGAAGATCGTCCGGACGCCATATGCAATCCTCCGAGCGGCCCGCCTCCCCGCAGTCTCGAGCTCTGCGCTTCGGGCATGAGGAGGCATGTCTAGCGCCATCAGCACGAGCTTGGCGAAGGGCCTATATAGAAATGATCAGAGTGTATCGATGACTAGATATGAGGATGATGTCCCGACAGATCTTCGTGGCTCAGAAGTCAGTCAGTCACCCCGCTCAAACGTCAGGTCTATCTCGGTGACGCGACAAGGCCAGCAGAATGACGCGAGATACTAGGGCCAGTGGGGACGGAGCGACGCGCGTGGGCTCTCAGAGCTCTCCGAAGGAGTTGGAGGACGGTGAAACCAAAGCTCCTGTTGCTAGTTCGTCCACGAACAAGCCGAAGCCCCGGTCGCTGTGGGTCGCATGGCTGTATCTCTTTGATTGGTATCCCAGCCATTACTCGAAAGAAGAGAGGAGGCTGCTTCGAAAGTTGGATTATGTGCTTTTACCGCTGTGCTGTTTGGCTTGTGAGTTGACCTGATGCCTGTGTGGATGGGGGATACTAACTTTTTAGATTTTATCAAATGGCTGGACCAGGTCAACATCAACAATGCCTATTCGTCGGGGATGAAGGAGGATCTGGAACTCAATGGCAACCAGTACGCCTTCGCCAGACTTTTTTGTACTGCGCTTGGACTAACATACCCAGATACTCCCTCTTCGGCACATTCTACAACATCGGATACCTACTCTTCGAAATCCCCTCGATGATGATCATCTCCCGTCCGAAATTCGCTAGATTCTTCCTCCCTGCGACGGAAGTGTCCTGGTCGGTCCTGACTTTTATCCAATGCCGTCTCCGCAACGAGCACGACATCTATGGCCTCCGTTTCCTGCTCGGTGTGCTCGAAACCCCAGTCTCCTCGGGAACAATGTACATCCTCTCCTCCTGGTACCGTGGCGACGAGATGTTCAAGCGCGCCGGCGTCTGGTATGTCTCGAGTAATTTAGGCTCCTTCATGGGCGGTTACCTTCAGGCCGCGGCACATGAGAGACTCGACGGTGTCCACGGCATGGCAGGCTGGCGATGGCTGTTCATCATCGATGGATGCATCAGTCTTCCTATCGCGCTGGGCAGCTTCTTCTTTTTCCCTGGCCTGCCGTCCAGTCCGAAGGTCTGGTGGCTGACAGATGCGGATCATAAATTGTGCGTGGCGCGGATGCGTGAAGAAGGTGTCAAGGATAGTCGGAAGATCGGGAAACGGATGCTCAAGCGGGTCTTTACCCATTGGCATTTCTATGTTGCTGTTTTCACGTATATCTTGTGTGTCGCCCTTCCTGGGATCAATCGTTGCGAGCTAATGTTATCGCAGCTTCCAATGCACCTCCTACGTCGCCGGCCAGATGATCTTGTGGCTGAAAGACAGCGCGGACAAGTACGGCACTTGGACCGTCTCTGAGATCAACATGATTCCGACCGGCGTGCAATGCGTCTCCATCGTTGTGGGTATTCTGGCCACTTCGCTGGTTATGGTGTATCCGTTCTGGGCGGTGATGTCGGTGGTGGCTGCCGTCTTGCTGTTCGCTAATATTTGTCTGCTGGTGTGGGATATTCCTATCGGTCTTCATTGTCAGCACATGCTTTCCCGTGCCTATCCCTCATTTGTCGGAAAGGAATACTGACAGTCCCAGTCACGGCGTACTATCTCCTTGGCTTCACATCCTGCGTCACACCAATACTATTTCCATGGGTAAACATGGTCATGAAAGATGATTCGGAGGCTCGAGCCTTCACCTCTGGCGCGATGGTATGGACATCCCTCTTGCCCTTTTGGCAGTCAACTTACCAATGCACAGATGACTTGCGGATGGATCTTCTTCAGCTTCTACCCGATCACCGTCTTTCCTGTCGTCGAAGGTACGATATTCTTCGTCTCAATTCCTATAAGTTTCATAAGCAACCCCACTGACCAGCTCTCGTCATAGCCCCTAAATGGCGAAAAGGATTCATCGTCAACACCGTCTTCGTGGTCATGTGGTGGAGTATCTTCATGCTGGGACAGTATCTCTGGCGACGAGACGTCAAGTTGGGAAGGACGTACATGGCTCGTGATGGGGATGAGAAGATCGAAGGAAAGGAGGATACAGATATGAAGGAGGGGGTGGAGCATATTGAGCTGTCGGATGATAAAGGAAAGAGGGAGAATGTTTGACTTTTCTGGGTTCACAGTAAATGGGCTTGGGCCTACGCGTTCATTCACTTCAGCCCCTCTCCTTGTTTGGTTCCACGATCACTTTCCCGCAGCGCCGGTTCTGCTGTAGTTCAATTGCCCAATCCAACTGTCTTGATCTTCTACTTTCACTTCTTGCTTCTCACTTCCCACTTTCCACTTTCCACTTTCATCTTCCACCTCCACCTCCACATCTCACTTTCTACACTATTCCGTTTCAATCTCTCTGACCGCAACCTCTGTACAGCTTTCTGTCTGTTTCTCCAACCGTTCGTGTCTAATTCAAAATCCTGTCAAATTTCGTCCTGAACGTTCACTTCGTTTCTGATTCAACATGGACACCAAGACCAACAAGAAAAAAGTCCAAGATCGCCGTTGCGTTCCTTTCGGCAGCAAAACATGGCTAGATAACCTGGACCATCTCTTCAACTCATGCCACAAAGTCAGCTCGAAGATAGCAGCAGAGGCAGAAGAGACCAAGACAAAACCATTTAGTCAAGAGCTCGTCTGGACTCCAGGCATCACTCTCACTCAAAAGCAAAAAGACAACAACTCCCTTTGGCCCTACTTTGGGACTCCGGACCCTGGCAATCCCAAGCGAATCCCACCCGACCACGTCCGTCTCTCAGACTGGTGGGTGGCAGCGGTGATGACCAACGAGGATATTTCTGCGAGACAACGAGGTCTGAAATGGTCCTTCGACTTCGAAATAACCGGGCAGCCGAGGATAGCGAGGATGCCCCGCGGGGATCCAGTCATTGTCGAGCGTAATGGCAAATGCTTCATCCCGGTCGTCAAGCTGTATTACTTGTTATGTGGACAGAATTATGCGCTGCGGTTTCCCTGGATTGTCAACTACCCGGACAAGACGAGGGGTTTCGTTTGGACGAACCTGTTTCAACTGCCTCCCGCCATGACTGCTCGTGACAGACCGCAGGCGAATTTCCCTTCCGCAGCCTTGAAGACATACACGAAGGGTGCATTGCTCACATTTGATCTTGAGTCTAATTCAATCAAATGCCTGCAGGAGGAGCTGGATGCCAATAATGACGATACTGAGTCTGTTTCCACCAAAGAAGACGAACGATCTACCCCCGCTCTGTCTCAAGCGTCCCCTGGCAAAAAGGAAAAGACATCCCAAGCGACCTCAACACAGGTGTCCCCTTCAAAGAAAACAAAGGTCTGCAAAGACAAAAAGAGTTTACAAGCTCCCCAGTCCCAGCAGACGCCCGCTAATAGCGGTTTTGCCTCTTTGTTTACCTCACCCAATCTCCTTGACCCACGGATCGTCGAGCTGCAGGAGGAGGTGAAGACGCTTGAGACGACATGTCAATCGCTTCGTATCGATGTCGAATCTTCAAATAGGGTCGCTGAGCGTTTGAAGAATGCCTTGGATGTCGCTCAAAAGGAACGCGACATCGCTATCAGCGCAAAAGATGCAGCTGTCCAGGAGCGCGACCAGGCTAGGCACATGGCTGAAAGCACATCGAACAAGCTGAATGATGCCCTCATTAACTTGGACATACTACGCGCTGATAACAGTGAGAAGGACAAGGAGATCGAAAGGCTTCTGCTTCAGTTATTCCAAGCGACGCCACAAACCCAAACAGCCTCTCAATCAGACTACAACGTGTCTGCAACTCCCACTGCCTCTACTCCAGCTGAAGCAACTGCGCAAAGCTCTTCAATCTCGGACACGAACACAACAAGTCCAGGTCCTCTGCCAGAAAAGACAGATCCAGACAAACTTAGTTCCACCAACGACGCAACCCAAACTGCCGATGAGACCAACCGCTTGGTCTCTATCGAAGCAGCCATCCGCAGACTGGTCAAGGATACGAACTTGCGATTCAAGAATCTTCGTGGTGAAGTTACGCGCGTTCAGGAGACGCTGGGACTCATTGGTGGCAAGAGTGATCGCAGTGGTGATGACGAGGATTCTAACTCACCGACCGACCTCAATCCCGTCAGCATGAACGGTGCATCTGAAGGTGCTTGATAACACTGTTTTGTTTCTTCGGTTGCTTGGAAACCATGCGAGAGCCAGATGCCTTTAACGTTGTCTAATTTTTTCCGGTGTTGAGATCCAGATGAAAGAGATGCTTCAGGTCCTCATGTGGATTGAGCTAAGATTGGGTTTGGTCGAGGTCGATGATGAGTGTCTCCATATCAGACTGACTTGGTAGTTTTGATGTATCAGTTTTCATTGGACACACTATTGTTTTGCAAGGATCTCTACGCCTTCGTAGAAAGATAAGACGTACCTCGTTTGAAACGTGAAGACACAGGCAAGGTCAATCTGTTGTTACAATCGAGGACCTACAAACAATTCACCATGAACCCCGGCAGACAACAGCCTCGGCCATTTTAGACTAAGGAACGATCCAGCAGAAGCGATCAACAAACTAACCACCCCAGCTGCCAGATATTCTCTCTTACAGCTTCACCCCCCTAGCAATCTCCTTCTGACTCTCCTCCCTCAGCACCTTCTTCAGAATCTTCCCGCTGGCATTCTTCGGAATCGCATCCACAAACCTCACTCCCCCAGTCAACGCCTTATACTTCGCCAGCCTCTCCTCCAAATAATCCCTCACCTGCTCCTTCGTCAATTTCTCGCCCTCCGCCCCAGGCCTCTTCACCACGTACGCCCTCGGCAGCTCTGAGTCCGCCACCACCCCGCGCAGCCCGATCACCGCCGCGTCGACAATCAGCGGATGGCTCAGCAGCACGGCCTCCAGCTCCGGCGGCGCCACTTGGAATCCCCGCACCTTGATCAGCTCCTTCTTGCGGTCGACGATGTACCATTTGCGCGTCTGTCCGTCGCAGTATGCGATGTCCCCCGTGTGGAACCATCCGTCAGAATCGAAGGACTCGGCGTTCGCGCTGGGGTTGTTGAAGTACCCTGGTGTGACAGTGGGACCGCGCACGCAGAGCTCCCCGCGCACGTTGTACGCCGAGATGTTTTCATTCTTGTCGTTGACGAGTCTGCCCGATCACAGGTTAACATCAAACATCGAGATCTTCCCACATGAACAAGAGAAGAGAGGGGACACGAACTTCGCCTCCAAATTCGCCACCAACCGCCCGACACTCCCCTCGTCGTGCTCCGGATACGTCAGCAACGTCGCCACGCAGCTCGTCTCCGTCATGCCCCAGACCTGCGTGAACGGCGCCCCTTCCGCCATTAAAGAGCGGAATCTCGCCTGGGCCGACTTATCCAGCGGCGCGGCGCCACAGGCCGCAGACTTCAGGGACTTCAGATACGGTCGCTGCCGCGACATAGGGTTCATGATGACGGCGAGGGCGATGGGCGGCACCAGCGCGAGATCGGTCACTTGGTGCGTCTCGACGGCTCGCAGGAACTCGGCGAGATCGAATCGTCGCATCAGGTACGTCGTGTGTCCGCCTTTCAGCGTGCTGAAGTGCACGGCGGGCGCGGCTGCGGCGTGGAAGACGGGTGTTGCCACGACACGTGTTACCTGTACTCACTTAGCCATTCTTCGGTTGGTTTGAGAAATGGAAGAGAGGGGGACATACCCGATACGGCTTCGGATTCACCTCAAACACCACCTCATGCTGCGCAATCATATTCCGATGCGTGATGGTAACCGCCTTCGGCAGGCCTGTCGTCCCACTACTAAACAGCCTCGCGGCCGTGGTCTCCGCGCAGACCTTCTCATCATCAAAACTCACCCAGTCCGCCTCGCCGGCGTCGAAGAACTCCTTCCATCCCCGCAGCCCGTTCGGCACGGGTTGCTCCAGGGGGTTGAAGGCGCGGACATTCCGGTCGGGGATGCGCGACTCTTTAATGGCGGTTTGCACGGCGGGCAGGATCTCGGGCTCGGCGACCACGAAGCGCACCTGTGCGGTTTTGAAGTGGTGCGCTAGCTCGAGCGGCGTGTAGGCCGGGTTCGTGCCGGTGAAGATGCCTCCTGCGCCGATGATGGCGAGGACGAGCATGGAGTAGTAGATCTGGGGAGGTTAGGATTGGTTTAGACGTGATGGATGGTGGATGATAGATGCAGGGATGTATGTACATCGTTGAAGGAATGGATGGCGACACAGTCGCCTTTCTGTACACCCCATGCTCGAAGGCCGGCAATTAATTGCCGGATGATGCCTCTGGCTTGAGTATGTGAGATGGAGCGCGACGGGTCGTGCACGTCGACGTAGGCCTGCGGTGGTTATTATGCGGTCGGAAGTAGATGGTTATGCTATTGAAGAGGCTTACCGGGATGTTGGGGTCATGTTTGGGGTCGGAGAAGATGTAAGTCAGGAGATCGGTGGAGGGAAGGGGGTGTCGGATGAGTGGTTCGAAGATCATGATGGATGTGACAGGATGACAGGGAGAGAACCAAGAATGAGAATTAACGAACTGAAGTCAAGAGAAATAAATACGAATGAATGAAGCTTCCCCGCTCGTCCGATCGACGGCAATTCGGAACTCGGTTTGGGGGCGCTTGGCAGGAATTCAGGGCTGATCCTCGACGCAAGGAAATAGACGAAATAATCCTGATCTCACACGGAAGACTAGGACCTGTCAAGAAGTGATTTATGCAATTCGTATTCTAGCGCTAACCCATGCAATGCAGCCATGCAACTCCGCCAAACCAGACCCGAAAAGCCACTTTTTCACGCCAGAAACTGCCGACATGCAGCTGAAGGATCATCGCCGATTACAGCCGAACCTGAAAGCGAGGATGCGTGCGAATCGCTGCTCCATACCGCCAGAACAGCAGTGGGCACACGCACATCGCCAGCGCGATGAACGCCAGCAAGGAGTTGCCCCATCCCAGGCCCAACGCATCGTACATCGACGGTCCCGCCAGAGGTAATACGGCTCCGACTAGCGATCGCAGCGCCGTGTTGGCGGCCGTCACCGACGCGGCGTATCGCAAGTACGAGTCGACCAGGTACGTGTTGGCCGACATGAACACCGTCATTAATCCGACCGCGAACACCCCCGTGCCGAGGATCGGTACGATCCAGTGCGTCTGGGCCTTGGCTGACCAGCCGTACCAGAACAGGCCGATGGGGATGGCCCAGCATCCGACCAACATCGGCGGGAGACGCGATTCAGGTGTGAAGCATCCGCGGGCCGAGTGGGCGACTGCGATGCGATTCGAGACGGCGCCGCAGATAATTAGACCGAGAAGGCTGCCGATGCCAAAGCCTAGGTATGCGAGACCCGCGACGCCCGGGGAGAAGCCGTACACGTCCTCGAAGATGGGGGTTAACGTGGTGAACATCAGGTAAAGGTAGCCGTAGGTGATCGAAGCGAACAGAGCGAGCAGGAACACGATCGGCGAGCGAAACAGCAGCTTCATGGGTCGAGCCATCGCCGACAGGAAGAGATCGAGGGTGAGGCGGCCCTTGTAGTGGACGGACTGCAGTTTCTCGTTTCCGGTTTCTTTGCGCAGACGAGCCGCCTTGCGTTCCAGCACGACGGGCGCATATGATTCGCGATAGCAGATCATGCATGCGATGGTCATGACTCCGGTCTGATCTGTCAGTTTAACTGGTCCATATGAGGACAGGAATACTCACTGCAATGGCAATCACCCAGAACACCCACCGCCATCCCTCCGCTTCGGCCAGGAACCCGCCCGCCACGGGCCCTATAACAGGGCCCATGATCGGCCCCAAAGCCCAAATAGCCATAATACCGGCTCGTTTCTCTTTAGGAACCATGTCTGCGACCGTCCCCGAGCCAATGGTCAGCGGACACACGCCCGCGATGCCGGACAGCAGCCGGAATACCATCAACTGCGGCATGGTTTGAGCGACGGCACAGGCGATGGTGAAGATGAGAAACAACACATTGCACGAATGATACAACGGCACTCGGCCGTATAGCTCGGACAGCGGTGCGATGAGAAACGGACCGACCATGTATCCCAGGACGTAGATGGAGACGACGAAGGACGCCAGCATGGAGTCGGTGGACTTGAATTCACGCATCACATCCGCCACGCCGGGGGCGAACATGGACGAGGCGAGGGGACTACACTAACATTATTCCTTGAAGTGTTGGAATGATTCCGGGCGACTTACGTGATGAAGGTATTAAAGGCCATCAAGACCAACTGGCGCATCTTTTTCCATGCCGGCCAGTTAAACGGATTTTCCTGGTCGTCGGGGCCATCCCAGTCGACCTGGTTGGCATTCTGCGCATTCTGCTCATCACCAGGCGCCACAACGGGCTCAGTGCCCTTTTCCAGGTCCTCTTTAGACATCACGAGCTCTCAATTCGCACGATTCATCCAGCCCAACAACCTCGAACCGGTGGCTCACGCGGAGAATATATACTCGCCGATCTTTAGGGCATCGACCAGGGATTCCCGCCTCGGGTATGTGCAATAACCAGTCAGAGGACGTGCCTGACTCCACTTGTCGGTCGACCCGGATTTTTATGAAGCGTTGTGCACGCTGGATGTGTATTGGGGTTTATGCGCCTCCTGAGTCTTTGTTGGTTCGGGTTCGGGTTCGGATATTTATAACCTGTTGGGTGTCTGGCTCGGTTGGGTCCGATCGAGTTTGAGGGTTTAAATAAGAGACACGTTTTGCCTTGTTGCACTTGATGACTTCCGTCGCTAGGAGTAGGAAAGACAGTCATTGGGCTGCCGGAATGTGCAACCTTCGAGAATAGTCGATATTGGAATATCTGCAGCATTTGTCATTGCTCCCAAGCATTATCTCGCTTGCAGAGGAATTATGTTCTTGAGATACGGCTATGCAGTGGTTAGGGGGCCATCGGAGCTGGTTCTCTCCGCGCGGTTACAACCGCAATAAGCAGACCGACTAGTCGGAGATTAGTTCAAGCCTTCCTCGTCATGGTCCTCGAACGGGAAATGCTCGACTATCGCGGTCCGCTCGATCTCACTCTCGCAATGCTCCAGCATCCCGTCCCGGATCTGTCGTGCAACACTCACTGATACCTGCAGTTGCTCGTCATCAGCCACCCAGCCTTGAGTGTCAATTCCGATCACGTCTCTCATTTGGGAAAGATCCTGCATCAGGTCATCCTCCTGTGCCCCGTAGTCCGTCACATTCTGGATTTCCTCCTCGGAGAACTGTACAGGACATTCCGTCGACGCGGCAGATCCGGTCGCATCACCCATAGGCCAGTTCTTGTGCGCCTGGACAAGTGCATACTGGAGACCCAACGAGTTCCCCTCCCAGGGTGCCCCGGCGCAATTGAACAGCTTTATGCGCAACGTTGCATTCTCGTCCGTTAGAACATCGAAGTGATCGGGTACTTGACGCATGGTCAACGCAGCGTAGAAGAAATGTACAAGGCGTTTTCGTATAGTTTCCCGCACGCACGCCTGCTCGCGCTCGTCCAGTTGATCAAAGTTGTCTGGTAATTCGACTTCCGGCTTGCCTAGCGTGGCTGAGGCCGGATCGCCCCAGTTTTGGAAGTGTGTGGGGATTCCGGCGCACAGGCAAAGCGGGAGGATTGCTGCGTGCTGCCAGTCAATTAGGCCGGTGATTTCGTGTGAGTCGTTTACGAGGATGTTGTTCGGTGAAAGATCAGGATGGCGAAGGGTAGGTCGCGAGAAAGGGTGGTCGGGGGGTGGTGTTAGGTATGGTGATAGTTTCAAATAGCCGAACAGAAGGTTGACGTGGTGCTCTGGCAGCTGCTTTTCGAAACTATAAATCTGTCGTAAATATCGCTCGTAGTGAAATCGCGGTTTGCCGTATCGATTGCAAAACTCGATCTCTCGTTTCGCGGGAGCCCCGAAGCAGAGGGTGAAATCTTTCCCTACTTTAGTTAACACAATGACCTGGTTGATGTGAGGTTCGAGTGAGAATACAAGGTCCGCGATCAGTGTCCAAAAGTGCTCGTTCACCATACCACCATGCCTGCAGCGCAATCGGACCGACTACCAAATCATCAGGCCCAGGAGCTTCATCGGTCGTGTTCACTGGGGTAACAGCCTGTGCGTTCAAATCCCTGCGGTAGTATAGACTTCCACTTGCAGGAAACTCAATCGTCATAAACCGCCTCTCCAGATCAACGATCTGCTTCATGATCTTCACTCGAGCTTTGTTATCCATGGTAAACCACTGGTCACTCAAGGGTGAGCCTTGCAGTTTTTCAAGCAGAAGATACTCGGTTCCCACGGCATTCGTGCGATCGGGAGAATACCCCAGAACCTTGGGTACCGGGAGGCCATTCGCGCGAAGCAAACCCAGCGTAGCGGCTTCACTAGCAACGGCATAATGTTTCGGAACAGTTGAATTATAGGGGATCCTAGAGATAACTTCGTACCCGTCCCGGAAAGTGGCCTGGAGGATGCGATTGAAGCCGCCTTCTGCGATTTTGGTTATCGACGTGAGGTCATTCGCCGGTTTGTTGGCGGCCTTGCATATCGCGGTGGAAAGCGCGTCGACGTTGAATGGGACGCGTCGCTCTGCTAGACGAAGCCCCTCATTGAATCTAGACGCTTTCGTGAGTCACAAAATATACAGAACCGGACACCTTTCGGGGGAGCTTTACAAGAAACGGCCAGAAGTGTGCTCGAACAAGTCGTGACTCCGCCATGAGCTTATGTTTCGTGCGCTTGGCAGGGCTTGGCCTATCACGCGATCTACGCATCTCATTGCGCGTAATTGATGAAAAAGAGATTTTTGAACGACCTCCATGGGAACTTCGCACTGCTTGCGAATGCATGGATAAACTGTCCGCTCTTGAGATTGGGAATGAGCAGATGGCGGGAAGGGGAGAGTCGTCGGGATGCCAAGCGCCCTTGTCAGTCGCAGTAAACAAACGCGTGCTGCAACTTTCTGGTCAAGGTATTGGTGTGGTTTTGTTTGTTCTTATTTCTCGGTGTATATAGTATCTAATCACTTGAAAAGGGCAAAGTTGGGCAACGTCTTCAGGTGAGCATGCAACAAAAGGCTTCTAAATATATTTCATGACATCAGTGTGATACCTGACCACGCTTGATTCTCTTGGAACATATTGTGACGAAGAGGACTCAGGTGCTTATTTTTTTTCTCAAGTCATGTTTCAATATAAAGAGAAGAACAAAAAAGAAAAAAAGGAAAAAGGAAAACCCAAGTCAAACAAGCCTGTCCTCTACCAAGTACCTAACCAAACCACCGACTTAGAAATCCTTTCTTTCGAACCTCAGTCTCAACAACACCGACTCGGAATCGCTCTTTATATCGACTTAACAGCGACTCGCGATGATTCTCGTGGAATTCCTTCGAGGCATCTTGGCCGGCAAGCCTGCGCAGGACTGGACTGGTGTTAACCGAATCCCCACAGATACCTGGAACAACATACTTCGATCACCTCCAGGGTGCTCTGCTTGGAAATTTGTCAAGTCATACACTTCCTTGTCGATTATCACCCACAGGTCGGCCGACCGGTTGTGACGCGCGACATCTTCGCGGGTGTGCACGGTGATCGCATTCAATGGTGATTGCGACATTGTCATCCCTGGGATTTACGGGTCCCACGTGTCTGAGCCAGTCTATATAAGTTTTCTCCCTTACTTGAAGACCTGGGACTAAGCGGACCTCGGCCTCTGAGAGACCGTTTATTCCTTGATGTTGGCATTTGATCGACCTTGCAAGCTGTTGCCTCTGTCTCGATGGATAAATCACAACGAATCAATTAACTACGCAGAATACATCACAGCCCATCCAAAAGTCCGGTCAAATCCCCCCCTCCATTTCCTAAGCTTTGGATTCTTTCCCATACGGACCCATTTCCACTTGCACTTCCCAGCCCCTGCAGCGTATCCATCAGGACTCTCATGATGGGAACCCGCGCCGTTAATGTCAGATTGTTCAACACGCGTTCAAAGTACGGGATGTGCTGTCCGTCATACATCGTCTTGTTACCTGTCGCAGAAAGCTCTATTTCACCGCCTGAGAGGGCTTCTCGCTGTGCTGCCACAATCTCAGACAGGTTTTGCAACACCTTGCGGAGATCAATGCGCCCGCTCAGCGCAACGGTGTTATTCCCGGGTTTCAGGATGACGTTTTGAATCAGAGCTTCTCCTAGAATCAAGTCCTGGCTCTGGAGATTAAGTGTTACGTTTCCCTGTTTATGTGAGCTTCCCCTCGCTTTCAGGCAGACTCATTCATACCAGAGCAAATGTGACGACCGAGTGGTTCGGAAGAACGGCTTTGCCGCGAAGGTTCGTACCATCTTCTTCGGCAGGGAGGACCAGCCGGGCAGCATCGATGCTGAATCCGCTGAGTTGGTCGAGTCCTGCAGAGTTGAGTAAACTGGCCGTTATACGAAGAGGGGAGACTGACCATCCAACGCTATATCCTTGTCCAGGGTCAAGCCCGCCTTCAGTGCACCTAGATGAGCAGTGGTGGACCCCTTCGCGGACAGGGTGAATCGCTTCGAGTACACGGCCTGCGTCAGTGCCTTTACCCATTCGTCTTCGTTCTCGACGATGGTATCGTGCTGCGTGACGTGCATCTTCGTGTGTCCTTTCAGGTTGTATGACTGTAGACCGACCCTCAGGTATGGAACGACTGGTTTCACTGCACGGTTGAATAGTCGTAGACTGAGAGGGTCTGTTCGAACTGATAGCCCGGCTGGGATGTCTAGGGCTGTGTTCAGCGAGAATGTGAATCGGTCGGGCTTTGGGTTGAGGATCTCGGCGCTGTAGACGGGGAGGTCGGTGTCGTTTACTATGCGTTGCGCGATCGCTGGAATTATGACGAGGAATCTGCTGAATTGTTAAATCTGTTACAGTTGAGGATGGATTGGCACTAACAGAACTGGTAGGAAAATTGCCAGGAATATAATCGCTGCCATCAAATAGCAGCACCAGAATCGTCGAAAGTGTCGCTTTGCCTTCTGGCGCTTGCTTAGCTTCTCTTTTTCGTTGACTGTCTCGACATGCTCGGAGCTTCCATCGAGAAACTCCTTCTTTGCTTCTGCGCCCTTTGCCCCATCGACTGAGCCCATATCGCCTCTATTGGCGCCGAGAACACGTTGAGATGATCGGTATGCATCGCCAACAGCCATGACAACAGATTTGTATAGATAAAGAACTCATAACCACCTTCCCGCTCAGCTCGTACAGTCCCTACGGTTTTATCTACGCAAAGCAAGGCACCGCATGACTTCCCAGGGGCGCGCAATGTTTACTGCATCTGGACGAACGCAAGGGATCTTCAACCCCGCCATCCCCTCGACGATGATGACCACGATCCAATCGGCATGAACATTCCCAATGCATATTCGGCTTGGCTCGCTGTTCCTGCGGTCCGCGGCTTGGAAATATGTCTTCACATATGATCCCGCCATGCCGGCGAATATGACCGAGTGGCGTGCTACACAGAATCATCTACATATACAGCACGAGGGATACTGTACGACCATGCCTCGCAACCAACACCTCCAATTCGTCTCACAATGTCATCATCGGAAAACTCAGAGAAATCCTCCCCTATCCTCGACAACCCCCAGCACATCCAAAAAGTCGTACAAGAGGGTCTCCTCCTCGGTGGCGGCGCCGCCGCTATCCTCTTGCAAGTCGCCATGCCCGGCGTCGGAAAAGGCGTCGACAACCACAGTAACTTCTCCTACCGACCGCTGGACCGTCTCCGTACGACCATGACTTTCGTCTACTGCATGGCGTTCGGCACGAACGACGAGAAACGCGCCGTCGTCGATATGGTGCATCGTGCGCATGCCCCCGTCAAGGGAGCAGACTACGATGCCAACGATACGAGGCTGCAGGTCTGGGTCGCAGCGACTTTGTACGCCGTGGGCACGGATATGTACGAGCAGGTGTTTGGGGCTATGGACGAGTGCGCAGCGGAGAGGCTGTATCGCGAGTATGCGATCCTGGCGGTTTCGCTGCGGGTCAGGCCCGAGGAGTGGCCGGAAAGTCGGGCCAAGTTTTGGGAATATTGGGATGAGCAGGTTGAGAGTATGGAGGTGACGGAGAATGCGAAGAATGTGGCGAACGATCTCTTGTTTAACTATAAGTTGCCGCTGCATCTCCGCGTGCTGATGCCGTGGATCCGCCTGGTTACGGCGGAGTTGCTGCCCCCGCGCATCCGGGAGGCGTATGGCTTGAAGACTACGAAGGTGCGCAGGGGCGCGTATCGAGTGACGGTGGGCTTTGCGAGGGCGACGTACCCCTGCTTGCCCATGTTTGTGCGCACTTATCCGAAGCGGTACTACATGAAGGATATGCGGCGGAGACTGCAGAAGACCGGATGATTTGGTACAGGTCATGCTGGACATGTGGCGATTGGTGGGGATGTCTGTACGTGATTATATTGTCTAGAATGTGATTTGTTTGCTCCATTCCTCTCCATGGCTCTCTCTCCCCATATCAGATCTTCGTGATCCACAGCCGAGGGACCGCGGGAGCCAAGCTTCGTCTCCATCTGAATGGCGGGGTATGGGATCGGCCTTCGAACGGCGTCCAAGACTGGATTTACCTAATATCTGACCCATCGCTACGTAGACTGACAGGAAGTCTCGCCACAGACGCAAAACAGGCATGCCTTGGCAGTTGTGCAGCTCGAGTCAGAAATTCTGATTCAGTAGCCCTAACCCCAACGCTCTCGCCTCTTGGTGTCGCGGATCATTTCCCCAGCTTACGACGATCAGTCCTTATGCAGACTTATGCCATTAACCCGGACATTGGACGTAGCTGGCCTCGTAACGAGCGAGTGATGCTCAGATTTGAGTTCATCTGTTGCTCCCCATCCCCGCATCACGTTCATTCATCTGTCGCCGTTACTTCGTTGCTACTATCACGTCCATTATAATAGTTTGTAAGAGTCAGCTAATCGTCCATGTTGAGACGCACGAGGCGAGCACCAAAGGCATGCTCGTGGTGTCACCACCGCAAAGTCCGATGCGACGCTTCCATCCGTGGGTGTCCTTGCGCGCGATGTCGGCAGGACGGACGGCCAGAGTGCGTGCTGCGTGGAAGGCTGCCGCGCAAGTATGTCACATTCTCTATTTCATTTTCCACAGTACTGATCTCGTTCAGCTTCAGCGGGTTCGCGATCACAGACGATGATGCGGGCTATCTCGGTGCAGATCCCATCAGTCGAACGATATCCGCCGGGCATGTTATCTTCTCATCGTACCCGTTCGTCGAGCTTCGGGGCGAGAAGTACCTGGATAAAGACGATCTGGCTTATCTTGCAGCGAAAGGATGTCTGAGTGTTCCTGATAAAACGCTCATCGAGGATTTCCTCCGAGGGTACTTTCTGCACATTCATCCGTACGTGCCGATTCTTGACGAAGCGGAAGTCTGGGATTTGTATCGGCAACGGGATGAAGATGATAGTTCGAGGAGGATGTCGCTATTGCTGTTTCAAGCAATTCTCTTTGCTAGTTGTCCGTATGTTTCGGTCGAGATTATTCGGAAGTGCGGTTTTCAAGACAAAAGGAGCGCAAGGAATGCGTTTTACAACAGGGCAAAGGTGCGTCCATCATACTCTCCTAACGAAATGCTGCTCAGACTTGCAGATTCTTCTCGATCTTAAAGGAGACGACAGACCACTAGTACAAGCACAAGGAGCCGTACTTCTATCACTTCACACCTCGGCCGATGAACCCCAAGCCGGAAGCCTGTGGTTGACTCGCGCCATCCAAGCCGCCATGCTTGTCGGATACAAGGCTGGGCCCTACGAGGACGTAGAAGTCTCCATCAAGAAGCGACTCTGGTGGTCCATTATTCTGCGCGACCGAAGCTTGTGTCTTGGTCTTCGCCGTCGGCCACAGGTTACTTCGATCGATATGGGAATGGGGATTGAGCCTCTTGAAGAGGAAGACTTCGCGCAGGAAATCAATCGGTCGCTTGTGTATCGGGCAAACACGAAGCGCTTGCTGTTTAAGGCACTGCAGGAACAGTGTCGTCTGGCGGTTTTGTTGACTGAGATGGTGTCTTGTGTGTTTGCTTCGCATGGACTGTCTGCGCCGAGTCTCTCGCTTGATGAGTTCAAAGAGTCCTTGACGAATATTGGGAGGATCAAAGAGTCAATGCAGCAGTGGGAAATATGCTCGAAGATCTCAACCTGGTTAGAGGACGATCTGCCAGAGTCAGTGACGCTGTTTGTGAACTTCACTCTTATGTATTACCAGTATGTCTTCCATCCTCACAGCAGGAACAAACTAACATCAGACAGAACTGCTCGAATCGACCTCGCACATTACGAAGCTCTTCTCATCGAGAACCACGTCTTCTTTGCTGGACATGACTACATCTCACAACTAGTCGACACAGGAACCACCCTCCACGATGCCATGAACAGCCTCACATCCATAATGGAATATTTTAGCCGCGAAGGCCGTGCTCAGAGCCTTCCACTCAGCGTGTCAGTCACCCAATCCCTTACATTGCCACCCCATCTAACCCATCCAGCCTCGCCTATGTCGCCATGCCCCTCGTGCTCTCAGCCATCGACCTCAAGCTCTCCTCGTCCTCAGCAGACCTACAAACAAGACGTCGCCGTCTCGACGCTCTGGGCGAAATAGTCCGTCACTCAGGCCAGATCTACGACGTGACGGATTGCGTCCGCTCGGGCACAAACCATATTCTTCAGCTGGCGTACATCACGGCCCAGCATCTTTTTCTTCGGTGGGATCGTGACTCGTCGTCCCCGTCGACGCAGTCATGCGCTAGATCTGAAACCGCGGTCGACGCAGATCTAATCGAAGCGTCGGCGCAGCCATATGTAGCTCGCAGAGCGAAGAATTGGTACGATGCCTTCTTGCAGTGTCCGCGCGCGTATCTCTTGATTTCTACCTCGGTGGATTATAGTCTCGCGGTGGGACGACTGCCAGGTGATGGATGCCTGCCGGAGCTGGTGAGGTCCATTCCGCCGATTGGGGTGGGCATTCGGTTGCCATGGACTGTTGATGTTAGGGAGACTGCGAAGCCTCTGGTTAAATCTGGAGCGACATGCGATGCAGACGGTGGGAGTGAGCGAGACCATGTATCTCATGCTGTCTCCGGGAAAACGGATCAGTCTGGGACTGAGGATCAGGTTAATTTGGATTATTTTCATATGGACGTCATATCCATCAGCTCTTCGAGTCCGTCGCCAGATGGCATGTCTGATATCGGAGCGTCTGCCAATCCCGATGAACAAGGAGCGCAGGATGAAGCTGTTCCAGATTTCGACGCAGATCTGGATTTCAACATGGAGGAATGGCAGTTGGACAACGACGATGATATTTTTGACCCGGTCATCGCATCTATGGTGCAAGACTATCTTGGAGGCAGTCCAGAAATGGCCGGGGAGACGACTGTTGTTGACAGCTGAATCTGGATCTTTATTTTATTTTTCTCTACACAGCGTCAGAATTCAACCAGTCTTTCTGTCTTGTTGATAATTGATCGACAACGCGTACCCACCTTGTTTCTGATCCTTTGCTCCTGCTGTCTCCCGACTTTTCTCTCCAGTAATCTCATATGAGTTGCCGAGCCCAGTTTCCTGTTCATCATTTCATAATGCAGAGAATGTCCGGGTTATATCGCCGGGGACGTACGATAGATGAACTGTCCAGTCCAGCCACCTGTTTTTGCTGTGGCGAGGGATATTCGGTCACATCACCAGTCTACGACATAGCCAACTGCTCAATAAAGGCGACTGGCTCCTTCAAGATAACGAAAGAATTCGACCCATCCCGATCGCCATCACCCCATGATGGAACATTTGGCAGTCCTTAGTCTTTGGGGGCGATCGCGATCCAGAATGGGGGCCACCCAACACTCTGGACGACTCCATCTTTCTTCGGCATCAATCCGCTTACGATCTGCACTGTACTCCCTCAGCCTACCTATCCTTTACACTCGTCACTAATCAACTCCATCTCCCCCTTCGCGTCACTCCATCGATAAACTCCCCCATCTCCCACATTATACCGATAATAATTGTCCGTCCCCCCAGGAACCACCGCCCTCCGAAACGTAATATTGATCCGCCCCTGTCCGGCCCCTCCGACCTCTGCCTTGCGCTTCGGGATACTGTGTAGCCAGTGAGCTTGTGTCGGGCCGCGCATGACGATCATGTCGCCTGAGGCGAGCGGGAATTTCAATGGTTTGGACTCGAGTGCTGGAGGGACATTGGTAGTTGATGTAGATGTCGGAGGTTTGTGTTTCATGAGAAAGTCGCGTTTCGCGCCCAGCGACAGCGATGCGATCGTGGGATCATTGCCTAGGAATCGCTCGTCGTCGGAGTGGTACGTGATGCTGTCGTTTCCCGACGCGTAGTAGTTGACGAGGCAGAAGTTGTAGGTTGTGCCGGAGACGCGTTCGACGAGGTGGCGAAGGGCGGAGAGGCAGGGTGGGATGGGGCGCGGGGGGCGCGCGTATCTGGTTTTGGGGACGGGGATTTGCTTCTGGGTGTCGATGAGGGAGGAGGATGGTGGTAGTGATCCTGACTGTGGTGAATCTGTGGGAGGGATGTGGAATTGCGATGTCTCGTCGACACCAAACACGGTGGTGAATCGTGGCGTGTTGATCTGCGTGTCGATGCCACCGCGACGGATCGTGTATTGGACGCGGTAGAAGGGGAGTTCGGCGCGGAGGAAGTGGAAGAGATCGCGTGCGACGGACGCTGAAAGTAGCGGTTGGAAGTAGAGCAGGTCGAGATCGGGTTGGTTGGTAATTGACCGGGCGGGTTTGGCGGGGTCTTTCAAGGAGTTGGCGATATGCGATGGCAGGTCGGCGATGGGAAAAGGGTACGTGGGGTGGTTGGTGCGCGTGATGTCTTCGGTCTCGACATCTTCGGTCTTAGACTTCTTGGGGATGGGTTGAAAAAAGGCGTGGATTCGTTTGGACATGGCTGATGGGGTAAGATGAAGATGAAAGAAGATGAAGCGAAAGTGGCCGCTCGAAGGACGCGATGATGTCACGTTTTGCTGCCTGAGGTGTCCATCCTGCCTTGATTCCTCGCGGTCGCCACACAATTAATTGCTAGTATTCTCGAGGACGTGCATTCTGAACCAGACTTTGCAGCCTCATCTTCGCAATCTCAATCTCCCAGCCCCACGATGTTTCATAGCGGTGCAGAGTTTTCATCGAGCCATCGCCTTACAGCTTCTGCCCTCTCGGTGTTGGCAAACCACGGAGATGAACCTTTGGAGAATGGAGAAAATAAATGAATTGGAGAACCCCGAGCCGTTAGAAGACCTTATTTCCGTGCCAAATATATTAAGCAATTAAGTTATTAATCCTGGCCCAGAATGCCTCGGTCCAGCCTCGGTGCTGGACGGGTGCAAACTCGGCGTGGACTGCGTGGGTCGCTGGAATGTCAATCGGACAATCTCTGATGTCAACTTCCATTCTCATTGAACAGGCAGCAGTCGAATGACTCGACGACCGCCAATCCTGTCTGAACGGTAACTGCCTCCGAAGACGTTGGTATCCCTGACACCCTCGGCCGGATGGGCATGACTCGAGTGACTCCCGGGGGGTCGGTCTCCTTTTAGTTGCGTTTTATATTGATGTCCACCGCTGGGATGCTGGCCAATCGAGTGCAGTCCAGTGGACGGTGGAAATGAGCGGTTAATTATCAATCTTCAATAGTCGAGAATCCCTGTCCGTATGCACTGTGGCACAGGAGCTAGACCAACTTCACTCCGGAAATGGGCAACAATAAATTAAATGCAATATATCCCACTGCGCCAAGTTCCCCTACAGCTAAAAAATATACAATCCAACCCAGCCAAATCCCACTTTCGACCGAAATCACCAGAAAGAAACCAAAACCCGTGTAACCCAAGCAACGCAACCCAAGCCAACCATTAAACGTAGTGCAACCGGAAATGAGCGGCGGATTTAAAATCTCCGATGACCAGACCCTGACCCCGACGAGGCTCTTCCCTGCTCCTCCTCGTCCACCACCTCCACCGTCTGCGACACGTCCACCGTCTTGTGGATGTGGATTCCCGTCGTGTCCGGCGATCCGCCGTTGCCCGCGCTGCTGCCCATGTCGACGGTGCCCGCGTACGTGATCAGGTGGCTTTGGTCGCACCCGAAGTCGTGGTCGCCTTTCGAAACCATCGAGAAGCCCTTGCCGGCGCTGGCCTTCATCTTGCTGAGGGGCACGGAGGATTCCGGCTGGTAGTACCGGTTCGAGCTGTAGGCCTTCGAGCGCAGTTTGCGGATCACGATGTTGAAGGTGGGCAGGCAGGCGCAGATCAGTCCGACGCCTCCTTCAGCGTTTCTGTTTGCGGCGTTAGCTGGATTGGCTGGTAAGATGCAGTGCGAGGAGGGAGACATACCCGGACAGGATCACGCAGGTAAACATTATCGTTTGGTCTGCAGAGTTGCCGTCCTTGAGGACCAGCACTAGTCGGTAGATACTGAATGCCGTGGCCAGTCCGCCGGCCGAGAGCATGCCCACTACTCGTAGTTTCTTGTTCCGGGACATCTGCAGCGACCAGGTCAAGGGTAGGGGCAGGATCAGAATGATCAGGTCGCTGACGACACTGATGACCGAATCGGCGATGAGCGCGGCGCGCTGGTCCAGACAGGAGGCGTTTGTTCGCAGGTCCCAGTATGCCGGTACAGGGTCGCACATGCGGATTTTGACGACCTCGGCGACGGTGTAGTAGATTCCAAGGCAGCCGAGGAAGACGTAGATGAAGATGATTTTGGACTTGTAGGGAGCGAAGATGCGGATGATGATGGAGAGGAGGGCGACCTTAGTGAGGAGTGCCATGGGGCAGTAGAGCACTGTGGCGATGTAGCAGAACTGATGCGACGGTGAGATTCAACGGACGGAATAACAGTGCAGATGTCGAGGTCAGTTACCTTTCGGAAGAGGACCTGGTGGCTCTGGGATACATCGCTGATCGGATATCCGCCGCCATAGTTGCCCACTGTTGTTGGTCAGTTGTGTAATGCGCCGAGGGGCATGAGGCTGACTGACCTACTATCCCGATGCCGCAATATCCCATAAACAGGAGCTGTTGGAGGTTAGAGGCCGGTCATAGAGCTGGAAGGAAGGTACTTGCCCATGCGACGAGACATGTTGCTGGTTCAGTTAGCAAGAGTACAGTTACAGACCAGGGTGAACTTACTGTCTTCAACAACCACGAATTGCTTGTAATACGTGCGGATGATAAACCGCAGGGCCACAAAGATGGTCACAATCGGAATGCACAGGCATTGTGTGACCAGGTTCACCGTATAGAGCTTATCATAAGGGTTCTCGACAGTCATGATGTAGGGCCAGGCAGCATGATGCTCAAAGCCGAAACCAAACAAAAGGCGACCTCGGATTAGTTAAACGCCAAACCGAAGGAAACAAAAAAAAAAAGCTTCAAAATTCTCCCTGAAACAAGTTGGGTGTCATCATAGATTAAAAGTAAAAGAAACCCAACCCCTACTTGGCTACGAGCCCCGTCGTTCCCTCGTCCCTACGGAGGAGAATCGCCATCTCCTACCGGACCCAGCCAGGAGGACCCAGCCAGCTCAGGTCCCAAAGATACGAGGGATCGATGGGGATTCTTGCTGAATTCGACATCCCAAGTGGAATCCCATGAAATTTGATCCCCGACGCATTGGAATGCGACCCACCGCAGCATGGAAAAACCTTAACAAGCACATCACCTTCGCCGAGTATGATCTGGGTTGGTTGGCAAAAGCAAAGAAAACTGGGGAGCAAGCGCCAGATCGATCGTAATAGGTGCACGAGGGCTCCGCCGAGGATTGGCTCCTATGAAACAGCCGGCCAGGAGAACTGCAGGTCGGACGGGATGTTACTTCAGGGTGGATGGGTCCTGGAATGACTCCGTCGAGGGTACGAGGCAGGAAGAATGCTGATTTGTGGTTTCCTCGAGACTAAAGACGCCGTGACATTTGGCTTTCTTTGGTACGGCGACTGTCACCAAACTCTGTCCGGAAGGTTATACGGAAGGCTAACGGCAGGTGTCTTCATTCTTAAAGGTCTTTCCAGGCACTGGAAGTGAATACTACTCTGTGGAAAGTAACTTTGACACGAAAGCCACCCCCAGTCACATCCGAACATTACCACCGAGTCTTGCATGCAGTTCTTTGTCCTCCTCCTTAGCTCCGGATTTCCACGCTAAAGCTCAGACGCCGATGTAAAGCCGAGCAGCGCAGCTAGACATGCAGGATCATGAACTACTGGGGGGACTATTCGAGCCGTGGCAACCCCCTCGAGACTATCATCCACTATATGGAAATCCATGACGCCGGCCGCGCGGGATGCAACGCAGCGGAGCATCGCGAAACAGGCTCAGGAGTCCGTTCTGTCAAGGACTGGACCAGGCCAGTCAGAAATCAACCAAAAGGAAACAAGGGAAAAAAAAAGAAAAACAAAAATCCCGGACGGCACAGTCAAACAAAGCCCCGGGAAAGGCGCAGATTCTTCCGTCTCGTGCTATTCTCGTCGGGGCAGTCTGGTGGCATCGGCGCAGTAACCGCGAAGAGTATCGCGTGTCGAGTGGAGTCGCTTCCAACCAGCCAAAAGGATCGATTAAATGGATTTACCTTTCGCTTGCAGGTTGGCTGTGGACCGCGCCGACACTACGGACTGTCTAGCGAATGTCATTACGTGTGGCTTCCATGATGATCCCCTGGATTGTTCCCCTCGGGTGCGATCCATGGAACCTCCCACCGCCGCGGTTTCAACGGCCAGTGATGAACATGCAGCCTGCACAAGTGGGATAACTTTCTCCTGCCGTGTCTTCCAGATCCACTCGTCGAAAGTTGAGCCCGCCGAGGTCCGTGGTTTCTTTCTGTTCGGCCTTTTCTCCGGCTTTCCATTGGATTTCCCATGGCGGCCATGCTCCATCTGTCACGAGCTATACTCGGCATTAGACCGTTGGCCACACAGTTGATTATGGAATTTTTTAATTGTGATTACTGCAATGATAACCCCGAAAAAGGGGCTCACCTCCCTGGATCGACAGTCTCGACAGAATCGAAATGAGGCAGCGTAGCACAGACCGGATTCACGGCGATGATTTGTTCTCCTACGTAAACCTCCTGCTTCTCCAGCACGATTAGACCATCTGGCGCAGTGACCGCTGCTATAATTATCATTGGACCGTCACGAAATCCCGTCCTGATTCCCGGGTTCCTTTTATTAGCATCGTCGTCGCCACGGTTAAGTTTAACTAAGTCTTTCCCTCGCCTGTCCTTCTCTTCCCCGTAATTCCCATTTGCGTACGTAAAATCCACCCCGAAAAAAGCAAAAGCAACATGACGATTCGCAAGTTGGACGGCGAGAACTCGAAGCTCTTCGAGCCGTTGACCATTGGCAATGGCAAGATCACCCTCTCGCACCGCGTGGTGCATGCGCCCATGACGAGGAACCGCGGAGTGCCCGTCAACGCCACCAGCACGCCGGAGAATCCCAATCGTCTCTGGTACCCTGGCGATTTGATGGTCGAATACTACCGGCAACGCACTACCCCTGGCGGGCTGATCATCTCGGAAGGAATTCCGCCGTCGCTTGAGGTAAGTTGAAGCTGCAGTCTGGGAACCCTTTTCCGCTGGTCCAAATTCCCAATTTTGGGCTTAATTTATTTCCTTGATTTGTGTTTGGGACGCCCCTCTTCCCTCGCTTCCCCGGCTGTCACTCCAGTCCACTTTCCCACGTCAGTTTCTAATTCCGTCGTGTCTATTTGTTTCTCTCTGTCGATCCGTTCTTCCCTCTATTGAATGCTGCATGATGCTAACCCAAGTCCCCAGAGCAATGGCATGCCCGGCGTCCCCGGTCTGTTCACCGAGTCGCAGGCAGACGGCTGGAAGCGCGTGGTCGACGCCGTCCACGCCGACGGCGGCGTCATCTACGCCCAACTCTGGCACGCCGGCCGTGCCACCATCCCCCAGATGACTGGATCCCCTGCGGTCTCGGCCTCCGCAACCCCCTGGGACGACCCGACGGAGGGCTACTCGCATCCCCCCGTCGGATCGACCTCCCAGGTTCCCTACGCGGACCACCCGCCGATCGAGCTCTCCGTCCCGCACCTGAAGCAGACTATTCGCGACTACTGCCTCGCTGCCGAGACTGCGATGAAGATCGGCTTCGACGGCGTCGAGGTGCACGCGGGTAACGGCTATCTGCCCGAGCAGTTTCTCAGCTCCAACATCAACAAGCGCACGGATGCCTACGGCGGATCGCCCGAGAAGCGCTGCACTTTTGTCCGCGAGCTGATGGCCGAGGTCGCCAATACTATTGGCCAGGAGAATCTTGCCGTTCGTCTGTCGCCGTTTGGCTTGTTTAATCAGGCCCGTGGCGAGCAGAGACTCGAGACTTGGACTTTCCTCTGCGAGTCGTTGAAGAAGGAGCTGCCGAACTTGTCGTATGTCAGCTTTATTGAGCCGGTGCGTTGCCCTTTCTCCTCATTAACTCTGATTGTTACAGTCCGACTAACTGATTGTGACAGCGCTACGAGCAAATCTTCAGCTACGAACAGAAGGACAAGTTCCTGGGCAGCTGGGGCCTGAAGGACGTCGACCTGTCGCGCTTCCGGGCCATCTTCGGCGACACGCCCTTCTTCTCGGCGGGTGGATGGAACCAGGAGAACTCCTGGGGGGTTCTGGAAGACGGACACTACGATGCCCTGCTCTTCGGACGTCACTTCACCAGTAACCCGGACTTGGTCGAGAGACTGAAGCGCGGCATCCCCTTTGAGCCGTACCATCGCGCTCGTTTCTACGGGCCGTTCGAGGACAATGCGGCGTACTATATTGATTATCCTCCTGCTGCGCAGAAGGCGTAATTTTGTGGATAGCATTAGATAGTTGAGTCGGTGTTGGCACTCTGTGAATGTCAGTCAGGTTGACTCCTAGTGGTATATAATGGAAGTGATTATCTCGTGGGGACGCGGAACTCAAATATATTCATGTGGAGTGCCCGAATGGCCTCCACTCGGGACTCAAAAATTTGCCACAGACATACTCCACTGACAGGTGTCAGTCGGGTGTGTTGATTAATTTTGATTAATATTCAAACTCATTATGATGTGCGGCTGGCGAAAAAGACATTCCGCGCGAGAATGATGCGCTCACCCCAATGAAGTAATTCCCGCCAACTATATTCCATGCAAGGAATGACAACCATATATCATCCATGCAATGACAATTACAAGATAGCAATCACATTCGGCGGACTCCCAACCGCGCCCGGATGGTTCATCGGCGCCGACGTGAGGAAGAACGTATATCGCTGTGCCTTGCGACACTCTTCCGCCAGGGCCTTCAAGTCCCAGAGCTCGCCCAGCGGCATTCCAAACATCCCGAGGCACCATTTATGCAGGACTACCATAGTCAGCATTCCTTCTCGCACCAGACACAGTAAAATACTCACCTAGCTCCTGACTTGGCCTCTCCTCTCCATCTATAACAGGCGGAATTACTTCCACCGCCATATTATCGCTCGCGATGGCGGCAAAATGCTTATTCCACAGCCACTTGGCCATCTCGACGCTTCCCTCGAGTCCAGAGACATGTGCGGTGAGAGAAGCGAGTTGTTCGTCTCCTGTCTTGTGGTTCAGCGCTTCGGTGAACCCGAATCGCACGATCAGGATGTCGCCGGTCTGGAAGGTCGTGTTTTGGTAGGCCGCCACGGCTTCGATGTCTGCGATGCTGAGCTGGAAGGACGAGAAGGGCGAGTATTCGATGCCTTTGGCTTCCGCGTAACTTTTGAAGTCGATCAGGACGCCGCGGCCGACGATGCAGCCGCGTTCGTGCCAGTCTAGACTATTAGCATCAGGTCATGTTGATAGAGAGGCGACTTACGATCGAGGGTTGGGAGAGAGGGGTCACCGGACTCCAGGCTCTCGATTGACGGTTTCCACCCGTTGTATACTTCTCCTGAGGGGAGGAGTCGGACATGGCCTGTCTGGTGCATTAGGACGACTGGGTACGGTCTGGCTGAAGAATATGCGTACATAGACTATCCCACTGGCTGCTAGCTTGGGTGTTGAATTCCACCTGTACAGTGGTCAGCTTTAGTTACTGGTAAAATGCACCTGATAGATATACTTCATCGTCGAAAGCAAACACTTCTCCGGTGTCGGTCTTATGCGTCAACACGCGGTGGTGAAGCGCCTTCCGGAAAAACCCCGGGATCTTGAAACTCCCAATCGGCCAGCTGTCCCAGTTGGTCAGTGTTCGTAAAGTATAGAATATTCGGTGGAGAATTACTTTAAAGACACAGATACCCCCCGTTGGATCTCGCCCGACGCAGCGCGCACCACCTCCGGCGCGAGCAGATTCAACGTCCCATACTTGTTGCGCTGGCCGTCCTTGTCGAAGATCCCCCAAGCACAACCCTGCGGCTTGTCCGGGACGGGCGGCAGATTGTCGAAATCAGGGAGAGTCATGGTGATTGACTTGACCTACTGCGTAAATGATGAATGCTGGTCGAGGTCGATGAGAATCCGAGGTCGCAATCCAGACCCCTCGTTTCTTTGTTGTCTGCGCTCCACCATCAGATCCTCGTCTCCCCGCCTCGCTCGGATCCACTGGGCCGTGATGTTTTCATCGTGATTTGCTCGCCGCCCCTGTCAACAGCGACTATCCTGGTTAGACTATTGTTGTCGCTTCATACGTGGTGCCATGGCGTCTTCACGGGGGGTAATGCCGGGGCTTGCGTGCATTAGCGCCCACATTATTCTTCAGCACACTTGGATGATATATCGAGCTCGGATTTCATACATTTGTGGTGATTCATGCCTGAATGCTCGCAGGAAGCGCTGGTTTGAAAATCCTAAATATTCCACTGTATCTGCATTGTTTCTTCGTTGCGTCATCGGTAAGGTGGCCGAGCCCATGCAAGGGGGTATTATCCCTATTTTCCCCCTTCTCCAGACGCGATCGTTTCTTCTGCTTTTTCTTCTGTCGTCAGAGTACGTAAGAAGATCAATGGGTGAGCGGTGTGGTAATTTCAATTTGACCGCGTGGGAGTGTTTGGTTGACGATGAGGATTTATATATATCATTCCGGTGGTGATAAAGAATTTAACTCATCGTAGACTCGACGCCGACGTCGCTCCTCAACCGCGGTGAGCGGCATGATATGTCTCATACATGAACAATGAGCATTATATATCTTTTTTTCTGGCTTCAATGCAATTGGCAAGGCGATTTAATCCAATGACTCTTATATGTCAAGTCGTGTTTCCGATACCACTACCTGTTTTGCATTTTCCATTCTGCCTGGCCAGAAATACATAACTTCGGCCCAGCATAAAATCCACACTATCGGTTGAACAGACAAGACCATCGGAGCAGGCAATCCATCGCGAGGAACACCGCTGTGGATCGACAGTCGAACCTCGGGGTGAGTTGACCTCCGTTCCCAACCATATCGACCCACCGATCCTGTAAGCGAACGAACCAACCAATAAATCGAGTGATGTCACTAGATAGTTTCCTCGGAGAACCGAACAAGCATTTATCCCTTGGGTGAGGGCGTCCAGAGCCCCTTACTCCTGGATTCAATGTATGCACGTGGACCCACTCCGCGGAGACCGCGGAGGCCACGGCGGTGACGGAGATCAAAGAATATTCACGATCTTTAAAGAGCCAGTTGTACATCCTGAAGAACTGCAGATTCTGCAGACTGTGCTTTCATCCGTGTTCGAAATTAGTGGTACCGTCAATATGTCTGGTCAGAGTTCGGCGACGAAAAGGTGAAGATCCAAGATTTGCATACCCCCGGGATCTCCCCAGTGGCGACAAATTAACCAAGTCCATAACTATAGTGAACCAACGCCTCGGAATCGATCCAAAACCCCAAATGCCTCTCCCCAGAAATTCTCCAAAGTCGAACATGAACCCGAGTTCGAGTTCGGCGGCGCCCTCGGCGTAAGCGCCCTCATGGTCGGATTCCCCCTGCTCATGTACTACATGTATATCGGGACGACGTTCTACGACGGCAAAGCCCCTCTGCCCGAGGAGGGCGAAAGCATCTCGGATTTCCTGACCCGGATGTTCGATATCGCGTACACGCACGCCTTCCCGCACCGCAAAGCATGGATCATCTACTGGACATTCCTCATCCTCGAAGGCATCGGATACGTCTGTCTCCCTGGCGTCTACGGGAAGGGTAAACGTCTCCCGCACCTCGACGGCAAACAGCTGGATTATTACTGCTCCGCTGTGTCGTCGTGGTACGTCACGATCATCGCCTCGCTGGGACTGCACTTCACCGGCCTCTTCCGTCTGGATACCCTGATTGATGAGTTCGGGCCAATCATGTCGGTGGCTATTCTCTCGGGCTTCGGGGTCTCGGTCGTGGCGTATATCTCTGCGCTGGCTAGGGGCGCGGACCATCGGATGACGGGCTCGCATGTGTATGACTTCTTTATGGGCGCGGAGCTGAACCCTAGGTTGTTCCGCTGGCTCGATATGAAGATGTTCTTCGAGGTTCGCATTCCCTGGTATATTCTCTTCTTGCTGTCGTTGGGGACAGCGCTGAAGCAGTGGGAAGAACTGGGGTATGTGTCTGGGGAGGTAGGGTTTTTGTTGATGGCACATTTCCTGTATGCGAATGCGTGCGCGAAGGGTGAGGAGTTGATTATCACGAGCTGGTATTTCCCCTCCCTGATGATGAATGTCGTTCGAATGCTGATGGTTCCGGTAAAGGGACATGTTCTATGAAAAATGGGGCTTCATGCTTATTTTCTGGAACTTGGCTGGCGTTCCCATGAGCTACTGCCATTGTACGCTGTATCTGGCGTCTCATCACCCGTCGACTTATCACTGGTCGCCGGTTGCGCTGGGTGCTTTGGTTGTGACATACCTCTTCCTGTACTGGGTCTGGGACACGTGCAACAGCCAGAAGAACTATTTCCGAGCCCAAGAGCGAGGCGTCTCGGTAGACCGGAAGACGTTCCCGCAGCTGCCGTGGAAGTTCGTCAAGGATCCGGAAGTCATTCGAACCGAGACGGGCGATTCAATTCTTTGCAGTGGATGGTGTATGTGGAACCTTTTATATCTTCATGGGGGGACTGACTAACGGCGTGTATAGATGGGTTGGCCCGTAAGGTGCACTACTCCTGTGACTGGTTCTTTGCGATGTCGTGGGGCCTGATCGCCGGGTTAAATTCGCCTTTTCCCTGGTTCTATCCGGTTTTCTTCACGGTGATGATCATTCATCGCGCGACGCGTGATATTCAGAGATGTCGTGCGAGGTACGGCGAGGCGTGGTTGGAGTATGAGCGCCGCGTGCCGTATCTGTTTATTCCGGTGGGTTTATTCTCCTTATATGAAGAAGCACAGCTGATGAAAGATCTAGTATGTCATTTGAATCGTCGACCAGCGACAACGGTGGAAAGGCTATTCTATCAAAAAACCCATGCATAGATGTATTGCATGTCGCGGTGCCAGTCTTACCAGCAGTTCTGTATCATCGAAGAGAATCATTCAGATACCCTGAACTGAGCATATCCATGACGGATCTTCCTGTACCTATAAAGTCGTTCAAGAACAAAGAAATATCCTGTTGGTTCATAGCCGAGTCAAACGTATTTTCCGGCCACGGAAAGTCAGGCAATGCGATGTTCCCAGGTCCCTCAGTTGTCGCGGGGATAAATAAGGACCCGTCCTGATGGTGCTCGAGTCCTGTCACGGTCTGACGCGCGTCAACGAGGACCTGTGCCGTCTTTGCGAACGCCTCGCAGATCGCGAACAGATGCATGGAGCCTCGGGAGAGGCCCTTGATTAGGTCCAAGGACTTGACGGTGTCTTGAAGAAGCGAGAGGTCGCTAGAGCTCGAGGTAGCGATGGCGTGCGTGAAAACAATCACGAATGGAGCGAAGGACGGGTAGAGTAAGATCCTGACCAGTCAGTTACGGCTTCGGGTTTAGGGCAGTTGACAAACCAGTTCACGTATTCCATTTGTTTATGGGTTTGGCGGCCACGGAAAAAGTCGAAACATTTCAGATGACTGTCCAAGGCTAATCGTGCCGCTTCATAGCAATTCGAGGATACGGCCATGGCATCGGTGGGCCGGGACTGCGCCCGATAAATGACTGTCATTACCGAGTAAGCAATGAAGTCGGCACATGCGGCCATTCCGTGCAGAGAGTCAGCGTATAACCCGGAGCTGACGTCAATCTGGACGATGATAGTGAGTACAAGGTAATGTGATAGTAAAAGGGGACATACTGCAACAAGCCTGTCACGAACAGCAATCAAATCAAGTGAAAGCTGCTGTACAGCGGCTGCGCGCTTTGCATCTGTGCTGTTGATGGCTCCGACGGAATAAAGCTGATCAAACACGCGTCCTTGGATTGTGGCAAACTCCACCGTTACAAGAGCCATCAAGTCCCACGGGCGCTGACTGGGATCACCAGATGGCTTAAACAAGTCGGCATCGATGTCGTGATCCTGGAAATGGGACGTGAAGCCGATGTTGAGTGAAACATTTTTGTCGATGGTATACAGCGACCAGAACACATGTCGCTTTGCTTCTGCGGCTGGGGATACGTCGTCTTTCAAGGCTGAGCTCCTATGAAAACCTAACGTCTGGCACATGTTGAAAGCGAGAGAGAGGTATGTCCAACAACGCTGGATGTCGAATTCTTCTTGGGCTTTGATTATCTGTGGCCATTAATATGGAAGCCAAATGGATAAAAAGGATACATACCCCGATAAGCAAAGCTTGCACCTTTTCTAACGTAGGCGCAGTCATCATTTCATAACTGCTGAGACCTTCGAAGAAGCGGCGCTCACAAAATTCCACACTCGACGCGAGGTTGTAATGTGCCAGATCAGGATGACCCTGATGCAGATAGTCACGAATGATGTAAAAGAAAAGACCATGTAAGAGGGTAACTGAACCAGCAGGAACTGGCTGCAGGGGAAAGTAAAGCGATTGGCAAAGCACTTCAATCTGAAGTAAGTCTCGCCAGGAGTGGCTGACCAAGAAGAAAGGTGGTTGAGCTGGCCTGTTAGCGAATGTCACGACCAAAGAGCAACGGGCATACCTTTGACGGCCTTAACAACCGATACAGCTAGATCAACCGGAAGCAGTTCCTCCTTGGGCACAGGAGATGCTGACGCCTTGTTCACCGATACATCTTGCGAGAGAGCCGTATTTCGGTCAAGGCTGTGAGTTAAGGATGAAAGGGCAGCAGAGACGTGGTCATCAAGTCTCCTTCCCTGCGCACCAGCTACTGCGGAAAATGCAGCATCCTTTGCAAGAATAGATTCATGATGAAAGGATGACTGGCCTTCAAATGGAGGCGCAGGATCGGCGGATGGTACAGGACGAGGGACCGGGTGAGCCGGAGAGGGTGATGCCGATGGATTGACTTCCCTGAGTGCCTGTTGAATCGTAGCGAGCTGCTCTTGAATAGAATCGATCTTGTCCTCGCTGTCATCAAGATGTTAGTAAGAAATACCAACAACGTGCAGCCTGACTTACTACTGGCTGGACACAGCGCGTCGCGGGTCAGGGACTGAGGCAACCCCCGCAAGTTTACAAGGAATCCCCAACGCGCCACAGCTGGAGCAGGGAGTGGCCTTGTCACATTTTATCTACAGGTGCATTGGCATCTCAGTTAACTGCAGGCCGAATGATTGGCATACCTTGCGAATGCGGCAGTTGTCGCACTGTCATTATCAGATCACCGCGTCAAATGGTCGGATTGGAGGGAAACATACGGCGCGGGGGCGAAAGGAGTTCCGCGACGGAGTCCTATCAGCCATTGATCCGATTCTTGGAGTTTCTGGGCAGGCAGAATGAGATGTTCAGGGCGTCAGACTCGACGAAGAAGAAGCAACGCAATCGACAGGCGACCGACCTGACCCAATTGGGGTTAGCGTGTTGGCCCCAGAGCCTTTCCTAACTGGGACTAGCGAGGCACGTGTTAACAGTTGCCTGATTGGGACATTCCTCCTTTTCTCTTTTCCCTCTTCTTCTCTCCTGCAAAGTGGAAGAATACATCAGTTGCCGACATGGTGAACCTGCTATCTTCCACAGTAGCCGACCACCCGGTGTGATTGGTGCATTTCACTTGGGAAATATCCCCGCATCGAATGTTTGATCCCCGCAATCCGGCTAAATTGCTCTCGGCAATGAGGTGGTCGATCCGAATGGCCTCATAGGCTGCCTCTTCTGACTGCTGTTTTATTGAAAGGTCTACAGTTGATGTCTTGCTGCATTATGAGAGCTTCAAGGTGAAACTTCTATAGCCCCTGGTTGGACCTGAGAGATCTCGTATTCACCTCAGAATGGCCCGGCTAGGAAACGGCCATCGGAAGATCGACTGCCACCCCGCGTTTCCTCAGAGCTCAATGTCGAGTATAGCCTGAATGCAGTTTGGCATGGCACGGTGGTCCGTAACGTCATGCCACGGGGAAGCGTGGGGTGTCCAGCCCGGAAACTATAAAAGATGTCGTTTGTTTTCTGCGGCTGGGGAGAGAATCACCAGGGATTTCACAATGCGTCAATTGTCCTTTTTGCGCCTATTTTGGCTTCTTCTCGTCACAGCAGTCGCTGCAGAAAATGGCTTTGATGGCTGGCTGCGTTATGCCCCCGTTCGGTGCGATAAGAATTGCCAGCGTCGACTGCCATCCCGTATCGTGACGTTCACGAACAATCAGTCTAATCCGGTTGTCACTGCGGCGCAAGAATTGAAGAAAGGGCTGCATGAAATTGTTGGAAAGGATGTTTCCATTACCCGTTCCAAATGTGATTCTCGTTCCTCTCTTGTCGTGGCCACCCTCGATGAATACCGGAAAGCATGCAACAAACACTCCGACGTCCCGACATTAGAGGAAGATGGTTTCTGGTTGCGAGCGAAAGGAGATGGCGTCCAAATCATTGGCCAGAATGCCCGAGGTGCGCTGTATGGAGCCTTCGAATACATCTCGTTGCTTGGGCAAGGGAACTTCTCCGACGTCGATTACTCAACTAACCCTGATGCTCCGATCCGGTGGGTGAATCAATGGGATAACATGGACGGCAGTATAGAGCGAGGATACGCTGGCCCGTCTATATTCTTCTCCGAAGGCCGTATAGTCGAGAACATGGACCGGGTGAAACAATATGCTCGGCTTTTGGCCTCGATCCGAATCAACGCGATTGTCGTGAACAATGTCAATGCCAATGCGACGCTCCTCACACCCACCAACATGAAAGGCTTGACGCGCATCGCCGATGTATTCCGACCGTACGGCATCCAAATTGGCGTATCCCTTAATTTTGCTTCTCCTGATACCCTAGGCGGCCTTGGGACATATGATCCTCTGGATCCGAAAGTCATCTCCTGGTGGCAGGACATCACCGACAGCCTGTATGAGTACGTTCCAGACCTGGCTGGATACCTGGTCAAGGCAAGCTCAGAGGGTCAGCCTGGGCCAGAAACATACAACCGGACTCTAGCAGAGGGCGCCAATCTCTTTGCGCGGGCCTTGCAGCCGCACGGTGGTGTACTCATGTTCCGTGCCTTCGTTTACGATCACCACCTGAGTGAGGACAGCTGGACCAACGACAGGGCGAACGCACAAATCGAATTCTTCAAAGAGCTCGACGGGAAATTCGAAGACAACGTCGTGGTCCAAATCAAACATGGACCCATTGACTTCCAAGTGCGCGAACCCGTGTCTCCATTATTCGCCAACATGTACCACACCAACATGGCGATTGAACTACAAGTCACGCAAGAATATCTTGGCCAACAGTGTCACCTAGTTTACCTATCTCCGATGTGGAAGGAGATATTAGATTTTGACCTGCGCGTCGACAAGAAACCATCTCCCGTTAGGGACATTGTTTCAGGGCAGCATTTCAAGCGGTCGCTGGGAGGCTATGCTGCTGTGGTCAATGTCGGCACTAACAGCTCATGGCTCGGAAGCCACCTGGCCATGTCGAATCTGTACGCCTACGGCCGTCTAGCATGGAACCCTACAGCCGACTCAGTTGACATCCTCGAAGACTGGACGCGCCTGACTTTCGGGCGGGATCGCCGCGTTCTCGACACCATCACAGAACTGTCGATGGCATCCTGGCCCGCGTACGAGAACTACACCGGCAATTTAGGCATCCAGACTCTAACCGACATTCTGTACACTCATTACGGACCCAACCCCGGCTCTCAGGACGGCAATGGCTGGGGACAATGGACTCGGGCTAACAGCCAGTCCATCGGCATGGATCGTACCGTCAAGAATGGAACGAAAAACGCAGGCCAATATCCATCCGAGATCGCGGAGATGTACGAGGAGATCGAAACCACCCCAGACGATCTCCTGCTGTGGTTCCACCACGTCCCGTACACGCATCGTCTGCACTCCAGCAAAACCGTCATCCAGCACTTCTACGATGCGCACTACAGCGGCGCGGAGACTGCTCAGACCTTCGTTCCTAAGTGGGAAGCGCTGAAAGGACGGATTGATAAGCAGCGGTACGAAGAGGTGCGGCATCGATTCATCTACCAGGCAGGCCATTCCATCGTTTGGCGCGACGCGATCAATAACTTCTACTACAACCTGTCGGACATCGAGGACCAAGAGGGCCGGGTACGTCATCATCCGTGGCGCGTCGAAGCCGAAGATATGAACTTGAGCGGATACACGAAGTACACTGTGCATCCGTACGAGACAGCCTCGAACGCGACGGCCATCGTCACTGCGACCAACTCGACCACAGGGACTGCCACGACAAAGCTGAAGTTCCCGCCCGGAACGTACGATCTGGGTATCAACTACTATGATCTGTATGGAGGACAGTCTGAATGGACGGTTTATTTGAACAAGCGCGTCGTCGGAAAGTGGAAGGGGAACGCTGAGGATATCCTTGGGCATACGCCGTCGATCTACTTGGACGGGCATTCAGCGATACGGATTACCTTCCGCGATGTGAAGGTCAAGAAAGGAGATGTGTTGAAGATCGTGGGTCAGCCGGATGGAGTCGAGCCGGCGCCGCTGGATTATGTGGTGCTGCTGCCTGAAGGTGTCGTGGATTAGTTGAGTTATTGCCGGGGTTAAGCTTGTTGTACAGCCCTGTGGGTGAGTCTACGGATATAGCTGTTTCATTCAGAACAAACAAGATGAATTGGTATTCAATGAAGAAAGCAAATACTCTGCGAGGTATGTAACCGGTCACCCAAAGGAGCCATAAATCGTATCAGACAAAAGTAGCGCCTCTAACCCAGAGCCAAACCCTAGAAGAAACAACATAGCTACTCCATACTCGCATTTACCAGTATAGCTAGCTCATCCACACTCCCCACCAGCTCCTCCACATCGTCCTCCGTCAATCGAACGTTAGAACAGCATATCCTCAACGCCAGAACGCCACCCACCCGAACGGTCATGATAGCCGCCGTGTTCGTATCCAGCAAAACCTTGGATATAGCCTCATTCAATTTGTCTAATCTCTCTTCCTGCCTCTGCTTCGGATGATATCTGAAAGTAATTATCCCCAGAGACGCAGGAGTGATGATTTCCCAGCCCTCCATCGCCTCCAATCTTATTTGAATAACCTCCGCAAGACCCATCCCATGATCAATCAACTGCCCAATCCGCTCCGTTCCCAGAACCCGCAACGTAAACCACAAGCTCATAGCCCGCGCCGGTCGCGTCAATTCAACCCCCATGTCCCAGAACTCAGGCTCGTCTTGTACCCGAGCCGTGTGGTCCAGGAAAGACGACTGCGCGTGGAAGCTTGACACGAGATGCGTCTTGTCTCGCACGAGGAGCATTCCGCACCCGTAGGTCTGGAAGAGAAGCTTATGCGCGTCCCAGGATACGCTGTCGGCGGTGCTGAGGTGCCGAGCTAGACCCGACCGCGAGATAGAGAGGGATAGTGATGCGCCGTAGGCCCCGTCGATGTGGAGCCAGAGGGATTCGGCTCTGGCGATCTCAGAGATGATGGTCAGGGGATCGACGAGCCCTGTCTCGGTGTAGCCGAATGTCGCGATGACAAGAAACGGGATGAGGCCTTTTTGCCGGTCGGATTGGATGAGCTGTTGGAGGTGGCTGGTGCTTAAACGGTTGGATGCGTCCAAGTCCACGGGCCGGATCTGCTTGGCGTGGAAACCGAGGGTGCGAGCCGCTTTGTAAAGTGAGTTGTGTGCGTGGCGAGCGATGTAGATTACACCCTTGGAGTGGTTGTGCCATTCTAATTTCGCATCGCGGGCGGCGGTCATGGCCATCATGTTTGCCATCGATGCCCCAGAGACAAAGAGACCTCCCGCGGTGGAGGGGAAGTGGATTCTCGATGCAAACCAATTGATCAATTCCGACTCAACGGCGCAGGGGCCTGCAGCTGCAAGAGAGCCGCCACAGTGGGCATTGAACGCAGAGACAATGACGTCTCCTAGCCAGGTGAGTGGCGTGGCATTAGCTGGCGTGAAGGAGAAGAATCGCGGATGGTTGGTACGGGCGCGATGATCGAAGATAGCGTACGCTTCTTGGATGACTTTGGATATCGATCGAGGAATGTCAGGTGTACTGAGGAGTCGGAGGTCGCTGATATCTTGATCGGTAGACTTTTGGATGATTGGTTCATCGAGGCCTGGCGTGGTGGCGCATTGAAGTCCTTGTAGGATGCAAATCAAACTAAGCCATTGATCTTCCACTTCGCTTTGAAGATCACTCGCAGGACTTGCAGGCTGGGGGATACTGCGGACTGGGATCCCATCAAGGGCAGTAGGGCCGACTTCACCCATGCTGAGCGTTGCATGTCTGAGAATATGGGTAATTTCAACAAATCTCCGGGCTTCTGGAAGGATTGCTTCGTGAAGAGCAGAAGAAGGGATAGTAATGGAAAGCAGGACAGGGGATACGCAGTAGATCGGACGTTAAATAGTATTGAAAATCTCAATATTTATCTCATAGATACATCGCCGCGAACGGAAGCCCAGACCGTCGCCGCTCCGTGGTAAAGTAAAATTGCATGTGCTGTAGAAGGCAAATCAAGTCACAGGGGGGTTCAATCTTGCATCAGAGTTTCCGGGGATTGTCCCTGACCCCAGAGCCGACAGTTTAATCAGAAGTCGCCAATGACATGCAGCAACCAGGGTTGACGGCCGGAGAATCTCTTGCCTCATTAGGCAAACAACGCATGCGGACGTCATCAGGCCGAGCTGGAGCAAAGTTCCGGGAGAAAGATCTTGGTTGCCGAGAGATCAAATCCCGCCCATCAGTGATCCCGATCCCGATGGAGGGATGATCTGGAGTCGGGATTGGGTTGAGATGACCGAGTGGGAGTGTTGGGAAGAAGACGGGACGACAAGAAAGAAGTTGAAAGCCGAGGCATCGGTCAGGTGCAGCTCAACACCTCGACACCTGAGGCACCAGTCACCATCGTTAACCCTCAAATGCTGGTTGATCGACTAACGAGCAAATGATGATCGGATAAGACGAAATCAAGTGAATAGCATTTGGTGAAACTACTTTACTCCTTCAAAATATAATATTTTCAACTCTTACTAGCTCAATATTTTCCCAGTAGGAAGGCAGTTGATCACATACCCGCCCCTCTTGCATTAGAGTGCCTGCTATGGACTTAACTAACGAAGCAAGTAGCGGATAACCATAAGCACTTGTGGATTTAGTAATGACAAGGATCGTGCCACAATCGCGCGAAGAATTTGATTCCGAAGCCCAACATTCCGTTCAACGGTGACTCATCCCATAAATACCGACCTCCATCGCCGGATTACAACACTGAAATCTCACCTGTCAGATACAATCGAAGAAATCTGCAATATGACCTCCCTACAAGGCCTTTCGATCATCGAGGCCACCCCAGACCATGTCCCAACCATCAAAGCAATGGTCGTCGCCGCATACTCGAAATACATCCCTCGAATCGGCAAGCCACCCGCCCCCATGGTCGCAGACTACTACGAGCTCTTGAAAACACGGGAGATATACGCCCTGGAACGCCTTGAGGACGGGAGAATCGTTGGCTCCGTCGTCCTCCGCATGGATACCGACACGGCATCAATCAACATCAACAATCTGGTCGTCGACCCAGGAGCCCAAGGGAAGGGATATGGGAGACTTCTTATGGACTTTGCGGAGGGTTTGGGTAAGGAAAGAGGTTGCAAGGCCGTGGTACTGTTTACAAATATCAAGATGTACGAGAATCTGGCACTTTATCCGAAGTTGGGGTTTGTGGAGACGGATCGGCGAGAGGAGGATGGGTATGAGAGAGTGTTCTATCGCAAAGAGTTGAACTGATGAACATTCATTCCTATGTCAAATCAAGCTAAGCAAATCTGATATCCTCGTTAAACGTGAAAGTATAAGCACAATGATCAATCTGATTTATCCTTTGCAAACCGTCCCGTAAACTGTCGGATCTTCTTGCCCCAGATATACACCGGGATGCCCAATGCTCCCAAGAATCCTGTAAGCGCAGCGAACGTGCCGAATGTACCGTCATATCCGTGAAGCTCAACAAACGGGGCCGTTCCATAACTAGTACCAAACGAGATGATGCCTCGGAAGGCGCAGATGATGACCAGCAAGGGTCCTGCTCGAGCAGGATAACTGTCTAGTAGATAGGTAATGGCCACGATGTTGGCTCCAACGAAGCAAAAGTAGTATGCTGCGACGCCCCAGACATAGGTGAACCAGTGATATTGGTAGGGATTCGCTGCCCCCACGCCGTATAGTGCAGATGTGAAGACGCCCACAATAATGGGGACAATCAAAGGGATGATTCGAACTTCGGGCTCGTGCATCCCGTCGTTGCGCTTAGCAAAGTACTTGATCAGGTAGTCCGATCCGTGTCCCAGCAGAGGTAGCGCGGCGATCGCGACCACGATCTGTCCGCAATTCACGTAGCTGGCGCTGCTATTAGGCCAATTGTAGGGGGGGCTGGATACGATGGTGCTGTACGTGGTGCCGATGGCAATGTTCACACCGATTGTGAGCCCATTCAGTAACATGGCCCAGAGAACATTGGGAAAAAGAAGTAACTCGAATGTTTGCTGAATCGTGTCAGTGAGGAGCTCGGGCGCTGGAGAGGACACGACGTACCCTTAGCACTTCCCAGACTTTGTTCCACTCCGGCTTGCCAATCCAGAGTCGCAGGTCCGATTTGAATGTCCGCGGTGCATATCTTGTGGTGTCCAGAGGCGGTCGCTCTGTGCAGACGCCATCCGAATTCCCCTTCTGAACACTTCCAATGGAGTCCTTCCTGGAGTCATCACCAGAGGATGTCTCCTCCTGGTAGGACGCCAGCGACCGATCGTATTTGGTCTCAGGAAGAAAGAAGAAAGCGACAACAAGCAGTAGACCTGCCAAGGCAGCTCCAAGCCCATACCACCACCCGGGAGTAATCGCTCCTGCGATGGGACCGGCAAAAAGCACCCACACTGAAGTCAGGCTAACTTGGATCGCTTGTTGACCCATGAGGGCTTTGCTTCGCTCATGTAGAAAGTAAATTTCCTAGATACACTCGGAATAAAATCAATGACTACTCTGACACGGGATTCAGGGTTAAATACCTGAGTGATCATAGGAACTAGGGCCTCGCTCTGTCCTGCAGCTAAACCAACGACCATCCGCGAGGCAAGATGCCACTCGTAGTTCTTAGCTGTTGCGCAAAGAACAGCGCCGACCACCAGGATAGCTGTGGACCCGAGAATAACAATGCGACGTCCAATTCCGATGGCCAGAGGCATTCCGATGAGGTTCCCAATTCCCCTGAAATATGGTTAGCATCCCACGGTCCCAGTGTGTCGCGGAGTTCGTACATGAACAGCGTGGGATACGTCATCAAATGGGTGATGTCGCTATATCCCTTCCCGACCGCTTCATATTGAGGGATGTAGAAGCCAAGTAGACCACCGAATCCGGAGACAAGAGCGAGGCCGAGAGTTGAGACTGTGTTGTTAGACCTCGTGCTTTGAGCGAGGAGGTCTTAAACTTACAAACTGATATGACCACAAGAATAATGCTCTTCTGCCATGTTGGCATATTCAAAGGGTCTAGAAACAGTCAGCCTTCATAGTTTCAGGAGGTGTCAATCGATACTGACCGCGTGGATCTGCTGTTGGAGTGGGGATATAAACAATTGCTCCTTCAGTGAGCTTAACGGTTCCCATCACCTTTCGGTCGGGGTTGGCCCCTATGGCTTCAAGTTCCTCCACATGGCCCACCGAGGCTTTGTCGTCGTCTGGCATGGTGCGCGAAGGTGAGGCTGTATAGCTCAATTTATGACAGAGGGAAATGATGGATGGAAGACGCACCACCTCTGATGAATGGGTTGGAACACTGCAACGGAAGGAGGTTAAATATGCGAAAGACCCCCATATTCATTGCCTTGTTGTCCAGCCGACGGTGTTGGCAGTGGATGATAAGAAGATGCCTAGACCCCAGATTACCCCAGAATGGCTCTTCAGCGTCCACACTAAGCTGCTCGGTCACTAAAACGCAGCCTAAATCCCCGCTCCGAAAGGGTTATGACTCGGGGAGCACCGAGCGCCACCTCCGCCATCGTCATGGTGCTGGATGCTGTAGATCACACTTCCCAGCCATGTCGGAATGTGGACAAAAGTCAATTGAAGCGAATCGAGAAATTGAGATTCCTGTTTTTTCGGCTTCAATCTATTATTCGATCTACCTCCAGATCATCTACCGGCATAGACTCGAAGGTCCAAACGAATATTCGAAAATAATAAGGCACATCAAGATATTGAAAAACACAACTCAATTCTAACTCGACAACTACACAATAGTTACATAAAATTCATAAAAAAGCAAGACTAGTATTCCTTCACACCAGCCAAGCGCAGAACTGTGTCAGTCCTCTCCGGCTTTTCAAAAGGCTCAGTCCGGTACTTATGACAGACCTCTCCATTCCGCATCGGTTTCTCGCTCGCAGGACGAATATTGCTAGAACTCATTAATTACCACCCGTAGTAAAAACGAAAGAACACATACCAGTGCGGCCAGTGGGTAGTACCCATGGAATTCTCGAAACAGAACTTCTTCAGCTCCAGCGCCTGGGGCGTGGCGAACCGTTTCGGCGTCATGCAGATGTACTGAACGTGACGGATCTGATCGCCCTCGGGCAGACAGGCGTAATGCATGGTGCGCGAGTCCCAGAGCACAAAGTCTCCGGGCTCCATGTTGATCTTGACCAGCTCGCAGCCCTTATCCTGGAACCATTTCAGGTCTTTCTCGTGGAACAGGAACAGGTCCATGTACTTGAGCTCCGGGGGCGGGGCGTCTTCGTGGTCGTATTGATCACGCTTCTGCGCGAAGAACTCGTCGAAGAGCTTCGCCGAGCCTTTCATGAGCATGAGTCCGCCGTCTTTCGGGCCGTTCGGAGCGAAGTTCAATAGGCCCTGCACGGCTTGCATTCTGTATGTCGTTAGTGGGTCATGGGGGGATGCGCGGTGGGTGGAGAATGCATACCCCTTTCGGTCGGGGTTCTGGTCGCAGTGCGGCCACGGACTCCAGTTTAGGTCCTTTCGGCGGGGCATGGAGATGTTTAGCCCGTCGAATGAGCAGAGAAGCTCCTTGGTCTCCCATAGTTTCTCGAAGATGTCCACAACGGCAGGCTCGGTGCGAGCCTCCCATGCCATCTTCTCGTGGGTGGAGCCGTAGGCGAAGTACATGCTTGACGGTGTCAATCATTATGGCTCCGAAGAAAAGGGTAATAGAAACTCACCCTCCCTTGAAGCTGACGGGCAGATGGTCCGCCGTCCAAGTGCTCTCATCGTTCTCGTCGAATCCCAGCTCGAAGTTCTTCAGCCACTGGATCTGCTTGTCGCAGTAGTACTTGGCGCGTTCGGGGCTGATCACGTTCTTGATGACGACGCAGCCGTTTTGATGGAACTCGTCGCGCCAATCGCCATAGGTTCGGCTGCTGAAGTCCACAAGGTCTTTGATGGTAAAAGACTCATTGGTGGCCGCAGCCATTTCTTGCACGGTGGTGGTTGACATATTCGGCACGGTGTCTGTATCGGTGTTGGGGTCTTTTTGGTTGCTAATTTCTTTCTTGCTTGTATGAGATCTGATACTGTAGATTTGTCGGGGAACTCAAAGTTCACTTAAGTAAACACCTCAAGACCGAGGCACAGGTACCGCTTTCTCGGAGCCCATTCGGCGGAATCGTGCTCGGCGAGAGAGCTCGGAGGCCTCCGAAGTGTGGGGGAATTCGGGGAAGGCAAAAGCACCAGATCAGCCCGAGATATTCGGCCGCCAATGCCCCGAGAGGGTGGAGGTCGACATCCGATGGAACAAGGCGTGTCTGCTGTCCACATCGTGGCTCCGGGAAAGCAGTCCCTTGTAGCTCTGGTATTTTCATTTAAGACCAATGAAATTAGCACACAACTATGAAGAACGAAAGCTACACTACTGGATCACTCGCGTCCTCATCCATTCCTACTCTTGATCATGCCTCCTCCTGTCCAATCCGCCTACAAGCGCATCAAGGCCCCCAAGCTGGGCGAAAATGGCTACTCTGGTTTGCAGCCTGGAAAGACCGAAGTCCTACCGATCGGGTGGAATGGATTCAATGCCAAACCCTTGAAGAGCCCAATCCGCATTGACCACGACGTCGAGATCGTCGTGCGCGACGGCTGTCGCCTTTACGCGGACATCTATCGACCAGCCGACCAGACTGGGAAGATTCCAGCGGTGCTGAGTTGGTCCTTTTACGGCAAGAAGTATAGTGCTCTCGATATGCTCCCCATGTGTACGTGGAACTGCTGCGTTCCGCGTTCTGATCTCAGTGGACTTGAGAAGTTCGAGGGATTGGATCCTCAGACTTGGTGTCCCCTGGGCTATGCTATCGTCAGCATTGACACCCGTGGCGCGGGTAATAGCGATGGGCTCATCAATGTTATGGGGTCCCAAGACGCTGAAGATGGATACGACGTCGTGGAAGCGCTCGCAGCCATGGACTGGTGCAATGGATCTATCGGAATGGCAGGCAATTCGGCCCTGGCGATCTCGCAATGGTTCATCGCCTCGCAGCAGCCCCCGTCGCTAAAGGCTATCGCGCCATGGGAAGGGTCCGGTGACATCTATCGCGAACAGTTCTGTCGTGGTGGCTGGTTCTCGATGAGCAATTTCGACCTGATCACGAACGAGATCGTCCGTGGACCAGACAGCTCGGGGATAGAGGACTTTGAAGAAATGTACCGTCGGTCACCCGTGTCGAGCGCCTTTTGGGAGGACAAGCGAGCCGACATCTCGAAGGTGCAGTGCCCGGTGTACATTCGTGGATCGGATGTCAGCTCCATCCACACGATGGGATCGGTTCGCGCCTGGTTGGAGCTGCCGCATGATCAGAAATGGATCCGCTGGGGCAGCAAGCAGGAGTGGTACGAACTGTACTCTTGCCCTGATTCGAATGACGAGCTCGTCTTGTTCTTCGACCGTTATCTGAAGGGGGCTCAGAACGATTGGGAAAAGACTCCCAAGGTCCGATGGTCCGCGCTCCAGTTTGGCGATCGCGAGGCCATCGACGATGTTGTCCTCGAGGACTTCCCTGTTCCTAGCACGGAGTACCGAGAGCTCTTCCTTTCGAAGGACCAACTCAGCGCGAACGCAGCTCTTGAGAAACATACCGTGTCCTACAATTCCGAACAATCCTCCAGCTTTGCTGAGTTCTCCTACACCTTTGAAAAGTCCTCAAGACTTATTGGTCTACCCAAGGCTGTCCTCTACATGTCCTGTCAGGATAGAGACGATTTCGTCGTATTTGTCATTCTGCGCAAGAAAGACAAAGACGGGAAGGCTCTGATGCACTTGAACTTTCCCATCCATGCGACCCCGGTCAATGCGATCGATGAGATTCCGAAATCCGACCAAGCGAGTCTGAACCTGCACCTTGGATCGATGGGTGTTCTGAGAGCGTCTCACAGGGCGTTTGATGAGTCCAAGAGCATTCATCCGCAGTTCCCATTCCACCCGCACACAAAGCAAGAGAAGGTGGAGCCCGGGAGTATTGTGAAATTGGAGATTGGCATCTGGGCCATGGGAGTGGATTTCGACGCTGGTGAATCGATAAGTCTGCGGGTGAGTATCCTCCCTGCGAGAGAAGCAGAATTAAACTAACTTCAATAGGTGTCCGGGCAGTTCCCCAGTATTGCGGAGTACAAGACGTGGTCGAAGCCACGACCCGATCATGAGTTGAATAAGGGGACGCATGTCATTCACTGTGGTGGAGAGTATCCCAGCTCCTTGATCTTGCCATTTACTTAAGAACTTGCATTTTGCTGGGCTGCCTAGAGCCCAGATTTGAAGGCAATTCGGCTATTGAATACAATTAGTTTTCTTGAAATTGTTCCTGCATTCAATTTGTAGGCAGCCATGTAAGATCAATATTTAACGCCAATAATATATCCCTCTGCTCTGGAGGTACCATTTACCGATTATGGAAAGACCCGTATTGTGGATGGAACATCCTCATAGTTTCGATTTCTTTCTTTGCGTATGGTTTTTTATGGTTAAAGCTAAAAAAGAAAACGGTGTCCCAGAACTCAAATCAAGCTTCCAATGCCAACGATATCCCTAAATACCCACAAGCCGACCGGTGTCAACCAAAGTATGCGAAACCAACTTGGTAATCAAATCTGTCTCAAGACAAGATCCGGGCTAAGCTTGGTCAGTCTCTTGCGGTACGCTTCTGAATAAAGGTTTGTTCGCTTACTCTGCCGCGTCTGGAGTCTGTTGTGTCTGCAGTCTCGCGATCGAGTATAGGGCATGTAGAATGGGGCGCAAATTCCGGCGGTTAGGGAAGCGCGGATGACAAATTTGGTCAACATTGATAAGATATGATGTTATGAAATGAAGGATGGATAGTGAATCTGCACTGGCTATCTCAAGACGTATCTCATATTCGAGATGCTAGCGGGAGGAGTACTTGATGGTGGGGTAACCGTGATCGGTGTTCGGATATATACTGGCTGTGTCTACTCCGAAGTTCGTTGTAATGCTAATCCATTGGTGAGATCAGAGAGAGGTTGACTCGGTAAATGGAAGAAATTCAATTCCCGTCCCTCGAGTCATCTGAGCACAAAAGCCCGAACGCCGATTGGAGCCGAGGGCATCGCGACCCCCACGAAGGATTCGCAATTTCCGGAGTCTCGAGCAGATCCCCCGCGTTGGGAACCCCGCATTTCTGGGACTTCGTTAGCTGGGATTAGCAATTCAGTGTCTCCTATTGCTCCCAAGGGACTTGGCTGCGTAGGCATGTGGACATCCTCGGTCGTCACTGACAGACGGAGTGCATACGTCCGTCGGGACAGCGTTGAGAGAAGCAAAAAGTCCAAAATGTGCAGGGTCCGTTTGAGCCGCCGTCAAGGACGGTGAATCGGACACCGTGGCTCGGAATGGATCGCCCTCCGGCCGCTAAGCGGCCTCGTCTGTCGATGGCCTGTAATATGTGTCGCCAGCGAAAAGTGAAATGTGACGCGGAGTATCCCAAATGTCGCAATTGTCGACAGCGGAATCAGACGTGTGTGACAACCGATCCGCAACGGCCAGGAGTAACGGGCGTGCGAGAATGGCTGGAGTTACCGGAGAAAGTGTCCGGGTTTGTTGCCAGGGACGATGATAGGGAGATTCCTCGAGAAGAAGAATTAAGCCCTCAGGATCAGGAACAGCAGCAATCACCAAGTAACGATGTGATTGAAACCGAGAAAAACGACGGAGTCTCGCCGGTGCATCATCCGTTCATTACCTCCCTGAATGTCGAACATGAGACGAATCGCATGAAGATCATGGGGGGCAGCAGCTCGCAGTGCCTCGCCAAGTCTCTCGATGTATTCTTCAAAGCAGCCAGGCTGAAACCGGTATCGAGTTCCTTTCGACATGGAATGCGACACGCAGAAGAGCTGGAATTGTCGTTGAAACTGTCCCTCCCGACGCTTCCGAGTCAAGAAACTCGGGACCGATATTTGTCGATGTATGAATCTCGGATTCATCCACTGTATCCCATCTTTGACCCGAAGGCCCTCCGAGCAGCTGTCGAACAGCTCGCCACTCTTTCAGATTATGCAGAGCTTTCGCGAGACAATGTCCCTGTCTTAGCATCCGCCTATCTTCTGATGAGCTTCGGAGCCGACGAAGCTACCCAGTGTATCACAGAAAAAGGCGATATGTACTGCCATGCGGCCACCGGGTTGCTGTCCCATATCATAGTCACTCCCTACTTTCCAGCCGTCCAGACCCTGCTCCTTTTCACCATTGTTTATCGCGGGCGGAACCAGGAAGGCCTCGCCTGGCAAACCCTTGGAATTGCCACCCGTATTGCATACACCCTGGGCATCTACCGTCTGACAAGCTCCCAAACATCCAATCTTCAGCCTGTCGATCAATGCTTATACAAGCAAGTCTGGGCAGTCTGCTGCTGCCTCGACAAAATGATGCAGATCGAGTCCGGGCGTCCTGCAGTCATTAACCCAGAACACATACCACCCGTCGGATCATTGTCTTCCGAATCGTCGTTTTTACTCTGGCATCTTGGACTCGCAGATTATCAAAGCAACATCAGTCAGCACGTCTACAACTATCGACCCGGATCGCGAAGTGTCCGTCAGATTCTGCGGGACACAGCCCGACTCGATCACTCTCTTTTAACCTGGGCCAGCAAGTTTCCTCCGGAGCTGCGACCGGGCAATGATCTGTTTTGTGCGGATTCAGACTTCCACATCGTTGCATTTCTGTCCATTCAATATCAGGAGACATTAATTGCCCTGCACCGAGCCGCGTTGATTGCCCCATCAGCCAGTTTCAATTCCGAAGTCGCTCGGCACTGCGCGGATGAACCCTCACAATTTCGACTTCGTAACGGAGAATCGATCTGCATTAGTAGTGCCCGGGCTATTGCGAAATTAAGCATTGAGCTGTTGGAGAGGGATTCAGACTCCAGGCTTATCCCAGCAGGTCCGTCGCTGCTGGCCTGCATCGTCTTGGCCATTTACCTGATGAAACACCCGGGGTCAAAACTGCAGGCCATGGATTTGCAGGTTTGTACTCGTCCCTCTCAAGGAATCCACCTCGTTGACTAAGGTATATTAGCTTTTGAAAGCTTGCTTGGAGTACTCAAGCACGAGACTCGCTAGTTGTAATGCCAATGTTCACTTCCTGGAAGGTCTGTTTTCCTCGTTATTACCCGTCGCTGGTGAAGATAATTAACGCCAAGGTCAGGCCTGGCAGCAATTTACGACCAGACAGCAGCCCATCTTAAAGCCCACGCCCAATCAGAACAAAGACCTCCTATGATTTCACCCGGAAGAAACGCAAGGGCACAAATATCTACCCAACCACATCAACGCTGTCAACTCCCCGCAATCAGCACGAACGACAACCCGCACAGTCAAAATGCCCTCCTCACGCCGTCAACGTACGAGGATAATCCGCCCGCAACTTGGAGAAGAGAACTTGAAAATCTCCCAGATCTTTCCAATCCATCACTTGACTCGTCCATAGGCGCACGACAGCACCAGTCCTCGCATCCCTCTCATATACCGCTTGCCGATGGCGAGGTTGGGCGCCAGTATCATGGAGTAACTCGTGAGCAGGGCAGCGTTCACGAGAATGGATCATCTATGGATCAGTTCGCAGCTTTGGGCGATTGTCCAAATCCTGTCGATGGGGCGGTCTTTCCTTTTGAGGGATACAATGTAGAGGATTTGTGGAATTGGATGCTGTATTTTGATAGTCCGGCGGGGTTAGATGGGGTTTCATGATTTCGAGCATTGGCGGTAAAGGAATGAGAATAAAGACTGTATTATTTGCTTGCTGTAATCTTTCTAAACATGTTTCATTATGTTCCTTGCGACGATTTGCTCGATCCGTGAATCCTTCAAAGATTACGACCGAATGGGGACTATAGATGATCGCAGTAGCAAGTGATCACAATGGTCTAGTTAACCCTCTTACAAGAAGGATTCAGAAACTGACAATAGGGAGCCCTGGAGCCCTGTAAATGTATAGGTGACTTGACCTTTAACCGAAGACGTATCAAATTTGAATATAACGAATGAGCTACCCGACAAACCAACCCGCAAAGCTAACTCCAGCATCTTCACATCTAAGCTTCCTGCTTAATATACGGGATACCAGTCAACTTGAACGTCCTCTCATTCAGCACCGGATCCTCCACTGGCCCCTCCCGACTCTTAGGGCAGGGCTTTCCATCTCTCATCGCGACATTCGTAGGCGCAACATGCACCGCGTTAGGCCAGTGTGTTGTTCCCAACCGTTCTGTATCGCATTAGCATCCACATCACATGAAATTATACTACCTAGAAATGAGCACGTGGAGAGGAAAAACATACTCTCAAAAGCCCCCTTCTTCCTAATCAAATCCTCCTGACTCGCCTCCCGAACAGGCGTGTAGCATGTATAAACCGCCAAGCGGTCCTGCGTTCCACTCGGGGGAACATTGTAATGCGGCGTTCGGCTGTCCCAAACGATCAGATCGCCGGGTTCGACACAGACCTTCTCCCATTCGAGACCGTGGTCTTTGAGCCATTTCATGCCGTTCTCGGTGAATCCGAACCATTCGGGCGTCCAGGCGGGGATCTTCGGTTCGTCGGCCATTTCGCGGTGGAATTGGGCGGAGAGCCGGTGTCCGCCTTTACAGACAATGAGGCCGCCGTCGTTCGGGCCACAGGGGTTGAGGTTTACGAGGCCTTGGAGGCCTGTGAATTTATGGGTTAATAGGTGGTTGGGGAGAGTGGAGGGGGGGGGATACGTACAGCGGAAACCGGGCTTGGTTGGGTCCTGGTCCTGATGCGGCCAGGGCTTGCTGTTCTCCTGTATTAGTGCGAGGCTCTATGCCACATGGTATGCAAGTGAGCTTACTTCTCTTCGAGGTCCTCTCGACTATAGAAGTATGTTAGCCTCCGATCTGTAGTAAAAGGCGTAGTGGAGTGACAGATGGAAACTCACTTCGCAAAGCCAACGTTCACCGCATCAAACGAAACAATCAAGTCCTCGTCATCATACACCTTCGCGAAAGTCTCAACCACCCCTGGCTCGCCCCGAATGTCCCAGGCCCACTGTTCGTGGGTGACGCCATAGTGCAGAATCATGCCCTTCTCATTCAGAACGGGGAGTTTGGCGCGTCGCACAGTCGATGGATCATTACGGTCGTAGCCGAGCTCACTTTCTTTATGTTAGCATTCGATTTCTAGCCAAGGCGAATGAAACTGGAAAAGCAAATCTTACAATCCCTCGAGGTAGCGGAAAAACGAATCGGAGTACTTGTTGGCCCGCTCGAGCGGCACGGCGCCTTTGATTACAGCGTATCCGTCGCGGTTGAGGTCGTCGCGGAAGTCGCCATAGTTGGTGGGCTCACCGTCCAGGGACATGCGGCCCTTGTGTCCAGTGATGGTGATGGGGTTAGTGGTGGTGGTTGTGGTCGCCATTGTGTATTGAACTTGTAGATAACTCTTGGAAGAATGACTGGTAGTTGTTGTGTTTGACCCTAGTTCGACTCGACCAAGACACCCTTTTCTATGCCGACATCGATATGTCTTTGAATCATCTCACATCAAAGGATTCTCGGGAATTCCCCTTCCCCGAGGAACATATCAGACGGTTGCCAGCATTTTCGGAGGACCAGGCTCGGGGCAGTCACAACTGCTGTTTATCTCGGGGCTCCCCGAGACTTACCAGCTGCTCCGAAGTATACCATGTCGAATGCAGTAACCCCCACATGCGGAGCAGCCAATTATGGTATGATTTCAGATGTTGATCCTGGAAACAACAAATCATGCGTCCCTTCGGCGGCGAGTCTCCACTGCGTCCACATTCCGAAGTCCTCCAGCGGGGCCGAGGACGATCTCCACGGCCGAGAAAGAGCGATACAAACCATCCATATAGATATTACCACACCCAAAAGCCCTATACTAGTCGCAAATGCAACCAGAACAGGATACCGAGGAAATGGACTCCTTCGGAATAATCATCGTCGGCGGCGGAATCGCCGGCCTAGCAGCCGTATGTCCTCCTACCCTCTTCCGTTCCCTACTGCCTCTAACAGTCATCTACAGGCAATTGCTCTGCGCGCTGACGACCGCGAAATCACCATTCTGGAACAATCCCAAATGCACAAAGAGATCGGAGCCACGATCTCGTTACAACCGAATGCATCGAAGATTGTCGAGGGCCAATGGGGTCTCTCGTCCCTCCTTCGCGACCAAGGATCAATGGTCGACGAGGCGTTTGAGATCTATAACACAGACGGGGAAATGCAGATGCGCATCCCGCTGGCGACAAAGTACGGGGCTGAGAGGATGATGTATCATCGTGCAGACTTACATTCTGTGCTGAAGCATCGGGCCACAGCAGACGAATATCCCGGGCGACCGGTTACCGTGAAGGTCTCGTCGAGGGTGGTTGGGTGCGATTGCGAAAAGGGAGTCGTGGATTTGGCTAACGGAGAGGCTATGCACGCGGATCTTATCATCGGGGCTGATGGGATCAAGAGTACTGTGCGAAAGGCGGTTTTAGGGGAAGAGGTGGAGGCAAAGAGAACAGGGCTATCTGCATATCGCACCATGATTACGACGGAGGAGTTGCGCAAAACTGACTTTGCAGATGTGATCGATCCATGCAGATCGTGTACTACTATGGTGATGGGGATGGATCGTCGTCTGATCATGGGTCCGGCGAGGAACGGTTCAATATACGGCATCGTAGCTCTTGTTCCGGACGAAAGCATGCAAGAGTCGTCGAGTAACACCAGTTGGACGACGGCCGGTGATCGGAATAAAATGCTGGATACGTTTTCTGCGTTTCCTGAGTGGGCCCAGCGACCGCTTCAGCTGGCTGGGGTCGTAGGGCTCTGGCAGCTGCGTGATTTGGATCCCTTGTCGAGTTGGTATCGAGGCAGGGTGTTGCTCATTGGCGATGCGGCGCACGCGATGTTGCCGACGCAGGGTCAAGGAGCCAGTCAGGCGATCGAGGATGCGGAGGCAGTCGGTGCCTTTTTCGCTGGATTCGAGGGGAAGAACGATCCAAAGTCGCTGGATGAGGTCGAGAGAGTCAATCGGGCAGTGTTTGAGTGTCGACATGAGCGGGCAACAACGATCCAGGCATACAGTCGGCAAGCAGCAAAGCCAGCCACTGATCCTGGGGATACAAGAGTGAAGATGAGTCCGGCGGAGTTTATGGACTACAACTGCTCCTACGGAGGGGCCATTGACTGGTCGTAGCGGCAGAAGGCACAGGTAGTCGCATAAGTGATTTCAAATGTAGAAGTCATACACTTGATGATCGAAGAAAGCGTCATAAGTACATTTGTATAGCTTAAGAATGCCACACAAGCCGTGAGTAATTGCCACCTTGTAGCACACACTCTCATCCAAACCACGTCCTGGCATATTCAACCGCCCCAAGAGCTCTGCGTAGCAATCCTAGTCGCTGATTCGATTTATAGTCCAGCAAGCCAAGCGACACCAAAACCACGAGAACGTTAATAGCACGCGAGCTGATCTTGAGCAACTTTCCACGACTACTGACCCTTCTCTCGTCCTCCAGAGTCCACTCTCGCTTAAATCCTAGACCATTCTTGACCCTGAGCCATTTCAAACCGTCCATGGAGTAAGGCGGGTGTGCTAAAGCCGAAAGTTTCGAGATCAACGGTCTTGGCCTGGCGATAGTGCGCATGTGAGAGAACTCCTTGAATCCCCATTGCCCGTGGTAGTAGCCGTGGCCTGACTCTCCGACACCACCGAAGGGAGCACCGGGGATGGCGGCATGCAGAGCCACCAAGTTGACGGTGACACCACCGGATTGGGTGGATGAGATGACTACTCGCGGTCAGGTTAAGTCAGACAATTTGTAGCAGGGTAACACGTACTGTGATCAATCTCCGTGTGGTCATGACCAAAAATGTATAGACCAAGAGGCGCGGGAAGACTGTCCAGGGGATTAGCAACCTCTTCGTGATTTAGAGGAATATGCTTACCTGTTAATCGAGTCAATGGCATCCTGGGTGGCCGATGTCATCACCGGGCAGATCGACCCAAATAATTCTTCGGAAAGCAGCGTGTCTGTGTTGATTAGCCTTCTGTAAACCTGAATGCTCAGAAAACCCCACCTTTCATATTGACATTTGACACAACAGACGGAGGGATCTGGCGCTTCTCGTTGCTCAAGGCCGCATCAGTTTCCACCCGGCCGTCCGTCTTCTCCAACAGACCCTTCAAGCGATCGTAATTTCTCTGGTTCACAATTCTCGTCATTCCTTCTTCTCCCTCCTTGAAATATTTGTTGAAGTAGAACGTCAACCGCTCCAACAGCTGTTTCTCGACGTCGGGATGGACAAACACATGGTTCACCGAGAGACAGATCTGTCCCGAATTGACAAACTTGATCCACGCGATGTCGCGAGCTGCGGCCTCGATATCAGCCGACTTGGTCACAATAGCCGGACATTGGCCTCCCAGTTCCAGAGTGGTGGGGGTCAGGTTCTTAGCTGCGGCGGCGGCGACATGTCTCGCTACATTCACCGACCCAGTAAAAAAGATGTGGTCGAATTTCCTCGCCAGGAGGCTCCCAGTCTCTGCTGCTCCTCCGGTCACCACCTGAATAGCGCTGGAATCCATGTACTTGGGAATCAACTCGACCATCAGATCCTGCGTGGCGACGGTGATCTCCGACGGCTTCAACATCACGGCACAGCCGGCTGTGATGGCCGCAATCAACGGCTGAAAGATCAGGGACGTGGGATAGTTCCAGGGCCCGATGATCAGCGCGACTCCAAGTGGCTCGTAGCGAATGGTCGGACGCAGCAGCCACTTCATGGGGAGCGGGCAGTCCGGTACCTGATCGGCTGTCCATTTTTCAATGTTCTGCACATGGTCCAGAAGGTCCATTTTTATGCCGCGCAACTCGCTGAGCACCGACTCGAACGGGTGGCGATGGAGATCGTGGTGGAGAGCATCGATAATCCGCTGCTCGTTATCCTCGAGAAGCCACCACAATTGCTTCAACTGCCATTTGCGCCAGGCGAGTTCTCGAGTGCGCCCCGATCGGAAGGTATCGCGGAGGGTTTGGTAGGCGGTTTCCACCTGGGATTCTGAAGTATATGTTGTAGACATTTTGCTTGTCGAATATCAAGAGATATGGAAGGTGTCAGAGGAGCAGGAGGTGGCAGGCAGGAAGTACTCGGAGAACAACAGCATCGATCGGCGGTGCCATCGAAGCGGGGAGACGGGCTTTAATTCCGTCTGCCTCGGAACAACGTGGGTCGCTTGGATATGAGCAATCTCTAGCACGAGTTAGTTGGTGCGTAGTTGGACTCGGCGGCTTTTGCTGCGTTCTGAGCGCGTCATGCTGCCTACGCCGTGCTGCCTAGTCGGACTAGTGAAACCATCCAACGGCGTTCCCTGTCCTGCGATCCAGAGTGACTCACTTGGCACACATCGGAATCATACGGCTTAGCTTCCCCTGGTTCTGACTGTTGGGGGGCGCAGGGATCCTAGCTCTTACGGCTATTTCAGGGGTTCTTTGTTTAGGATCCAACGCTGCTGCACGCCACCGTTTGCCTGATCTCCAGCCGTACTGGCTCGAGCCATGGTTTGCGGCCCTGTACCTGCTCTCTAGACCAATCGGATATGCTCATTTACGAAGCGGAAGCACGTTTCCTTCCTGGCAAAGTTGCTGAAACCGTTGCTCCCGCCAAGGAAATGAATGTCTCGGGAAAGGACTCTAGTGAAGCGGACCCACGCGATGGATATTTTTATCCCCTCGTATTATCACCAGCGCATAACACTGTTATTGCTGTTCAGATCTTACGGGCCTCCTTATGAAATCGTTGGCGGTGGCTTTCACTTGTTGCTGCGCTTTGACCTACAGCTAAAATGCATCGATCCTTATGCAGGGATCAAGGATCAGCCCTGTCGCAATACTAACCAGATTGGATGACGGTTCTGACACGGTCAATTGCGATGAATGATTTGTAAAATTGTAAGCCTTTTGTCGGCTGAGACATAAATTCAATAATGATATATTCCTGATAGTTCAGGATCCCAACTCTCTTCCAACTTTTTCTCACGCGGAAAACAATCCTCCTCCGGTGCAAATCCAAACAACATCAACAGGTCGTGAGTTACTCGTCCCCAAATCACAGCGCGCCTGTGGCTTGGCTCTGCTCGCCGCCGTTATCGTTCCCAGTGCTTATGCTCTGTAGCGGAATCGATTGGTTCTGTACGTCTATCGGTACAATGACATTCGGCTCGCTGTTGTAGTTCGTTTGGGTCACGTAGTTGTAAGCCGCGAAACCCAGTGATATAATGCCGAGATTGTAGGCGCCAAATTGGTACCACTGCTGATAAATATAGTTGACGCCTTGGCTGTCAATGATAAAAGAAGCCATCATGCCCAGTGCATTCACCCCTCGAAATGCGCCGGAGTATCGGGCGAGTCTGTAAGAGATGTCAGCTTCAAGACAGCATTTGAGAACATAGAGGAAGGAGACTCACTTCAATGGATCATTGGTAAGGGAGGTAATCACATACTGCGTTACCATTTGAAAGGTGCTAGAGGTAACAGGTCACATTACGAAGCGTTGAGATAGATGGGATGCTGCCTACCCGTATACCACTCCCGAAAGAATATAGGTATAACATGTTGACTTGAATGCCTCGTCTCTCCAGTCTGTCGACGGTCCGGGCCTTCTCCGGTCGACTCTATACATTAATAACCACACGGTCTGAATGGTGCAGGCTCCAACGGTAAACAAGGCCACGAGACAGATGGCAGCAAGGGTTCGAGCTCTTCTCTTCAAGAACGAGCTATCCAGGAATCGAGAGATTCCCCAACTAGCTGGGATCTGAACGGCGCTGAAAATGAAGTTGTTCAAACAGCGCGTGCGAATGTTGAAAAAGTACCCGTTCAAGGAGCTCTGTAGCGCCAGGGCAATCTCGCCCACCAGCATGGGCGGCAGAAGCTCCAGGAGCCCCGGCTCTGCGAACATCTTCAGATGACTCCATATTTCGGCCTTCCAAGTCGACTCGAAGCTTCTGGCAATGTTCTGTCCGTCACTGCGAACCACCGCAGACGGTCGCACGAGAAAGACGGCCGCAATGAACATGGATGCAACCTGCAGGCCCACGAGCGAGCCGTAAATGCTTTCCGGGACTCGCGCGTCGTCGGTCCTCTGGTGGAAATTGATGCCCAGCATCATGAGCGAGGCGATTGTTGACCCGGTTGCACAGCACATCCACTGGTACGTCACGTAGCGGGCCTTTTGCTTTTCCTCTGCATAGGAATACGCGATCGCTCCTGCCGACGTCCATAGCAGAGACGCGCACACTCCCTCTATGGCACCACCGAGATATGCCATCCAGGAGTGACCAGTCTTGTCGAGATACCATAATCCGCCTGCTGTCATGAGCTGGCTAGGCTATGTAGAAGGATATTCCCAGCGACGTACCGGTATATAAGGTGTATCCAACTGCGCTCAGGGCCATGGTCACTCTTGGGCCCATGAGATTCATGAGCACACCCCCAAGCCATCCCGTCAGGAAGAAAACGAGATACAAGATCCAATTGGCAGTGGCGGCGACAGCTAAAGAGCTGGGTCTACCACCACCGGCACCGAGACCGGTCAGTGCTAGATAGAAACCGGGTTGAAGGAACAACACCAATCTAGTTACATTGTTAACAGTTGAATCATCGCAGCCACTGGAGGGACTAACTTGCCCAGCGACGAAATTCTGAAATAGCGGGTGAGTGCGCTTTTCAAACCATCTTTTCATGACTTTGCCGATGCTGCCCATTTCGGCTTGTGGGGATGTTATTGGAGTGCTAGATTCGAACAACGCAAACGACGTTTAAACCAGATGATGAGATCGAAGAACAGGAAAGAATGATGTAACACTAGAATGACTGTCTTCGGGACTGTTGTTCAACAAATCATTCCTTCTTAGAATTCTCGCCCACCTCGCTCGTGCCCAGATGGCAAGCACACCAGGCAGGCTACGCAACGTGTAGGGTGTACTTTCCTCCACAATGCGAGACGACATCTTCTCCTTGGTTCAAATTTGTCTTTATTCTATCGCCGTAATTTCATTGCAAACTCTTCTTTTGTTGGGAATCATCTATTGTTTTCTTCGGGTCGGGTGTTTTGAAATAAGAACAGCTGTTATTTCCCTCCTTGTCGACTTGATTCATTCCAAAACGTCTCTCCGGCCTCTCTCCGGAGTGTGCCATACATTGAGCTACTGTCCAGACATTCACCGGCGTATTTCCGAGCTGCTTGCATGTTCCGATCGGCCACTTCTAATCCGGGCAGCTTCACGTTATTCTGACTGGCAATAGACAGTGCATGCGCTGCGTCTTTGATCGCCAGGGACACGCCAAAGCCTGGCCGTGTGTCGAGCGGGGGGGCATATATCCCACTGGTTAACCTACAATATCCAGGTTAGATTTAGTTGACCCAATTCTCTCATACAACACTCCTTACCGCTGCGAATATCCGCCCGCCACGGCCCCGAATGACTCCGATATCAACTCCTGCATGGCAGCATCGCCGAGCCCCGTTTTCTCCGCGAACACATGTGCCTCCCCAACTGCTTCCATGAGATTGAGCGTGATGATATTTCTGGTCGCTGTCAGCTTTCACCTGTGAATCGTGCAATGTGCCCTTACCCTCCGACTTTTAGAAGGGCCGCATTCTGCGCCTTCTCTCCACAGTCGATGATCTTCCGTCCCATGACGTCGAGAATGTATCCCTTGACCGTTTCGACATTCTCGCTAGGTCCACCGATCGCAAAGACAAGCTTTCCAGATGAAGCAATCGCTGGTCCACCAAATACCGGCGCGGAAAGAAACCTCCCTCCATTCATGGCAAGAAGCTCGGACACGTTCGCAGCCGTATCGGGGTGGACTGTGGAGCAGTCGACAAACACTTTCCCTTGTATTTGACCGTCGTTGGCGACGCCTCGCATTAGGTCTTGCAGTACACCATCATTTGCCACCTGATGCTTGTGTTAGATGTGGGGTCTGCAAAACCATGGGAGGAGCCTACCATTGTGAAGATCAGGTCACAATTTGCTACCAAATCACCATAGCTGTATGCAGGCACCGCGCCGAGAGCTTCTAAATCTGCGCCCGTCGACATGGTGCGATTATAGTAGGTCAGGTTTGGTTGTTCATAATTTGCGAGATATTGTTGCAGGTTTTCGGCCATGGGTCGGCCCATAGATCCTAGGCCGTACTTTGAATTATCAGTCTCGTATTTAGTTTGACTCTGTCTGGAGCACTCACCCAGCCAATACGGGGACTCGATGGATTTCTCATGGTGACTAGACTTGAATGCCTGGACTAGAGAATTGCATTCAAGTATTATCTTCATTGCTATCTATATACTATCTAGTTATGACTCAAGATTGCTCTTCTCGGCCGACTCCATCTAACCACCCGCCATTGGAACCTTGTCGGATGCACATCCGATCTTTCGATCTGTTTTCTCGGTGATTATCCTTGCTCTAAGTTCTCTCCTTGCTTTCTATTTTGCCCCGCATTTTCAGAGGGTTGACAATGTCAATAACTCCTTCTGCGTTCAATCCAGCGCTCAGACTAGGTACCTGCCTAGTTTTATGGTCGAGCGTTGTTCACAACATCTTACATACCCAAGTTCCAAACACTACGCTTCTGACTAACTCACTGTGTGTAGGCCTTAATATCAATCCATTTCTGGTGATCAAGCTTTAAGGAGAGCAGGAAACTTGTGGAAGTCGCTATCTCTCGGATTCGGGCCGCGGTCCGATGGCTGGGCAATAGCCGTCAGTCTTCTCGCTCCTAGGATGAATCTTTTTGAACAATACTCGATGTTCTAGTCTTCCGGTTAGTCTATAATGGCCTATTATGCTTTTGGTTGTTCTATCTTATTTAATTACTGAGGTATGCATCGGTCGCAGAAAGCCCAAAGCACCAGAGAGGAAATAGAATATATATCTTGCATTGGAAGGTAGTCTTTCCAGACCCGAAGTTAACTACGACGATTTCTTCACAAAGTATCCTACAACAACATCCTACAAGCTTAAATCAAAGCGAAAGGTGTAGGTAAGTCAGGGCAATATGAGGGGCCCAAAGACTCAATCCCTGGTTCATCCATGCCTTCGGCTGTTGCCCGAGACGCCGGGAATGCCTCCGAAAGGGCGTGTTCGACATCCACGGCTGCATTCAGCCTGATAACCCCGAGAGTAGCACAGTTGTGCAATGATCGGTCCCAGTACTATCTCGTAGGCCTTATCATCTCTCGCATTGGTTCCACAGTCTGTTCGTGCGGGGTCGAGCGAGTCATGGCGATCACCCACTCAGGAGCAGCTCCTTCCCTCCACCATTGTCCAACACTCTCGCATACACCGAACTGCCCTCATCATGTCTACAAACATATCCAAGCCCTGGCTGAATCGGGTCCAGCCTCCAGATCTCACCCTCGTCAATGTCAATATTGTGGACGTCAGCGCCGGTCGCATCATCCCCAGCAGCGGCGTTCGTATCCGCGACGGCGTTATCGCGGGGATCGGCCCAGCGGAGCAGATTTCCAGTCCCGAGTCCACGACAGTTGACTTGCAAAATCGCTATCTCTGTCCCGGACTGATTGACTGTCATGTGCACTTAACAGCGACGCCGGGAAGTCCCTTACTGAAGGACCTGTTCGCGACCAGTCCGAACGCGATCGCTTATCGCACCGCGTATGTCGCCCGGGAGATGCTGCTGCGTGGGTTCACAACGGTGCGAGATACCGGCGGTGCCGACGCGGCGTTGAGAGATGCCATTGCCGAGGGTCTTATCACTGGTCCTCGCCTGTTCATCGCTGGGAAGGCGCTCTCACAGACGGGCGGACACGGGGACTTTCGAGCTCCGTATCAGGGCGACGAAGCGAAGTGCTGCGGGGGCCATTCGCCGTCGCTGGCAAGGGTGTGCGATGGCGTTCCGGAGTGTCTGGCAGCTGTAAGGGACGAGCTGCGCCAAGGGGCTAATTTTATTAAGATCATGGTCGGCGGTGGAGTGGCGACCCCGACCGATGCGCTCGATATGCTGCAGTTCACGGCCGAGGAAATCCAAGCCATCACCACCACCGCGGCGTATTCGAACACCTACGTCACGGCACACGCGTACACCACGAAGGCGATACGTCATGCAGTGGACAACGGCGTTCGCGGCATTGAGCATGGGAACTTCATCGACCCGGACACGGCCAGGTACTGCCAGAAAAAGGGCGTTGTGTTTACACCCACCCTGGTGACGTATAAGGGCATGTCGGAGCCGCCGTTTGACAACTTTCTGGATGAGTTTAGCCAGGCTAAGAATCAGCAGGTGCTGGCGAGTGGGCTCAAGGCGCTGGAAACTCTCCGGGATGCGGGCATCACTATCTGCTACGGGTCCGATCTCCTGGCGGGCATGCATCCGCTGCAGAATCAAGAATTCAGCATCCGATCGGGTGCTTTGAGTTCGGTGGATATTTTGCGTTCGGCGACCGTCAACGCGGCAAAGTATATTGGAATGGAAGGAAGGTTAGGCGACGTTAGGGAGGGGGCAATTGCAGACTTGCTGGTTCTGGATGCGAATCCGCTAGAGGATGTTTCTATCCTGGATAGAGTTGACCAGGCCTTAGCGGCGATTATCAAGGATGGACGCGTTGTGACGAGCAGGTTGGAGAGTCTCTCCGTTGATGCTTTGTATGATCCACATCGCATTCAGCATTAAGCGCAATCTGATTCTTCCTCTATTTGGCAAGAACAAGTCAAACATTCATTTAGAATTTATTTGTGCTTCCTGAGTATGCTCTAGGTGGTTCAAGTCTAATTATAGGCAGAAGACACAAATAGACTTGCAGTCAAAAGCGCAGAGCGAGCGTTGAATGATATCATAATTTGAACCTTGCAGCTCATTATCGTCACCAAGGCCTGCGCCAGCCATAAACCTTACTACAAATAACCTTATATAAAAAACCTGCGTTTAAACTTCGGCGTATGTGGGATCAGCATGTCAGGACCTTTTCCCCTGTCTCGGCCCAAGTTTGTTACTCTATAGAGTCACCCTGTAGTGTAAAAGAACACAAGTTTCATGGATCGATAGATCCTGGGACATGGCATACTTGCTTCCACTTACATATCCCTGTCTCTGTTCTCTCAACTTCATGTGATGCGATCATATGCATTCGGAGGTTATAAGTACACCTGGTGGATCATGGGCAATCACAATCACACAGAGAACACATTTTTCCATTCTCCCAGCTTAACCAGCATCTCCTGTGCCATAATTGATCACAATGCAGCAAGCCAGCCTATCCAATGTCTTGAAGCCCGCGCTTTCCAGCTCCCAGGAATGCATCGTTCCTCTTTCCCCTGATATTTGCTTCGGCTCGGGTAGGTAAATGTCATAGATCTCTTCCATTGATCCAGACGGTTAACGCCGCCAGTAACCATGGGTGGCTACATGCCCTGCCTTGCAGCCCAGTATGCCTCGCACTATGCATCCCAGCGTCCTGGCCTAGAATCCCAAGCTAGTCTGCGGTCAATGAATGCCCAGTACTATCGACCTTTGTTTCCTGCCAGAGGCCCGGTTCGCATGGCCCTCCGCGAGATCAGCGTTGGAAAGGCCTGGTCGACCCTAAGAGTGGAGGTGTTTCAGCCAACAAAGTGTACCGAGATGGCCATCTCCGTTGACATGCTGTACGTGTTCCTGATCTCTCCTGCGGACAGCAAGTAATAATACCTCGGATTCTCCAACCGATCTGCATCATCTCTAACTCGACCGACCAACTGGACTATCCATCCACCCCCTCGTCCTGTCGATCTCACGAAGTTGGAAACTCACACCGACCCCGGCTGGATATGCTATCACACGTCATTCAAACCGAACGGGTTCCGACGAGCCCATTCCTATCTGAAACATTTTATCCCTGTCGACTGGTTCCCCGAGACCCCATTCATTGAGCAGTGGGTAACCCCCGGCTGGGACTGTGCGCCGTCCGGCTCATCTCTACACTCCAAAGAGAGTTCAAATGATGACGGGATGGAGAACGACCCCCGAGCTCGTTGGACCACCGATATGATCCCCTTCATAATGGACGCGAGCCTACCTCCCGAATGCAATTTCCTGCCCAGCAAACATGACCTACAGTTAGTCAGTATGACTGCGTTTCTACGGTATGCCGCCGCCCAAAAGAAAGCACGGGAGCGAGGCGAGCCAAATTGGAGGGACGTGCCGAACGATGGCTCGGAAGGCTTTGATGCGTCGATAGTCAACGTGGCCCTGGCGATGTCCATCGACATTCGGCAGGAGTTGCCGGCTGAAGGCGTCCGGTGGCTTTATTTGAGGAATGAGGTCAAGTGTATCCGGAATGGGGGGGTCCACGTGGAGGCAACTCTGTTTGATGAGAAGATGAGGCTGGTGGCCGTCAGTCATCAGACCGGACAATTTGTGTCAGCTGGGAAAAAGAGAATGAAGAAGACGGAGAGCCGGTTGTAAGGGCTGAGGCGCATTACTTTCAAAATTCAAATGGTTCTGTGAGAAGTAGTATCTCTGAGCTCACGCCCTTTTATTACATGCACCTCCCTACCAGCATTATAAGACATTAAACTTTTATATATACCACCCTTAGCACCCCTTGTCCTCGCCGTTGACCAGCAACATTGTCTACAGAATCCGACCCTTCACCTGGTGAATCTTCTTCACGTTCACATCCTTCCACATAACCACCGATCCCAGGGTGAAGATATACAAGCAAGTCGCCGCAATCAACATCAGCCGCTGCGTCTCGCTGTAGCTGCGATTGATCGCATTCCGCGCGTCACTCCCGATCGGATATGCCGCCTGCACATTCAAATCGCCATAGATGCTGGCGAAATTCTCCATCTCACTCGCAGGGAGATATTTCATCAGCTTCTCGGGGAAGATGCCCATCCACATGGCACCGGCGATCGTAGAACCCACGGCACTTCCGATCGAGATTACAGCGCCTTCGATAGCCAAGACGGCGGGGATATCCTGCTGCGTGGACACGGCCATCACGGTCATTTGTTCGCAGATGACGAGCGTGCCGCCGCCGAAAGCGATGAAAATCTGACACATGACGATGTAGCCGATGTTAGTGTCTGCTTCGCGGAATTTGATCATCAGGCCGACGCCGAGGATGGTGATGGGGACACCGAAGTAGAGTGCGGTCCACTTCAGACGGCCGTTGTACCGGATCAGAACACCCATGACGAGACTCCAGAAGCAGGAGCCCACGGTGTAGATGTTGGTGATGTATGTGGCGTGGGTGACGGATTGGTTCATCACGACGATCAGCAGGGAGTAGAAGTAGTTGTCCCACATGTACCAGGCCGTGTAGATGGATGCTGCCATGGTGTAAGTGAAGAAGACGGTCGGGTTCTTCATGAGCTTCCACGGGATGAAGGTGACTGGGGCCCAGAAGCGTTCGTACAGTGCGAAGGCGATGATGAGGAGACCGCCGATCGTCACGAAGCAAATAATGAGCGGCGAGCGCCATCCGTCGGGCTGCTTGGTGTAGAGGTTAAACGAGAGCAGGAAGAGCGCGATACCGGTAACGAGGAAGAGGAGGCCCAGCGCATCGAATTCCCTCAGGTAGTATACAACCGACTGCCACCAGGAGCGGTTGCTCGTGCGCTCGGGCACCAGTCCTGCTTTGATGGCCTTCCGCTGGTTGTAGTAGAAGAGGAAGAAGAGAGGCGAGCAGACGACGGGCAGGATGATTGCCCAGATGCCGAATCCCCAGCGGAATCCCATCGTCTGGAGCACACTGTCTGCAGCGGGACCGTATGCCCAGGTGGTGGCGATGTAGGGCGACGCGATGAACGCGATCCAGAAGGCTCGGTTTTTGAGGGCGGAGGTGTCGGCGATGAAGATATCCATGGTGAAGTTCATGCCGCTGGTGCCGATCGCGTGGAAGACCTGCGCAGCGCAGTATGTTTCAACGTTATTGCAGCCGGCCATCATGATCAGACCGACCGTGAGGGAGCCGAGCATCAGCGCATAACCCTGCGGTCGGCCCCAGATGTCGATGAGTTTGGCGTAAGGCAACTTCATTAGACCGCCCATGAGACTGGATAAGATCTGCGTCGTGGCCGTCAAGGAGTGCTGCTGGAAGGAACTGGTGACATATGGCGTGAGGACTCCGATGATTCCGGACGCAAAGGCCATGACGAAGTGAATGATCCAAATCCTGCAGCATGCCTCATTAGCCGGGATTATTGAAGAACGCGAGATCACGACTCACAGAGCATAAGCCAGAATAATATGCTGCATCGACCAGACTTGGGTCATGGCCTGCGCCGTCTGCACACCATGCTGGAAGTTTGGATTGACCAGCTCGCTCTCGCTGTCCGACCCAACTGCAGGGGCCGATGCCTGTGCCTCCTTGCTGTAGGACTCGGGAACGGCTTCATTGTCGTGTCGAACTTCCTCCTCGGTCACAGGGACCTCGTCCGCCTTGAGGGGAAGTCTGAACTTCATCTTATCGCGACTGTTGTGAGTGCCAGATCAGACAGCTCCTCCGTCCACGGGCAGATCCATTCCTAAATACCGCCATGTTTGCCCACCGGGGCGGCGGTGGCGGGAAAATCCGGTTGGCAATCCGAGTTACATTCCAAGCCCTCGCTTGCACTAGCGTTGAGAAACAGCAAGGACCAGGGCCATTTGGGCAGACCAACAGGACGCTACGCATAGATTCTCACAGGTCAGGGCCCTGGATTGGTGGGGTTCAAGAACAAATTTGCTTTATCTGATGATCAGATAATTTGATTGAGTTCGGCCCACTTGCAGATTGTGGTTAAAACGGCGTCGGTAGTGCGCGCTTGCGATCCTTTAGACGGTCTTGGGGGCGTCCGTTGGTCGGAGGTTTTACATAAAAGGACAAGGCTGTGTATGCAAGTAATTGGGGTGTGACCAGGCAGAAAAAAGCACAAAAGAAAAAAAGTTCAATTCAGCTACATCTCCACCAGTCAGACCACCAACTCTGACTCAATCCAAGTCGAGGAAATACTGGATGCTGCCACTCAGCGCCGCTGCGATCACGCTGCCATGATCTTCATCCGGATACTCCCTGATCTCAACGGATCGCAGTTGATCGCCACGCACCAGTCGATCGTACATTTCCTTACAATTGTCATTCATGCGACGTTCCATTTTGCCCTGAACCCGTTGTTGAAAACTCTCATCGGACTCGCCTCTATCGCGAACAGGAAATTGCTCCCGCGACCCATAGCACAGGCGAAGGGCTGGCCGAGGATCCAGACCGGAGTCTACAAGAAAGCGCGATTCCTCGGCGAGGATAAACCGGTCATTCCACCAAATCGAGGGACTAGCCGCTAGATAAGTGTCGAAGCTAGCCGGGCGTGTAAACAAGGAGTGGAGCACGAAAAGCCCGCCGTAGGAGTGACCGAACAGCGCCGTCCGCCCCAGCTCGAGGCGTGGAAATATCGAGCCAAGCAGGACCGGCTGCACCACCGTCGTGATTAGCTGAAGAAATTTATCCGCGCCACCGTATGCATGCGCCTGGCTTTGGCCGTCGGGGCCCTTGGGTGCCGTGAATTCCTCACACGGAGGCGTCAGGTCATACCCTCGTCGCGCATCCCAGATATTGGCTGTATCTGCCAGTGGGTATCCGACACCGACGACGATGGTGCCCGGTTCGTCCGGTCGCAGGGCCTGTCGTCGTCGCACGGCTTCCGTGGCAGTCAGGAACATAGCATTGCCGTCCACCACGTAACTGTGGTCGCATTTGTTATTCCACCGTGCTGGGGATCGGGGTACATGCAGGATGCGACCTACAGCACATTGGCACGAGTAGACGGGTCCGCTGGCCAGTCGAGTGGCCAGGAGACTTGGATGAGATGGCCGTCAGTGTCCGGCCCATCCGCAACACGCCACGAGGAAACATTCCGCAGCGAGAACTCGTCCGAACGCGTGAAGGACCATCCCCCGCCAGGATTCGAGGATTCTGTCGGCAATTTCTCGGCCATGGCTAAGACTTGACCAGGATTCTGAAAGCACCAATAGCGAAACAGCCCTACGGTCTCATGTGAATGGGAAAGCAAGGACAGTCAAATACAACGACCGCTGCAACGCCAAGACCGGTGCAACCACCTGGCCTTAGACCTCGCTTGAGAGCACCAAGACGGGCAAGGAGCTGGGGACTTCAAGAACCAATTGCCAGCTAGAGAACGGAGACGAGAGCTCCGAAAGCGGAGCCTCGCACAGCGAGGGCGAGCAGTGAACAGAACTAGCAAAACTGGGAGACCAAAAACGCTGGCGACGAGGGCTCGCGGTCAACTTCCGGCCTTGGCGGGCTTGGCACTCGTTATCTGATTCGATCGATCGATTAGATTAGATAGACATTCCATACACTACCTATACTCTTCGAGAGCCACCACGCAATGCATCCCCGCCGAATACGAGGCCTCGGCTTGACGGCAGAAAGGCTTGTTAAAAGCCGTTGGCCCGCCTTATGGTGATGAGCCACGTGCTTTTATGCTTCTTCGGTTGCGTTCGTCCTGTGGGAACCTATACTGTCTAGCTGATGATGGCAATCAATCCAGATAGAGGAAAAGAGATCGGGGTGTCGATTGATCAACCTCACGAGGTGACTATGGACAGTTCCAACAACGATGGCCTTCAACAGTGTCTTTCTCCGAGAAAGGATGTGGAGCGAGCGCCCGACGCGGACAGCCTACAGGCTAGTGTTCAGCGTGCAGATATACTGCGCAACACCTGGAGCAAGCAAGGCTTGATCATAGCTTTTGTGGGGTACGATTGCACTCTTACTTGTGAAATATACATCGGATCGCTGACTTCACTTTTGTTAGACTCTTCTTAGCTACTCTTGCTATCAACTTTGGTGATTATGCCACCCAGGTTTATGTTCCCTATACCACCAGCGCCTTCAAACAGCATTCCGCCATGGGCGCTGCTCGAGTAGTCATGAACATCACGCGTATATCGGCCTATCCAATTATTGCAAAGCTCGGTGATGTATGATATCCGGTACCACATCTCCGGTGGTCGCTAACGTGTCCCAGGTTTTCGGTCGAGCCGAGATGTTTATTCTTTCAATCTTCGCCTCTGTGCTTGGATATGTAATCTATGCGGCCTGCCAAGATATTCCTCAATACATTGTACTCATGACCAGACCCCTGAATGTATCACGCTAACGAATGTAGGCAGCGGGAATATTCGAGGCCATCGGTTCTACTGGCTACGCCCTCACGCAGCAGGTTTTCGTTGCTGACGTTACCAACCTGATCAACCGTGGTATCTGGTCGACACTCCCAGATTCATTAACGACCATTCCCACGTTATATCTCGGAACGATAGTTGCCCAGCGCATCTTGGATCATTCTACCTGGCGCTGGGGATGGGGCATGTGGGCAATTATTCTTCCAATTTGTTCGGTGCCCTTGATTGCGACCATGCTGATTTACCAGCACCGTGCGTCAATCAAAATGTCCAACTCTCCAAGACCTGAGCCCGCAGTCTCAAATCCATTATGGAAGCAAACCTTTGATCTTCTCTGGGTTCAACTTGACCTGCCTGGAGGAATCCTTCTTGTTGCCGGTCTATCTCTTCTTCTTATCCCGCTATCCCTTACCGGTGCCAATAACAGCAACGCCTGGCATAAGGGATCGTTCATCGCCATGGTTGTTCTTGGTATTATCCTCCTGATCGCCTTCTTCGTATGGGATGCATGGTTTGCCAAAAAGCCTTTTGTCCCGTACCGGATGATTAACAATCGCACGGTCGCAGCAGCATGCATTCTCGGCGCACTTGACTTCTTTCATTACTCTGTGTTCTCGGTCTTTTTCACCAGCTATCTCCAAGTTGCAGGGCATTTCAGTGCTGGTCACGCAACCAGAATCGAGTAAGTCTCTTGATAGTATAGTAAACTGAATTGGGATCGATAGTCTGATAAAAGAAAAACAGCAACTCTCTACGCGTCGCCTTCCAGGTATCCGGCATATTCGTGGCCTTCTTCATGAAATACTCAAAACGCTCTCAGATATGGGTTTTTAGTGGCGTTCCTCTCTGTGTACTAGGCATGGGCGTCTTGCTATACCTGGTGGACATGGGCAACGGAAAGGCAGGTAACGAAGCAGCCTTTGTGACGGCCAAAGCATTGATCGGTATCGGTCGTGGATTCTACCAGACGGCTTCTCAGGTGTCGGTACAAGCGGTTGTTACCAGGCAAGAGGTTTCCGTCGTAACAGCGGTCTTCTTTGCTTCGATGAGCGTTGGAGGGGCCATTGGGACTAGGTTCGTATCCGTCCTTTCTTTTCTGATAGACTATCTCTTCTAACAGATAGGTGATATACAGTGTGGCTGGCGCAATATGGCGCAGTACCCTTCCGTCGAAGCTCCAAACCTATCTCCCCGACGATGCCAAGTCGCAAGCAAAGGCCATCTTCGGGTCCATTAAAGTGGCACAGAAGTATCCGCTTGGAAGTCCAATTCGAGACGCTGTCGACCGCAGCTATCGCGAGTCTCAGAGGCTGTTGGGTATTGCTGGGTTGGCTGCTTTGGCGCCCATGTTGATTGTGATGTTCTTTTTGAAGAATGTGAAGTTGGATGAGAGACTGGGGGCTGAGGATGGGGAGGGCGAAGGTCCAACGGAAGGCCATAGGGCTGAGAGATGATGGTATTCCAGGCACAAATGGACTTGGGTATCGTAATTTGATTGAACGTGGTCAATTGAGCTTGTGGCGTCAACATATATATATATGAAACCTGCAGTCGGTTGAGTGGATGTGGCAAAAAAGAAAAAAGAAAAAGAAAAAAAGAAAGAAAGAACGATCATATACTTGAAGGTCAGATTTTCTGAGGAGCAGAAAATAACGCAGCTATACTTCCGTTGTCTGCAATCATATACTAGAAATTATTTTGTATAAAGCCCACTAAAATAAGACATGCATACTTTTCCTATCTATTCCTTAAACCTAGGCAAAAGCTATACTCTGTTCAGCTTACCACCAATCCTCATCGGATGGGTTATCTACTATAAATCAGAAAGCATGTTCCAGTGGGAAAATCGCAAAGGGCAAGAAACAAGCTGTCGCACACGGGCAAAAGGATCCAGTCTACCATCTCACTGCACGATCTCAACTCCACTCGCCTTCCCTTTGTCAGTATCTTCGCCTTCCATGCGCTCATCAAACACCGCACTGATCTCCTCGAGCGTCATGTTCTTCGTCTCGGGAAACAAGAACCAGATCACCACCGCCTCTACAAGGCACCACAATGCCGTGATCAAATAAAAGGCCCAGCTGGACCAATCCATCGCGTAAGGGATAACATGCGTATTGAAGAAAGCCGCTAGATAGCAGATGCCGTTGTAGGAGGCTAGGCCGTTGGCGCGTAGGGAGTAGGATAGGACTTCGATGGGATAAAGATACGATAGGGGGGTCCAAACGAGGGAGTAGCAGCCATAGAAAAGAAAGATGAGCACGATCTGGCCTGCGGAGCCACCTGGGGATGGGTTTGTTGAGAATACTTTCGTCATGATAGCGACTGCAATTAGGAGGAGGGACATTCCGATTGTTGAGATAACTGTAGTGCCGGGTTAGTTTGATGAGATACCAAGGGAGGAAGGTATGTCAAAGGTATTATTACGAAATGATGGTCGTCGGCCGAGTTTATCGACGTAAAAGCTACCCACTATGGCGCAAACGAGGTTGTATATGCTCAATCCAATGTTGATAGCTAGCTGTGTTTGGACTGAGGTAATTCCAGAACCGGTGAGGACACTGCCAAAGTAGTAGGTAATGATATTGTTCCCGGATATTTGGCAGAAGACTAGCAGTCAATGAATGTCAGTATGTGGACAATTTAAATTATTACGTTGCTATAAAAGGCAAAGTTGGATGAACAAACCAGCCACAAGGACCACGATCAAGAGGCGTCTCCTATTCGATGTGGTCGACACCAGTGCCTTGAAGTCTGTCTTCTGTACAGATTTCTCATATCGCAATGTCTCCTGAATCTCTTCATACTCGACGCTCACGATTGGTGCCGACGGATCTCCAGCTCCATGGTACTTCACCAGAACTGCGCGGGCCTCCTCGTATCGGTCCTTGTAAATCAACCACCGAGGACTCTCGGGAATGAAAGGAAGTGGAAGAAGGCAGCAAATAGAGGGCAGAAACTGGAGCAGAGATGGACATCTCCAGGTCCAGGTATTATCAATATACTGAGTGCCGTAGGTAATCGCTGCCGCCATGACGCTGCCCACGTACCAAGCAGCACCACATATACTGGTGAGCATGACTCGGTGGCGAGGATGAGCAGTCTCAGAAATATAGGCCGGGGCAGCAGTGGCGCAAGTGGTGATTGACATGCCAACAATTAGGCGACCGATGCAAAACATTGCCTCGTGCACTGCGGCGGCTTGGATGGCTGCACCGGACATCGCCAGAAGGGAAGTCAAGGCAATTCCCCATTTCCGTCCCCAGCGGTCAGACCACCATCCTGCGAAGACCGTTGCAATCACACTGCCGAGAAAGACGATAGCAACGTTGAGAGATGTGGTGGCTGTAGTCAATTGGAAATATTCTGTGTACGATGGAAGGATTTGGAGGCCATTCTGCATCAATTGTTAGAATCAAGTCAACGTCCTGTATTTCTGAGAGGAGATAAGTGAGATACCATCATGGAAGCATCATATCCCTGCGTTGCGGACGTGAACGTCGCGATAAAACAAAGCATAAACACCAAGAATTTCCCATCCTTGTTCAATTTGTCAGATCCTTCTTGATCCATAGTTTCGACTGTGTTCGCAGGAAAGTTGGGGTGGCTGCATACCCCTGCCACTCATCACACGTTATTGGACTCTATTTAAGTACAATCGCCAGGTCGGGGAATTCCACTTCGTAGAACTCAATAGCGGGGTACCATACTTGTTTTATTCGATAATACAGATAGGGAACAGGGATTTAAATGGCCAATGCTATGCCGATAGACAAGAAATCTGGCGGGAGGAGCACTAACGGTGCCTGTCTCAAAGCTAGTGCCCAATATGGTATGGCGATGTCGTTGGTGACTTATAGAACGATGAATCATTGGCTGTGTTCATCCCCGAAGCGTAGGATGCAGGCATGATCCTGTAGGACCCCCACGCCAAATCCTACGCTCATCGATTACCGATATTTTGCCGATGGTTGTTGAAAGTCTACATCGGCCTAGGAGGCATAAAGGCCGGAGGTGCTCACTCCCCATGAAGAATGAACCCTTTCCAGCGGATGCTTCAACAAGACAGCGATACACGATGGCTCCATCTAAAAATGTTAAAGAGCTTCTTGATCAATTGATCTTGGAGGAGAAAGTCTCTCTCGTATCCGGAGCAGATGGCTGGCAAACCCACGAAATCCCACGCTTGGGAATAGGCTCTCTGAAGGTCACTAAATTCCATCAAGCAAGATTTAGAGGAACGAATCGCTGACAGATGAAGACAACCGATGGCCCAGCTGGTGCGCGCGGGAAACTGTCAGTTGGAGGATCAAAAGCAATATTTCTCCCGGCGCCAGTAGCCCAGGCTGCGACGTGGTCGAAAACCGACGTCCGAGCGATCGGTCGCGTCCTGATGATGGAGGTACAATCTAAAGCAGCCCAGATTGTGTTGGCACCCACAATGTGTTGTATTCGCAATCCACTCGGTGGCCGCAATTTCGAGTCTTTTTCCGAAGATCCGTTTCTCAGTGGCACACTGGCGATCGAATACGTCGCTGGAGTACAGGAAACGGGGACGGTCGCGGCCACGGCGAAGCATTTGTAGGTGCGATCCTAAATCCTTAATTACTATTCGATCTGACTGGGAATAAGCGTGGCAAATGAGCAAGAATTCGAGCGGTTCACGGTTAATGCTCAAATCAGCGAAAAAGCCCTCCGCGAAATCTATCTCCGCCCATTTGAAATGCTGATCAAAGGACCTAATCCACCGGGGTGTATAATGACATCCTACAACTCAATCAATGGGTTGCACGCAGACATGAATTCGAAAATCATCCAGCACACATTAAGAGATGAGTGGCAGTATAAAGGCCTCGTTATGAGCGATTGGGGTGGCACAAATTCTACGGCAGAGAGTCTGATCGCAGGCTGTGATCTAGAAATGCCGGGTCCTTCAGAGCGAAGGGGAAGTAAATTGCTGGAGGCCCTCGAGAAAGACAATAGTGGGAAATTGGAAGCAGCTCTGGAGCTCTCCTGCGAACGGATTATCTCCTTGCTGGGGACGATGAACCTTTTAGGGCTTTCCGAGTCAGCTGCCGTGGAAAGCAGATATGGAGAGGAAAAGTCCTCCACCGCCTCTACTGACATCCAGACTGTACGCGATGTAGTCGGCAACGGCCTCGTGCTTTTAAAGAATTCAAACAATATCTTACCCCTTTCCTCGGAGAAGGTCGCAGGCAAAAGAGTTGCCTTCATAGGCCCGAACGGGCAGGTCGGTGCAGCGGGTGGTGGCGGCTCAGCAAGTATGAATCCCCAGTACCAGAGTCACCCCATGGAGGCTTTTAAGCAGCGTGCTGTCGAGCTTGGGGTTGACATTGACGTGCAATATGCAATCGGCTGCCATAATTACAGATGGCTTCCTCTCGTGTCAAAATCCCAATGGCGTGTTGGCGGGGAAGACGGGGTTTTAAGGTTGGACTTTTTTGATGCTCCTGGGTGTGCAGGGCGTCTGATTGAAACTCAATATCGCGACAATTCGCAAATGGATCTCTTTGATACGGCACCTGCAATGCTTCAAGGCAGTATCCGACCATACTCCTTCCGGATGTCCTCGACTGTGACCCCTCGCACTACGGGCAGACACTCGTTTGGGGTCACAAGCATCGGGAATTCGCGCCTGTTCATCAACGGGGCACTTTTGATTGACAACTATGACTGGACAGAGCCGGGAGAAATGTTCTATTCCTTCGGAAGCGCGGAGGTATGCCATTCCATAGACATGGTGGCCAATCAAACGTATGAGGTCATTCTTGAGTCGTCATCCAAGACGACAAATGATCCATCCCCGGAAGAGTCTTCCACAAATGTTTTTGGAATTCAGCCGTCTGTCAGACTCGGATTTCTCGAGGAAGTGCCAGATAATTTGGTTTCTGATGCCTTGCAGCTGGCCAAGAGAAGCGACTTCACTGTCGCCGTTATCGGACTGAACGAGGAATGGGAAAGTGAAGGTTTTGATCGGCAAACGATGCAGCTACCAGGATCACAGAACGAGCTAATTCAGACCCTTCTGACTGGGATGACACAACCCTCTAGCCTGATAATTGTCAACCAATCCGGCTCGCCCGTGGAAATGCCGTGGAGCGATGATGCCGGAACGATTCTCCAGGCTTGGTATGGCGGTCAAGAGGCTGGCAATGCGCTTGCGGATGTTCTATTGGGGCAAAAGAGCCCTTGCGGACGACTCCCCATGACTTGGCCCCGGAGATACGAGGATCTCCCATTCTCCGCTGACGCAGAATCCTGGCCGGGCGTGAACGGCCAGGTGTGTTACAAGGAAGACGTTGAGGTGGGCTATCGCTGGTATCCCAGTCATCGGGTTAAGCCGCAATGGTGGTTGGGAGAGGGGCTTAGTTACACGACATTTTCAATGAAGGGCCCCGCAATCATTCTTCATGAGGCAGGTCTTACGTTTCATGTCGAGGTCGTAAACGACGGCCGAATTGCTGGGCAGGATGTCATTCAAGCATACTCCTGGTTGTTGGGTCGCCCCGAGGCAAGACAGCTAGTAGCTTTCGAAAAATCATCGGTATTAAGCCCAGCCGAGAGTCAGACTATACGACTTCAGATTACATTCAGAGACATGGCGCATTGGAACGAGAGCTGTTGGGTGTTGGGAAAAGGGGCATACATGATAGGCATTTGCGAAAACGCCGGTGGTGCGGTCCGCGTGTCCCATGAATTCACTATTGACGAAGACATGAAATGGATCCCTTGAATTATGTGAACAGAAAAGCAATACTATTCCAATGACTGATCTAAACTTTCTATCTATCCCTTATGCTACATTGCTTACGACCGTTTTCTGCCAGAATGATATAACTAAGCCATAGGAGATTCTCAAATTTGATAAAACAGATCATGTTTAGAAATGTTAGTACTACTAAATTACCTGGTAAAAGCACTCAACATGGGTTGTATGCGAAGCAAGGAAACCAATATAAAATTTCGGTTGATTACTAATAAAGCCTTTCACAACGCAAGCCAGATAAATAGCATACACTCTGGTACTGGCCCCTGAAATCTCATTAAAGCACGAACACAACTAAATCAATAAATCTCGCAAGAAGGTCGAGGCAATAGTGGTGAGTAGTTCCAGTTCCTGACACTCACGGCTGATCCGAGTGAGCTTTGTCAAGGTGTTCCTTCAATTTATCCCTCCTACTGAATGTCTTTGGACATCGTCGCACGCAACATCTGTATGCACCTGGCGATATGTGCAAGCTTCGGATGTGTCGAACTAGATCCATTTCTCGGTTGAAGGGCCGTGGGTAGGTGCATCCTTCCCACTTGCATATAAGCGATCGGTCTTGGTAATCCGAGCTTCAGTACCATATTAGTATCCAGGTATGGCAAGTGGCGGATTGATATCATACCCCTGTTCATCCCATCTGGACGTGGCGCTCAATCCACGCTGATTGTTTCCTTGACCCGTTGACCAGCTATTGTCGCAGTCTATCCTCGATGAGCCACCCATCAAGTTTTCATTTGAAAATTCAATATGTGGACTACTATGTGACGTAAGTAGCTGGGCATTGTACCTAGCTTGTTGCATGCTATTGAGTTGGGGTACTCCGAGCTGCTGATCAGGCCGGTCGGTTCGGAAAGTAGACGAGGGAGATGGCACAGATAGTCTTCTGGAGCCTCCAGGCCTACCTGTCTGGTAGTTTGGCGTTAATTCAAAATTGGTCATGTCGTAGCCAGTGCTTGAATTTAATGAGTTTGTAGTGTTGCTGTAGTTTTGAGGCAGGGACATATAATGCCCACTGGATTCATCCAATATGAAGATTCCCTCACTGTCCGAGGCGGTGGTCGTTGCCCACGACAGATCCGAGGAACCTGTCGCATTTGCCATCATAAAGCACCTACATATAGTTAGTTCCTCCTGACTGGTGATTCTAATTTGTTGTTATCAAGATTGAGGCGGCTGCTTACTTATACAGCCTGATCCAACCAGCTGTTTCCTTTTATTATTGATCAGGAAGAGGTCTAATTTCTTATGAATTCTGTATTCGTTCGATCTCGGTGAAAGACATGGGCAGGTGAATCGGAGGAGCTGACGTTGGCGAAGAAATCATTCAAAGACCGGGAAGGTGTGTAAGGGAATAAATAATCACGAGGCTGAAGTTTGAACCAACTTTCGACTTTTATGATATGACGTCCAGCTTCCTCGGCCACAAGATCTTGGTGCCTGCACTCGCATTCAGTACATGCTTGGTGGCGAATATCACTGTCCAGTCACAACCAGGATCACCCTAGTCAGATCCTGGAGATTAACATTACGCCCCCAAGATCCTAGGCCCGACTTCTCATCTTTGAGCAATCACCTCAGTCGGACTGACATGTCTAGCCCCTATCTTTACCCCTGGTTCCAGGCAGTTAGTGGTCGCCCACAGCTACGTAGGAGGGAAGGCATGGAGTAATCCGACGCGTACGTAGGCCCCTCTCCTGTCACACGATAAAGCATCAACCAATTGGCCATCGAAATAGATTTCCAGACAGACATACATAGCCACCTTCCGAATACGGATGGGTAGGACAGCTCAATGCATGGCCGGCGCATGGTCGTTACTGAGAGAATCAGAGGGTGATCAAGTCTCCGTTCACGCCCGATCAGCTGCAACAATCGACGCGGACTAACTGAGCCCGCTCGATATCCCCAGGACTTAAACAAACCATATTCATTCCTCGTGAAATAATCTAAATATTCTCTGCGCATTAAGCTTTGCAGCATTTCAGTCATATGTATGTATGTGAAAATTCCCTTAATCTAGTCTTGGTCACGGTCTACTTTTGACTCCACGCGATGTTCTATCTCAAGCATACATGTTACAACACACTGTGCTTTTTGATACATTTCAAAATCGCAGTACGGGCTGGTCAAGCGCAAAGTAAAATTGCACGAATAAAGGCCAACAACCGCGGCATATAACTCGATAAGTACCGTAACCGGGGCCTTCTAAATACGCATAACTGTGTGAACGTTACAGCACCGCAGTGAAAGACTTTCAGATACTTAATTACTATATGTTCTTCGTTTGAATGTGTGGTTATGTAAATATAGGTTGTTTTCTTTAGCCATCTTATACAACCCATAGATCCTCCGGATCAGCACCTGGAATTGTCTAGTTGTATACACCAAGAGAGAAATGGGTCTGATCCGTAGGGTAAGAAAAACATGAATCCCGCGTATGCCGATATTGCCGATAATTGATAAATTAAATTTTCGAAACTTTGATTTGAGTCGCTCTAGGCTGCCGTACATCCAGAGCTGTTCAGTCCCTACCATGAGCCTCAACCGTCCCAGTCGCCGTCACAGACAGTGGACACATTTCAGGATACACTACCAACAACGCGGCTGTCTTGATTTACCTGGTGGAGAGACTTTTCTTCTTGCAACCTTTCCTGTTGGGATGGTCGATGAGGCTCTATCTAGGACAGGCACCTTAAAATGGGACACCTTGTCTTGATCGAGCGATTGCGTGGGAGAGCGCAAGGCTGCGGCGCAGTAGTGACACAACATCGGCCGACCCGATACGTCGGCGAATTCGTGAATCAAATAGGACGCCTTCAGCAATTTGGGTTCGCTCGAACTAGGCGAGAATTACGGTTATTATACGGTACATGGGACAGTTGTCGTGGTGTGATTTCTGCTAGTAATGTGCAAAGGGGAAACACCCAGTTAGAACAGGGCAGAAAGAGAGCATAGCCCGTGGGTGCAGTAGACACGCGATGGGGGTGTGGTAGCTGCTGATTTCGTTGTTTATATTTGATGTTTTGGCTTTTCTGTTATTATGGGGTTGGTGTATAGATATGATTTTTGTTTAATTCGGCGAAGCGGCTGCGTAGCTTGCCGTCTCAACAGATGCACTTCGTCGGGTTAAAAGAATTTTATTCATTTATTGAGGACATGGATGTTTCTTCATCCGATGATTTTTGCGAGGGTTTCACAAAGTACGACTAGTCATTGTGGTGTGAGTGGACTAGGCCTGACGAAGACAGCTGAAGTGGCTTCTGCAGTGTCACTTAGCTATTTTAGACACTCATCATTGGTGTATCCATGATCCAGAACTGGTCGACCAGGCTCCCATTTTGCATTGGTTCCTGGGCTCAGCATTCAATGCATTATACATCTGGCAGAAACTTTTCAAATTACTACCTAGTAATGAATGTGCGTCCCAACAGCATCTTCCAAAGAACTCTCATTCGCCGGAGTGAGATATAAAAATAGGATTCTGTACCGTTGTCTCTACCCTACATTGATACGATCACCCTTTTCTGAACTGTGTTATCTTTATATTTGATCAATGCTCTTTAGGCTTTCTTGATCGTGCTGCATATGACCTTAATCTGATACCAAAAAAGGATGTATCTTTTTTTTTTTTTTTTTTTGGCAAGGAAATGCCGGTACTTTTCTTAACTCTGCCCACAAATGAGTGGCCTTAACACTCCTGTTCCGTTAGGCGACCGGGTCTCCCCTATGTACTCTAGTTGACTCCAATATAAAGTGCAGTCTCATCGAGAATGTGAAAGCCTTCAGGCAGTTGCTGAGCAGTACTAAGACTCTCTTGACGCCGCCCAGGTCAGATAGGTACCGATGCTATCAGAAAAAAGCAAAAAAAAAAAAAAAAAAAAAAAAAAAAAAAAAAAAAAAGGGGAGAGAGAGTGAGGGAAGCAAGGAATACTGTACTGTTTCCCAAATTTTATTACTGGATGGAGGCTTCTTGGTTTTTCTTGATTTAACAGTAAATTTCTATATCTATTTCTCAGTTATAATCTGTCTATGTATAAAAATATCTACTCTAATTTCTGAAAGGCTAATTATCGGCGTGCACGCCAGACCGTTAGCAGAAATGCAATCCCCGTCCTCTATTTAGGCTTTTATAACGGGGACAGCGCGTCGGCCCTTATGCAAATCAAGTGCGACCCTTCTTACTTGTGGAGACGCAGCTTGACACGTAAAACCCAAACAATGAAAAAGGTCAACACAATATTGGTGATGCAGAACGCAATGAATACGCCCAGGTCCCTCCATCGTACGGAGAAGTAATAGTGCAGTGACTCTGCAAAATCGTCACCGACAGAGTAGGGGCAGTAGCTGCAGTTCTCCATAGCATGCGGGTTCTCCAGATACCCAGGGTTTCTCTGTAGGTAGTCCTGGGCATACTGTAGACAGGATTTTCCCGACGGGGGACTGAAAATAGCCATATCTTCGGGCGCACAGTGGACCTTGACATCATGCAAGACTGTCGAGACGGCGGGCTCAAAGAAATATGTGAGAGGGTCCGCCCACCACAGCCACGGTTCGTAGAAGCTGTTCAGCGCGCTATGTGGGTTTGCTGCGCCAGAGAACATAAGCAATGTCACCCAAAGTAAGGAGATGGCATAGCCCGACATTGTGTCATTGGGGAATAATGCCGCAGTGAGATAGGTGACACCGAGTCCAAACATTGCAAATAGCAAATACATGAAGTAGACAAACCCTGCGATGCTGGCTGTGCTGGAGAATCCAAATGTCCAGTAGATGCAGAAGAAGATGGTAGTATAGATGCATATATGCCAGGGAATCTCAACTATCCAGATTGCAGAGAGAAGAGCTTTCCAGTCGTAGATTCCGTTGCGTTCTCGAGCTTCAAATATCGACCATTTCTCATGCCAGACAGCCTGCACGTCCGAGGCCATAGCTACAACTACCCAGCTTGAAAGTAGAACACCAAGCATATGGTTTTGCAAGCCGTTCGCTGTGTCCTTGATGTGGAAAAACGTAAAGGAGATGATCAGTTCCATAAAAATGGACTTTGACAGTCTGCTGAAGTTGTATTGTCCGTCCCGCCAGACAGCTGTCCAGTGTCTTTTAGTAAGGGCCACGATCTGGGCTGGCAAGCCCAGGGCGTACTGGCGATTAGAGTCAGGAGCAGGATTGTGGTCTGCGGCATGGCAAGAGGATTGGTTGATCGCCTGTATCTTTCTCTGGAGTGCGGCAGACTCTGGCGACGTGTTCCAGATCTCGGGCCAGTCTTTGCTTCCTTCTCCCTTGTTGACGACGGTAGAGATGATAAACTCGGCTGGATTGTCTTCAAGCTTCATCACTGCACCGTTTCGGGCAAAGTAGTCCGCTACTGTCGAGGCATTGTTGCCAGTCTCTCCAAAATAAACGGTTCGGCCTCCGGGGGCAAGAAGTATGACATGATCAAATAATTCAAAAAGAACACCAGATGGCTGGTGGATTGTGCACACTATCGGAACTCCCTGGGCAGCGATCTTTTGCAAGAAGACCACAATGGAATGGGCCGCTTGGCTGTCAAGACCGGACGTGGGCTATTGAGATGAAACACCAGATATTAGTAAATCGGGTCCAAAGTTTGGACAGGAAAAGGGGGTGTCATTCATACCTCATCGAGGAACAAGAGGGATGACGGTTTCGCAGCGAGTTCCACGGCAATTGTTACGCGCTTTCGTTCCTCCACGTTCAACTGTCCGTCACCAGTCTCGCCAATCAAGGCGTCTGCAATGTTCTCAAGCTCCAACAAACGAATGACCTGTTCGACGTACTCCATCTTCTCGGACTTGGGGACATGTGTGGGTTGTCGTAAATGCGCAGAGAACTGCAAGGCCTCTCGAACAGTTGCCGTCCGCTCATGGATGTCTTGCTGCATACAAAATCCACAAGAACGCGCAAATGAGCTACCGAGGGGCTGTCCATTTAGCAGAATTTCACCCTCTTCTCGCCCCTCGGTCTTTCGACGCGAGAGATTGTCCAGGAGCGTCGTCTTTCCGGCGCCGGATGCACCCATCAGAGCTGTCAATTGGCCAGGCTTCACGTAGCCAGCCACGTTTTTAAGCAACTGTCGTTCTTCCCCTCCTGCGTTGACCCAGTAGCTCAGGTTGTTGAAGGTGAAGCTCACGCTATTCTCTGCTGTTGGGGTTTCGTCCGTTTCTGTGGTCTTCATCTCGCCAGTCCCAATAGTAGAGGCATCTGAGGTGCTGATATTGTTCTCGTTGGGGTCCTTTTTGTCTCTCGACGTCGGTGGCGTGTCGACTATCTGTTTTTCGATGTCATCCGCTTGATCCTGAGTGGCTTCTTCTCCCTGCGAAATGGTTGTGTTGCGCTTGTACACGGGGCCGGTCGCGTTGCCGCTATCACGCGTCATGGTAGTGAGCCCTACGGCACCAATGACTGTATAGAGGAACCAGAAGACCAGTATAATGCCAAAGTCTTGCCATAGATGGCTGCGCGTGGCGCCATACATACCCTTCGCATAGACCGCTCCATCCACAAGAGCAGACCCCTGTTCTGAACCTTGCATCGGGCAGGCCTGGTAACGAATATCATCGTAACCAGGTCCAGAGGGAATCAGCTGCGACTCGGTACAGTGAAGAACGACGTTATAAAACTCGTTTCCCAGCATTGCTTCCACGGCAAAGGGTGTCGGGGTGATTCTTCGTATCCACGATCCCCAGCGATGCATGGAAGGGACCGGAGGCGCGTATCCGGCGTAGACACATGATATTGGGAGCGCACAGCCGGCAAAAAGACGCGCGATGCTGAAGCTGGGAGACCAGGCACCTAGCATGCGGAACATGCTCGAGATGGCCGAGAAGTGCACGAACACGATCAAGAAGAATATGAAGAACTGAGATGCGCTGAGGCTGAGACCGATGATGAAATAGTAGCAAATCGAGAACATGATCGTTTGGATTAGCGCGCATGGTATATCAGCAATAGTCTGAATAACCGCATATGCTGCAGGACTTATAAGCCCGAGATTGTGCTGCTTCAGGAGAATCGCCCGGGAATTCACAGTCTTAACCACCTCGGTCAGAGCAGTCATGCAGAAGTACACGGCGGCAAAAAAGACCGCGCCACTTCTTTCGAACGACCCCGACGCTGTCTTTGGGGCTGCGTAGAACCCGGACCCGGTGATGAGAGCATTGACAATGCACAGAGCTAGGACCGTGAAGAAAGTGTTGCGGTCTCCCCAGAACAGTCTGTAGTACCTCTGGGTACCTATGACGATCTGACCCCATTGTGAAGCGGGCTCAATAGCGTGCTTCAATGCCTGCTTGGAACGGATCTCCGTCGCGCTTTCGCGAAACTCTTTTTGAGGCTCAGGGTTTAATTGGTAATTAGTTGTATACTCTTGGATTTGGATTTGAAGCTGCTCAAAGTGAGAGCTCCGCTGGAAGGCCTTCGCAAGGGAGTCGGCGTCGAGATATAAAGGCCCGTTGTATTCTGGGCTGACCTGTCGCTCGGCTGGCGAGGTAATGGACGTCAGAAACTCTGGGGTAGTCTGTCGCTCGGGGCAATAAAAGCCCAACCCCTGGAAGTACGACTTGGCGCTACTTGCCGGGCCTGAGTAGATCAGACGGCCATCGTACAAGACCACGACTCGGTCGAAGCAGTCTTGATACATGCTCTCGGAGGCCTGATATAATGTCGTCACATTGCTCATACCCGTCGCTACCGACATGCGCTTCAACAGGCGCAAGAAATCCAACGCCGACGAGCTGTCCAGGCCACGAATAGGATTATCCCAACACGCAAGCGCTGGATTGGTAGCCAAAACTTCTGCCAGGGACACGCGGCGTCGCTCTCCACCAGAAACCCCGCGAGTGAAAGAGTCTCCAACAATCGTATTGGCCGTATGTGGGATGCCTAGGGAGACCAGCAAGCGCTTCGTATACTCCTCCGAGAAGGCACCGTCGGGCATCAGACTGTCGGCAGGATGGCGCAATTTAAGCGCAAAATCCATCGTGTACTTCACCGGGAGCGTTGGGAAATGTTGATCATCCTCGGAACAGTAAATGATCTCTGATTTGAGTGCGGCAGGGATATCATCCGCCGACATGCCGGCGTATTGTATATCGCCCTTCACTGCCGCAAATGAATCCCAGCTTTTGGCTACGGTCTTCAAAAGTGTCGTGCAGCCTGAGCCTGGGCGACCGAGGACCAACATAGTTTCACCTGGGGGTACCAGTCCAGTCATGTCTTGAAGGATGTTTCGTCTCGGTCGAGGCTTATTGCCGATCTTCTCTCGTAGCAGTAGGTATGGCGCGCAGACGATATCGGCAAGGATATGAGGTAGGTCATAGACGGTTCGCTGGCCCGCGCTGGATCCCTCAACCGTTACATCTTTGAAGGAAACGCCAATGGCTCGCCCCCGTGTTCGATAGATCGGTAGGTCATCTGATACCGGGGGCGCTGACGTCTTGTCCATCTGGTCGTTGGTTAATTAGCTGAGAACGATCAAACGACCTCAAAACTCCGTGTCGACAAGTTAGAAATTCTCACCTAGTAAGATTCTGGTCTGAATGCCCGGCGGTTGTTTGCGTAATCAGAGTTATCTTAATGGTGTACAAGATTTCTGAGTTCAAGAACAGACCGTTGCGCGAATGTTAAGCCTTATGGGTGACAAGAAAAAACGACTTCCCCCTCCAACGAAGGTCATTTAAGTATCAACAGCTACATTTTTATCATAGCTGGGATATCTCCATGGCCCACGGCAATTCGTCAACCCCGTCCAGCTTCGGACGACCAGGGGAGCGGACCGAGTGTAGAGATCGGGCTTCCGAGAGTCGAGACCCCCGGAAATTTGGATTACCACAATGTCGTATTTCGTGGGTTCTGAAAGCATCTTCATCAACATCTCTTTCATTCCACAACTCGGGCTCCGTGGCTGTGGCGCTTCGAAAGCTTGAATGGCTGCGGGCATGAGCTCGGATGTGCGGACCGACCTGCATCTTCTTCCGAGGACTTTTCAATGGAACCCCCTTTGTAATCGACTTTTTCTTCGGCTGAGCTCGGTATTTGTGGAGTCGACAACCTGTGGATCCACATCGATTGGGAGTCCGATGGGATGCCGCATAATGGGATACCGACCTAAAGGCCCTTCCGTGACAGCAACCCCCAATGTCCCCAATCCGTGGAGTCGGTAGATTTCTAGTCCCAATTTTATCTAATCTGCCTTCCGAGCAGAGCTTTCCGGATCGACTGCAGAACAAATAAAGAATGTAAAAGAAAATCTGATGGTCCGAACCATCCGGTGGGATACCGTCAGATCGCCCACCAGGCCCAGATCCATGACGTAGTGCCAGCACAAGACTGCATATTTAGTCGTGCCTTTCTGCGCTCCGATAAAAGTCAGTCAGATACACCCGCACTTTCTGGTCAAGAAACACTGTCATCCTGTGCTGTCCTTCTCTACATCATGTCTTTCGCAACAACCGATGATGGCCAGGAGATCTACTATGAGCTCCACGGAACATCTGGCCCGCTTCTAGTCTGCATATCCGGCTACTTCGGTGTCTCGGATCTCTGGAAGCCCTTGATCTCACTATTGGGATCGAACTATCGCTGCCTTACTCTCGACTCCCGCGGCTACGGGCGCTCCTCGAAGCCCGATACGCCAGAGCTTTACAGCGTGCCACGACACGGCGAGGACGTCGCGACCGTCCTCAAGACTGCAGGTCTCAGCGCCGAGCCCAAGATTTTATTGACGCACTCAATGGGCGGGAACATTGCCAGCTCCTACTTTCTCTCCCATCCGACAAGTGTGTCTGGTATCATCTATACGGGTACCTACTACGACGGACCAAATATGGCTCGCTTTCTATCGCGCGAAGACCTCTGGGCGGGCGCCGAGAGCCCATCCAAATGTGTGGATTTCTACGCGAATATGAAGCTTTCGAAGGATATTGCCCAGGAGGCTGCCAAATGGCCTGCTCATATTCGCAAACACAACGGTATTGCGCTTGCTAGCTTTGCAATGGCCGGCCGCTACGCCGAAATTACGGTGCCTACTGCCATCATTCAGGGAGCGGAGGACTTTGCGGGCCCTATTGGGATCACTATCGATCCCATGGTGGCAGAATTGCCCTCATGCAAGCTGACGACGCTGCCTGGAGTCTACCATTTTCCTCCGACTGAGGCGCCTTTCGAGGTCAAACAGGCCATTGAGGACTTCATCCGTGCTCTATAGTGTTTTGGCATAAGTTCACGAGGCAAGCCATGTATGAAGTTCAACCGGTCTATAGAAGTCAAATTCCCAATAATCAAGGTTTTTTTTGACACTGGTCTAGAGTCACTCATATAACTCCACATGGGTAAATTAAATTCAGTAGTAAAATAAAATGCATGATGCCCCAAACTCATAATTCCCAGCCCGTAGTACCGGTCATGCGAGAGGACTATACCGCAGATAGCCCGAGGGAGCAGTATGCATTGGACAAATGCCGTATTTCACCAGCGCAGGCCTTAGATAGACGCCCCAGAACCAATCAACCAATCTCTAGCGTCAGCCATTCAGACAGCAACGTATACATCGCAGTAGCCTGCACAATGCAGTCTATGCCTGCCAGTACATCGGCTGAGTCAGCGCCCTCGGTTCGGAAGTTCGGATCGTCGGATGCGGCGGAGAGGCGACTTTCTCGCCAACGAGACTGACACTCCGAGCTCACTCGGTCCAGAGAAGAGAAAGACTGCTTAACAATATGGATAGATCCGCGGAGGAAACGCCAACTCGGCGGAGCTCTTCACCACACTACTCCCGCCCGATCACCCGAATCTCGCGCGCCTGCGAACAGTGCCGTGCTCGCAAGGTTCGATGCAACGGTCACACGCCCTGTTCGAGATGCCAATCGAGGCGTTCTCGATGCGAATATCGGCTGCCGAAGCAGAGTTCACGCAGCAGCAATCTGGCTTCGCAGGCTGCTGCTGCGGTTGGTGATCTTAGTAGCACTACTAGTCCCGCCGGTAGCGCCTACCACGTCACCGGGGATCCATTGCCTAGTTACAAAGGGCATACCGACCCAATCCAACTCAAGCGACAGCGGGAGCTCCGCGCAGGGATTGGAGTATCAAATGTCGATACGGGTGCATTCCAATTCTTCGGTACAGAACTCTAGGACGGGCCTGTCTCGGGAGCTTGGTACCTTGTCGCTCAGCTGCTAATCGGGCAAATTAGGGCCTTCGTCACAATTTTGCTTCATCCAACGCCTACACGAGCGCATTCAGCATAGGGGCACCGAAGCTGCTGTCGGCTCGGGCTCCTCCGCCGCCGATGGCGTGCGGAGATGGAAATTAGAACAATTTCTGTTCCCCATGTCAACCGAAGCCAGCACCGCAAAGTGTCAACCCGACGCATGTTTCCCTCGCGAACTAGGCGATTCTTTCATTAGCGCCTATTTCGACATTATTCACCCACAAGCGCCAGTGATCGCCTATTCCGATGTCCTGGAATCATGGCAAAACCTCTGGTTACCCCCGTGGCAGCGGCAGGAGGTAAAGGGAGACGATATCCTGTTCATGGTGCTAGCTATCGGAGCAAGAGTGTCGAGTGTCCAAGGGCAGCAAGACATTTCGGCATCAGAAGGTTGGGCAAACCACTTTTCGCACAAGGCTGTGGAGCTGAATGCCATGGCCGACGATATTTGTCTTTCCACGACTCACTTTTTTCTTCTCCGGGTGAGTGTCCGCATCACAGCACACGGTCCAATAGACAACTAATCATGATTGGAATCCATAGGGGATCTTTGCCTACCAGCTGATGAGATCAAACGATGCATATCTTCATCTCGGCACTGCGGCTCGTATGGCCATGGCTTTAGGGATTAATCGCCTGCAGGTTGTCGACGGAGCGAATCCCAAGGCTCATCGCTTAAGATCCACCTTCTGGACAATATACGCACATGAACGCTCCTGCGCGTTGTACACCGGCCGCCCGTCGATTTTTCGCGACGATTTGAACGATGCAGCGTCTGTGGAGGACCTATCAACTTCAATTTCCCCCGAGAGCATCGAAAACAGAAAGTATCAAGAGCCAATGACCGCATGTGCCTTCATCCGCGCGATGGCCAGGCTCGGACACATCGCAGATCGCGTCGCCGTGCAGATCTATTCTCCCCACCGCGCTTCAACCATGGCGAATGTCGCCGAGGCCCATGAGGCCATCATGGAATGTGATCTAGAACTGCAGTCGATCACGAATGACCTTCCCTCGTATCTGCACTTCTACGACTCCGGGGCACCCCTCGGGCAGGGATGGCAGGAAGTCCAGCGCATGGCCTTGGGGAACAGCTACCATTTCGTCCGCATGCTCATGTATCGACCGGCGCTGGTGTTTGCGACTTTCTTTGACACTCGGGCGAGCGCTCACAGTCATGCAGTAGGGCCCATGCAGCTTGATCGGGCAATTCACGAGACGCTCCACAGCGCCACCAGCCTCGTAGAACTCAACCACGACGTCTATTTTCGCCGGCACCCGAGTGCGAAGTTCGACGGCTCCTCCGGTACGCTGTTATTATCCGCGTGCGCGACTCTGCTTTACGACGTCCTCGATCCCATCATCACGTCTGATCATGCGAAGGCCATCTTTAGCACGGTCGAACTCGCCATCCAGTGTCTCGATGAAATGCAACATGCGGGTCCCATGAGCGGCAAAGCGCTCAGCCTCGAAGTGATGGAAATTGCTAAAAGCACGATTCCCTCCGCCGGTGAAGACACCGAAATCAGCGAGTATCTCCTTGGTTCATTTCCATGGCTTCAGTAAGTCTAGTTTGCTTGCGCTTTTTGTCAGCCGGGCGATCCGATCTGCTAACCATCTTATTTTAGACCTCGATCATATGGTCCTCAGTCTGGAGCCGGTCCCTTTCCGCTCGCGCATGCAGAGACTTCCGGTGTGCCCACTCGCATGCCCGGTGCAGCGATCCCAATGGATCCAATGCCTTTGGTGGCTGCTCCGGAGGCCAATTACATGTCGCATTGGCTAGAGGCTGGGTTCGAGCCGGAAGAAATACCGAATTCCTTGTATTGATTCACTTCATGGCTATTTGGTTTTCTTTTGCTTGTACATGCCTTGTGGAGTAGGTAGATAGATCATGCGCGAAATTCGGAAAACGTTCTTCAATTTTTGAATTTCTTTCTTTCAACAGGTCATTTGGCATCACTTCTGTTTGTAACATACCCTTGCGTGTCGTTACCACGGTTCCAATCCTTTGGGGGCGCCAGGAAGCGATATGTAATCTAGTAGAGGGTCCGTAACTCCGGTAACGGCATAGGTGGTCTTAGGCGCTGTTCCTTCAGCTAATCCCAGTCAAACTTCTTAATAATTTGTAAAGTATCTTTCTCTTTCTTTTACCTCGAATCCCCTGACTACTCACAAAATATGACATCGAGCAACCCAGCCCTGGTTATCCCGCCGACCATGCGAGCCTGGGTGGGTGTGCGACGCGGCGCCGCCCGCAGCGCCCTCGAGCTGGTTGCTGGCTTGCCGACACCTGCCATGCCAACAGGATCGTCGTCCGACGTCCTGATCCGCGTATCGCACGTGTCACTGCAAGTGAATACCGAGATGTTCCTGAAGGTGCCTAAACTACCTCTTACCAGCCCGTGGATCCCGGAGCTCGAGCTGTCCGGCGAGGTGGTTGCGGCCGGCGAGGGCGCTCCCGCCGAGCTGCGCGATGCAGGTACGCACGTTGTCGCTTTCCAGACCGTCCCCGGCTTCTTTGTCTGGGGCAACGGCGTGCTGGCTGAGTACGTCCGTCTACCTGCAAGCCAGGTCGTCCGCGTCGACTCCGCCGTTGATATGGCGTCGGCCTCGGGCATCATATGCTCCGGCTGTGTCGCGCTCAAGATGATCCGCGCGGTGGGTGTGCGCGAAGGCCACACTGTGCTCGTCAATGGAGCGAGCGGATCAGCTGGCTCGGTTCTTGTGCAGTTGTGCAAACTGCGTGGTGCTAAGGTTGTCGGCGTGGCTAGCGGTGGGAATGAGGCTATGGTGCGCGGCATGGGCGTAGATGAGGTAGAAAAGGATTCCTGGGGGGTCGGTACTCCCAAACTTGACTAATAAGCGTTTAGTTCGTCGATTACCGCAGGCACGATCCGCTCCCAGCCTACTTGGCGGAGCATTACGGAGACAGGCCGTTCGATTTTATCCTCGATTGCGTCGGCACGCAGGCGCTTTTTGCCAACTCGCCTGCCTATCTTAAACCCGATGGTGCCCTGGTCAACATCGGTGTGCTCGAGGGAATTCTAGGGATGACAGTCAACATCCTGCTCAATACCTTGCTACCCACCTGGCTGGGTGGCGTGCCCCGTCGCTACATCATGTTCAGCTCGCCACCGGTGCGCGACGACATCGTCTATCTTACACGTCTGGTCGAGGAGGGTCGCCTGCGTATCCCTGTTGACTCCGTCCACGATATGGAAGACGGATTGCTCGCCTACGAGCGCATCGCAACCAAGCGCGCGAGGGGTAAGGTTGTCATTAAGGTGCGCAATGAGTAATTGAAGGCATGCAAGTGGGCCTCTTGCTCGGATATTGAGTCAAAACAGCCTGTGTTTACCAGATCCACGCATTTGGATTGTGTAGATATATCTTCTTTTGTTAGAGATGTTTTACGTGGATGTGTTCGACAGCAGATAAAGTTGATGCACTGCTGCATTATTTGCCCACAGACGGTATGGGAAGGGGAACTCCAGCAACAGTATGTTCATTATCTTGTATTAATAGAGAATCTCTTCAACGCCATGCTGATTTGGTCTGTGACTAATGGACATTATCCCCCTAACACTTCGGGCACTCTATCCTACAAGCCCTAGCCATTGGTTTTTTCTATCACTTCTTCTCGATCTCCCTTCCCGCTTCCGCTGTAACTACGACATTCTATTTATTCATAACTTGGTTTGTTTTACCGTTTATTCGATTTTCCAGTTGGAATTCTCCAGGCATCAAGCCAAAGCCCTAAATCTTGGCATCGGACCGTCGGAATGACGGCATCGGCTCGGAGCGGAATGCGGAATAAAAGCCAGGATAGACATCGGCATCACCAATCACTTCGGCGTTCTTCGTCTCTGACTGATCACTTCTAGTTATTCCACTCCGTCAACGCGCAATATTCCTGCTCTAGCATCTCATACCCGAAACCGAGCGCGTCTATCCCACCAATCAATCACAATTACATACCTTCTGGTCGCGAACATGTTCCCTCACTTATCACTTGATGAATCAGGATTAGGCACTAGTGTATGGTTTAAACCCCATCCTCATCCTCTCCCCTCTCCCCCCTATCGAACAATCCAACAGCCCAAGCACCCAGTCCGGCAATGCTGAAAAATCCAGCCGATAGGTAGAAATGCATCCCGAGACCTGCTCCGCCGAGCTTTAGCCCGACATTGAATGCAGCCGCCAGAAGAGGCGACCCAACTAGTGTTCCAGCGATCCTGGCGACCGCAAGAAAGGAATAAAACGGTGCGATATCAACCACTCGGACAAGCGATGTCCCGTACGACTGGATGGAAGCCGAGAATCCAGCGGCAAGAGTAAAAATGACAAGGGCTAGGTGGGTTAGTTCTCTTTCGGTCGAACACGGCGTGAAATCAAGGTGCACGTACAAAGGGTCAGGGTTGTCGCCGAAGGGGACAGACCCAAGAAGATTGCACCTACGATGCCAAATATCGAGCTCACTCGGGATGTCCACAGATCTACATCTTTGGGCGAGAAATGGTGTCGCGATGTCAGTGTGCGGGTGATGCTTGGGAGGATGAGTAGAAAGAGGACCAGGTTGTTGATGCCTCGGAAGGACACAAGATAATTCGCCTGTCAATCATTAACCTTGGCTCTCTGACTGAGACAGGGTATACTGACCTCTGCAAGGCTCCACTCGAATTTCTTCGATGCATACTGCACCAAATAATCCAGAGATTCTCCCGCGAGCATTGACGAAAGAAACGACACCCCGATCAGAATAACCCCGGTTTGAGCCTGCATAAATCTCGCCAGTGATTTTATACGTGATAGAAGATTTTCTGCTCGAGATTCTTGCCCACTGGTCCCTTGGCTGGTCTGCTGCTCATCGCCATCTTTTTGAAACCTCGTTGAGTTCGGGATGCCCCAGACGACCGCAATGGAGAGAATTTGCAACGGAAACCCCAGTAACAATGGATTGTAGACACTGGTCTCCATGAGAGTCGACCCTAGCAGCGGCGCAATCACCTCAGATACCAGCTGAGTCGACGCGAGATAGAAAAAGGCTTGCGCTCGTCGTTCCTCCGAGACCACGTCCGCGATAATGGCGTGCACGATTGCCGACAGGACCACCGTTCCTCCACCAATAGAGCGCAAAGCTACCGAGGCAAAGAGGAGCTCGAGTGGTACGATGTTGTGGAAATAGCATACCACGACTATGCTGGCGTCTGCGAGGATTTGGCCGAGGATCCCGAGGATGAGAACGAGAGTTCGGCCTTTGGTATTGGACAATTTGCCAAATGGAATGGCCACGATGAGAGCTACCGTTTACTGTGAGTGCCCAGCTGGGTGTGCATCATGGATGGGGGCTCTACCGGTCAAATTCTCGCCCATTTTCAGCCATGCCTGCATCGATACCAGCGCTCCTTGAACCTCCGGCACTTTACACATGCGGTCTGTGATCTCGAGAACGAGTCCAGATGGATCCTCCGGCTTTGGTGTATAGAAGCGCTCGCAGAGAATGGATTCGTAAAGCTGCGTTTTCGGCGTCGCGCGCATCGTCTCTGCAAAGTCGAGGCATAGAGCCGCGATGTAACAAAGGATCGGGATTCGCCATGTTTGCCAGACGGAGATTACATGGTGTCGGTAAGTCTGGGGGTCTTCATTGGATGGTGATCTAGAGAGAAGCGGTGTGTTTTCATTCATAATGAAATTGAATGGCTATGGAATCCTGAGGGTGGGCAGATTGAGCTCTTATATCGGACAGAGGACAATGTTGTCATACCGATCGGGATAACTGCGTTGTATTCCGAACTCCGTGATAAGCACTAACGGGTCTAGGCTCAATGTCTGGGACTACGTGGACAAGAGTATGGGTAATTATGATAGGCAGACTATATAGAATGGGCCGCTGGAGAAGGATCCGATCGGGCTTTTACGAGGGCAAGGCTGCGTGTTGTTGGTTGCTTCATTAAGATCGTAAAAAGGCTCGCACAGGGGCACGGAATAAGTGGGTAAGGATTTTATCCCGAGGACAATAAAAATGAGGCGATGGGAGGGGAAGTGGTTAAAGAAAACTTGAAGAGGGGGAGTATAATAAATATGTAAAAATAAAAACCCCTACTCTGAACACAGATGGGAAAGGGGATAGATAATGCATAATAAAAAAAAGAGATGCAAAAAAGAAAGCTGGTTCCAGAGGGGGTCGAACCCTCGACTTTGGCGTTATTAGCACCACACTCTAACCGACTGAGTTATGGAACCGGTTCTTATGATGTAACCTCCCATTTGTGTTTTATGACTAGTCTCTCACCTTTCCGGCTTTGTGCCCCTTGCTATGCCTGGTTCAAGTCGGAATAATTGAATCCCAAATTGAATCGTCAATTTATCTTGAGATGATTACGTGGGATAATGTTTTTCTACAGGATGTTGCTCCTTAGCACGTCTTCTCAGTACGTCCAGTCCTTTTTCCTAAGAATAATGTTGATCAGGAGCTGAGATGTATATTGTGCACCCGAACCATGCTTTGCATATAAATTTCACTCGGGATTCGCACTCAAACCAGCGAAACGAACAATTGTAGTAAAGAAGTGCACTTGGCTTTCGGTTCCTTTATGCCTTATCGAATATATGCATCCTTCTCTCTTCCAGTCCTTTGTGTCCACCATTGATCCCGCGGTCCAAGTTTAGGTATTGTTTTGTTGACATCGAGGCCTACCACGTGACGCGGGAGGCGCTGTCCCTCCGTCGCGATCGCGAGGCACAGAACAAACTCACCTTCTTCCATCCCCTTAAGATGATCGAGGCTCATCGCGCGACGACTTTGTCGATCGATAGTCTTGCCAAAAGCACATGAGATCGCGTTTCCAGTGTTCTAAAAAGCTCCTTCGTGGGTTGAGAATGTCATGAATTTATAACTAGCTACTGTGAATAAATCTAACTACACAGAACCCAAAAGGAAGAAGACCGAACCATCAATCGATCGTCGAAAACGTCAAAATCAAAATCATGACTCGTTATCGGATTTCCCTGACCATCCCAACGCGTTTACTACATTCTTCAGCGTCCGCTGGAACTTCGGCATGTTCTCCGGCATGATCGTCGTATAATGCGCGCCATCCACCTCATGGAACCTGGGATCATTTCGTGCAAAGTCAGCCCAGTGGTTCAACTTGGTATAACGGTATTCATGCCGCGAGCTGGCTATGTCGCGTAGCGGGTCACAGAAGAAGACGTCGATGTGGGATACCGTGCCGGAGGGATCACACTCCCAGCCAATCTTCTGAAGAGAAAAAGAGACGTTGACCCAGGTATGCAACGAAGCCTGGGATAGACCCAGCGCCGACGTTCGCTCGGGGTCGGCCTCGGCCAACACGCGCGCGACTTGCTCGGATTTGGGCAAGGGCCGCAGCTCAGAAACCATCTCCCTGGAGCGATCCTCCTTAATGATGTTGCAAAAGTGTGAGATTTGTGCCAGACCTGCGGACCAGCCTAGCTGACGCATGCGCTGCTTGATGTGCGGCGGCAAGTTGGAACTGCCCAGGAACTTCACTTCTTCCCCTTCGGCCTCGAGTTTCTTGGCAATTTCGAAAGCCAACACACTGCCGTACGAGTATCCCGCCATCGCGTAGGGACCTTTGGGCTGCTGCCTTCTCAAGGCAGTGTAGTACGTTGTCATGAGATCGTCGAGGTTTTGGAAGGGCTCCTCGCCTGGGTTGAACCCACGCGGTCGCATGGCATAGACTGGCCGATCGGGAAAATGCTGCGCCAGTGCCAGGAAGACCAGGATCTCACCGATACCCGGGTGGAAAAACCAAAGTGGCGTCTTGATCCCGTGAGGTTGAAGGGTGACAACGGCCTGGTACTCACCGGCCCGTGCGGAGGTTTTGAAATGCTGGAGCGCTGATGCCAGGGAGCGAATGGTTGTATTGGTCATGATGGTCATCATGGGAATTTCCGCAATGCCAAAAGTCGTTTCGACGGCACGCTTGAGCCGGATCAAGTCGACCGAGCTGATACCTGTGTCGAGGATGGGCATGTCAATACCCATATCCATGTCCCACAGTCCAATAGTTTGCTTGAACACAGTCATTAGCGTGCAATCCATTTCATCACGCGGAGCCGAGAAATGTGCATCGTGGTACGATTGAAGGATCCTTTCGTTCAGTTCCTCTTGATCGGTGTATTTCCCCTGGATCATCGCATTCTGGATCTTCGAGCGCGACAGCTTACCGAGCGTGGTCTTTTTCAGTCGGCCGGGTGCAAGAGGCAACACGCGCGGCCGAGCGGAGGTGAACAGCATGGCAGTCCGAATGAGAGCATGAAGCATGGACATGCGGGCTTCGGTATCAAATGATGCTATCTAGATGACGCTTGAAGTGGACCAAAGTAACGGAGCCAGGGCGAAAGCCATCGACACCACGAAGCCACTCCGCCTTCTCTGTGACCAGGTCGCGAAGCTGGGCATAGCTCAATTGCGTGGGAGGACACCGATCGCCTTCGGGGTAAGCAACGATCCCGGCCGACGACAACGCCGACTGCTCTAATAGAGTCACAATATTGGCTTCCGGGACGGGAGCCATGATGCGTGAAAATAACTGCGAAAAGAACCCGAGCATGGAGTGGAAAGAGCAAAGCAAAGCCAAAGAAGATGTAGAAAAACAAAGAAAAAAACAAAAATGGGGGAGATCAGATGGGGAAGGAAGTCTGCATGGGACATGCAAAAACGTGGGGGAAGACAGCATGATACATAAAGGCTGTGCATTTATCTGCGAGCCATGCCTCGGGAAAGAACTTCTGGATCCCCCCTCTTCCCTGTCACTACATCTGCAACTTGTCGAAAGTGGTGATACTGCATCGAAGGGACGATCACTCTGCTAAGCGCGTGGAAACTTTTCTGGTCCATTGGATCCACCGGCGGCCGTGGCGCGGCGGCTTGATCGGCAACGAATTGCAAGACATCAGAGTAATTGATTAATTCTACAATTGATTGATGATTGCTTTAGCCGAGGCTGGGGGCTACACCATGAATTGGCACAAGGGGAGTATTGATTCTCATGTTTTATCTGGGGTTTGAAGCATACACGCCGACAGCGCAGGATGCCTGGCCAAGCTCCTGATAGATATTTCTCCATCCCCATTAATGACCAGCATGCATCCTTGACCATGATTACCCCAGAGCAGAGTAGCCACCGCGTGGCCATTCGCAGATATCAGTACCGTGCGGTTCTTGATGCACCTGTTTGCTGGATGGCGTCTACCGAAGCAGGCACAAAGCCGGGAGGATTTTGCCCTGATGCAGCCATGGCTGTTTGCTACTGAGCAGACGCCTGTCTTCCGAAAGGCACTGAACTCCACCCAGGAACTAGATCATACGGATTTGACCGGCACATGGGGCAGTTACAGATGTCCGAGTGGAAAAAGACCAGTACGGTAGGATTGATGAGACTTGGGATTAAGGTGTTGGCAAGCCCCCTGTCGATCCTAAACCAGACATCGCCCACAGGCCCTGTTTAGGGCGTTTGTGTTATCGGTCATCAAGCTCTACTACGGACATTTCTGCGGGAGGATCCGGCTTCACTTGACCTCGTTTGAGGGCTTCTTGGGCTAGCAGACAGGGCCCGACGTTGGACCGTTCCGCCGACCAGCCAGATCTCTGGGTACAACTCGGGGCAGTTCATAAAATCGTGTGTCTTGTCGTTCAGGAATCTTTACAATAGCATTGATGAACCTTGAACCCTCACATCGCACAGCCAGGGGCACGATGGCCATCAGGACATCAAGTTGGCTGCCATGGGCCAAAAGCCGGCCCATGGGAAGAGACGGCGTCGGAAACGAGTCTGGGCAAGGCCTACCGATATAATATTACAAAGCCTTCGAGTGCGTGCTCGGACTACAATGCGCTACTCCTTTAGTTGTGTTGGTTTCCGGAGTTTTGAACACATGGTAAAAAGTACGCTCGCTCATCTGCTCTGGGCTCAGGTGGATTGTCCGTATAGCGTTGGTATGGATTGTATTTCCGGGTCCGAGGGATTCAAGGGGCACTAGGCCTACTGCAATAATGTAACGCGACGCCGTGTCGATCCACCGTGCGCATGTCCTCGTTGAACAAGATGATAGCAGCCCAGTCAGCAGGACGCAGGACTTTCGCATAGTTCCCGGGCAGACAGCGCCACCGACATCATTTACCCCTGGCACCCCGTCCTGCTTTAGGGTTCCAGCGGCCGACAAGAGTCCGACTCCGGCCTAATAATGCAGCGTCTAGCATGCTGGTCCGTCGGGGGACGAGTTCCCCGGGATGGCCCGCAATTGGCCTGAGCTGTGGAGCAGCAATCAAATCTCCATCGGCGGATCAACCCCCGTGGACCCGCGGCCTACGGAGTAGTTACCTTTCTAAATATTCCCGCGAAATGACGTCCGCGAGGGGCTGGCGTAGTTGCAGTAGCGCCGCAGGGGTGCGCCTTTAGTTGCGTTAGGGCTGTCTTACGGCCGGCCTGCCATTTCGCTGCCTCTCGTGGCTTCCGCCGAGCATTTCCGTGGCCTGGCAAATGCAGGCCCAGCAGATTGAACGCCATCGGCTAACAATAGACGCTGGGCGTTTCCTGGGCGTTTCCTCTTGGACGTACCCGTTTTGCGGCCGTCATCCGCCTCACCTCGGGGCTTAAAGAATTCTCTCCCGGCCCAGATTTCACCCGTATAGTCTCCGTGTACAGCCACCCGTGTCAAACCCTTGAAGATCTTTCCAAATGGACCGCTCCAACATCATCGGCCGTGCCTCTGAGATTGCCGAGGTCGCTCGCACGTTGGCGGACGAATTGGCTCGTCGCCAACTGCCCGAACCCTCGTTCGAACACGGCCTGCCCGCCCCCCTGCAGAGCGATGCGCCCGACTCGGAGGCGCCGGCGGCACGCGTGAAATTGCTGGGTCTGCTGGATGAATTTCATGATGTTTTGACCGAGCCCGCGTTGTTGGGAAGCCCGGAGCTGGTATGTCGAGCCAGTTCCCCTTGGTTAGGGCTCACTCTGACCGCATTTGCAGCGCAATCCGTCCATGAGCGTGCAAGCGCTGATCCGCCTGGGTGTTATCGAAAACTTCCCTTCGGAGGGAACCACGGTCCAAGACCTGTCAAGCAAACTCAATCTGAACGAGAACATCGTTCGCAGACTTATCTCGCACGCTGCCAGTTACCATGTCTTCTTCCAGTCGAAGCATGACTTTTTCGTGCATACGGCGGCTTCGCGTGTGCTCAGCGAGAACGCTGGAATGCGCTCTTGGATGTTGATCGGTCTGGCAGAAACCATGCCTAGTGCCTTTCAAGTGAGTGGTTTGTCCGAGTGACGGGTGAAGAATATCATCTTAACTGAAACGTAGATCGCGGATGCCGTCATTCAACACCCGAACTCGGAGGAGCCGCAACACAGTGTAAGCTTTTTCATTGATTTCTTCTATAGTCTGGATTAACGATTCCAGGGTTGGAACATGCAAAATAACACAGACTTGCCCATCTTCCGGGCTCTCGCCGATATGCCCGACCGTGCCAGCCGATTTGCCAACGCCATGATGTGGCACGCCCAGCTTCCAGGCTACTCGCCCCAATACCTCACGGAATGTTTCCCCTGGGGAACCGGGAACCTCACTGTGGTTGACGTCGGCGGCGGTATTGGCCATATTTCGCGCGCATTGGTCGCTCATGACCCTACTGTCCAGTGCATCGTGCAGGATCGCGCCGAGGTTGTCGCACAGGGCGACGAGACGTTACCGGCAGACCTCAAGGATCGGATTCGTTTCCAGGCGCACGATTTCTTCCAGGAGCAGCCGGTGCACGGGGCTGATGTATACCTGCTGCGGTTGGTGCTGCATGATTGGTCGAATAAATACGCCCAGAAGATTCTGCAGGCACTGATTCCGGCATTGAAGCCCGGCGCGAAGATCGTGCTAAATGACCGTGTGGTTCCTGGATACGGCGAGGCTCAGCTCCTGGTAGAGCGAGAAGCCCGGTATGTCCTGTCCGAAACACCTCTCGTTTCACACTCACTGACGATGGATCAATCTAGGGATCATGACATGTACATGCTCGTTCTCCAGAACGGCCAGGAACGCACGCGGGAAGACTGGGATAGACTGCTCCGCGACACCGACCCACGATTTCAATTGACTAACGTGTCCAAACCGCCGAAGTCGTACCTGGCCATTGTGGAGGTAACGTGGGAGGGGTAGAGCTTCCAGCTGCATGACTATATGACCGGCGTTGTACATGGATCTAGACGACAACAGACTTGGCTTGATCATTGTCCCACATGGTCCTATACAGCGTACACTGCATTGTGGGCTTTTGCACGGAGAGAAAGTTGCATGCAAGTGGGGACGCGAAGCATTCGTTGCTGAATCCTGCATCCTGCTCGTTTAATTGTTGTCGCGCCATGCTTGGCTGGATGGGGCAGAGAATCCCAGTTCTGCCGCCATGATTCATGGCAGCTGGTGCGGATTCTTGCGTGAATAGAATGTCCCGCTGTAGGAGAACTACTGCGGATGTCAAAGGATTGATGCAGGGGTTTTATTTATTGCGGATTTGTCTGGCTGAGGACACTGTGTTTACCCCGACCATCATATTATTGTTGTTATTCTAAGGGAAGGAATTCTGCAGTTGAAACGCGCTGTATCCAGGTTTACTATAATAAAACCCAGCCAGCACCTATGGAGTAGATAAAATCATGAAAACATAGAGTGCCCAAAGACGTACATCATAGGCACGGCCAAGAACAACCTTGCCCCAAGAGAAGACGGATGAGCTATTCCATGATCCATGTCTGCGCTGGCAGACTCGGAATAAACTCCCTTAGCGCCAATGATCTCGCCAATGATTTCATTTTTTCTCTAGATCATCCACTTCATTCTCGATTGCCGCGCTGAACGCGACCTGGGAGTATAGAGATGTCAAACCTTGCGACTCTGGTAGTCTGAGACAGGCGATGTGTGTCGCTCAACAGGGCAATGCTATGATGGCCCTACTGTGCGATCTTCCCAGTCTCGGACTGTTCGTATGAAGCGATTGGATCGGATGTTCCTCAACGCTGCGTTGCAGAAGACAGTGGCTCTCTTGGCATGTTTCTAGCCCGGTGGGTGGCTATGAATCGGCTATCTTGAAGGATCTGCGAGGAGCCGGTGTTTGATGGGCTCTACCTGCTGGAATGACGGCACTATTTTTATGTGAATCAAATCCCGGGATGGGATTATCGGTTCTTGCGTGGAGAGTTGGAGGAAATGGTTTTCTTAATTGTTAGTAAAGTCGAGATTGTGTTTTCATCGTCCCGTGGCTTGTACTGCGAAAGCCAGGTATTATCGTTATTGATTTTGCATTCCAACAAGACTCAATCAATATTAGGTGTAGTGTAGAGGAGGCAGCTAAGGATTTCTATGTAAAAAGAGCTACGCGGAACACTGATCAAACGACATCGGTCTATTTCGATGGTATAGCCAGTGTTAATGTGGCAATTTTAGTATGTACATAATTTCCTGTCCTAGGCCTTTCGAGCCCTCCGTCAAGCGGATTGAGTATTAGGCAACTCCTCGAGATTGAGGCTATCATCTATTGGCTCACTGAGGAACTGTCTAGCCCGGGGCTGACCGAGGGGATCCATACTATTGCGACGGATCGGACCACATGTGTCATAGATCGTCCCAGCTCCCGACATTGACACGATTCGGTTCAGTCGCCAGTGCATTTCAAGCAATTCGAAGTTGGGAAGAGGGTGGGTGATTGGATCATGCGTCTTGATGTAAAACACGTCTTCATCTTGAAGAGGAACAGGTTCCTGGTCAGGGTCAAATACCCAGATGCCCCTGCACCCCTTGACGCCGAAGGGCTCTTCGGAGACGTGTGGGGTTTGAAGAATATCGATCAACTGGGAGCGACAGTGCTTTGGTCTTTCTAGCCAGAAGAAGTCCGCCACCAGCGTATTCTCGTCCGCGAAATCGACCGGCATCACCGCGAGCAGACCGGATCTCCACCGCCATTTGATCCGCGCTGCCACACATAGCTGATTCCGACAGCCTGCGACGTTATCATTGACGCCCGGGATAGCCAGCTTCCACTTTGCGATACGGTCCTTGGTGAAGAAGAAGCTCAGCATTTGCCAGAACTCCGGAATCGCTTCGTCCGTCGGGTTGTGGGTATGGCACTTCACCAAGCTGACGGGGACAACGTTGACTATATCCAAGCTGTAGTCCCTCGAGAGAAGACACGTCGTTTGATCCCTCTCTAGGGTGAGCCTGTGTGCCACGGAGATCGAATCGGTTGTTTCGTCTGGAGGAGGCGCATCGGCGAAGTCTCCATAGGGCAGCAATTCCATCCAGTTGAGAGGAATGGACAGACAGCTTTTTTCTAGCAGTTCGAATATGGGCTCGGGCGTGACCTTTGCCATGTCCACTAGTTCAGCGAGTTTCTCCAGATCGCACACCTGGAGACAAGCCCAGAAAGGGGCGGCCACAGGTCTGTCGTTCAGGGCTTTCTTGAGAGCCAACAGCAGGGTGTTGCGCTCTGGGGAGTGGATATGCCACGTGCACTGCGACATGGTTGAACGTAGTGATAGGGTTTGTGATACGGCTTTAGAGAAGGAAATGGAGTAAATAACTAAGTGTAAAGGGATTTAGAAATGTCAGTGTACGAATTATAGTCGTGTCTGCCAAAGAGCGACGTTGTTGGTATACCAAACATTGCCGAGTCTCCCAGACGGCGGGAAGAAGGCGCTGCCACAGCACAAGGCAGGAGCTGTTCGGTGGGCTCAACACATGGAAGTACTCGTAGGGCAGGATCTGCTGGACCGCCTTCTGAACGTCTACCTAGGGAGGTATTTTGCCGTAGGTGAATATGAGTATCTCCCTCTTAAGGTGTCCAGGTCGACTGCGAGATGCGGCCTGAGGCAGCGTCAACTGCATACCGTACCTTACGCCGAACAGGCCATTCGACCCCGGCAAAGGAGCGTATCAACGGTACCGTACGGTACAGCCCCTTAAGGCATCCAGGCCACCCCCCCTCTTTTCCTGTCTTTCGCTTCTCCTTCTTTTCCTCTTGATTCTCTTCCCTCAGTGTAATGACAGGTGGATTTCCATCACCTTTCTCAATTGCAACACACTGAATGCTCCCCATGTCGGACCCGGCGCAGGACTTTGTCATGGTCGATGCCGAGGATGTCGATCTTTCGGATTCCCCAGACACTAAATTGTCCGATCTGCGAGGTTGGCTGCGTCCAACTCCCTACTGGAATGCTTCCTCCGACTTCAAGAAGCACCTCAATGCACATGTCCCCGGAACAGGGCGCTGGCTGTTCGAGACCCCCGAATATCAGCAATGGCACGACTCCACCACCCAAGGCATCTTGTGGTTGAAAGCTGTCGCCGGTGCTGGCAAAAGTGTCTTGGCTGCCCATCTGATCTCCGATCTGCAGGCAAAAGAGGAGAAAAAACCGGTGCTATTCTTCTTTGCCCGGCGAATTGTCACGGCCAACCATGGGTGTCAGTCGCTCGTACGAGACTGCATGCATCAGCTGCTGGGTCATTCACCGGAGCTGCGGGCAAGATTGGAAGCAGTCAAAAAGACGAATTCCGACGTGGAAAACGTTGCGTTCAACGAGCTGTGGCAGGTGTTCCTAGATGCGCTCAATACCGTGGAGAAGGCCTACTGCGTCATCGATGCACTGGATGAGCTGGACAGCGACCAAGCAGACAGCTTTCTGCCATTGCTCGTTGCGTTGGGACAGATGCGACCGGGCGCCGTCAAGCTTATCATGACCAGCCGGCCTCTGCCACAGATCCAGAAAGCCTTGAACGTTCCATCAATTCTCCAGCTGAGGTTGGAAGACCGACAAGTGAATAAAGACATTGCATTGTTTCTTGAATGTCGCCTGTCCCACGCATCTCATCTCAGTGTGCCGGCGAAAGAGAAGGTCAAGCGCTTGATAGAAGATCGTGTCCATCCGTCCTTTCTTTATGCGCGTCTGATGTTGGATGAGCTTCTGGAAGAACACAGAGTCGAGTCATTGGGGGTGGATAGGGTGCGAAATGCACTTCTGTCTCTCCCTGCCAGTCTCGAACATATGTATACCCAGATGCTCCATGGTCACTCCCAGTTGGCTTCTGTGCCGCAAGAGAGACAGGTGCTGATCTTACAACTTGCGACCCATGCTTCCCGCCCACTACGCCTATTGGAAATTTCAACCGTCTTAAACTTCTTGGACATGGCTCAGACCAAGAGCACACATGGTGACACTAAGAATATGACGCGTATGTCGTGTGGACCGCTGCTAGAAATCCTCGAGGATGAGACCGTGTCTATAATCCATCATTCTTTCACCGAGTTCTTGACTGACATGCAGCGTAAGGGCCAATCACTGACACAGAATGGCGCTCCTACATTCCCAGTGATTGATTCGAGTGCGACGCATGAGTTGATGGCCCTGATTTGTGTTAGATACCTGCTCTCTGGTTGTCTATCTTCATGGACCCTCAAGGCTCGGGCGCAGCGCCATACCATAATGATGGGTGCAACTGTGGAGCAGAAGGAAAGTCAACTTCAACACCCCTTCTTAGCATACGCTCTGCAGAATTGGTGCTATCACATCCGACAAGTGTCGGAGGTGAAGGGCGAACTTTTGGATGCCCTGGACCAGCTGATGCAACCGGGAACAACTGTGTTTTTGGGCTGTGTTGATTACATGTTACAACCAGTCTATAATGTAGAGACAATTACACCACTTCATCTTGCTGCTTGGGGCGGAATGACGGCTTACATAAAAAAGAGACTCATGTCTGATTCAAGCCTGGATGCAATAACCGAGTTTGCTGAGACCTCCCTTTCGATGGCGGCACAGAGAGGGCACGATGGCACTGCCTCTCTCTTGCTAAATCACGGAGCGGCGCCAGACACCCCTGATAAACGAGGAATGAAGCCACTTCATTATGCGGCTCGATCGAATCATCATGCTACAGTGCAGGTGCTCCTTGATGCCGGAGTAAATCCAATGACCCGCAGAACGCAGGACTACTCGCTTTCGGAAAACTCCTATGTCAGTACCACTGGTGACACCGCTTTGGAATACGCCTCTGAATCTGGATGCGTCGAGTCAATTGCCGCTATGATTCCATGTTTGAGCCAAGAAGACCTGAATTCTTACTTGATTTTCGCAATCACGCGGGGACATGTGCTAGCTGTCAAGTACGTGCTACAAACTGGTCTTGTCGACGTAAAGTCAAGCATCGGAGGCCAAGCATTGATTGAAGCTGGGTCAGATCTGAATTTTCAAATCCTGGAACTTCTTCTCAGCAAGGGAGCGGATCCCTTGTATCAACAGCAGCCGTCACATATTGCTTACGCGAATGTTATTGTCATAGAGCATGAGCCGGTGATCGAGAAGACTTCCCTGATTCTTGCTGTCTGTGGATCCCCTCATATGGAGAGTGGTATTACAAACCACGAGCCTCGTTGTCATATGTTTGAGAGGTGTCTGAACCTGGCTATCTCAGCTGGAAGTGATGTGAATGTTCAGGGAGAGGAAGGCTACACTGCCTTGCACTACTGCATCGTGAGATGCATTCCGGGAACCGAAAGCCTGCTAGAACATGGTGCAAAGACAGATGCCAGAGACCTAAACGACAACACACCGTTGCACTTGTTGAGGCCATTTCCTGCCTTAGAAAGAACTCTCGATTCGCTGATTCGATCTGGTGCTCAATGGGACGCAGTGCGGGAGAAAGACGGCAAAACAGCTCTTCATGCTTGTTTGGAAAATTGGAGTGGTGATATTGCATGGATGCGCCCGTACGTCAAAGACTGGGGAACTGCAGACTACGAAGGCAACACACCCTTGCACGTCGTTAGCAAACGTGGTGGACCTGGGATCAAAGAATTGATAGAGATGGGGGCAGATATCGATTCCAAAAATCACCAGGGAGCAACTCCACTACTCGAAATGGAAGACGATATGTACGAAAGTCGCGAACATGGACAAGCTTTGCTGAATGCAGGCGCAGACATCGAGGCCCGGGATAGTGACGGCCGAACATGGTTTTTACGATCCGTCAAGAAGGACCACTTTTCTGTGGAACCCTTGGAAATGATACTTGATCTTGGAGCCAACCGTCACGCAGAAGACTATGCAGGTGACAATGCTTTGCATTTGACCTGTCAATACTCCCGGAGAGCTGGAGCAATAAAGTTCCTTCTGGATGTCGGTGCGGATCCCTTGCATCGGAACCACATGGGAGATACATTGTATCACGTCTTAGCCAGACGCGCTTCTCGTCGCCCCTCTGATGGGACATTTGAAGAAATCCTCAATCTTATCCGGAATACTGCTATTCCGATACGGGCCAAGAACTTTCGAGGGGAAACCCTGTTACATGTGCTGTGCAGCAAAAATCGCAAAAGGGCCCGAACTGTAGTCGATAGTCTGCCTCAATCTGACGTCGACGCCATGTTTAAGATGACAGACAATGAGGGAAAGACTCCCACCCACAACGCGGTCGCCTATTGTCAAAGAATGGCGGAATGGGTTGTTAGAAAAGCACCTGATTTGACCATCCGTACTCATCAGAGACAGAACTTGCTACACCTGGCTGCAGAGGCCGGGCAGAGCAACGTCATTGGGCTTTTGTTAGAGAGCTATTCAAAAGTTCAAAGAGACAAAGTTATGAACCAGGTTGATCGAGATGAGCGCACGCCGCTTCATTATGCTTGTTGCTCTGGTCGCCCAGAGAGCGTTCAGCTTCTCTTAGATGCAGGTGCCGATGTTCGAGTAGCGGACAAAAATGGATACACACCCTTACACGCCTGTGCAATGTTTGTGCGACATTCTGGTGTCCTGGATGCCAACAAATACCCAGAGACCCGTATCAGCTCAGATAAGGAAACTTTGCGTGTAACCGATATAGTCCATCTCCTTTGTCGCCACGGGGCTGATATCCAAGCGAAGAACAGGTTTCGAAGAACGCCAATCGAAGTCGCATTGGACAATAATCACGAAGAAATGATATATGCTCTGACCAGAGAAATGGCAGAAGCATCTTCCCGATTGCTCTCCCAGGCAGATCTTTACCGGGGTGTCTCTGGGCAAACATATTTCTCAAGCCGTCAGACGAATGTTGAATCTCTGATTCAAGAGTTGAAAGAAACAGAATATCTTGAAAGAACGTTAATTCAGGTTCTTCGGTCCGGGGCCTATGGAGCCCTAGAAGAGGTGGCAATTCGTGGGGCCGAATTTACCGCTGAAAACATCCATTGGAAGCAGTTCTTGATATATTTGGCAGAATGGGGCTATGCCGACCTTCTGGAAAGACTACTGAAGAGAGAGAGGGACATTGATTGGATCAATGAGTCTTTATCAATTCCTCATGACTGGCGTAAGACTGAGCGTCCAGTGCTATTCTTCGTGGCATCACGAGAACTCCCAAGTTTGCCTCTGTTGCGGCTTTTGGTTGAAACCTTTGATGCCGACGTAAATGTGCGATCCACGACAAACGAGGATTTTTCCGGCACGAGTATTTTGCATATATTGGCGAAAGGGGAACATTGGTGGCAAACTGATGCCGTTCGTTATGTCCTGGATAAAGGTGCTGATGTGACCATGCAAGATGGTCGTGATAGACGTACAGCCCTTCATGTCGCGATGAGCGCTGTGCCTCGACGCATAGGCATCCTGAAAGCCTTACTGGAGCATGGTGCCAATCCAAATACCGCAGACAAGGACGGCGTCACTCCATTTAACCTCACGACGGGAGATCCTGAATTGTTTCGGCTATTTCTTCGGTACGGCGCAGACGTCACGACCGGGAACGAACCAATGCTTTTCCGCGCTATCCAGAATTTAAATGTCGATCTGGTTCAGGAAATTCTTATGGCCGGGGTTGATTGCAATATGCCATTCAAAAACGGTCTAACTACCCCAGATCTTGAGAAGCATCGGCGCTCAATGGGAAATGAAGCCGCAGAAAACCACTATAGCCTTTCGTTACCTCCGATACGTTTTGCTGCAAGGCTGTGGTTTCCTAGAGTGGAAGACCTTGCGAAGCATCAGAAAGCACTCCGCATTGTGGAGATTCTGTTGGGCCATGGCGCGACTCCATTCTCACCGCTGGAGAACACAACGATTCTGCATGATGTGATTGACTACGGCGGTACTTTGGAGCCTTTGCTAGCCCTGCCGGCGCTGGATCTGGAACAACGGGACATCAAAGAAAGAACTTTGCTTCTGGCCGCCTGCGGAGGCCGAGATCCCGGCGAGACCCCCTTCAATCGACATCTCGGAAGATATCGGATAGAACTCATCCGCAAGCTCTGCGCGATGGGTGCCGATGTGTCGGCGGTTGACAGTCACAAACGGAATGTGCTTCATCTATTGGTCACCACTATGAAGGAGGCCAAGGACCAAATTGAATTTACGGGGCTTATCAAGGAGCTGATTATGAAACGACCGGACCTTCTACAGGAACGCAATGAAGAAGGATACACGCCGCTGCTTTTGGCTGCCGTCAAAAAGCGTGTTCCGACAACTGCTATCCTTGCAGAAGCGGGAGCCAACTTTCAAGAATGCGACTCCGATGGAAATACAATGTTGCACCATGTGGCCAGTTTTTATTGTAGTCTGTCGTCTGAGCACGATATCGCTGCTGCTTATACGCTCATGAGACTTGGACTCGACTTCAACGCCAGAAACAATGACGGCGATGCACCAATCTCCAAATATGTTCTGTCGTTCAATGATCAACCGCAAACCTGGGTTGATAATCCTTATGTCGAGCAGCTGAAAAGCTTTCGGGAATATGGGGCCGACTATCACACTGTAAATAACGCAGGCGAAACACTCTTGCACTTGGCCGCAAGAATACCCTGGCATGAGGAAACCGATGCAGACGGTATTAACTTTCATGCTTTTCTCAATAATGTTTATGGAGATAAAAGTGTCCGAGCATTCAAATGCTTGATGGACATGGGTTTGAACCCTCTTCAGGAAGATCATCAACAAAGAACACCGCTGGTAAGCCTTGCTTCATCCCCTCCGATTTGCATGTTCTCGTGAGACTCTATTCGCTGATAGTATGATCCTAGGATGTCGCCGCTGCATATGGGAAAGACGACATTGTTGCACTGTTTCAGAAAAGGTAGACTGCATAGACTGCTTGTTCCGCGGATCCTTCATGCAGCGTTTATCAAGTATATAATTTCTAGGTGAATTCAGAAATTCAAATTGCTTGACACGTTCAAGCATGCGCTCTACCAAAGTCTGCAGACTTTCTATTCGCGTAGATCAGAGGATACTGCCATTTGTCGGTGAAGATACACACGGCATATTAATCGAAACCTAACCCCCTCTCATATTCCTTCCATCCGTCGCCAATTGGTTGGACGAGTGTATAACTTGCTGAGGTATTGAACTCCTGCACCCCGTTCGACAGATACAGCGGTGTCATCTCTCTATCTGTACTGAAATAAAGCTTGGGTCGTTCCCTGCGGTAATAGTCAACGCTCATCCCATCCGTAAACTCTACCGTCGTGTTATAAGCCAGCGTGATATTGTTATAGTGCCACGGTCCTTTCCAGCTCTTTGCAAAGGCATGAGCCCCAACGCGCGGTCCCTTTTTCCCCAGCGCAATATCCACCATGTGGTGAACGAGAAAATGCCAGTGACCGCGCTTGTCACGCCAGAGAAACGGATCTTCGCTGCGAAGCGACGGGTCGATTTCGATGTTCCCTGGCTCCACGCGCAGCGTGTACGGGCCAGAGTAGTTCGACGCGTGATATATGTTGTTCTTTTCGGTCGCTAGTAGCATTTCTGATGTCGGATTCTCGGGGGTCCAGAGAGGCCAGCCGGCTGGGTTCGTGACGTTGATCAGGAGCTCTGTTGGAGTGTCCCAGGTTCGTAGGTCAGGAGAGCTGGACACGGAGATAGTATTGTTTCGCTTAATCGAGCGGCATGTGTCGGGGGTTTCCCAGTCGTAACCGATAAAATGCATGAGATACTTCTGATCCGATGGACTCCAGATTGTCGTCGGATTGTGGTGGAATGTGCTGAAGAGTTCCTGAGCCCAGTTGTAGGGACCCCGAGGACCTGTTCGCGACTCTGCGCGAATGACAGTACTAAACGGTCGCCATCCGGACAGGCCGCATCCGCGATCCATTTGCGAGATTACGAGGTGGAATAACTGCTCGTCGTCTCGGTCCTGAACAATGTGTCCTCCCCAGGACGAGTTACCGGCACCTTCGCGGTAGAAATCAGGCAGGGTAATGTTCGTGTGGTTATATCCCGTCCAGCGCTCTACAGGTCGGAGGTCGAGTTCGCTGCAGTCCAGAGCTCGCCACCCTGGATCGCAGACACAGGCCTTGGTGTCGGAGGAGCAGACGCCATTCAGGCTGCAGTCCTCGGCTGTTTCGCATCCCTGCCCATACGCGTTTCCGGCAATCGCTAACAAGAGCGGATGGCTCAGGATGCAAGACGATACTCGCATATTGGACTTTGTAGTTGCCACCGAGTGATTGTGCGATTCAAGAGCAACCCAGAGGAGACTGGGCAGCTTCTTGCCATCCAGAGTCCCATTTCTACGCCAGGATGCGATGCGGGGTTGTGATCCTGCAGGGTTTGACGCAGAATCAGCCAACGGAGAAATTAAGTCGCTTCCCCGTCGGCCACTTTTCTCCCGAAGACCAAGGAAACCCCTTGGCAGTCATGCAGGCTGAATTTAGTTACCCTGAGTCCTACAAATACATGTTCGATTGAGCTCGTGAAATAGATTCAAAAAGTCATTGGAATCATATTTAAATATCATGTATTCGTGACGAGGCCCTCAGGTACCTGGAAGATCTTACTCAGGTCAGGTAATACGCCATATCGCCTCCTTCCTCGCGCTCCAAGGCCAGCTCCCCGTTGGCCAGGTACAGGAATTGGTTCGAGTTGTTATACCGGATGTCGAAGTGCTCTCCCCGGATGGTTTTCATATACTCTGCGGTGCATCGTTAGTTGATTCATCCTTTCGAAGGCTTTCATCTAAAACCGACCTTTGAAGTGCAGGACGCTGCCCGGGTACATCGCGGTTACCGTGTTGGGCCCTTCTACATTCTTCTTGCTGTACCACGCATGGCAGCCCTTGGACCACACGCACCGCTTCAGGCTTTCCTGCGCATAGGCATTGTATTCGCGGACGATGGAGTCTTTGACCATAATGGATCTGCGCTTGTTAGTATTGACTACCTGAATTCCGGGAGAGAGGATGTCGACATACCTGATGTCTTCCATGGCCATCTTCTCAATCCAGTTCAGCATGTAATCTCCGGTCCATGCCAGCATCTGAGGAACGGAGCCATGGCCGATCGGACAATTAGGACCGGCAAACATGAAATAATTCGGAACGCCGCCGGCGCAAACGGAAAAATAAGCAGCTGGTGTGTCTTTCCACTCGTCTGCCAAGCGCCGGCCGTCACGACCGACTAGATCCCAGCATGGCACAAAGCTCGTGTCAAATCCGGTGGCGCAGACAATCAGGTCAAACTCTTCCTCGCCCTCCTCGCTCTCAATTCCGGTTGGAGTGAATCTCCTAATAGGACTAAACATGACTCGCACATTGTCGGCCTGGACTGCCTCAAGATATCCATTACCGGGGCTCAGACGGCGACACCCGATCTCATACTTGGGAATGAGCTTCTCGATCAGCTCGGGGCTGCCTTTTAGCTTCTCTCGCATCACTGCGTCAACCAAATCGAAGATCATTTTGTTTTCTGCGGATCCCGAAATCATCAACCGGTATACACTGTTGACACTGCACGGATTACCAGGGTTAATAGCGCTCAGACGATAGTGAGATGGACACTCACGATGTCTCGACGATCTTTCGATACTCGAGGAACTTTTCCGGGTTTGTGCGAAATTCTTCTTTCTCCGCTTCCGTGAACGCAAAATTCGTGCCTCTACCATCTTTGGTCAAATTGCCACACAAGGCCGTCGACACCCAAGTGGCATGACGAGCGTAGTTGACTACCTTTGCCGCTTTGCGCTGAAGGGATGGGACGAGCTGAAGCCCTGATGAGCCGTTGCCAATGACTGCTATCCTCTTGCCTTCCCACTCGTAGTCGGTGTCCCTGCGACGGCGTTAACATTGCACAGTCTCCTTACCATTGTAGACGACTTACCACATCGCACTATGCATCATCTTCCCTTTGAATTGGCCGCGTCCCTCGATATCTGGCCATTTCCAGTTGCTAATAGTTGCATTAGTGTGACAAGAGAGATATTTCGAATAAGGACTTACTTCACGATTCCACTCCCGTCAATCAGAATGTCCGCCTCGTCATCGATCAAGAACTCGCCCCGTTCCAGCTGAAGCTTCCATTTCGCCTGTTCCTCGTTCCAGATCGCTCGGACGAGTTTTGTGTTTAATGTGACCTTCTCCTTCAGCCCGTATTTCTCCGTGGTTCGCAGTATGTAGTCCTCGATCTCTTTGCCCCCAACGTAGAATTTCGACCAGTCGGGGCTGGGCTCGAAGGGAAATTGGTAGCTGTCTGTGCGAGATCAGAATGGAGGCGATGTCCAGTCAAACACGATCTACTCACGAACGGGAATGTCACTACAATGGGATAGTTGTCAGTTCGATATTCTTATTATCGCTGCACAAGACAGACGTACCAGCCTACTCCAGGGTACACGTTCTCCCACCATGCCCCCCCTACTTCTGGGTTCTTCTCGTAGATCTGAAAATCCACGAAATCCAGAGGTCTCTCATGCTTCAGCTTGTAGGCCAGATTGAGACCAGAGAAACCGGCCCCAATGCAGACCACGCGCAGCTTCCGGGGAGTGAAGGCAAAGCGAGCCGTGTCTATGTGGATGCCACTCTCCTCGGACTGGCCGGATGCTGCGTATGATTCAGTCGACGGCGTATTCAGACTAATTATGCCCCCCATAGCTGGAAATACAGGACAAAGCACATGGACGGATTTGATAACGTCCACTGAAACCGATAAATGCAACGAACCCACCCTTGGACCATCCCCCCTTTTAATCCTTGGCCGGCGAAATTGCTATGTTCGCACGGAATGGTTTATCAGGTGGTGGACCTTTCTAAATTAGAACCGTCTCGCCGCTAGCATTCCTGGCATGTCAGTTAGACCCTTGGAGGATCAGGGATTGAGAAATGAGGGTGTGATGGGGGATGGCATCCTGCGCTAGTGGATTTGTGACAGGCGCCACCGGAATGGCCCGGCCGCTCCGCTAATCCGCACTCAGTTGTGCCCCGAGACGATTCGGTCTAGTTAGGCCACCGTGTCTGCCTCATTGGACCGTTTACTGATGTCATCCGGTCAGGATCCCTGCTCGAATGGGTCTGGCCGGAGTGTTTTACTCCTAAATGGAGCGGCCGACTGCGTTAGAGCCGGTGGCCCGAGGGTCACTTGCTCCGTGCGGCCTCCGTGGAGACCATTCAATATCGAATTAATTTGCGAAAGAGAAAATGGCTTGGTGTCGGAAAGACGGGATATTCGCCACCGTTGATTGCAGGTCCAGAGCTCCAGTTTGGCAGGGATCTGTCCATAATCGCCATGGGTAGACAAAGAATCAAAAGCGGCTGGCCATGGATACTAAATTAAGGCATCCAGAACCAGACATTCGGATCAGCTATTGCCCTCTCCCTTTCGTAGAGATGAAGCAGACAACCCGTAGCAAGAATAAAACTTTCCTTCCTTGTACCTGTCTTTTCAACAGACACACCATTCTTGCTGGGCCAGAAGTGACACGAGATGTCGAGTCCCTTTGGCGAGCCCCCGATAGGCATTAATCTCGCTGAGAACCATACGCCTCGGAACAATGCCACTGTAGTCTGCATGTTTGGACTAGCAGCGGTGGCAGTTGCTCTGCGAGTGATTGCGAGGATCAGGGTTCAGCATTCGCGGATTGCCGCTGATGATTATTTTATCTTCGTAGCGCTGGTGTGTTCGTCCATTGGCTTTGCGTCGAACTGGCCGTCTTGACTGACCGGGGATACAGCTTGCCGTTATAGCAACGCTGGTCTGTACAATTATGGGTGAGTATTCCAGAGATAAGAGGAGTACGGTCGCCAGTTAACACCTAACAGCAGGTACCCATGGCTTAGGGAAGCATGTCTGGGTGGTTCCTCTGGAAGATGTGATTGCCATCATGAAGGTTGGTCTAGGGATTGAATCTATCAAACCCCATCCGACTGTCCTGTACTGACAGAAACGAACCTAGGTCCTGTTTGCATATGTGCTCGCCTACGTTTTCACCATTCCCCTAATTAAAATGTCAATCATCTGCTTTTACCGGCGCATTTTCGGAATGAACGCAGCGATGTGGTTCTGCGTCTTCTTGACACTGGGTTACTGCATTTCTTGCACGGTCGCATTCCTGTCCTGCTGCCGTCCCTTGTCCTATTTTTGGACGCAATACAGAGATCCCAATGGAGGAAAATGTGTGTTCGACCTGTATCGATTTTATATCGGTAACGCCGTCGCCAACCTGATCACCGACGTGGTGATCTTGCTTGTCCCTATCCCCGTAGTCTGGAGACTTCAGATGCCGACGGCGTTGAAGGTGATGGTGTCGTCAATATTCATTCTAGGAGGATTGTATGTTCCTCCTGTCATTTGCTCCTTATGTGATAGGCTGATGAATCTAGTGTCTGCATAGCAAGTCTTGTTAGGATCTACTTTATGACCTTCCTCAACTCGTCCCTGGATATTACCTGGATTATGGGCGACGTATTTATCTGGTCAAGCGTCGAACCCTGCGTCGGCATCCTCTGTGCCTGTTTGCCAACTATCCGACCATTGCTGCGGTCAGCCTTCCGACTCCTTCTGGGATCACTCAAAGCTGAGAGGACATTTGGACCTTGCAGCTCCGACGACGATGTGAACGAACTGCAAAGCCAGTATTTTCAACGGCCAGTGTCCATCGGACCTTGCTCGCCACGTTCGGAAGAGGGGGAGATAATATTGATAAAGTCTATTACTCACGTTGAGGTCATCGGATCCTTTCATGATGGGACCTCAGACGAGGATTGCGATCAAGACCCGTTGTCCATCAAAGTTAGAAAGGAGTTTCAATGGTCGGTAGAGCACAACTAACCGACCATTACTAATAATTTGTGATTCAGGGAGGAATACTGCTTTTGTGTCATTTCAGCGCTGGGTCAGGCTATCTGTTCTTCTCGTCAGCATCTTGGAGGTTCTTTGTTTTACTTAGCTATTGCATTCGCATTAGAATGGCTGCGCAAGCGCTCTGGTGGAAATCTGTTTCAATCTGCTCCGTTGATACACATACACTAATTGTCTAACTACCAAAATCACTTCGTTCTAGGGAATAGTCCCGCCACGTCCATCTCAGCTAGTAGAGCGCACACTGCCACCACTTTAAAGCTGTTCAAATCTCGGTAAAAATAGCTGCGACGCGCTGTCCCCAGCTCCATTCCCTCGTGAACACACGCTAGGCAGAGCTCGAGCCCGTCAGAGGTGTTCTGCGTCCCATATTCATAGCCCGGACCTTGTCGCCGCATCTGGTTGGTGATCCATTCACATATGCGCGAATATTCGTCCTTCAGTTTGATCGACCGGTCTCTCTGCCGGCGGCTCACCATGCCTGTTTCACTCATCAGGCAGCCTGTCACGACTTCCAGCTCGGTTATGGGCTTGGTCGGGTGATCGGAGTAGTTGTTCATCGCGCCGATAATCGCATCTTCGTACCTGTTTTTCGAAAGGTGAGTGTTAGTCAATCTGATTCCAGCTAGAAAAAAAAAAAAAGGAAAGAAGAAGGGAAGAGACTCACGCTGCTCGGATACGACTAGCTTCGCCTGAAAGCCGCCTGCAACTTCCTCGTCCCACGGTATTACATCGGACTGTGCAGTCTCTAATGAAATCGTTCCAGAATGGACCCTCGTCGAGTTTACATTCCGAGCGAATGTCCCCGTACCAGATATCCTTTTCGTCGACCGCGCGATAAAGCTTGCCGAGGATCTTTTCGGATCGGTAATACAGACGACGCTCATCCAGATCGTCTTCGTCATTATATGCCGGATGTGAGACGAGCTCTTCGAAATTCATTCGCGTTTTGCCTTGCAGGCTGACTCGAGGACCCGGTGCTAAACTATTTAATCAGAGTGTCAGCGATGTCATTTCAAACCAAGGGGTACGATAGAGCTTACAAATCTGGACGGAAATTGTTCATCCGAGGAATTTCTCGCATGTTCACGGGGATTCCAGTCTTCGAGAAGTCCACGGCAGTCGAGTGCAACTCTGCCAGCTTGCGACAGAGAAAGTCGCGTGTCCCGAGTTTCTGCTGATCGGCTAAAATCATGTGTTTCGTGGCGATGATTCCAAGATGATCGGTCTTCATGAAGTCCACAAAGAAATTCGCCATGTCATCTACCGTCACAGTTCGCTTGATATCGACCGGTTGCACTCGCGGATAGTCGGCCGGTGCGAAGGCCCGAAGTGTGGGGATGAGGGCATTATCCCAGATGACGTGGTAGAGATCACCGTCCAAATCACCCCCACTCAGTTGACTAGGCAGGTCTCTCTCTCCCTTTTGGCTGAAGACGATGCAGTTTTTCAGCGACCGCAGTGGATGACCATCTGGTGGAATCGTATTGATGGCAAACTGGACATCGCCATCGTGGAGTGCCGGCGACCGCGTCACCAAAAGTTTTCCGGCTGGAGGCGGCCAAGCATATTGACCTTCCATGGTATCGTAGGTCACGTAGACTTCGCCCTCTTTCAGATACCCTGTTTCATCCATCACCCCATACAGTGTCATGCCCTTCGAGACCGGGATCCGTGCCTTATGTTTCAGAAGGCGCAACTCCCGCATGACGACATGCTCGACGAGAGAACGAAGAAAGGGATCTTTTCTGTAGTCCAGATTCAGCCAGTAGCATTGTCGGAACAGACGATACAGCTTGATAGTGTCCGCCGTTGCTTTGTCACGCAGGAAGGTCGCGGTTTTGTCGACACTGGTGGTCACCGACCGAATTTGCCGCAACGCATCGCCTTGTAGATCCATAAACCATGACCATGGTGCTCCCATATCTTCAAGAATCTTGATCAACTGTCGATTCAGAACCAGGCTGTGTGGCTGGGACGACATCTTGCAGATCTCCAAACTATGCATGTCTCGGCTGTCGAACTTGATCATTGACGGTCGCATCTCGATTTTGGAGCCGAGCAGACAGTCATCCAACACCAGCATCCCTTTAGCGCCTCCCATGCGAATCTGAAAGCATGTCGGGGTCCCCTTGCTCTCCGGGACTGTGGCCCATATCAACTCCATAACTTGACGGGACAGTCGTCCGATTCCGTCACTGAATACTCGCGACCCGTCTGCGGATTTGACATCGGGGATGTTTGATAGCTGGATCTCATTTTCAGGCAGCGAAATGGCGTATGGGGTCTCGGAGAAGGCTTGACCAATCCTCGCCGCGCATTTGGCTGGCGTGGTTATGGCCGAGAAATTGCCAAGTGCATTGATAATGTTGAAGTATGTTTGGAGCCGGTCGGTGTGGTCGATAAAGGGGGATGAAAACTATTCAAGATGGTGTTAGCAATCAACGGCTCGCAATAATGGACGAGGAATAATAGATCAGTACTTACCCAGACTGAATGAGAGCGCAGTGACGAATGTGAAAATCCCAGGAATGTGAAGGTGCGGCCAGCGATCTGAATACCGTGGGTGACCACTTCTTTGAATCGCTGGAAGACGTTGTCGTAGTTCACGCTGGAACTGAAGAACAGATCCTGGCCGTTCTCATCGCAGAATTGGACCCGGATAAAGTACTCGTGGTGATTGGGAAACTTTCGCAAGATCCTGTTCATCGGCTCGACTTCGGGGCCATTGAGTGTGATGCGAGTCGGAGTCACCGTCACTCGATTGATGCGTGCCAGGTTCGCGGTCGGTTTGAACAGACCATACCGATAAGACAGGTTCATTTGAATCTGAATTTGGTTGTTCTTCAGTTGTTCAATCAACGTGCCGACCTCGAAGTTCCGGGGGTTCTCGTGAGGAAATGGCCAGCCGATCATTTCCATCAGCTTCTTCAATGCGTCGACGGAAACCGACACTCTTCCTGTCTCTTTGTCTTTCATCGTCGACTGGTAGATTTCCCTGGTCAAGCTAATGATTGTGGATGGGTGAAGGTAAGCGTTGTACGCCAGCGCCTGCAGCTGGTACAGAACGCCGTAGGGGAGCAAGGCACGTTGCGTGTAGGTCCCCAGCACTTCTCGCAGGACCTGCAGCTGGCTGGACAGTTTGGCCTCTCTCTGTGTTGGCACAGCAGCCGTGATTATCTCACTTCGTATCACAGTCATGTCCCACTCCTTCAGCTGTTCGGTCTTTTCGTGGAACCCATCTGTCGAGACATGGAACTGGTAGACGAGACACTGCCCTACGATTTTGGCATGCTCGCTGCTCAGGGCACAGCAGCGGTTTTTCTTTCGCGCAGCCACAGGAGGCGCATGGTCATTCAGACTCATCGCAAGGAGCTCGGCATCGAGTCCGACTTCTTTGTGTGTTTCATACTCGAAGAAGAAGGGCACGTCGGAGAGTGTCATTGTTAGCACGCCGTCCCTCGAACACACCATTCCTACCACTGTCACCAAGGGCATTCGGATTATACGGGACGCCGTCTTGACCACAATGTCTCGCTTCCGGAACTTTATGATTCCTTTCATTTTCCAGGCCTCTTCAGGTGTGTAAACCAGTCGTTCCCTAACAAAGTCGGAACGCCCACAGCTCACCATCGTCATGGCGAAGGATATGATTGTCTCAGGCTTGATCCCCAGACGTTTCCTCCGCTCTTCTACCTCGTGCTCCAGGGCTCGAAGAATCAGAGGATTTGGCTCGCGGTCGCCTAGCTTGCAGAAAATGTTGACTCCCATGAGCGAAAGCCTTGGCCTGAGTCGAGGAAGTCCAAGGAATCCCTCGGGAATCTCGTCTTGACCGTGAGCCGCTAAGAACCTGTGCCCGTCATCTTGACGAAGAAAAGTAATGAAGCCAAAGTACTTAGACCTGGGTTTATCGCACATAAAATCCACGATCTGCAAGCGTTCCATGAGCGGATCCAGCTCACGCTTGAATCCATCACGACTCAACTGGCAGGGGATGTTGCGAACGAACACTTCCATCTTGACTGGAGAGATAAAAGAAAAGGGAACGGTAAAGGAAGATTGAGAGAGCTTGTTGCTGGAGGTATCAATCACAGGTTCGGTTGCTTTTATCTCTTAGTCTGTCATGGGAACTTCCACTAGTTGGCTTGCAATCCTGGAACTATTCACTATCTTCTTTGTATTCTTCCGCTTGACGAGTCACAACGACTTGAAATGTTCCTTGCACTTCCTGAAGCCAGGTTTATTCACTATGACATGTAGAATAAGGACAGGCTGCAATTCGTCCTAACCATGATTCAGTCCTTGGGGCTATCTGTCTCATTCTTTTTTTTTTTTTTTTTTTTTTTTTTTTTTTGGCAAGTTTAAACTTGTAAGTACATGTGGTATACTCTTCTCCTGAGTGTGGGATTTGTAATTTTCCAACTTTATCTTTATCGCCTTTCTCTGGTCTTAACACACTTGCTTGATGCTTGACAGGTTATATAGTATGGTGGAAGGGAAAGCAGTAAGTTACGGAAGATAGCACAAAGATCGTAAATCCAGTATATTTAGTATGACGAAATCTAGGGCATCGGATCTAAACAATCTGGGAAGTTTTTCTTTCTTCTCTCTCCCTCTTTCTTTCTCTCTCTCTTATTTTTTTATTTTATAAAGTATTGGAAGTGTTTTTTCACACTCACGGTCGGCTCTGCGGTGAATGTTATCCGGATAAGGCACCACTTCTCGGCCTGCCGATCCGAGGCCGATCAGGCACCCCCAGGCATCACCAGGCCCCAACAAGATCAACCGACTTCCACAGGAGGAACTGCTTGCTGTCCTTTCAGAAAACCACCCAATATGCACTATGACTATGATGGCTTTAAAGTTCATAGGGCGTGCCGATCCTCCCCTGGAACCCCTTCGCTTAATTAGGTTCACCTTGTCTCCTGGGCTCCACCTCCGATGCTACCCTATCGATGCTATTTTTATAGTTTGGGAATCGAAAGCTGAAACATGCTCATGGGCAGATTGACACTGACAGCCGAATGGTCGGCGATCACATGAATAATACTTTATTATGTCTTGGAATTTTCTTTCGGCCATTATTGGCGTGAATCTGACGACCTTTAGCAATCTCGATTAGTATGTGGAAACCCTTTTCGTTGCTGGCATTGTCACGCCTCTTCTATTACTGCCAGTGAGCTATATGGATAAGGTCCTAGGGTTTCCTTCTTACAACACTGTCTATTCCTCAATGATTCCATTGATTTACCTAATCGACTCGTATTGAGGTCTCAGTCTCAAACAACATCAACTCAACTGCTCGGCAACTCGATTAGACTTCGACGGTCTAGTTTCACGGAACAAACGGAGGCCAAGAGAACCATCAATCAACCACTATCAAATGGCGGGAAGCCTCGTATGGGAAGACTTTTGCTATGCTGGTACACTAGGCATACTGTGAACCAACAGAAAAGATCTGCGTCCGAGAAATATTCGGGTACCCAAATGCACGTGTCAAAGAGTTTCGTGAGAGTCAAAGAAAAGTTCGTCACGAGCCAGGCAGAAGAGGCTATTTAAAGAGCTTGAGTGTCCTCGAAAGATTCCCCAAGAAGAATTCATTCACTCTTATCCATCCGGTGAAGACCTTAAGTCCTCTTTCAACAATGTTTATTCACATTTATTTCACTCTGGCTGGACTCCTAGTTAGCCAGGCCGTTGCACATGGCCTGATTACTCGCATCCAAGGCGCGAATGGGGTCGTTATGGCCGGACTGACTGGTCAGACATCCTTCCCTAAGATCCATCCAGCTCATAAAGAGTGTGACTGACAGAATCCAGTTGTGGATGGTATGCCTCGGGACTGTCCCTCTGCAGCATGCGGTGGGCAAAAGGACACGGCAGTCATTCGCGACCAGGAGATGGGGAGCATCAAAGCCTCGGCTTTGGGAAGAACACTTGGAGGAGGCCCAGTCAATGCTGCTACTGTCATCGACAAGTTCATGGGGACTCCGAAAGACCGACGTGGCCACCCTACTCCTGCTGATCGTCGTCCGTTCCCCGTTTCCTTGTCTCTGCTGCCCGACACTAACGACTTGAAAGGTCGACAATTGATCAACGATGCTGCGAGTGTTGTCACCAATGCCGGGGGAACTATTTTAAATGGTACATATTGTCGGTGTGATCCAGGCACAGATGGGCTGAGCTAAGAGACGTCTAGGTGTGCAGGACATCGCTGATAAGACGCCCTTTGGCGGAACAATCAAGAGTAAGATCTCGGACCCCCGGCGCGGAATTTAAATTCACAAACATCCAGGCGCACAATCTACCGTCGACGATGCCCTTAGTATCCTCCCCGGAATCAAATCCGGGGCAGTCACTGCGACAGGCACCAAGGAGAATGGTGTTCAGCTATACGCCGGAAAGGGATCCGCTCGCGGCCTTCCTACCGCTTCGGAAGAGGGAATCGTGACGATGATCTACCACCAGGTAAGGACTCTTGCTCATACGTCTCACCATGAAAACCCCAGGCTAATTATTTGCAGGTCAACCAGGATGGTGCAGGTCCTTTGACAGCCGATATTGATCCCTCGAGCGGCGGAACGGACCCGAAGGCCTTTGTCCGCGCCAAGGTCACCCAGAACATTCCCGGAGTTGCGGGATTTTCCACGTCGAGCACAATGGACTATGAGGTCAAAGTGCAGGTTCCTTCTGGAGTCCAGTGCCGAGGGACTGTTGGTTCTGCTAAAAACGTCTGCGTCGTGCGGGTTCGCAACACGGCCATCTCGGGCCCATTCGGTGGTTCGGCTGCCTTTACGCAATGAGCACACCATGGCTCTCTGGTTGAAACGTAGGGGGTCTGGAAGGATTGCGGGAGAAGTGGTTGTTGTGCTCAGGTCACCTTCCAAAAAAAATAAATAGTTACCTTGAACCAATCATCGAACTTGATTTGGGAAGGAGCTACCAATTCCGACCTACTCATCGGATATGCCAAACATCACATTATTTTGCAGACACCGATCGAGTGCGTTTAAAACCAAGCGACTTCTGTCACAATGCACCCAAACATGGGATGATCTTTTTCATCGGGCCTCATTCAAAAAAGATCGTAACTGCCTTCGAAAAGCCATCCAGCAGGCAGATGAAGAAAGCTTACGTCCCCTTTGGGACAGCTTTTCCGGAGTTTGTACGTCTTGGGCCATATATGTATCGTGCGCCTATCAATGGATAATGGCACAATGTTTACCTTCGGGGATACAAGTGGCCTGACTATCGACTCGAGCGCAAGGGACGCACTGAAGTTAGGAGACGGTGAGGTAAAAAGTGCCTACGGTAATTGCTGGATAATGAAGGACGTGCATACTACGAAAGCACTATTGTGTTCGGTTAGTTCTGGCAATGGCTACGGAAAGATATATCCAGAACCTTACTGCGAAATAGGGCCCACCGGACAAGATCCACGAATTCCGACCGCTGGATAGCCATACCGTAGCTATGAAACGCTGCCTACGGCAGCTGGTCACCGAAAAGCGCAAGATAGTCTTTTTCTCGCTATACCGAAGCTGCCACGATGGTCAACTTCGCTTTAATGGGTCGCTCATCGTCACTATCCAACCCGGTGCGACTGTAATATCAGTCGGGGAAATACATAGGGTCTTCTGGCCAGCAAGGAGGAACGATGAATACTTTTACAGGGGGTGGACTGGTGGGCTTCTCGGTGGGCTTCTTCGATAGACTCAGACTGCTTGCTGCCTTGTGGCACCTCAGCAGAAGCCACACGCTTGCGGGGGGTCTCAGGGTCTTCGAATTTGAGCAATGGCTGACAATGGCGGTACGAGAGAAGGGATTTGAGAGAATTTAAGAGCGCAGAGGCTGGGTACTTGAGGCATCCGTGGATAACAGGAGTGGCAGACGGCCAATGTATTGCCGGTAAATTAAATCATACTTATAGATGGAGAGTTTGGCATTTCACTTCACCAAACCAAGGTCTCAATATCAGGTTGTGCCCCACCGGATATCTCTGCCCTGACCTTCTTCCTTCGATTCTAATTAATTATCTTAAATCGGCCCGCCATCTCATGAATTATCTCTAGGATGCTCGTTTAAGAGGAAGCGTCGGCAGGGTCCAACGCGCGGATGACCATCTCAAAAGACTTGTAAATGCCGGCGTTGTCGGCCTTGAGGGACGCCAAACACTCGGGCAGAGCAACCTTGGCGACGTGGATGAAGAATCTCTGTGTTCAAGTCGCCATGTTAGTTACCACATAAAAGAGCCCGAGTATGGAGCTTAATTATAGGCAAGACTTACGCCGGTCTCATCGTTGACCTTGGTGAACGCCCCCTGCAGGGTGTTGCGCTGGTTCTTGTTGAAAAGGTCGGCGTGGTCGGTGAAAGCATTGTTCAGTTCGATGCCGTTAAGAGCGAGCTAGTGCGGTGTTAGATTAGGTCCCAATTTTCATGGGTATAACAGTACCCCTTCAGGAATACATACCGTGTGGAAAGATTCGCAGAGTACCAGCTGGATGGCATCGGGGAAGGCAGCGGTGGGTTGCTTCATGTTCAGGCTCTTGTCTTCGCCGTGAGCGGTCTGGTTGTAGATCGAGACGACATCCTATTGAACAATATCGTTAATAATAGCCCCCGACGACATGGAATGAACGGTGTTGCCACTTACATCGGCAGTGACAGACTCGGTCTTTGCGGCGACGTGGCCGATAACCGTAGTCGTGTACTTGTAGCCCAGATCGAGCTGATGGAAACGCTGCTGGATAGTGGCAGCAGCAGACGTGCCGTTGTAGGATCCAGCGGCGGCTGAAAGGGCCATAGAAGAGGCGAGAATCAGGTTTTTGAACAACATTGTGAATGATGTGGCGGAGATAGGGTCTGCTTTACTGAAGACTGGACTGGGATGGTTCAATTTGGGGACATTGTAGAGGACCAGAGTCCGTTATATAGTAAACTCTGAGTGCCCACCTGCAGCCTGCTAACCGTGGCTTGAGCGGCGATTGACATCAGTCTCCATCTTGGCCTACATTGAAAGTTGTTCCCCTGGCCGGATGGCAAAGTCAAACAAGGCATCCGCCGTCCACGAAGCAACAGTTGATGCGAAGGATCCCCAGTAGTGGAGCGCGATTAAAGTGCGCACCACGTAATAGAGAGCATCGATGATTTGTTAATTTTCTCGGGCTGATCTGAACCAAGGACCGGACCCAATGATGGTCGATCGATGAGGTTCAATCCGGTTTGAATTTGATATTTTCTGTTCTCAGTTAGCAGGTCTCGCCCAACTACCGATCCAATGCGTTCTCTGAATGGTACCTGGCGACGGCCATTCGTCTGGAATTAACATACACACAGAAAGATCTCCGACGATCTCCTACGTCCGGAGTAGTGAGTCCAGAGGACATTGGGATCGTCGGTCTGGCTCCACTGCGAGCCCTTGCCCACTAGATCCACTAGTGCCCGGTAGTACCGTGCTGAAAAACAGGAACTTTTGGCCGTGATGTTCACTGAGATTTCAAATTCTCATTTGAAAAGTGGATATCCGACACTCCCACATGTGCACCGTGCAGTCAGCCCATCGCGGGATGAAGATTCCATCTCAGGCCATCGTCAGAATGCTTCCTCGGCTCTCCCCGAATGAACACACTCCGCGGAATCCAGCCCTCAACGCTGCTAGAAAAAATGGACTACGAGGGCAACAAAGAGTCTCAATACTTCATGGCACCAAGGCTTGGCGCAATTCCACCGCGATTGAGTCGGGCCAGGTACAAGCGTGGGCGGAGAGTCGTGGGAAGGCTCGGATTATCAGTAGCATGCAAATGAAGTTGCGTGGTGGGTCGAAGTAGCTTGCTAGAGACTGTGTTCATTCATTCATGGTAGCTCCATGGTGATGGCAACTTCTTCATATTCGAAGGTGCTCTGCTTACCCTGTTTACCTCTGCGTTGAGCCATAAGACTAGTGAAGACGATACTCGAGAAGCAGTAAGTTGATTGACATCTGATTTGGGGTAAATCCACAGACATTCAAGAAAAATAGCTCATCATACATTCTTTGCTAGTCATGATACAGTCGTCCAGATAGTTCAACTAACAACTAATAGCGAGTTTTCAAGGTAAACCCCGACAATCCTACCGCAAACACGGTTAGACGTGGATCGCCGTGCCGTTCTCTTTCCGGACGAAATCCAAAAATACGTCCAGCTCGGGGCTCTTCGCATGGTTCACGGTGAATACCGCGGGCTTTCCGTACGGAGCAGCGACCTGAATTGTCTGGCCGGCGTGATACGTCTGGCCCGACCAAACGTGGGTGTACGTTCGCTTGCTGTCGGTGCCGGGCAGATACACCTCGACCGACTTGCGCCCGGCATCGAGGACGGGGGCCACGTAGAGGTCCGATCCGAGATAGAAACTCTGGTAGCTGATCTCACGCGCTCGTCGATCGTCCGAATGGTACAGAACGGGCATCCGGAGCAAAGGCCACCCGCGGACCTTGCTGTCGGTGTCCAGAACTCGGCGACGATAGGGTCCCAGGCTGCGGAACAAGCGAGCGTTGTACGCGTAGTACGAGTAGGTCGTCGAGTTGGTGTAAAATTGCGCGTTCACTTCGGGCACGTTGCCCTCATGCGAGCGGAAGACGGCGCTGGAAACGGCGGCCAGCTCGCCCCAGCGTCCAAGTAACTCGGCGGAGCGCGCGATGGCCCCGGAGGAGCCGTTGGTGGTCGGCGGTGCAAAGGCAGTGGTGTAGCCGCCAATGTCGGAGTGACTGTGAGCGTACCCGGACATGCCCATCTGGCCCATGAGGGTGACCACAGACTTGATACCGTCGTTGGTTGACCACACGGTGGTTTGATCTCCCACCCAGAAGAGGTTCATGTGTCGGTTCGATCCCAGGGAGGCCGAACGGTGGAAAGTGACCATCTCCGAAGCAAGGGGCATTTTCTGGGCCACTGAGCGCTGGAAGATGGCCCAGTCCCGCGGATATTGGTTGTGGTAGAAGAACGCATCCGACGAGACATTGGCCAGTCTCGTGTCGGCGCCGATGGGGGTGTATTCTCCAAAGTCCCACATGCAGCCGGAAATGTTGGCACTCCAGACCTGAGTCCGCAGTACGTCGGCAAACCACTCGCGAGCGTGCTCGTTGGTCAGATCCAGGATGCCGGCATCGATTCCCTTTCCGCTGGAGACAATCGAGGTCGAGTTGGTGGTGGAGTTTTGCACCGTGTAGCTTCGTCGAAACGCTTCAAGGAAAAGGTTGCGGCGATACCCATCCTCCTTCATGCTCACATTGGCAATGAAGGGGTTGATGTAGCTCAGCGTTCGCACATTGTGCTCTTCTCGCAGACCCTGGACGAACTCGGTCCAGTTGGGATACAGCGCCGAGTCGGACTCCCAGTTCCACCACAGGCGGGAGATATTGACCTGGCCATATGGGGCTGCTTGAAGGTGAGTGCCGGACCTAATCGATATCAGCCATCTCGGTTCGAATACATTCACACGGGCTACCATACCAGTCTTGAAGCCACACTCCTGCCACCGGGCAGTCCCGCTCAAAGCCTTGGTTCACGATCTTCTTCACTTTATCCTGGCCGCCCTGGATGCCCAGAATGGCTCCGTGGTCCACCCACTCGGGCAAGGCAGGCATGCGACCGACATAGTCCGTCAGCATCGTGATCGCCGCCAGCATGTTCTCAGCCTGCATGAAGTGACCGCTGACCGTCAAAGAGTCGTAGCGGACAGTCACGGCGGCGGGCTCGCGGAAGTCGAAGGCAGCATAGGCCGTGTCTTCCTCTCCCAAGTAGAACACGCGACCGCGCGTGCTGATATATTGCGGGATGGCGGTGTAAGTCGTGAATTGGTTGCCTCCGCTGAAGAAGCTCTGAGAATTCTCAATGGACGTGACCGGTTCATCTCCGCGTCCGACCCCCTGTTCGCGCGAGAAGATCGGGACGGTCTGGTTCTTCATGGATGCAAAGGAGCCTTGGGCGCCCAGTCCATAGAAGTCCTCGGATGAGTCCGATCCCAGGGTCAAGTAGATTCTTTCGAGAGGCATCGCAGCATTCCGGTCGGAATCCACGGCCAGATCAAATGCAATTCGGTCCGGAAGATTTCTGGGGACATAGAAGTTGACAGCATAGCCCACCGCCTCGTGGCCGCAGCCCAGCAAGTACCCTTTGACGGTGACTGCTTGACTGTGCAGGCCCTTGACATGCGAGGCGTGTGAGACCTGCGTCACGTTCTGGCCCTGACAGCGATTGCGATCCCCGTTGGTGATGTTGAAGTTGCCGTTGGCATCGACAATGTTGTCCTTGCCCGCACTGGCACTGAGGAAGGGCTGACCGGGCACGGTAGAGAGGATTGTCCGGTTGTGCCAGTCGAAGCCCAGTTGCGACGCACTATCTTGCCAGGTGAGCTGGAAACCATTGCCCAAGGGCCAGGTGGGCTGTGTCTGTCCCAGACTGGACGAGGCGAGAACCCCCAGGGTTGCGAGGTGCGAGTAGGACCGCATCGTGGCAGGAATCGCAGGGTGCTGTACGAGAGGGAAAAACCGTGCGCTCTCTGGTCTTCTTATACGCGAATCAGTTTATCAAGGTCGTTCTGCCGATGAGGTCGGGGTGGATCCTTTCATGGCCAACTTTCCGGATTCGAGGACTGTCTACCTATCCACCAGTCACTCGAATTTCTTCCTATCCTCGTCGAGAGCACCGTTCTGAGGGTCAACTGCTCGGTAAGCGAGCCCTCGCCCTGCTGGCTTCGGTTCACTTGCAGTCTGATGCCCCGGATTCCCCATTGGAGTGGAACCGTTCGGCAACAATATGCGCCTTCTTGAATCCGGGGCTCTGAGTCGCCGCCGTGATTTATCCGACTGCAGCCGTTCTCCACCAGGCGAGCGACGATCCGGAGAGTCGCCGACCGTGAATTGGCAGCCGATAGAACAACTTGGTTTTCGATGGTTGGTTTCAAACGTGTCGACAGAACATTGTGTTTTCAATGCTGGCAAGCATTCTCGACTCTGCCGGTCATTCCAGCGCGGCAGAGAGTATGGCGTCATTATCTGCGACCTTCGATTCAGCTCAATTCAGTTCAATTCAGTTCCATTCAATACGGAGTCAATTATCCCAATCGTTCCATGTGGCCCGAGGACCCAGGGTTGGCCGTTGATAGGCTCGAGCATCCAAGCATTCCCCCACAGCTTGACATCGACCTGCTGCTTCTAGGCGAGTCCCCACATGGCGTCCTCCAAGCGCAAGGCAGGCCGGAAATGACTTTTAACGGACGATGATGTCAAGAGGTGAAGATGAACGGGGTTCTCGCTGGCAGGGGGCCTGAGGAATCTCTCGTGACGGCTCGATCTCACGTCTCACGTCTCACGTCCTCTGCGAGGTGAGCCACCAGCTGACGGGCAGTACGGCCTCCGACGGTCAAAGCCAGCGCCACTCGACATGAGGCTGGCTGCCGACACGTCCAGCACGTTGGACTCTATGCCAGGGCTGAGATAATCTGGCTCGTATCCGCTCTCTTGGCCGTGGATGGTGTCTTCAAAGGATGCTTACGGCCAGAAAAGATAGATGACTATCCAGAGCCTCACGGAAGAGTATAAAGCCATGCATCAACCCTCCAACTGGAGACAAAAGAACAACAAAAGAGAAGGAACACACCCCTGAACCTCCAGTCCATCTTCAACACCCTTCTATTCAAATCAAGCACTGAACTTGCTATATCACATCTGGTCAAGATGGATCGCCCTATTAAGAGCATTGTATGCGTCCAAATTCTCCCGGATACCTAATGATCGCATACTGACCAGGTCTATTAGGCCCAATGGTGACCCCAGCGCCGACATCAACCAGTTCCGGGACGATGTCGAAGCATTTCTCAATGCCCGCCATCCGCTTGGCTCGGAGAACACAGGACCAGCTCCGTCCAGCCCTCTCGCCAGTGCGAAACTAGTCAAGAGCACGACCTGGAACAAGTCGCCGGACTCGGTCTACAACGTGCGCTGGGCGACTTCTTCGGACAACACCAACACCGTGCCGGCGTACTATCTTCGGTACCAGTCCATCAGCATCCAGGGAAATCAAGTTCCGTTTGTCGACATCCCGGCCAGACGCGAGGCGGATTTCCTGTTTACCGGCGAGCTGGCGGGGTGCTCGCTGGTCGTCGTTCGCCGCGGTGATGGCCTGCGCGTCTACCACGACTCTCGGTACTGCAGCTCCGTTCTGTATGACAATGTCGTGATGGCCGTCGACTACTGTGACTACCGGGAGGCATACGAGGATCCCGTTTTGCGCAAATTCGACCCGGCAACCGTCTTCATGCACTGCCAAAACGGCACCTGGAAGCTGTACGCCCAGTTTCTACAGGAGAATGAACAGCACAGCGGAGAGGTTGCCCGTGGGGACGTGCCGGAGTGCAAGCGGGTGCTGCGATATCGCGATCGCGATCATTTCGTGGTCAAGACCCAGTATGTGGCGCCCGACATTGAGGCGGATCGAGAAGTCCTCTACCAGGAACTCAAGAAGATCGCCATCGAGTACCTAGGGGCGGCCAATGTTCCCACGACGCAGGATGCTGAATTCGCGGACTTTGCCCCGAACCAGCCTCCCAGTTTGAGTAACCCGGCCGTGGCTCGCACGGAGGCGCTGCGTCAAGCCATGGTCCAACATGGACTAGAAAACATTTTCAAACAGAAAGTCGCCGAGAAAAAGGAGGAGGCCGCTCAACAGAAAGGCCGACCAGGTGTGTTGATTCCCCGGAAGAAATTCCCAATTCCCTTGGTACGCGTTTACTGACTCCAGGCAATTGCCTAGTGGACCCTACGCTTGATCTTCACAGGGTGCACCAACGCCTCGAACTGGCCTTTCGGGTCTTCCTTAAGCGTTTGAGTGATAGCAAAAGCACCGATGCCACCTATCTTTGGCTGAAGTTGAAGCAAGCGCAGAATCTCCAGGCTGTGGTGGCTGAATGAAGTGTGCCTGATATATATAAGGACGGCCTCATTGGCGATGGGGTTTGAAATCGAGCGTTTTAGTTGTAGGAGGACAGATTACTCATATTCGATTTACCGCTGCTACTTCATTTCTATTTATCCTGAGTACTGCCTGTGTAGCATCTGCTGGAGACGAGGGAGTGGCCTGAGGTGGCAGTCGCCAAGCATTTCTTTCTTCTTTTCCCTCTCTTTCTCTCTCTCCCTCTCTCTCTCTGTGTGTGTGTCTCTCTGTCTCTCTATCTCTCTCTCTCCTTCTCTCCACCACTCACCCCCTCGGACTCCATCCTTCGATCCGTCAGTTCAACTTGATCCATCACTTTCATCGCCGCAGTGGCCCCTGCGCATCACGGTGGCATTCCCACGATGACAAATGGCTCCTTTACGGGCCAGGAGGATTTCCTGCCTCGACGACAGGGTCCACCGCTGGTGAGGCTGAGGTGTAGTAGTCATCATGCATGCAGTCAGCAGGCAAATCTCTTGCTTCGAAGCAGCTGAAGACGAATAGTCGCGAGGGATCGACAGGAACTCCCCGAACGGGTGCCCGACGGGAGTCTTAAAAAGGTCGACCAGGCAGCCGGATTGATGCCGTAAGAGTTTGCTCGTTGGACCCTCAGCCTTTGAGTCATCGTGACTCAGAACGAGTCAAACGCGTCCGTCGAGGTCCTCGGACTGCGTGGTCAAAAAGAATCCTCGCTCCGGAACTGCCAGGGCGGATCCTCGTCGCCAAGCAACAAATGATGGTCGCTGATCTCCCCGTCGGCGCCTCGGTCGCATGCCTGGCCGTGACCGCGACCCTGTCCCTTCCCCATGTTCTGCGATTAATTCCACGATCCAACGGCCCTCCGTATCATCTCCTGGCCGATTCCTTGAATGACAATGACAATTATACTGCCGGCAAGTCGCCGGGATCCCTGGTTCAGCGCGTCGTGCTGGCTGTCGCCGCTGGTGTCGGCACTCTAGCTGCCCTCCTGCCCCTTCCTGGCGACAGTTCGGCGGGTGCCTCGTGGAGGATCGCAAGAGTCCTGCAATGCGTGGCCTGGGTATGTGGACAGCTTTAGATTCCACCCATATGACGCTAATTGACCCGTGCAGAGTCTACTTCTCATCCAGGAATTGATCCTCATCACTTGCCCCGGATGTCGCGACCGATACACCCTGGGCTGCTGTAGTGCATGGGCGTCCCTGCTCCTGGGCCTCACAATTGGCGGTCTGAATGCGAGAGCCTGGCGCGATGCGGACCTGCGCATGGCTGTCGGTCGTGACCCTGCGACCGTAGGGGTGCAGGTTGTCGCCGCCGCCATCCTTACGCTCACAAACCTGTCCATTCCGCAGGGACCCACGATGTACCGCCGTGGCAAAGTGGTCGACCGCCGCGACACCGTCTCGTTTCTCAGCCGATACAGCTACGACTGGGCGCGCCCGACCTTGGCCCTGGCCGTCCGGAATCAATGCCTGAACGCAAATGACATGCCGGTCGTGGCCGAGTGGGTGCGCGCCCGCTCGCTAGCGGAGCGCTTTGCGGCCACCAGTGCGATCGCCAGGCTGTGGAAAAGATGCGTCAAGATCTACTGGCCGACCTTGGTCTTCCAGCTGATCATCCAGCTCCTGTCCGCGGCCTGTCGGTTTCTGCCGCAGCTGGCCCTTTTCACCCTCTTGCGGGAATTCGAGAAACGCGACGCCGGGGCTGAAAACCAGTCCCGGTTATGGGTGACGGCCGCCGGGCTCGGGGGCGTCTTGATGTTGTCCTCCTGGTTTTCGTCCCTCGTCGACTGGGTCGCGGACATGCATTTGGCCGTGCCCATCCGGGAGCAACTCTTTGCCGTCATTACGAGTAAAGTGATGCGCCTGAAGGACGTCGCAGCGCCTGCTCAGGACAAGAAAAACGACTCTCCAGAGGCAGCCAATGGCAACGACGCCGATGAAAACGCGGTAGAGAACGAGGACGAGGACGAGGACGCGCGCCCGAGAACCAAGCAGTCTATCTTGAATCTCTTGGGAGTAGATGCCGATAACATCTCCCAGTTCGCATCGTATAACCACTTGGCCCTGGATTGCACGCTTGATCTCGTCATATCCATCGTATTCCTGACAAAGCTCATGGGGTGGAAGCCCACAGTTTTGGGCTGTGGTCTCCCGATCCTGCTGACCCCGGTATACTACCTCATCACTAAGCGATACAGCGACAGTGAGGAGGCGCTGATGGAGCATCGCGATCACAAATCGTCGGTTTTGAACGAAGCCGTCCGTGGTATCCGTCAAATAAAGTTCGATGCGCTGGAGAGCGATTGGTACCGGAAAATCATGCAGTTGCGGCAAAAGGAGTTGTATCTTCAACGCTCGGTATTCAGACTAGAACTCTCCTTGGTATCCATCTGGTCCTTCGGGCCCATTTGTATGAGTATCGTCTCGCTGGTGGCCTTCATTATTATGAATGGCAGTCTCTCCGCCTCGATCGCCTTCACGGCCTTGGCCATCTTCGAGAGCATGGAATCCACGCTCGCCATTCTGCCGGAGATGGTGACCGATCTATTGGATGCCAACGTGAGTGCGCAGCGAATCGAACGCTTTCTAGCCCTGGAAGACCACCGGGATAACCGAGAGGCTGGGGACAAGATTTCTTTTCGAAAGGCCACCATCGCTTGGCCATCTGACGAATCCCAAGAGGAATCCACTCGATTCAGCCTGGCCGACGTAAACTGTGAGGTCCCGACCGGAAAGCTTACGGTGATCTCGGGTCGCAGCGGTGCAGGGAAGACGCTCTTTCTACATTCCATCATTGGCGAGGCTGAGGTGGTTGCCGGCAGCGTGACCGTCCCCAAGATTGACCGAGTCAGCGAAATCAATTCTCTCGAGTCGTGGACAACCGAAGGGCGACTGGCGTACGTATCTCAAGATCCCTGGATTGAAAACGCCACGGTTCGAGAGGCAATCCTCTTCGGACTCCCCTGGAACGCGAGTCGTTACTACGAGGTGCTGAACGCATGCGGGCTCAACCCCGACATTGAAACTTTTGCCGAGGGCGACCGGACGGATATAGGGGCAAACGGCATCAATCTGAGTGGCGGCCAGAAATGGCGCCTTGCCTTTGCTCGAGCACTTTACAGTCGCGCTCAAATTCTGGTGCTCGATGATATCTTCAGTGCCGTCGATTCGCACGTCGGTCGCCATCTCTACGAGAAGGCGCTGACTGGGCCCCTTTGTCACGGACGAACGAGAATCCTGGCTACTCATCATACCCAATTGTGTCGAGGAGGCACGGCCTACTGTATTGTCCTCGGAGATGGACGAATGTTGCGCGCAGGCACCCCGGAGGAATTGACTGCAGACGGTTCGTTCAGTTTCAGTCTCGCAGGCCAAGTCTCAGAGCCATCCAACCAGAACGGAAGTGCCATCCCCGCTCATGAAAGACCGACCACCATGTCTTTTCACGGTAACCGTCGCTGTTCCACGTCAAGTGGCACAAGCCTAGATCGTCGCCCGTCTCGCCAGGGTACATCACACGCGGATGAGCCGCCCGATAAATACTACGAGGACGAAAAACGGGAGAATGGTGCCGTTAAAGCTCAAATCTTCAGCACGTATATGAAAGCTTGCGGTGGCTACTTTCACTGGCCCCTGATCATCTTCCTTTTTGTTCTTACGCTGGCCGACAACCTGGCCGTGCCCTACTGGGTTTCCATTTGGACCAGGGCCTATGATAATATCTCCGCGCCTTCTGTGCTAAAAGTCGAAGAACTATCGAGCCGTATAGCAAGCCCAGACTTTGTTTCTACTTCTGGCTTACAGCTCGACTCTCGATTGGCGTTCTACGTCAGTGTCTATGTGGCACTCTCTCTTTCTTCGTGGTTGCTAGAAATCTTTCGCTCTCTGTTAGTCTTCCAGGGATCTATCCGAGCGTCCAAGGAGTTTTTTGAGCAGTTCACCAACTCAATTCTTCGCGCCCCGTTACGTTTCTTGGACACTACGCCTGTGGGACGTGTCTTGAATCGATTCACGGCAGACTTTGGCGTCCTAGACTCGGATCTGGCCTCAAACATGTCGTACCTGCTTCATAGTACCATCCTGGTGCTGGGCGCTATTTTAGCCGCCGCCGTGAGCTCCCCGGTAATTGTGGCCTTTGGCGCTCTGTCTCTGATTGCAGCATGGGGTGTAGCCTACTTGTATATCGCGGGTGCTCGAGAATCCAAAAGACTCGAAAGTACTGCTCGATCGCCCATATTTGACCAAATCGGTGCTTTACTAACAGGGCTTGCTACTATTCGGGCATTTGGAAAGGAAGCCGAGTACGTCGGCCGAATTTATGATCTGATTGACGGTCACTGTCAAGCGCTGTGGCACCGGTGGCTTTTCGCATCGTGGAGATCGTTCTGGCTTAGCATGGTTGGCGCTTGTGTGAGTTCTGCTACCTTTTTGGATCCAGTCACTGCTAACATGGTTTCCTTTAGTTTGTTTCCGCGGTCGCCGTGGTGTTCGTCGGAATCCGTAGTCTAGACGCCCCACTAGCGGGATTTGCCCTCAGCTTTGCCTTGGAAATGTCGCAGAATATCTCATGGCTCCTGACGGAGTACGCACAAATGGAACTCGACTTCAACGCCGCCGAACGGATCTTCGAGTACACCCGTCTAGAGAAAGAGTCTGCGGACGGGAAACCCGTCCCTGCCGCGTGGCCTACCAAGGGTGAGGTCGAAGTCACGGACCTATACGTCAGCTACGCTCCTGATCTACCGCCAGTCCTCAAGGGGCTTAACTTCTCTGTGAACCAAGGCGAGCGCATCGGAATTGTTGGACGAACCGGGGCCGGCAAGTCCTCTTTGACTCTAGCTTTGCTACGCTTCCTGGAGGCTCAGTCGGGCTCAATTCATGTTGATGGAGTCGATTTGTCGACTATTCGACTGCACGACGTCCGCTCCCGGATCGGGATTATCCCGCAGGATCCCGTTGTTTTTGCCGGAACAGTTCGCGAGGTCCTCGATCCATTCGATAAACACGACGATGACGAGCTGCGAGATGCACTCGACAAGATCGTTGTAGAAGGGGATGATTCCCCCGGATCCTCCAACGACATGTTCTCGCTATCCTCATCCATTGCCGAAGGCGGTCGGAATCTGTCGCAGGGCCAGCGGCAATTACTTTGCTTGGCGCGTGCTATTGTCTCGCGTCCGAAAATCCTGGTCATGGATGAGGCGACTGCATCAGTCGATATGGAGTCGGACGCTCGTATCCAGAGATCCATCAGACAGGACATCCACGACTGCACATTGTTGGTTATTGCACATCGGTTGTCAACCATTGCCGACTTTGACCGTATCATGGTGCTAGATCAAGGGACGGTCGCTGAGTTTGACCGTCCATCGGTGTTGTTGGAGAAAGAAGGTGGGATTTTCAGGGCGATGGTGCAGCAGAGTGGCGAGAGAGCCGCCATCGAGCAGATGATAAACAGCGGATCTTCATGTTAGTTGATGAGCAATCGACCGTTTTTCATTGTTGAAAGGATCGAAGAACCCGGTTTTTGTATTTTATAGAAGATCAATTGAATTCAGTTTGCTACCTTGGACTGTTTGCCCAAGTATCCAAAGACGCCATTGAACAATGAAAAAACTCCCTCGGCACACTTGCCCTTTTGGCTCGGGAGGAAGTGACGTCATCGGGGATTCCTGGGGCATCAAATCGGGAAAGGGAGGCGTACCGGGCATGAAGTATGGACTGGCATTTCGAATATCGAAGCAGCAGACCCTTCATTCAATGATGTTCTTTTTAGTTGGATGCGCTAAATTGTTTATTCTCTGATCATCCCCCTCTCCACATCCGTCGTGGATTCTTCCAATTCTTCCCTTTCTTCAACTGTCAGGTCACTTCCCGCCTTTCCGACCTTGACAAACATAAGGAATATAAAGGCAACGCCAGCACACGCGACTCCAAACCAGAACGCAACCTTGTAGCTCCCTTTCAAGCCCAGATACTCGGTCTGGGCGACTGCCAGATCAGTCATGCCCAAGAAAAAGCTGATACCCACAAAGACAATGCTATTGATGACGGCCCCCGCAACCCCTTGTCGATGCTTGGGGAGGTTCGTGGTGATGAATACGTTGCTGACGCTGTAGGTGATGTCAACTCCAATGGTGGCGCCAATCATGGCAGGGAAGATGTAAGCCCAGTAGCTGGGGTTGTCCGGTATGATGGCGAATAGCAGCACGCACACCAGGTTACCGGCGGTCCCGATTATCATTAGAAGCTTCCCCGGTAGAAGATGCAGCGTGAAGCCGCTTGTAGTGGCCAGGATGAGCCCACCAGCACCCATCGGGGCGAACCAGACCGCTGTGGTCAAGGAGTTCTCGCCCAGAATGGTTTCTATGCTTTAGTCGCTGTCAGCCATACCGCCGGTGCACGAGCGAATCGCCGAGCTCAAACTTACTAGAAGCTAGCGTAGAACAGGTAGATCCCGAAGATACCATAGGTAAAAAGTAACGATACGAACAGCGGAGTCATCGACTTGACTTTGAACAAATCGAATGGGAGCAAGGGTACAGGGGCTATCCAGCCTTCCACATAGTATGCACCACCCAGCAGGGCGATTCCCAGAATGAAAGTGACAATGATATAAGGGCTCTTCCAACCATTGGGGGCATGAGAACTATCAGTCACGGAGTAAACCACCAAGAGGATTCCCGGCACGATTGTGAGACACCCCCACCAGTCCATGGTAATATGGTCAGAGAGTTTTATTGGCGGCAAAGAGAGGATGGATACCACGAAGATGGTCAACAACATGATGGCGCCTATCCAGAAGTACCACCTCCAGGTGAGGTAATGTCCGCTCACACCGCTGATGCAAATACCGGAGTAGAAACCGATCGGCGAGAAGGCTCCGTATAAACTGAAGACCATGTTCTTCCGTGGACCAGGGCGATAGATGGTCCCCAGCAGCATAATCCCAGCCGGTAAGTAGGCGGCAGGTCCGAGTCCTTGAAGGGCACGACAGAAGATCAACATCATATAGTTCTGGCTCCACCCAGCGATAAGGGACCAGACCATGAGCCATAGGATCCCAAAATTGAAGACCAGGTGGGCGCCAAACATGTCGGCCAGGCGAGCGAATGGTAAGAGAAACGCCCCGGTGACCAGAGAGAACACACTCGCCGGCCATGTCTTTGATTCTGTCGGAATATTCAGCTCACTGGCCAGGACAGGCAGAATGGAATTAAATCCGCTGATGAAATACTCCTGTCTGGTATTAGTTTCCGGATGTCATCGGTGCTCGAGGAATACTCACGGCCAGCATCATCGAGGCCAACAGTGAGAAACAAAATCCCAGCTCTACCCATCGGTTGGTGAAGATTGCCGGGCGCTCTCTTCCCAGCCTATCTAGATAGACTGCATCTGATACATGCTGAGGATCTCCTTCATTTTGACTGGGCTCAGTGACTTCCCTCTTATCATCTGGGTGCATGACGATACCCGCACCTTGTGGTCACACTGGGTTGGTCTTGAAAGATGATATTTTGTAGGATAGCGAAAGAGTACTAAAGGGGTGAAGAAACGATATAATAAAATGAGTATTACATTTAGCCGGTAGTTGAAGATGCTTGGGCAAGAGGCCACGCCATGTACGCAGTAAGCCCCGAGGAGCGCAAAGTAAGAAAAAGAAGAAGTAGGGCTAGGATTCGTGTGATTCAATAGGTCTTTGGTTGTGGTTACCGCTTTTCTGATCCACCACCAGGGCCATGTTGGATTCTCGTCGACAACGAGTCCTCTCGTTCTCGACAATATACTCCGGGGCGGATGGATGCCTTGTTGGTCAGGCTCCACTTGGGCGCCAGCGCGCTAAACCCGGAAGGGCAGCCAAGCCGCATGATTTGCGTTTGACCCTTTGAAATCCTTCAAATCTTTTCTCATTCACCGTTCGGTCTCCACTCTGATTCGTATTCCACTTCGTTCATCCTGTCCAGGGTCTTCGATTCTCTACGTTCTTGATCGGCCTCGCAGCTTGTGTCCTGAGCTGAGATCTCCGCGTCACCGCAACCATGTCGGCTCTCAGTTGAGCTTCACAGATACCGCTCCAATGCCAACACAATCGGGGTTGAAAGCTTGCCACAACTGCCGTAGGAGACGACTCAAATGTGACTATTCTTATCCATCGTGTCATAAATGCTCGACTAGGGGGCAAGGATGTCTGGGTTACGGGAAATTATTCCTCTGGAACCAGGGAGTGGCCAGCCGGGGCAAAATGAAGGGCAAGTCCTATGCAGGGCCAGTCAACACCCAGAAGAGCCTAAGCTCAGGGGTTGGAGCAGTAATTCCCTGTAGTTCACGCGAGTATGCGACTTTCCTGGGAACTTTTCGAATGTCTCTTACCGATCCATTCTTTCAAGACATGGACAGTTCTTGCCGACGGTACTTGCTTCACTGTATGACCACCGCGCTATGGATTACCATCAAATTATTTCCTTGCTGATCATGTTCAGTTGCAGACCATCTATCCCAAGATTTGGTGATATCTGATACTCCCAAAGAAAATTCGTTCCGCAGCCTAGTTCCATTGACTGGTGAAATGCCCATCTTGTTACATATCCTAGTCGCTAACGCTGCTATGCACATCGCGAGTATAAACGGCCGAGTTTCTTATAACAACAGAGAGCAATTGCAAAAGCAGCCGTATTGCTTGTCAAATGATAGCGACCGTGCAATGATTGATGCTCTGTTGGCCAAGCATAAGGCTATCAGTCTCTTGAGAGGTGCATTGCATAGCATCCAAACAATAAACACCGATCTCATCGCGACAGTCGTGCTCCTTTTCATAAATTACGAGCTTCTTGTCTCGGGGAAGAATGAATGGCGCGCGCATGTTCAAGGGGCTCTAAAACTCCTGAGCTGTCTAGGTTTAACTCAAGGCGACCAGTCTTCTCCTCTCTCACTGATTCGTGACCGTATAACCTCGGACTGCTTGACGTACGTGTTTCTTCCACATGTTTCAAGTGTGTAACATCTTTAACTAATTTCTTTATCCATCAGCTATTATGTTCTCGGCTCCACGTTGACCACCCTTGACTCGTCGGCAGACCCTTTGAAATTTCCTGCAGATATTCTAGCAATTCTCAGACGTGGTGAACCCAATAGCTATTTATCTTTTCCCACGACGCTTCTTGAGATGCTGTTCAGAGCCTGTGACCTGGCGAATAGATTCTTTTCCAGCTTACATGAGGGAACAAACACATATAGCGCGCTTGTTGAAGAGGCTCTATCTCTTCTGGAACGTATTGATGCCTTCGACGTCGATTCCTGGGCACTATCAGTCGATGGTGCCAACACTCGCCGCAGATCAACACGGATACACACAGCCTCTGCTCATAAAAACGCTGTCCGAATCTATACTTGCCGCAGTGTCGGGGACCTCGACCTACTCGGTTACGACATAGAACGCTTAGTTCAAAATATCGTTTGCGACCTTTCGTTTCTTGATGCTCAAGATCCTCTATTCAAAGCTACGGCTTGGCCGACTTTCATTGCCGGTGCGGAAACAAATAATTCCATGTATCGCCAGTGGGCTATGGATCGCTTAAATTGCTTATGGAGTGCGATGCCCTGGGGATACGTGCAAACTGCAAATGAGGTCATGCAAATAGCCTGGAAACTGAGAGATCAGCCTTCGGTCGTGGCATTGCAACCTGGATGGATAAATCAGCTGAAAGGTCTAGGGAAACATTGGCTAATTGCATGATGATGCCTGTCATATCTCCTCTTTCATTAGAACCTTCAACCTCCGATAAATTTGATCTATCTTGATTCCAAACCGATTGTGCCACCTCAATGCTCAAGTCCAATCATTCAGAACCAATCCAAATGGCTGAGATTTATGCTACTCTTACAATCTTTCATCAGGCGGAAAAAATGTGACATTCAGGTATACTGAAATAATAATTCGATAAACATCATAGCTACCTATAACGGAGCATCCTCCACCATTTGCCTTCTTCTAACCAGCAATTGAACATTTGAATCGGAACTCAATACCCACCCCATTTTCATAACTGCGGGCGTGGTTCCCTCGGGTAATTTGAAATCATACTTCATGAGGATGTGAATGAGTGCAATCTTAATCTCGTTCGCAGCGAAGAACCGTCAAGGACAAGCATGCTTGCCATGGCCAAAGCCAAGATGGTCAGGACTGGTTGAGACAAGATGACGGAATTTCTCCTTCTTAGGATCGTCGGCCATTCTCACGAATCGATAGCCATCGAACCTCTCGGGATCTGTGTAGGATGACTCGTCAAAATGCATTTGAATAGTGAATGCCGATCTGGACGCCTTTGGGGAGGAATGTTCCGTCAGAGAGAGTTACGTCCTGCAGCAGCAGACGACGCATCAGAGCTATGGAGGTATAAGCACTGTACAATGTGGTGTCTCCAATTGAACCAGATGAACGGGAAAGGGTACGTACGTATTGCACCGGGCTTAAACCGCTGGGTCTCTTTGATGACACTGTCCATAAGCTTCAATTTGAAGAGTCCTGCCTTCGTCATGCCCTCCTCCTTAAGTATCGTTTGAATCTCTTCACGCATCGGCTCGATGCATTCCAGATACGCGCAGAGATCATACATGACTTGGCTCAAGAGATCCGTAGTGGTATGGATGGCCGCCAGGAAAAATCCCAGTTGAAGAAGAGCCGGATCATAGGGTCTCCCCTTCGAAAGCTCAATAGCCCATTGATTGGCATCGTTGTGTGTCTTCTTGGACCCGGGAGCATGCTCAGCCATTCTTTTTTCGACGACCGGTTGGATGATGGCAACGGCCTCGTTAATTTGGGATCGGACTTTGCTAACCTCAGGCACGCATCGCCAGATCAGCGGGCGAATGAACACATGCCATCTTTTCAGCGCCATAACTCCAAAGAAGACGTTGACTGTGTAGTCGATCGTAATACGTAGCCAGGCGGGATTGCGGCAAATCTCTGGCCCCAGAAAGACTCGAGATGAAAGACGTGCCACGATTTCTAGAAGCGTTCTCTTCAGATGTATAGTGTGCCATTATAGGTCCCATCAGCTATGGATTCAAGACTTCCTGTTTTATATTACCCGGGTGGTCTGTCCACTGGTCCTTAAAAGTCAAGGCTCCTTCTTCGGAAAGATCCTCAGTGACCAAGCCTGAAAAGCGGTTAGCACGCACAGATTCAATATAACACCGTTAAAAAGAGTCATTACCCAGCGAGGGTGTGACCTTGGCCTGAATCACGTCGTTTGCCATGTCATTTAGCCCTTTTTTAAGATTGAAATTGATGAAGGCCGGGATATGTCCCCGAAAGTCCTATCACTCGTCAGCTTCACTCCCTGCACTCTAGCTCTGTCTAGGGACGTGGCATACCTTATGGAGCAGATGCGTGAAGCTGAATCCATCATCCTTACGGATTTCATCGGCATAATTTGGTGACAGAACCAGCACCTCGGCGTTGTCCGTCTCGACTCGGAACGCTCTGCTTGCCTGCACAATTATAAGAACACTCACCCAGGCTGCGAGAGAGGACAGACTCCTGCAGCCCTCACCTTGGTAAATCCTTCGTCTAACAGTTCCTGTGCGTTCCATATAAAGGTCTGCTTCGACTGATTGGCGGACTGAAATAGCCCCGGGCCATTGATTAAGGGCAGCTTCCGCAGCCCATACTGAAGCAAAAGCTTCTGGCTGAATGGACGGATCAGGGCAATTACTGTGATAGTCAGGATAACGTTAAGAGCCAGACGAGTGCTCAGCTGGCCTGGAAACTCGGTCAGCAGCTCGCTCAGCATGTTGAGTTACGTCTAACCAGCAGACACCGAACTCAGAATGGAAATATCCAACTGGGTGACAGGGAAATGGCAGGAGTCTATTGAAAATACAACTACGCATTTTCACCGGGAGACGCTTTTATGCGGGATGGTCAGCTGCAGAAGAAGTTCGAATTCCAATCAGCCCGCCTGAAAGGAATCTTCGAGTTTGTCGGCAACACTAACGTGGGCATCTAGTGGGCCTCGCGATAACATTCCCAATTTACCTGCTAGCGTCAGGTTCTGCAGGTCGGCTGTTGCTCCACTTTCTGGCCAGCTCTGATGTCAACATTTTCAATTCTTGCCCATCGTATGCGATCCAATATAGAGGCAATAAGACCAGGGATGCAGCCGATGTAAGGCCTATTGAATGCCATACCGCGCCGCCGGCTGCATCCAATCACAAAGAATACGTATTTGGATTAAAGTTGCCAATCGGACTGAAGTTAATACGGCGGCCTGCAAGATTCCAGGGTCAAGAGTCTTTAGTGCCTTGTTAGTGCTTATTTAGTGCCGGGTGAGACCCTTCTATCCGGACATTCGGACTCTCGAGTCGTCCTGCCGTCCATTTGCAGGTACACTTGCTCCATTTCTTTGCCAATCCCATCCAAAAATTCGGCGCATTCTTGCTCGAGCCCATGAGATTGTGTCTGGAAACTCCATGGAATGTTGACATAACCGCACCTCGCCCCTTCAGGGTTCAGCCAACAGGGGTTGCAGATCGAATGAGAGATTCCTGACACGCTTCACGCAATTCCCTCAACATCACACTCGATTACCAAGCCCTGACAAATGATCTCGGGCATGCAGATGGCGCTTCTTTAATTTCAAAATCGGACAAACTTGCTTTCGTCTTCTCACTTCTACATCAGACCGATCATCCTGTCAGACAAGAGACTTGAGTCACGTCCCAGCTTAACCGATTTGCAATCAGACCAGATTCTCCTTCAATCTTCAAGCCATCCTCCAACATGGCAAATATTGCTCTTATCCGGGCCAGCACTCGAACCCCTGCTGTGGGCAAGGACGTCGCCAAATGGGTCGGCGAGATCCTCCAGACCCGACCGGCCGATGACCTCGAGATTGAGCCTATTGCCATTGCCGACTTCAATCTCCCCATCTACGACGAGCCCGTCATGCCAGCCATGGTGCCCGCCTTGAAGCAATTTACCAAGGAACACTCAATCAAGTGGAGCAACACTATCGCCTCCTTTCAGGGATACGTCTTCGTGATTCCCGAGTACAACTACGGCCTGTCTGGGGCCACCAAGAACGCCATTGACTACCTTTACAACGAGTGGCCCGGTAAGCCCGTTGCCATCATCAGTTATGGTACCCAGGGCGGCAGTCGCGCCAATGCGCAGCTCAGTGACAGTTTGGAACTGGTTATGAAGCTCAAGGTTGCGCCAACCAAGGTTCTTCTGCCGTTCGCTCCGGGACCGGATATTATGACGGCCGTGGACGAGGGTCGCCTAGGCGAGGACACCCTGAAGTCCTGGGATGAGGCCGGAAAGAAGGTAGAGATTCTCAAGGCATTTGCGGAGGTTAAGGAGATCCTTGATAACAAGGAATAGAACCTTGCAAAACGCTTTATCTTGGCTGAATGTACATACTCTATCTTAGTATTATGTGATGACCAGCCAAGCTTTCCATCAATACTGTCTATTTGATTGCAATATATTCCTTTTTAACCCCTTGCTCTTCGCGCTTTTTCTTATTTTCATCGCTTTCTCTTAAATAGCGTAGGGTAGCGTGGCACAGATGGACTTAACTTCTATTATTTCATTTTCATCCAGCCCAAGGGCATTTGATAAGGGGTGCTAAATAACATCATCAATCAATCAGAGTCTCCGTTCCCCCCCGGTGGCATTTTAGCCCACACAACCTCAAGCTGCTGCAGGGTCTGATCTCTCTCATGATGGTTATACCCATCATTATCAATCAGACTGTGTACCAGGGGATCCAATATCTTCAAGGCGCTCATAATGTAATCACATACCTTTATAGACCGCGAAATCCCCTTAAGAACAGCCATAGTAACCTTAGTATTGCTCCTAGTGACTTGTTAGTCTATTGTAAATCTCATATAGAGGTGGAGATAGCCTACACCATATTCGCAAGCTGGGGAGAGCAAAGAAGCAGGATACTCGGACCCAGCTCGGATTAAAATACGGACCATCACTTCCCATATCGCTTGCGCCCGTGAAACAGGGATCACAACTGCACTCATCTTTTCGTGTCGAGTTCACTCCAACTAGGTGTTGTTTGTTCAAGAATGCTGTCGATCATCAGCGTCCGGTCTCCCCGTCCCACGCCCACGAGGCATCGACGTTTGCTCTCTTCTTGAGCCTTCCAGTCTCTGTAGCTCGCTAGATACTGTGTGTGAAAGAGAGCAAGGGCCACGCACTTTCGGATCTGATCGTATTCTATGCGAATATCGAGCTGGGAGACGCAGGAATAGATATTCTCCAGGAACCGATAACTGGAGTTGTTTCGGTGGAGACCCGTGGAGGTAGACGGCATCCAGAGACCGTCTTTGATCCAGAGCGATAGATTATAGGTGAGGAAATTCAAGTAGTTCTTTCTTATGCAGCACCGAAACATAAGAGCTGCTTTCCGTGCATTGCTACTTGAAGCACCGGACGTACCGGGTGTGACAGTTTGCGCACTTAGCGCTGCAATGCGCCATGACAAACTTTTAGCCCTCACGAGAGAGGACTTGGGCTTCATATCTTTATCAAATTCACTGGACACACCTTCAAGTCCGACTTGGCTCTGTGGAGGAGATAATTTGTTCGTCTCTTGGCCAAACTGAAGTACATCCGGTATACTGGTGTCTATATTTCCGTCGAAACAATCTGATCCGGGTGGTGTTGGTAGTGTTGCTACTATGAATACATGAGCCCTATGATTTGAGTTATGATGTGAACAGCGCTCTTACACTGATCTAATTGGTATGTAGAAGGCGTAAGGATGTCTTCCATATCTTCAGCATTCAGGCCTTCTAGTATTATATCGGTGTATGCTGACTGTTCAGTGCACCGGTCAGCCCTTCCTGCAAGACTATTCGAAAGCAACGAATCAAATAGTTCCAAGATATTGTGAGCTTTTAGACAATTACCTAGTCTTGCGTGCAGAAAACATTCGGGTCCATCAAATAATCATTGGCATCTGCGAAGTCGAATAGGGGTTGAGGAACGGTGACCTCGCATGAAGATAGCATTCCAAAGTCAAAATGCGCCTCTCCGGGAGAGGCTACCAGCTCAGTGTCAAGGGTCCGGACGGGGTTATTTGAAAGGCGCTAGGAAGTTCGATTGTTTGAGTCGGGGCTTGTCCGTCGAGGACCAACATCGGTATCCATGCCGTCCCATCAGGCCTTTGGACTTGCAATGTCTGGATTCGATATGGTTTCAGACGAAGAGCAAGACTATCTAGCTCCCACGCATTGGCAGTATCAAGAAAGAGTTTGAGAGCCTCGATAAATTGATTTGAAGTCATTGTTTAGCAGATTCTGGGAACTAATTGCTTTCTGCGCTAGCTTCAGCTAAAAGGAAGATGCGACATTATCTGTAGACTCATGGAATGACATCTATAGAAAGCTTTCCTATCAGCCGTAGCTGAGGTAGGCCACATAAGCCCAAGGCCTTTGAAACAATGTAAGATGGGGATGCTGACAGCGCCCCAAGTTGAAAAGATACCCCGAGTATCATCCAACAAGACAAGCCGACCCGAGCCCCGTTTGCTCATTCTTATGCCATCCAGTGAACAGTCGAGCATTAATAGTCGATTTAGACAAACAAAGGAAGGATACTGATTGCTCAGATTGAAACTACATGATTGGCTCCATCGGACTGATTTCTCATCCCGCCGCAATTAGCTCCAACAAGGCATTCCGTGCCACTTTGGCAGCATCCCACACCCAGTATGAATGCTGCATCTTCACCACGTCACTGTTTTCGTTTCTTTCGGAGGCGGTCCTTCTTTCGCGATCACGAGCCTCCTGGGCTTCCCTGTCTTGGAGATGCAGCTGTTCCCGTGCCTTGTAGGTGGCCGCTTGGATCGATTCCACTCGTTCTTTTCGAGATTGTTCGTATGCACGCAGTGCCAGCCGCAGTTGCGCTTTATCTTCAATCATCGAGAGCACTGTCGCAATAGCTGTCGCATCTTCTACCGACTGGGCCACTCCTTGGCCCAAGTACGGGCTGAAAGCTTTAGCACGATATCCGAAATCTACAAGGATAACTCACTCACAGCATGGCATGACATGCGTCTCCGAGAAGGATTGTAGATTCTTTCATCCATACCGGCGATGGAGGATACAGGAACATGCGGAAATTGGGCACCACGGCTGGAGCCAGCTGGATTAGCTTGCGAAGAGTTGGATTCCAGTCATGAAAGTCTGAGATCACGTTTCTCTTGTCGGTCACGGACGTCCATGATTCTTCGGCATGTCTATCGTCTGGATGAATGAGAACAACATTGAGCAGCTGGTGATTTCTCGCGGGGTACGCAATGGCGTGTCGCGAAGGTCCGTCCCACCGCGTCGCCCAGGATCGTTCTACCAATGTCAGGAGCTCCTTGTCCGATTCAAGAAGTTCCCGGGGAAGAATAAATCGATACGCAACTTCGCCGGTGGACTGCGCTTTGGATGCCTCTGGTGGGCATACTTTCGCCTTCAATGTAGATTTGACTCCGTCAGCTGCGATGATCAGATCACCTGCGATGCGCTCTCCCGTGGCAAGGAGAACCGCATTTCCTTCGATGTCTAGGTCTATTACGCGTGTTCCTAACCGAATATCAATGCTCTCCAACTCTCGGCATCTACTCAAAAGTGCCAGTTGAAGGTCGCCGTGATGAATCGCGTTCTGCTTTCCCACCGGGTTGGCTGCTGCTCGAGCTACTAAATCTCCTGTGTCCCATTGCGTGAGCTCGATTCCATCCAACGGTACGCATGCCGAGTCCTCGGGCTGGAGAATTCCTTCCGCTGTCGTAGAATTATCAGTCATCAGTGCGGTTAAAGGGGGCTGTAATGCCAGACGCACACTCATACCACCGCCTCGTCGGCGGCGGCAATGCGACGCCTGCGCCGACATGAAGAAGCTGGTTCATTTAGTACAGGCCATGAAAGCCGAGGATTTCATTTTCACCTGAGAACTTGATTCCAGCACTCGCACGGAATGGCCACGATTCGCAAGCGCAACAGCTGCGGATAAGCCACCAATGCCTGCATCTCACGGGTTAAAAAGCACTTTTATTTTGGCGTTTGGCTTTTGCCTACCGGCTCTATCAAAAGATCAACGACCTGCCCAAAGTGTACTCATGATTCTCAACATACCCTACCACAATAACATCGAATGAAATCACACAGTTTGTGTCTTCAGAAGACATGTTGGTTGCTGAAGTCTGCACTTTGACGTAGAAACACAACGCATTCAAGTGGGGTCTCTTCGGTTTTAGGTAAACATGCAGTTACACAGATATCACGGTAATATATGACGTCGCACAGAGGGTGACACCAAGACAATTCGCAATCGGTGGAGGTGAGAAACCTCCCAGTCCAGCATTTCTATACTTCCTGTTCGGTGGGTCAGCACTTGCCCCCCGAAACGGTCGTAGTGCACATTTGATTGAGTGCCCTCTACAAAATGCTTTCGTCTCCCAATTCGATCGACATCTCTTTCGTGGAGTCCTAGTACCCTCCGTGAGTTCTCCAATCAGATCAAGTTTCTATTCCAAAGCACTCGATGTTATGCGATCTAAAGTCGCCTACTTGCCGTTATCTATTCCCCTGTCTTTAAATATACTACTTATATTAACTTTACAGTTTATTCAGATTTAGGACTTACATAGATTCAGCAGCGTGCGTGACTCAGCTTTTACCCCGACCATGGCCATCAGTAAAAGGCAGCATCGCTTTCGAGTGGTGATTGTCGGTGGATCATTCGCTGGTTTGACGCTGGCACACAGCCTACACCATGCCGGAAATGACTATGTCGTGCTTGAAGCGCGCGATCGCATCGATCCCCAAGTCGGAGCATCCATTGGAATCTTCTCCAATGGTGCTCGCATCCTCGATCAGCTGGGCATTTATGATGAAATCGAACGATACACGGAACGACCGGTATGGCATGAAATGATCACAGGGGAAGGGAAGCTGGTCCAGAAGGTGGACTCACTCCAATTGATCGAGGCTCGGTGTGCTCTCAGCCCATTACGATTCGAAAGGAAAGTACGCTAACTATGAGACAGTACCCTATCCAGTGTCTTTTCTCGAGCGACAGCGCGTACTAAAGATTCTGTACGATCGCTTTCCGGACAAGACGAAGATTCACACGAACAAAAGGGTGGCTTCGGTTGATCATCTACCCAACGAAGTTCGAGTGCACTGGGAAGATGGTTATCGATTTGCGGGCGAAATAGTCGCCGGTGCAGACGGTGTTCATAGCAAGATCCGACGTGAGATGTGGCTGCAAGCTGAGTGCGACCCCAGTCTAAAGCATCTGGCGGCGGATAGAAAAAGTACGTTGATCAGATCTCAGTTGAAATAGAGTCTTGTTCAACTAACATATATCAGCTTTGTCCGCGGAATACAGATGCCTTTTCGGCATGTCATCCCCTGTACCAGGGCTGGAGTCGCAATGTCAGTACCGCGCGTTCAACAAGGGTTGGTCATTCCTGGTCGTTGTCGGTAAAGATAGGCAGGTCTTTTAGTTTGCATTCAAGAAACTTGACAAGATCTATCGTGCGCCGAGCATGCCTCGATACACTGAAGTCGACCAGGAGGAGTTCGTGAAACCTTTTATGAAGCGATATGTCTCGCAAACCGTGACTTTCGATGCGGTATGGAAAAGAAAGACAGCCTCTTCTCTCACCGTCTTAGAAGAAGCAATGTATAATCATTAGACTGACGGTCGTTTTGTCTGCCTGGGAGATGCTATCCACAAGATGACCCCAAACATGTGAGCTATCTCGGTCCTTTACTGCTGGTAAGATCACTACTGACTATCCAAAGCGGCCAAGGAGGAAACTGGGCGATAGAGAGCGCTGCCACTCTAGCAAACGAGCTCTATGTCTTTAAGAAAACTGGTCACCTGAGCTATGAGCGTCTCCAAGCCACTCTGAGAAACTACGAGCAAAGTCGATGAGCACGCACCAAAGAGGTCTGCGAAACCGCGGGTTATGCCACTCGACTCGAGGCTTTTGCCACCATCACACACAAGATATTCTCATTCTATGTGGTACCGAACACGGGGGACATGCTGGTCGACGTTCACTGTCAAGCCGCAGCGCAGCCCCCCAAGTTGGAATTTTTCCCTATCCCTGAAAGGTCATTGCACGGGTTGATGCCCTTCGGGTCCGCTCAGCAAGATCACACCTTTTGGCGAGTGCTACGTGCAATCCCTATTCTGGGCTTCTTTTACGCTACTCTCCTGGGCTCAAGAGTCACCTTTGATTATATTCCGGGGAGCTTAAACTCAAGGCTTTAAGCGATTTTGCCTCCCAATGATTACTCTAGCCCAACAGAAAAGCTTGAACTGATCGGGTCCTTAAGCGATCTCGTCCCCTTTCTAACTATTGTTACTGTCGAAAGTCTCCGAAGAGGAAACAACTTCACAATCGCGTGCTTTTGGCCTCTGTTCGGCCATTTCGGTCAATGGAAAGGGCTTGGACATACCGCGCCGATATACTTCTTTTTTCATTATATTCAGTCCTCTTTAGACTGATACGCCGCTCCTGACAACCGTCTGGTACCTACAAATTATGCGAAAACGCTCGTTGCTGCGATCATTGTTGGCTATACTGTCCCAACAATATTCCTTTTCTCCAACCTCGCATTTCAGCCCGTCCGAATCGTTTGGCGGTTGTTTCCTCTATCGGTTATTATTTTCCATCGTGCGTTCTCGTCATTGGTTTCCGATACAACCGCACAAGACCGCATCACAAATCCTCGAGCAGGTTTGAAACACATCCATCGTGCTTATGCCATTGGCGGCATCTTAGGTGGGCTCACCTACCTAGGACTTTGGTCTGCGGCGCCGGAGTTTATGATTTGCAAGCATAATCTGTGGAATTTATTATCCTAGAGGCACTGGATTGAACCTATGAATTCAGGCGTTTGGCAGCTTGTGAAGTATAAGTAAGCAATAGCACTTGGCAGTGGTTTCCTCTGGCAGCTGCTCCATTTCCATGATCTCAAGGGTGCGAAAAGGCTGGATTTGAGTTGGTTAAAAGTGATTGGTATTTTCGGTAGCACCGCTGGCCTGCTCGGACTAGGTGCTGCGATAGTTGTTGGGTGGGCATAGAGGGAAAGCATGCTTGCTAAAAGCTAGGCAAGACGCTTGAGGGTCACATAAGGGCGATAAGAGAGCCTGATTGTCAGAAAGCGTATTGAACAAGTATAGAACCCGGTTTTATATGGCATTAATTTCATTTTTGGGGGATAAAAAGAACAGTATAAACGACCATGAAAGTCGCGAGATTAGAGTATGAAGACTGCCAACTTATTGTAGAATCGATGGTTTATTTACAGCTCGGTGATCACAGTTCCTCGTTGCCATACTTCCGAGCATATTGACCCAAAGCTTGTACAGGCCAGTATAGCTTGTAGTTGGAATATGAAATCACTCCAAATCCAAGTTAGCATCCTGTGGTCAGCATAAAAAGAGAATAATTAAGGCAACATACCCATATCCTACTCCACCTTCAAATGCCTCTTAAAGCTACTGTCCTTTAGATTGTTGTCGGGACAAGATTAACTTCAATCCCCTCCTGATCGGTTCCTTATCGGGGTAATTGGCATCTATTAAGCCCAAACAGAACCAGGCCGTTTGCACCACCTGAGATTCCTCATGCTCGATGTATGTCTGTTCCTTAAAGCTGAGATAGAATTCTCCCCATCCCCCGTCTTCTTTCTGCTTTGACACGAGGAACTCGCAACCTTTGCGGGAATACTCGCTTGTCTTATATGTTTCTCCGGTCAGGGCAAGAGCCTCGAGTGCGAACATCCCAGCATACGTGAAGCAGATTCCCCAGGCTCTGTACCATCCGCTATTCGGCTTCTGAGAGCGCCTTATGAAGTCTAATCCTCGCGTTTTGGCATCCTCGATTTCGCGGGTGCGGTAGTCTGGAAAGTACTGGGTAAACTACACTAAAGCCGAGACAACCACCGTCGCACACTCCACATAATTGTAACTTACTATCGTGTTTCCGGCGAACTCGCCGGCCTCAAGCCATTCCAGGTTGTAAGACCCCTGTCTTTGTTCGCAAACAGCAAAACCGCCGGTGTCGTTTTCTATCTTTAGAAGACAGTCAACTGAGTCTTGCAGTTGTTCGGTCGAAATGCGAACGGGAACTTAGAGCTTGAGGATTTCCTGCAATTAAAGAACCGACCGCAGTCCTTCTCCAGTACACTCGCTGATAATGTAGCCTTGGTACTTGGTACTAAATGGCCAGCCCCCTTTGCGATGCCACCGATAACAAGTATGCTGGTCTGGTACGTTCTCTCGGAGCTGATTGTTGTTTAAGAACCCATGGGCATTAATGAATGCTTGCTGATACTAGGGCCATCTGTCAGCCCGGCTGCTGCTATAGCCTGTACTGCCAATGCAGTATCCTATAGTTGGATGCCGTCTGACAGATTGCAAGTCATGCCTTCATCTTTCATCCAAAAATACTGTGAGATTGTCTCTCTATGTGCTCGCATAGATTCACTGTCGCTGCCATCGTGGATATAGCACACGATCAAGTTAATAGCTTTGCTGATGGGTGACAGCCCAATATACTCGGTGTTCTTGTCTTCGGCCTGTATCATCTCCCAGACTCTCTTTTCTGCGCTTTCAACTGTTGTCGTCTTTCGGAAGAACGGGATGTGCAGGGAAACGGTCAGCCAGTTTATCAGATTGACAACCTATGATTTAGGATAATTGTTGTCCACCTCGGAAAGGGAACTGCGATACGCAGCAAAGTTGATGGTGATGTAGGACTGCGTGTGGATCTCGGTACGAAGCTGTTCTGTGATTGCATCCCCCGGGTACCTCCATGCCTTAGACCAGACATAGGATAAGGACATGAAGTTGGTTCGCGTATGAATGTACCAGTTCCGGGGGGGCAGTGGGAGCCGAATCCGCAGCGAGCCTAGCGGATAGTCAGTAGCCATCATCGGACCTGGAAAGGAGGTACATACCAGACTTCGGGTAGGAAGGTATTGACACATTCCCATTCTATCACGCCCAGGACGCAGAGCCAGAATTTGGCGATTCCCGGCGCGTAGACCGCGCCACCGAGACTATGGAGGAATCTACGGGCTTTGATTATGCGAGGGTCCTCTTCGCTGGCCCCCAGCAGATGCAGAACGACGTAGTTCAAGACCGTTCCCAGGTTCGAACTGCGCCCTAGCAGATGCCATCCCCAGCCCCCATCTCCACGATTCTGTCGCGCAAAGAGATGTCGCTTGATCTCGACCGCGTAAGCCGCGGGGATTGGGGTGTCGGTGACATACCAGGCGATGACCACGAAGGGCAGGATGAACATGGGACCACTGCATTCGCTGGCCCATTGACCCGAGGGTAGCTGCAGTCAAATGAAAAACGAGGCTCCATTCCGAGCTGCCTGCAACGGGGTTGACGCCTTGGGCAGGTCGGGTAAGCCCTGAGCCGGTTATCAGCATTCATGTCCACGGCAGCAGCAGGGCGACACTGACCGTGTGCAGTCTTAGAAAGTACTTCTCGTAGATGGTCTGGGGCCACTTCTCATTCTCTTCGTTGGACTCGAGATAGCACCATGACTGGCGACCCTGTTTGTCGACCAGCCTCCACCTTGCGTAATCGGTTTGCTCGTCACCATTTGCGTCCCGCGACAGGTGACCCTCCGCCGGCGTTGTCCATTTGGCAACGTGGTTTTGCATCTTTTTGTCCCCTAGAATACGCTACTCAATTCTCACCCCAAGATTTACACGTTCACAATAAATTGACTATTGCTTGATCCTTATTTTTCGGGGCCTCAAGTGCTTCCTGGCACAGGATTCACTTTAAGCGATCGAATGCAGCCCATGATGGCACGCCGACACGACACGGGATTAATAAAACGGATGGGATTTTATGTGCACGGCTCTAAGCCAAGTGACCAAGACTCAATAGAATCGATGAGGTCCTGTCAGGAATGCCTCGCGTCCGGAGATGGGCGGAGACCAAAGACGAGGATGCGCGCTCGGGATAATCGAACCCCCCCCCCCGGCTCGGCTAGGCTTGCCGTTGCCAGTTAAGTTCATAACTAACTGCGACGGTCGGAAAAATGGAAGGATCCCAGGAAGTAGGAAGAGCAATGCAGTCCGAGGCTTGTCGATGATGTCGAGGGATCGGCTCGCCTTGCCTTCCTTGTCGATTGTCTGTGGACGGCACATGATGCCAAGCCTTGCACAGGGATTGTGCATGGTATGACTCATCAGAGGCACCTTTATGCGCTTAATGCAGATGCTCGTCCGGGTCACGTGGGCGGTCTGCCATCCGGGATGGCATCATCAACTACTCCGGAGTACGCTGGCAGATGAAGTCGAATAAGTCAGAGTAGCTCTAGTAATAGTAGTATTACGGTGTTCAACTGTAATTTATGAGCATGGAAAAGTGGTAGATGTACTTCTATTGCTTACATTACTGGTTTTTCATTCCCGAAGTACTATATCCAGGCCGGAAGTCAGGGTCGGAAACTATATATTTCGAGAGACAATGTCTGATAGCAGGCGAAGTCGGCGCAGACTTTGTAACACTGGAGGTAAAGTGATCTTCAACCCTTATTCTAGCTAAACCATCTATCTCAGCCGATATAACCTTAGAAAGAACCCAACAACTCGGAATTAGGTGCCAATATCGTCCAATATCGCAAAGGACCGAGGACGCGTGATGTTTGTTTGCACTGTTTGTCTCCCGCGCCCTCTGGACCATCGCTTCCTCTACACAGCACAGCCATATAGGCAAGCAAAATCAATTTATACCAGACGTGTATTGTGCAAATTGCTCCGAGACCATATCTCTAACATGCCAGCTTATTCCGTATTCCAAATTACATCTCCGTCCTGGTTCTCTGGATGCCAGACGATTATCCCATTTGCCACAGACCGTTTTGCTAACCACTCAAGCCCTCAAGCAGTCGCGACCTTGCTAGCCTACCGAGTTCAATGATGGAATCGCTCGTGGTCAACTAGAGAATCGTGACGTGCGCCGCAAAATTCTGGATCCACCAGCTCTGCAGTTCGATGGCGATCAGCGAATCGACACCCAGCTCCGCCAGTCCCAGATTCAGGTCCAGGTCGGAGTTATCGCCGAAGATCAGCAGCGTCTTCAGACATTCGACCACATGAGAGGCAAACACTTGGGCCACGGCCGTTTCGTCGTCCAAGGCACTGGGGTCGCGCTTTGCGTTCTCCACCAACCGGCGCAGCACGTCCCCGTCGTCTCTCGGCGCGTCCTGCGTATTATCGCCCCCCTGACTGGTTCCTTGCACCTTTAGGCCCAGGCCACGGGCATCGAGGGGAATGCTGGCCTAGTCCGACGACGAACTGAGCGGGATTCACATAACTGGTCGAGAGCGAGGGTGGCGCGGGCGCGGGCTCGGAGGAAGCGCGGATGGCCAACTGCAGGGATCCGAAGAAGTCGTTCTCGCAGATCAGTCGCGCCCCGGCACGTCGCAGGTTCTCGAGGATGGCTGGGTGCTGGCTGACGAATCCGATGTCCTGCATCACGCCGAGGTCGATGACGGAAGCCGGGAGGCCCTGGCGCTGTCGGAACTGGACAAATGAGTCTAGGAAAGTGCTGGCAGCGGCATAGTTGGCCTGCTTGGGGTTTCCTTGTACACCGTAGATGGAACTGAGAAGAACGAAGAAGTCCAGTGGCTGGTCCTTCAAGGCGTGGTGCAGATTCCAGGTCCCCTGCACCTTGGCCTCCGTCGCGGCGGTCCAGCTGTCGAAGGACATCTCGAGGAGAGCCTCGTCCTGTCGAACCGTTAGGAAACGGATACGGTGGCCACTAGAACATTGGAGAAACGTACCTTGAGCACCAGCGCCAGGTGCAGCATTCCAGCAATTAGCTTCGCCGCATTTCTGACCACGAATTCGACCGTGGTCGCATCTGCCACGCTGCCGGGGAAGATCTGAACCTGGCATCCCGGCTCATTGAGCTCTCGCGCCAAACTCTCCAGCACTGGGAGAGGCCGATCGAGAGAGGAACACGATCGAGCCGGCTCCGCGATCGGCCAACCAGACGGCAGCCGATCTTCCCAGCCCTCCCAGCCCGCCGATGAGGACGTAGGAGCGGTCCTTTCGGAAGCGTGCCTGATCTGCACTGGTTTCGTTGGAAAGCGCCTGCGGCTCACCTGGGAATTGGATGCATACGGCCCCGATAGGCCGATTGCTCCGGAACTGATGGAATGCGAGTTTAATGTCTCCGGGGTCGAACCGAGTGACGGGCGAGATCGGTTTGATCAGACCGTCGGTGTACAGCTTCAAGCTAGTCTCCAAGAGTCTGTGATGACCTGTGAGTATGATTCAACTACGATATGAATGCCACGATGCAACCTACCGGCGAGCCAGCGCGGGCTTTTGAGAGAGCAGAGCAGCTGTGTCGATACCGTGGAATCCTCTGTTCCCCTGGATCATGGTCATGTCGAGTTTGCCATGATCCGCCATGTCTTTTCCACTGAGGTCAATCATAATTCCGCCCTGAGCAACACATTTCCAGCTCTCATGGAGCAGCTCGCCAGAAAATGAATTGACCACGGCATCCACCCCGCGAGATCGCGTGCTTTCCATGATGCCTGCAACGAAGGAGCCGTCTAGGGAGGAGAAGATGTGCGATTCCGGTATGCCATGCTCGCTCGGCAGGAACCGTCTCTCCTCTTCATTTGCAACAGATGCGTACGGCTGTCCGATTCGATTAGCGGATGCGTAAAGGTTCCCGGGTTACCTTGACTCCTCTTGTGAGAGCAACCTGAATTGCAGCGATGCCCATGGCGTCCGCAGCTGAGTGAACCAACACTGTATCATCGCAATCTAAGCCACCAATTTCCACAAGCCCTCGGATCATGGTGGCGTGTGTGCTGAACAGGCCGACTGCCTCAAATGACAGTCTGTCGGGAATTTTGATGCCCCGTTTCGCATCCACTCGAACGTGGGTTGCCAAAGAGCCTGCAGACCGACAGAACACGCGGTCGCCTATTTGCAAATTGTGTTTATCTCCCAGTTCAGTGACGCTGGTTATGAAACCAGCACTCTCGAGCCCCAGATCCCGGTTGCTATGTAGTGCGCTGGTTGCGAGGAGGACATCCTGGGAAGGTCAGTTGCGATGGATACTGCATATTCAGAATAAAGTGGACCTGCCTGATAATCGACTGAAGAGGCTCGCACCGCAATTTCCACTTGTCCATACTACAACCCAGGGACAGCCCATGGCAGTATAGTTGCCCAGCAGCGGTGAGAATGGTGTGAGTGGCCTCCGTTCCTCTGCTCAGACTTGTGGAGTGCTACACGAATATCTTCTTGGTTTTCCTGATGTCTGGTATCCTCCATGGCGTGTCTGGAAATATCATGGGCCTTGTTGTTAGAGAGTCCGGGGCTCTCTCCTTTTTCTCTTTGTCGTGGGAATCATTATCGAAGACACTATCCAAGAGGTCTATGCGACCGTGTGTCCGTCGGCCATTCCTTTTCCCGGGCCCCGACCGATACCGAGCTGTCGATGTTATCATACGGCCAGAAACAACTGCTCGGGATTTTTATATAGGAACTGACCGCTGGTCTGGGCCGGCATTAGCATGCCACGATCCGGCAATTCGTCCTGGTTCTTGATTGCTGTGGTAGCTGATGAAGTATATACATATTGATCTCCGATGACAGTCTACAGCTACACTAGAGATTGAACCATATTCTATACGGCTTAACTTGAAGATGACCATTGCTGCACCTGGCGTAACTGCAGTAGGTTCGTTGAAGCCTTACGCACTCATAGTCTCGCACTCATAGTCTCTCACGCGAGCATTCGTGTTAATTTACAACGAAGTCAAGACCCAACCGTCCGTCGAAGCCTTGGCTCGAAAGGGAAAACCTGCTCAGCAGCATGGACATCCTTGTATACATTGTCCCAGCGAGCACGAAGTGGCTCCGGCGTCTCCCAGGCGTATTCGGGATCACGAAGCCAGAGCCTCATTAAATGTCGCCTATGGTTTAAAAATTAGCGCAAGCATGAGACATCACTTGACCAGGGGAAAACACACTCGTTCCCGGGCTCATCCTTGAATCCGTTCCGGGCGTGAAAGATGCTCAAATTGTTGACGTATTGAATGTCACCCTTCTGGAAGTCTAAGGAAGCACGATTTTGCTCCGCCAGAAAATGCAAGGCATCAAGCGCCTCCGCCTGCGCTTCGGTGATTGGTGGGATATCGGAAGATCGAGGCTGCGAGAGAAAACCCGTGAAATAGCGGCGCGCATACTGGATCAAAACTCGCTCCGGGGACGACGCGGTGGCAGGTTGATGATACAACAGGGGTCGATTGGTGTAAGGCTTTTCGACATTGCCAAATCTAACATGTATACATCGTCAGATTCTGTCTTCATCAAGTGACGCCTAGAGCTGGGAGGGTCTCACCCATCAACGGGCCAATCTTGGGACAGTGTATGGATCAAGTCTGGTCTGGTTTGCGCCAGAATGTTATACACGTGCCAGCTACTCGAAATATAGCTCTGTCCTCCTTCGGCAGCCGGATTCAAGCACAGTAGAGAGATTATATCCCCAGCATCGGTATGAAAAACCTGCTTATCGGCGGTATTAGACGGCGCACCAATCTTGCCGCTGTCGACCTTTGTGGATAGATCTTTGATGTGGGAAAGAACCAGGGAAGTCCCGTCGGAAAAGCGTTTGTCTTCCTGGCGGCCACGAATGTTGCCAACGTGTGACGATACGCCCGCGTAGATAATAATGTTCTCTTCACGCGAATACTGATCCACGCGGAGCCCGCGCAGCACAAAAAAGCCACGTCCGAGATGCAAGTCCCTTGACAAACCACGAAGTACAGGCCGTAGTGTTGGCAGCTGAAACGTTTCGTTATTGATGTGTCCCGGAGGGAGACGAAGAGCTGGTTTGACCGTTAGCTCTACGAGTTCGCTCTAAACCAGTCACCTTACCTTGAAAAGCCCTGAGGGCCGCATCAAGTTCATCCAACTGTTCCGCACTCAGTGTGTAAACCCAATCCTCTTGACGCTCAATGTCCTTTCCGTGCCAAACTAGGGGCGAGGACAATTTCGCTGGGAAGCCTTGAGGCAAGGTGGTTGCGAGGGTCTCATGCTCCTGCCGGCGTTGGGTGCGTGCTTGGTACTTTGCGAAATCCGGGTGATACTGGATATCAGGCTGCGCCCGTTGAGTTTCGACCATGGCGCTGAAGAGTGTCTCGTTCTCTGTTGTCTTCGGGCGCTTCTATCTCTGGGCTTCCTGTCTGTTTCACGGGAGAGGGAATAAATACTACTGTGTGTGGCAGGTGAAAAGTTGTCCCACAAACCAAATGAGTCACGAGGGATTAACCTTCATGGGCCCACCGTCAGCACGCGACTTATACAGCAGATGGTGTTGGTGCTGTCTGTCGACGTCTATCGGTAAACTTCCGCATGTAATCTCGATCCCATGGGCGGGGAGACACGCTTTGCTAGCGGTTAGCATCACTGTGGGTCCAGAAGGTGTCATCTCGAGCCAGAGAGGGCCGAATCCCCACGTCTTGAGTCTATACGCGGCCAGTAGAATCAATCCCGGGTGGCTTTTCGGAGAAGTGCTGGTGTCGCACCAATCGAAAAGCATCGGTGGTCATCCGATCACGCATTCTGCTTGCCTGTATCTGATCCTGGCCTTCATGCCGGGCAATTCCTCCAAACCGTGGCGTGTGGAGCTGCACGCGCTCCCGGCTCTTGGCATTGCTTGAGATTGCAGTTTTGATGTGTCACGGATCATGGAGGGCTATGAATATCTCGACGCAAATGGATGTCGTGATATGAAGTCGTCGTTACGCAAGCCAACACACAGTGTCTTACCCTATAAATCATGATGGAAATCTCCCCGGAATATGCCGATCGGAAGGCAGGCAAACAGGATGGCACCCAGCGATATGCAGATATGTGAGTAGGTTTCTTCTTTTCTCATGTAACAATGACTGATTGCACAGCGACGTCGGAGGAGGCCGTGTCGGCGGACACGGACCTCAAGGCGCAAGACTCCCTTCGCGCCGAGGAGTCCCATGTGCTGCAGGAGCGAAACATCGGGGTTTTCGGGGCCATATCTTTGGTCGTGAACAAGATTGTTGGAGCTGGGTATGTGGGTTAACGCAAACGGTAGAAGTATACTGATCTGTCTTCAGAATATTTTCTACGCCCGCTACCATTTTCAAACTCAGCGGTAGTGTGGGTATGGCCCTGATCATTTGGGTCATTGCCGGTCTGATATCAACATGCGGTGCTCTCGTGATGTTGGAGCTCGGCACTCGTATGCCGCGATCCGGCGGCATGAAGGTCTACCTGGAGGCTGCGTTTGCGCCTAAGCTGCTGATCACCTGTATCTACTTGTTCTACTGCGTCTTCCTGCAGGTCTCCGCAAGCAACGCGATTACAACCTCCAGCTACTTGCTCCAGGCTGCCGGGGTTGACTCGACCACCTGGCGATTGCGTGGACTGGCCATCGCCGCATCGGCTTTTGCGGTTGGCATTCATACAGTATGGCCTCGAGGTGGCAAAGCTCTGCAGGACCTCCTGAGCCTGGTCAAGCTGGTCATCTTGCTGTTCATTGTTTGCACTGGATTCGCCGCCCTGGCAGGCCATGTGCCTGACACTCACAACTTCGACATCTCGACTTCCTTCCGCGGCACATCAAATGATGGCTACAGCATCGGAACAGCATTACTAAATGCCATCTTTGCCTTTCACGGCTACGATAATGTGAACACGGTTCTATCAGAAGTTCGAAACCCCCACAAAACACTTCGGATTGCCTTACCCGCCGCCATGGGGCTCATCACAGTGCTGTATATTCTGGCCAACATTGCATACGTGAGTATCTGTCATGGTACCTTCCTCTGAATCTGTCTCATCGCTTTACATTAGTTTGCCGCTGTGCCCAGGGACGAGTTCCTTCATAGCGAGGTCACCATTGCTGCCAACCTATTTTCCAACGTATTTGGTCAATCTGCTGCAGTCAAGGCGCTGCCAGCATTGGTAGCTATCTCTGCCTTGGGGCATCTCTTGGGGATAGCCTTCACTGTTCGTAAGTATTCTTGGGTCTAGGCCTACAGCTCCACTTTCATCCTGTCCCGGTCCTAACACCCTCTGCCAGCTCGAGTGATCCAGGAGTTGGGTAAGGATGGCATTGCCCCTTTCCCCAACATTGTCATGCAGAACAGACCATTCCGAACGCCGATTGTGGCACTCCTTATCCACCTTGGAGTGACGATTCTGTTCACATGCGCCCCGCCTGCCGGGGATGCTTTCAACTTTGTCGTGAAACTATCTTCGTACCCCACGACAGTGCTTTTGACCGCCACCACGATTGGTCTTATCAAATTGCGCTTTTCCAAGACTCCAGAATACAACCAGCCAACTTTCAGAGCACCGTGGCCTATCATTCTCTTCTACCTCGCGGGTAGCATATTTCTGGTTATTATGCCCTTCATTCCCCCGCAGGGAGACAGCGAGACATCGAATCTTCCATATTGGCTCTCCCCGGTTGTGGCACTTGGCATTCTTGGCTTGGGTTTCATCTATTATGTCGTGCCTTTCGTCCTGATGCCGCTCTTGTTTGGGTACAAGCTACGCCCGACCGCAGTTGAGCTGAGCGATGGTTCACATGTTACTCGGTATAGAAGAAAGACGGACTGAAAACTGTGCAATGGTAGGGAATATGTAGATGGCCTACTATATATTGTATAATTATATTCTGCACTCGCTCGTCCCTCAATATTCCATCACATGTACAGAACAATAGCGACCGAGAGTTAAAAGTTTGTGTAAACATAAATGCCACTGTCATCTGTCCTTACCTCCAGAGAAACAAACAGAAATCTTTTTGATACACACCTTCTGCATGCTAGCCATGGGCCCATGATACTCCACTTTACTGGCCTCCAAGCATCTGACTCATGTCAAATTTATGGACAATCATCCAGACAAAGGCACTCAGCGTACACATAATTACATCCCAGCTAACGCTACTGCAAGCCGGATGAACATACATTGTGTCCAGCAAGTACCTAGCAACATTGTTATGCGGTACATCTGTTCCCATGTGTTGGAGCATGAGAATGGTCAGATATCCCTGAAGAGCGACAGAGACTGCCGCGACGTACTGAAGAAATTTAACGTATCGCTGGGTAGTATAGTTAAACTGTGCCTTATCAGGTTTCGCGGGGACGGAGGATCCTCGCGGGCCCAACACACAAGGAATAAAAACCAACAAGTGGGGTACGAGCAAGATCGGCATGAAACCTTGCTTGTACGCAAAGGTCGGAACAGCAACCGTGTACAGAATTGAAAGCGCAACAGGGCCAAGCTCATATAGCAACTGTGGGTGCCAAACGAGGGATACGTCCTTTTCGTTCGGCTGCGACGAGACAATAATTGCAGCGAAAAACAAATTTGCCGCGAAGGAGACACTGACCCCCTGGGCCACAAGCATGAAGACCCAGACATGGGGAATGTGATATCTCCGGCCTATAAACATCATTCAGTTATGAAAGTCATACGGATGAGGGAGGTTTGGTCCCAGTGTACCTGTGATACCAAGGAAAAGGCTCCAACCAATTGTCCAGCCAAAGATTTGACCACTCCACCAAAATCTGGATGGGTTCTCCGACACCGTCTCCCAAGCTTCTTGGAATACATATGTTTTGTGTAACCAAAGGCCCAGGCGAGTTATGAGGGATGTTTCTCCGCCCCAATAAGGCAAGCCGTCGGGGCTGGCTGCCCAGCTATTGTACGAATGGGCAAAAAGCCTGATCATGTGGTACCATGTCGTACCGAGGCTTAAACCAGCTAGGAAGACAAACAAGGCTAAATGACGATGTCGGTAAGGTGGAGCCCAGTCATTTTGGTGTTGGCGCGCCTGATACCTAAGGTAGATGGGGCGAAAGCAGATGAACACAAGAAAGATGGCCAGAGACAGATAGCCGAAGAAGATAAAAAGAGACCCATAGTGTACTGCAGGGGTTTGGGCGTTGGGGCCAATCATTTTTGATGCTATATAAGATAGTGTCGCCCAAGTTGGCGCTTGTTTCAGTTTGACAAGGGATGACCAGGGACCCTTGTCGGTGCTAGGACTTTTTGGTGGGGTTCGGCACAGGAAACAACACGTGATCATTGCAGGTGTTACAGTGGGCCACAATAACAGGACAGCAACTTCCTAAACAGGAAAGCGGTCTCTACTCCCTAGTAGCAAATGCACCCTATCCCACAGGCCCTGGGGAAAGATATGTGATTTGGATTTAGGATGCCAAGCAGAACAGCCTGTGATTAGTTACTTGATTAGTAACATAATATAGTTTTTTTTTAATTTATTATATAATTTTTATTTAGTTTTTATACTCTGATTCTTTTTAAAATTAGATATAATATTAATCTAGTATTTATTTATAACTATTTAAAAAATAAGGCTAATCTATTATAAATTATATTTATAAAAGCTAGTTTTTAATAAAAGATTATTTTATTAAAATAATAATTAAAATCATAATTTACTTATAAATTTATATATATATATTTATCTTTCTAAATACCCTGTTATAAAAACTAACTTATTTTTAATTTTTATTTTATATTAAGCTTATTATTCTTTATTTATACTAGTTAATCTAGCTATTATAAAATATTAAATTTTTATATAAATAAAAATATTACTAGTAATTATCTATAAAATATACTAATATAAAATATAGTCTAAGGAAGTTTAATATTATTTAAAAAATAAAACCTATTTATTAGTAATATACTAGGATATTATTTAAATTAATAAAATAATTATATAATAATTTAATTTTATTTATAAGTTTATTATAATTAATTAGCTGTAGTAGCTAGAGCAGCCTATTATTAAATTATTAATTTATATTAATAAATTATTATATTAATAAGGCCCCTAGTGCTAGTATATAATCTAAAATATTAAAATTATATATAAATACTAGTATAAGATATATTAATAGTCCTAATATCCCGGATATAGCTAGATTTTCTGGATTAAACAGAAATAAGTTAATCTTTAGCTTATATAAGTATATATCTGTCAGATGGGGTAGGTAGGTCACGTGGGTTGAATAGAAATTTCAAATGGCTAGATAGAATAAGGAAAATCGATCAGTCAGATGAAGTAAATAGTTCACCTGGACTACCTAGATCTGAAATAGATAGACCAGAGGTCCTACCATTCGCTATGCATGTAGATAGGTAAAATTGATTGAATGAATGAATGAAATTCAATTGAATGAATTAAGTGGGTAAATTAACTTGATGAAAAGAATGAATTAATGCAGGTCATTGATTACATATTTATAGATAATTAAATCAGGGCTAATTTAATCTGGCCCTAAGCAAATATTATAAAGATGGAATTATCAGATCTTTTTAGGCCTTTACCTGTAAGTTATATTATTAACCTAGGCCTTTAAGATTAACCTTATAGATTATTATTAGATTAATATTTAATTATTTAAATGATTAAATGATCAAGATTTCATGCTTAGAATAATTAGAATAATCAAGATTTAACACATAAATCATAATAAAATTATTTAAATAATATTAGAATGATCAGGATAGCAATATTTACTTTATAGCTTATAAAATAAATAGGCGAGATATTCTGGACCCTTTATATTAATTATCTGAATAAAGCTATTGATCAAAGTGGTTAAAATAAACTTTTAATTTCTTTGGGAGGCCGGGTGGGAGTGATCACGTGATGCGAGCGGCCTACCCCACCGGGCCAAATAGGACGCACCCCCATCCCATCGGTGCGGGTCCGCAGGCGGGCACGCTGATTGGCCGGCCTAAACCCTACCTGGGGGTACATCCTATATACTTTCGCGGGTACATTTTATTTAGATTCCCTAGCCCGGTCAGGCTTAAACTTAGTAAGTAAATAAATAAGTTATAGATCTCCTATTTAACTAAATCTCAGCTATCACGGTCGCAGGGGGGTTAGGCTATTATATAGTAAAATTAATTAATTTAGCTTATTTAAATTTTAATAAGATACAGGATTCTGACCAGGAAAGATTAAATTAGTTTTTTTAATTAGTTCACACGAGCAAGAGAGAGATTAAAATATATATATATATTTTTATTAATTTTTTTTTTACCCCCACTAATCTATTTATATTTTATTTATTTATCTACCTATTTTATCTAAATTCTTTTTTTTATGCTTTTACCTGTTAACTAACCCTCTTTTTCTCTTTAATTATTAATTAATATTATATTAAAATTATAAATAATTCTTTTAATTTTAGCTATATTTATACCAGGGCTGCTACTACAATATAATAATATATATATCTATTATTAACTAACTCTTAACCACCCTACAAAAAAAAAAAAAAAAAAAAAAAAAAAAGGATAATAAATAAAAGATACTATTTATTAAATCTAGTTCTAGCAAATAAGCTATAACAAACTGCATAGAATCCTAAACTAACCCGTGTAAAACCACAGTTATTATAGTAAAAAAAAAAAGAATAAAAAATAAAAAAAAAAAAAAAAAAAATATAAATAAAAATAACTAGTCTATCTCTAATCCAAGTAATTATTTAATATTTACTATAAATATATTAGTCCTGCTTAATATAATTTAAATATAAAATATTATATAAGCCCTAGCAGAACTAAGGAAAACAGAAAAATTTAATTTTAATAATTTATAAATTAATTTAGTCCAGAATCTTATTATCTAACAAAGAATAATTAGCTAGATTTCTAACTATAGTTAAAGTTAGAAAAATAAAATTTATAAATTATCTTATTTTTTTTTTTTAAAACCTTTTTACTATCTTTATTATTTTTAAAAATAAAACTTAGCTTAAATAGTATAAATATCTTCTTTTTATTATTATTATTATTATCCCGGTAGCTGTTAATATTATTATCGCTCTTACTAGTGTTATTTAAGCCGGGGGGGCGGGAAAATATTACCGGGGGCGGAGTAAATATTATTAAAAACAGAGTAGGTATTACTAAGGATAAAAATAAATTATCTTATTTATTTATATCTTTTTTTTTATTTTTATTAAAATTACCAGATTTATTTTATATGTCTTATTTTTATATCTGCCGGTTATCTAGTTTATTATACTCAGGCCCAGATAATAAGGGCAGTAAAATTACCTATTTTTTATCTAAATAATTAACTAGATTGCTAGTATAAGGCAGAGGCGGAGACACTAGGAGAAATATAATTATATAGAAACTAGTTTTTTTTAAAAAATAAGCTTTTAAGTTTTTATTAAGATTTTATTTTTATATAAAATTATTTATTAGTAGGCTTTCCTAAAAAAAAATTATTCTAGTTTTTTAACTATAATTAAAACTTTAAAGATTAAAAAAAAAAAAAGTTTTTAAAAATCTATTTTTTTTTCTGCAGCTTAAATAATATAATAAAACTAATATTAGCAGGCTTTATAATTTACTTATTATTTATTATATTTATATTAGCTATTTTATCCATCCGAAGCCTAAGAGGAATAAAAAGTAAGGTTTTCTCTTTTTCTAACTGTAGTTAGAAATCCAGCTATAAAAAAAGAGAGCTATATATCTTAAAAATAATTAAGTAGTATAATATTTTTAGCACGCCTTTTTCGCGATATTACTCGGCCACAAACTAGTTTCTTTTATTAGTATATAAAAAGATTAGTTTATCCTACTTTAAGCAGGTCTATTACTATCTGAGCAGATAATTAAATTTATTATTAGCCTATAGTTAAAAAATATAATTTTTTTAATCTGTATTATATTCCTCAGTCTAATCCTTATTATATAACTAGGCAACCTAGATATATCTAGCTGTATAAAGATTTACTATAATCTAAGATATAATTTTCTATATATTATTAAATTTTATTACTATATTAAAAATATAAGATATTATCAGAGTCTAAATCTTTTATATTTCCCGCTACTTAAACTAGTAGACCCGGCTAATAGCTTAAAATTCTTACTTTAAATTAAAGGGGGGCTTTAAGAGCACTACCCGGGCATATTATTTATATAGGTTAAGGCTTAATACTCTATAATTATAAATAATTAAAAATACTTATATATTTAAATCCGCGCTAATAAATATCTACACAGTAGTTAAATACTAATTACCAGTTATAATAGTGCGGACTACCACCGAGGAAAGACTAAAAATATTAATAAATATTTTAATAAGCTAAAGCACGAACAGCCACCAGATAAAAATAATAAATTATTAAAAATAAATTATATTTTAAGTACTTTTATCCCAGAAGATCTTAGCTAAATACTAGAGTTTAAGTAAATCTATACTAAAATAAAAAGCTATACTGGCACGCGTCAGGGGGGAGAGATAATATAGATCTTATATAATATTAGTAAAATATAGCGCGAATCCTAAATCCTTATATAACAGAAACTTAATAATTTTCTAGATATTTATTTTATTACGCATTAAGCGTAGTGCCTGCTTGAGATAAAATAAAAATATTAGATAATATAGCTTTCGGAAAGTATTAAAGTTTATTTAATAAAAGATATTTTATAAATAGGCTGTGCCGGGAAAAGTATTAGTAATAATAAGGATAGTTAGGATTATTAAATCAGCTCTTATTATATACTTTATACTCAGGGCTAAAATTCTCTAGTACTTATTATAGGCTTTCTACAGCCAGTCAAATAAAAATATTTTTATATTTATTATTTAACCCTCTGGGATATCCGCCCTAATAATAATATTAAAATAACTAGGCGCCCCGGCTATTATATTACTAATATCCCTATATAAACAAAAGAGGCATATTAAGACCAGTAACACATAAAAACCAGCACAGGTTATTAAATAGCCTCTTAAAACTAGCCTTACCAGCTAACATAATAAAAAAAATAAAAAGATATTTTTCCTGGTAACTAAACTATTTTCTTAGTTTATATTATATATTTATTTATTAGATTATCTAAGTCCGTGTTTATTAATAATATCTTATTATTAGTATCTTTAGCTGG